CCCCCCCCCCCCCCCCCCCCCCCCCCCCCCCCCCCCCCCCCCCCCCCCCCCCCCCCCCCCCCCCCCCCCCCCCCCAAGCACTCACACCTAGTCTTCGCGCACGTAGCTGCGTGAACACAATCCAGCCTACCGCCGCGGCGAGGAGGATTACCACGACGGCAATGACGATGCCGCCTGCCGTATTGACCATGCTCGGTGAAGAACGTCGCAATGAGGGTGTGTCCTAGGTGTTTTTTTCGTTCATACAGCGACGCGATTGGCGTGTCTGTCCTGAGACAGGCAGGATGGCGGCGTTGTAGATAGAAATTGGGCAGGGAAGGTTGGTTGATGATGTTGTTGGTCAAACTAGACAGATCCGCGACGCCGCCACATACAGTCCGGGCTCCAGGTTCGGGGACGCAAGCTCCAACATTAGGTAGGTAGGCTCTAGCTTAGGCGTACGTACGTAGTGCGTACATTAGTGAGACGCTAAAATCGAGGGTGCTACTGATAGGCATGCATGATGCTGCCGAGTTATCGTGATGAGTGAACAAATTAATCTGTCCAGATCAGAGCCCTGTGCTGGGCATTCTAATAATAGAGAAGATCTGAGCTACCCTAGGTCATTTTACCACAGTGCACAGAAACAGCCGCTACCGTACCATCACACTGTCTGTATATAAGATGCAGGTCTCAACCTCCGTCCCCATCACTGGTCTTCGCCTTGATCCAAGGCACTCTCGCTTCATTTAGCCCTCAAGAAGCGAGCCATTCGCATTCAGTCATCAGGCCCGGCGGTTTAAGCGCTTTCTGTCGTCATGATTCTATTCCCGGCATCCGCCCCCTCCCCCTCTCACTCAAGTTCCTAGCCAAGTTCTTCAGGTATCTCTGAAACATTGATCCCATAGCCCACCATTTCTCGCAAACGATAGGCCCTCGACGAAGTCTCCCAAGCTGCACCGCCCCAGCTTGTCTGCTGCGCAGTGGGTGAGGGGGACCACACGGTCGTTGACCAGCACCCACACCAGCTCCTTCTCCTCCTTGGACGCTGCGCCGCATCGCATCTTCTCAACGTTCATGCGCGCAGCAAAGGGGACAGTCCACGCAGCAGAGAAGCCACGTGTCTCCATTGGTGGGAGGCGATGGTTGACGGGCATGACACCGGTGGAGTTGTACAGGCCCAGGGCCGCATAGACCGATGACATGGTGTTGTCGTGGCTGAAATCGGCGTACAGATTCCTGTCGAGGGGGAACGTCTCCGCGGACCCGTCGAGCGTCGAATTGGTCGAGGTCTCATCGTCCACAGGCTTGCGAGTCAGTCGCGCAATGAGCTCGTTGACATAGCCAACCCCCTGCGTCGCCCCTAGGGGGTTTCCCGTGCCGTAGCCGTACCACTTGTCCAGCGTCTCGAAGTAGTCGTAGTCCCGCCACTCGTCCTCCGAGAAGAGCCAGCAGAATCGAGACTTCTCATCGTGGTAGTCCGCCACAGTACTGAATGGGCACATGTCCATCATGAAGATGGTTTCGTCGAGCGACAGGTTCGCCCCGGGCATCTTCGTGTTCAGTCTGTCTCTGATGGGAGGCACGAAAATCTGCTTCCAAACTTCTTGCTTCTCATGACTGAGTTCTGAAGATGGCCCCTGTTCAAAATACAGGCAATTTCCGTGGTTCAACGTGTTGTTGTAGCCGTCCTCCTCCGGGACGACGAGAATCCCCTCCACAGCTGCGTCCTTGTCTCGCCCCGTGTGCTTGTAGAGTCCTTCTATAAACTTTTCTGCCGATGCAATGACCCTCTCAGAGCCCGCAGCTCGGATGAATGGGTCTTCTTTATCGCTCAATCCTTGGTAACGCTGGTAAAAGTCATGCCCCATGTTGATGAGTTGCTGTTCGCCATAGAAGGTGAGCTGGTCTGCCCCGAGGTTGTATGCGTAGTCTTGCAGGAATTCTAGGCCAGCGCCATATTCAGACACGTCCCCATGAATACGTTTAATGAGATCACTATACAGGATCGACTTGTGCTCCGTGGGATACCTCGCGCCGTGGCGAGCAAGAAAGGATACATGTGTGATTTCGCAACCTAAAGGCACCGCGGGACTGATGTCCGATGGTACTGAGAAAAAGGGGGAGTATTGACCCCATAACCTAGGTGAGGTCTTCCGACAAGCGCCATGCCTCTCGCATCCATTGCCTTTGCTTGGACCCCTTTTGGCGTTGTTAGCGTTTCAAATTAGGTGGGTAAATTGAAATGAGGGCTTACCTGAATAATAGCACTACAGAGAGTATCGCGAGGATTGCGATACATGTAATAATTACAGGTCTTCGTCGTCGCTCGCTCCAAAGAACCCCAGGTCCTCGGCGGGCATTGCCTGGGTGCGTGGGTGACTCAGGCTCTGTGATCTGACTGTACTGGTAGCCATTATCAGGCAAAGCCTTGCGCAGTTGTGCCATCATCTTTCGCGATTGTAGCGAACAGTGAGAATGGTCTGCGGGTGACGACGGGTCGCTGGTGTTCTGTTGCTGCGGCCTGTTGCGACAGGCACCATCGATCTTGTGAGATGGCGCAGAGCCACGCCGAAAACACAAGAGTTAGACTTGCGCCGGCAGGTAATGATCGAGGTGCTCAATGCATCCAAAGCGTGCTTGTACGGGTCGTTGCGTGGTTGAAGATGTAGCTCAGAGGTGGGTGCCTGAGGCAAAATCCATTCACTCAATGGTGAGAAGGGAGCTGGGCGGCAATGTGCGGTAAATCGTATCCATAACGAGACAAGACTTAGACTATTATATGCAACGATGCATGAAGCGATGATCCTAGATTTGTAGAGCACAAATTCCTGGGAATCAATGTTGCCCAGTATCGCAGCGAATAGCGCCTCTCAATGTACTCATTTCAAACCTTTGCTGAAACTCAATTCGTCCCGAACGACAGTAAAGGCCCTTATTAGATAATAGTGCCCCGAGCCCAAACAACCTAGCCCCTTTTCCAGCTATCATGTCTATAAAGCGCATGCACTGCAAGCGCATCCTCACACAAATGGTATCTCGGTGAACAAAAAAAAAAAAAAAAACAGAACCGACCTGTGACGCCTCTGGGTATCCTATCCCATTGATCAAACCCGCGCGATGCTTCCAGATTTTCCAAAGGTAGTTGACCTCTCCAGTGGTCCGCCGTCCATCTTTGTCACCGGCGTGCTTCCTGGGGACCAAGTGGTCGGCACCGTCCTTTGCTCCTCGTCTGAGTCCCACGTCGTGACTGTTCCGACACTGTCGAACGAGTCACGACCGCCGCCGCCGCCGCCGCCCCGTGAGGCGACGCACTGATAGAAACCCTCTGTGCCCTTGATGGGCCGGGGCTGGTTGGTGATGGAGTCCAGACTGACATCGCGCTTATGATGCACGCTGGGAAACAACCATGTGGACACGCGAGAGAATGACTTCTTCTTCCGCAGAGGTGGCCGAAGGACTAGTGGCAAGGGGGGTGGGAGAGGGTGATCGTCGGGCTGCGGGCGTGTTGGTGTGCTGGCAGCCGTCATGTCCCCAAACTCCTGAGATCGGTTGATGATCTGCGACTCTGTCCGCAGTGGTGCAGTCGAAGGCCTATCAATGTCGTTCAGGCGCGCAGCGAACGAAGGGGCGAAGGGGGGCAGGGCTGGAACTGCTGGCATCGGCTCGGCATCTGCTTGATCAGTCAGTCACTTCCTGTGCCTAGAGATTGGAATCCCGCTCACCGTTCACTGTGCAACTCATACTGTGAGCTGTAGAGGGCCGACTGCTTATGTGGAGGCTCTGCCTCTCAATGACATCGTCAATCTGCTTTTGCAGGGCCTCCATCTCGTTGAGGGCTCCTGCCACACGCGCTTTGATAATCTCAATATCAGGCGACGTATGTGCCCTCGCGCGTTCCTTGGATTTAGCAGGGATGGCCGGCACTCCCTGCTCTGAAGCTATCGAGGAGCTTTTGCCACCGACCTGCTTCCTGGGCAGGTGGAACGGGGTCGAAGAATTGCTCCCTTGTCTGACCAGCTCGTACTCATCATCCAACCTCTCGTGCAGCTGTGCAGGTTCAGGCGCCGCAAGAGATGTAAACTCAAAATGTGGCAGGATGGGTGACATGGAGTTGTCCGGTCTGTAGAAACTCAGCTCCAGAGGCCGAAACGATCGTCGTAGTGGAGGATTAGGTCGAAGCTGAGCCGCGGTACAAGTCGAGGGAACTTGAAAGGATCCTGACTGAATGTGTCGAAAGTCGCTGGGTCCAGAGATCAGAAGTCGGCGCGCTGATCCATCTGAGCGATGCCGCTGCTTGTGCCCGAAGCCTTTGCACAGCTTCTCTCTTACCGCTGTGGGAGACACTGGCCTGGGGCCGGTCATGACTGAGCGAGGCGCCTGACCAGGCTGCTTTTCGAACATTGTCCGAGTGCTTTTCTCGTCGCCTTTGGCGATCAGCAAATCCTGATCGCTAGACCGGCCTAAGGGCCAAGATATAGAAGCAGCAGTAAGAGACGTGAACTTACTACGACGTCGACCAAAGCAAGATGTCAACGGCGCGCAACATTGTGATATCGATTTGAGCCACGAAGATGAGCCATCAACGTCGGAGAGGGGGCTTGTCATGCTGCAGCGATAGGGATCCCGTTCAAGTTTAGTGTTGCATGCCGGATCGAGGGTATAATGTCGAGGAGTTCGCGGCGGTGCAAGAGATGAGGTATAAGTCGCTATGATAGAAAAGAAGTGAAGGAAAGACAGGATGAACGACCAGCGGTTCACGCGGTATACACAAAAACGAGCAATGAAAGACTGTTTACCACCGCATGAACCAGTACTGTGGAGGCACCTGGTCACCAGATACGATGAACAAGGGCGGTGGACTGTGATTGTGTGCGTGGTGGTGTAAGTGGTAGCGCAAAGAGGTGAACGAGCCCGTGTCACCCCAACCGATTGCGTAGACCTATGCTCTAACGACGAGAACCACCGAGCAAAGAGAATGCAAAAAGAGCCCGCGACTGCTGGGTGTGAAGATGATTAAAGAAGAAGAGGAGAGCTGGCTCATGACCTCAAGGCTGCGAGTGACGAGCGCGCTGGCCATCTTAGATAATGGCACCCAGCGAGCAAGCAAGCAGGCAAGCAACGATCCATTCATTCATGCTGGGACAAATGAGAGGCAATCAGCCGTAAACCTAAAAAAGACAAGCAAGTACAGCCATTGTCACCCAAGTACCTCTAGATCTGTATGTCTTTGTCTGATGGAGGTCTGGGTCCGGGCCCGTGATAGGTTGATGAGTCGTTCATGCCGGCCAGTCGGCGCGTAGCGGTGCTTTGGCTGCGTAGCCCATGCTCCTCGCCGTGCTTGTCGATGTGGGCGCGCATGCGGATTGGCATCATGGATGGCTGGCGCTGCACACTAGAAATTGCAGGGACCCACGGCGCACCCACCCCTTGGTAGCAACACCGAAGGCAGCCAGCGAGTCGTTGGCCTCGGATGCCTTCACGAAGAAATCTCACGGCTGCCGCAGATGCGTCCCAATGTTGCCTCGTGGTTCGTCGGCATTGGCCAGCGCCATCTCTGACAGGAGCGAGCAGCAATGTGTGATCGTCAGACGATTGGGTGCTCGCGAGACGAACCTACCACTTGGCAATGGCCAGCATCCCCAAACGCGAAACGGTCCATACATCAACAGCCCAGCGCCCGAGGCCTGCCTGTTGGATGTTGCCGTGTCTGGACAGCCCGTTGCTGGAAATGGAAGACGTTTCTTACCCCGTTGGGCAGCTGCTGTGACGGGCGCGTCGGCGCCCAAGCGCGACTCATTCGTCTTTGGGGACCGCAATGCTTGACGTACACTGTACACGCATGGCCACGCATTGTTTCCATCGCGTCAAGCAAGAGAGCGCCCGGCGATGCGTGTCTGTGTCCCGTTGCTCGTGGATGGGGCTACTGCTAAGAATAAACTAGAGTTTGTTGCTCTGGCTGTCTGTCAGCAGTCATCTTACGTACGTAGTGTTCACATGACGAGAGGAGCCAGTCTGCAGCGGGCCAAGTCGAAGTGAGATGCTCGCAGGTGCACATAGTCTATGACATGAGCTTGGTGCTGCGCTTTCCTTGCCACCCTTCACATGCTTCAGGGCAAGCCTAGTGGTATGCGAGCTCTCACAGCTCACAACAGCAGCAGGCACCTGATGCCGCAAGTGATGGTGGTGCGGCTGTGGCGCTGCTGCATCGCCCATCATAGAACGGGTAACGGAAGGTGCTCGTCAGGGGAAGCTGGGGCCTGGAAGGACGGATGACTAGGTGACGATCAGGAAGGTGGCTGATGTGGGTGGGATTGGTCACGATCCTCATGTCTGTCTCACTTGAAGATAGGCAGAGGCGTTCTTCACCAGTGGCGGGAAGGGAAGGAGCATTGGGTGACAAAAACGGCGCTACCGGCAGAGGGTCGATGGTTTATGGAGACATCTCTGGATCTCGAACAGAAGACACCAAGCCCACACAAAGTCCAGGCAGATTTGACTCTATGAAATGTTACTACTCAGAAATATGATCGGTGCAGGTGGTCAGTGGAATTGACACTGGTCATCAAGTGCAAGCCAAGCAGATCTTCCACCATGCCCGATCCGTAAAGTGGGATTGGCGGTCTGGCGCGGCAGAATACCAAAATCTCAAGAAAGTTGTATCACGAGCCGCTCGGCGCCCGAGCCAGCTTCAGGCCAAGTATCATCAAAATCCAGGCATCCACAATGTCCAAACGAGGCGGCAACATAGATGACGGGGCAGCCGCCTTTCGCAAGCGCCAGAAGATCACCCACGAAGTCCCCGCTGGCGAAGATGTGTACTCGAGCGATCAGCTGCGCCAACTGCTGAGTTTCGACCAAGATCTAGGTCGAGCAAGGCATGGTACGTATCCCGCTTGCACCGCGACAACGGATCTTTGACTTATCTTTTCGTTAGGCCTGCAGTCATTCAAGAGACTCTTGGACGAGATACATGCAAGCGAAAGCGACGACAATGACAAACTCCAGATCCTCTACGAATACCTCGAGGCGAGCAAGCCACGGCAGACAGGCGAGGATGCGGTGTTCCTCAACGACATCATGGAGATGTGGTCATTTGCAGCCCAGGTCAACAATGATGGGGTCATGTCATCGGTTGCTGTCGTCCTGGCCCTCGTGCTGTCGACTCTTTCGGGGTCTCTGAAGATGGTATCCCACGGACTGGGGATCTGTCAAACATTGATCCAGGAAAGGCAACTCAAATCGTTGTCAAAGAACTTGTCGGTGGAAAAGGGAAAGGCTTTCATTATATCTCCCACGTTGCGTCTGCTCAGGGAGGCCGTCACGCTCGACGGCGGAGCCTTTGCCAAGAGGATCTTCAGAGCCCGACAGTCGACTTTCACCGCTCTAGGCCGTAATCTAGAAATCGGACACTCAGGGGATGGTATTGAAGATGCGAAAAAGACGTCAGTCAGGACCAATGCCGTCAAGTTCCTCTTGGCTTGCTTGAAATACCTACATTCAGATGGACGCAAGGAGCTCATGACGCAGAGGGAGCTTATTTCTCACCTCACCTATACGATCCGCAATGACCCGCCGTACTTGATTCTCGACATTCTCAATACCTTACAGAATTACGTCCTCTCGGATGACAACATATCACGGGAGGCAAAACTTCGCAACTTCAACACCAAAACGTTGTGGCGCATACTCGCCTTGTACAGCTACGGAACCAATGCCATCCCCCAAGAGGAGAGAGCCGCTGTCGCAGACAAGGCGCATGCGTTCCTGGTCTACGTGTGCACGAGCCCCGGAGCTGGTGTTCTCTACCCCTCGACCGGATTGTATCCCAGGCCATTAGACGACGAGTCTAGCAATACCCGGAAGTCAAAGCTTGTGAATCTCGAGGGTGCCATAGCCGAGGATCGATACAGCAAAGACGTCCCAGTGTACAACTACGTGCTATCAGAGTTCACGCAGAAGTTGCGGCCCTGGTCCAGCCGCAAACACAGCGAGCTGCTCATTACCATTTTCAATGCCGCCCCTGAGCTCATTGCCGACTTCTTCCTCAGCAATCGCGACTTCAGCTTCGCGCCCAAATTGTCAATGACCTGGATCGGCTACGCTGCCTGCCTGTTCGATACGATGCAAATTCCCATACCCGATCATTTCGGAGACAGGTCGAAATACTCGGCAGCGCCACCACCAGTTTCCATCCTGCTGGCCAACATCATCCCCTTGCCGATCGACCGCAAAGCGCTCATCAAATGTCTTGAACCAGGCTCGAATCTCACATCATTCTTTGCGACGAGGATCCTGGTTCTTGCTCTGGAGAAGCTCGAGAAGGTTCTTAGCATGCTCCAAGGTGCCACACGCACTAGCGACGCCCTCTGGGTCGAATCGTCAAAGAAGCTGATCGACGCGTTCTGCCAGCGAATCCCCGACATGAAAGAAATTGTCCGCATGTACAGATCTGTGCCAGCCGAGAATCTTCTGCATAAGACCCTAGGCAGTCGCTTGTTGCGGCTATACTACGAGGTTGTCCCTCGCGTCGCCCTGGCAGCCAATTTCGACGTCTCACCTCTGTTGGTAGACATACTGGGGAAGCTCGACCACGAAGAGGCGACAGCGGATGCCAAAGCCTTTGCTGTCATGGAGCTGGAGAACCTCGTCTCGATTGCCAGTCACTCTCCTGGCATGCGATGGTTCAACAGGCCCAGTGGCGCAAGCACGTTACCGTTCATAGCCTTGTTGCAGGTCCTCTGCAGTGACGGTCAGAACACCCCGTCTGATCAAATCAGACGGGTCCTCAATACTATTGCCCTGGAATCTCAGATTGTATCAAAGAAGGCAGGCCTACGGCCGTTGCTGCAAGCGCTACGATGTGCTGTGAACAACGACCGAGTCACTGATATGTCCCCGGTTTGGCCATTCCTCGACAACTGCATCAGCCGGTGCGCATCCACTCCGATCAAATACCTCGAGCTTCTCGAGACGTACGAACACGATGAGCAAGTGTCATCGGAGGAAGTAAGTCTCCTCAACGTGACGCTCGCCGAGCAGCTGCGATTCATCACGGCATCATCCGAGTCCAAAGGGAAAGTCGCGCTGGCCAACTTCCTCATCCTCTTCTTCAACGCCGCCGCCAAATCCAAAGAGAACAGCATCTTGGTCCATGCCATCTATAAGCAAGTGCAAGGGCAACTTGCAGAAGCAGACCTTGAGTCAAGATCGCTAGGCGGCAAAGCGGATCTCGAGGCTCTCAAGGCGCACAAAGTCATGGACGACAGCGACAGCACCACGAAAACCAAACCCATCACAAACACCTCGTCAATAGACGCCTCCCAACTCGAGGAAATCCTCCACATCGCCATTCCCGAAGAGGAGGACACCTCCGCCCTCACAAAGTGGACTACTAAGAACGCCGAGGACCTCATCGAAGACGCCCACGCCACAAAACTCGTGCTCCTGCTCTCCTCACCCCACAGAAGCATCCGCAAGGAGGCGCTTACCAACGTCCTCAAGCTCTCCTCCCGGCTCAAGGAGTCTTCGTACGAGGAGAAGGAGCAGATCTGGCTTCTTCTGTCCGAACTGGCCGAGTCATCAAGACCGCACGTGGACGCGGGGCCGGTGCCGTCTGCGTTCACCGCGTTTGCGACCCACGCCGTCGAAGTGCTGCGCAACCCCCTGCACCCTCTGTACCCGAAAGTGAACACCTTCCTCACACGAAGCCCCATGTGGCCGGCCGACAAACTACCCCTCGCACATGACATCCTCCACGGCGAGCCGTCTGAGGACGACAGGTACTATACAGAGATCACATGGTTGTTGACATATCTCCTCGATGCCCTGCGCCGCGCGTCCGACCTCAGCGTCTTCCACAAGAAGAAATGGTTCGAGAAGATCTTGGTGTTGGGGGCCAACCCATATCTTCGCACAAACCTACGAACCAGGATATTGAGGGTTGTCTACAGAGCAACGTGCATCGAAGGCGGAAGCACCACGCTCACGACGAGATTTGGCATCATCAGCTGGCTTGTGGCACAGCGGGCTGCTTGTGAGCGGGAAGAAAAAGCAGTGCTCTTGGCCTTGATGCGCAGGATTTGGGATACCTGCGACCAGGCGAGAGTGGAAGCGTGGAGTAAGGGTGGTGTGCACAAACTTATAGAGGCTTTGCCTTAGGGGGAGAGAAGACATTGATCACATTGATCTATCACCACGAGGAGGATATATAACGCCACCAGCAATGTAAAGCTCAGAGCGTGCTGTTTTGATTTGGTCCTAGATGTGAAAACCCAAGCCTAATGCACATAAATCAATGCTACGTTTCCTAAACGGCCCAAATACCCATATTATGCTATAAACCATCAGATCGCCCAGTCAAACAAGAGATTTTGGCTTTTAGCCAGTACATGGGGTTGGATAGACAAGGTGAGGCTGTCGCCAATGCAGTATCCCAAGATTAGTATCCCAAATTATAAAAGTATAAATGACCCAAAATGTGGCGATATGTGGGAGAAAATCTCAATCCGCAACATTACAACTGGCCGGACAGGATGGCCTCGGTGGCTGGTACGTATTAGTATCATAAGAAACAGGGCACGAAGCAAGGTTACTCACCACTGTTGATGTATTGCCTCTTTGCGTCGAGATTGACACCAAAGCGAGTTTCAAGCTCAAGCTTGATGGCCTTTTTCGTGACAGTCATCAAGTCCGCCGTGCGCAGGATCTCGCGTATCTCCGCCAACAGCGCATCGTCGCTGGGCAGATCCGCTTGTTCATCGGGGGAGAAGAATTGGGACTGGCTGAACGTGCTCATGCGAATATTGTTCAGGCCAACCTCAGACGTCGCCAGCGACATGCGCGAGTTGTTCCTGGTGTCGTAGGGGTTCTGGTGAGCGTAGCCAGCCAACGATCCAGGACGGCTCGGATAGTACTGATACTCGGACATGAGACCTTGCGCCTTGGTGCCGTAGCTGTAGCCCGACACTTCGGAACGAGTATCGTCTTTGCCGGTGCCGGTCTGCGTCTCCCACAGCTCGGCCTGGTAGTCCTCCCACTTCTTGCGAGGGATGGATGCGGGATCGAATTTGCCCTCGTCCGTGACGATGACTTTCTTTCCCTTTTCGCCAGCAACGACACGTGTGTTACCCCAGTTAAAGTCATCCATATTCCAGAAAGAGTATAGTGGCAGGGCAAAACTGAAAACAGGGATCGCCAGAATGTAAAGGATCATCCAACCGACCATTTCCCACTTGCGGCGCAAGATGAAGATGATAGCCTGCAAGCCATAAACAGCTCCGAGCAAGATGAAGGCTGTGATCGGAATGCTAGACGGACTGTCGACGACGCGATAGATCAAATATCCGATGTAGGCAACAGTGACGGGTTGCACAATTGTGCTGAGCAGATCAATGAAGACGACGAATCGCATACTAAAGCAGCAGAAACCACAAAGTTGCGACATGGGAATCAGCTCAATCAAGTTGTGCACAGTAGAATTGATCCAGCGACGGCGTTGGGACATGAAGACAGCCCAGGAGTCGGGAGCGATGGTCCATGCATGCGCGTTGTGGTTGTACTTGGTCTTGTACTTGGGGTGAAACTTGAGTAGCAGGGTTGTGAGGTATCGATCCTCGCCCAGGTGCAGCAGGTTTTTCATGTGCAGCGTATCGACGCGGATTGTGGCATAGTTCTCGACAACCTCGCGACTGACGAACAGTGGCTTCCCTGTCTCAGCGGCGCGAATGCGATACATGGTGAAACATCCAGGCAAACATGTGACGGAACCGAACAGACTTTCGAAGGCCTTGGACAGATTGTGCGAGATCCAGTACTCGTAAACCTGAATCATGGTGATGAAGGACGATTTGGCGTTGGTCAGAGCCGTCTCACCGCAGACAGCGATGAGGCGTGTATCATCCATGAATGAAGAGACCATGCGAGTGGCGGAATCAGGAGCGACGATGGTGTCGGCATCGATTTGGAACATGAACTCGTAGAAAGTCGGGTTGACACCAATGATGTTGCGGATCTGGTGGTACATTTCCAGCTCAAGAGGGCTCATGGCGAGGTTATAGTGGACGCGGTTGAGGAAGCGCATGACGAGCATCTGCGAGTCACGCTTGCCACGGTTGCCAGGGCGAGAAACCTCGGAAGGCTTGCCAACCTTGACGATGACCATGAAAGGAACAATATGGCCCTGGACCTCGTACAGACCCGAGTAGACCTTGCCCATGTTATGCTGCTTCAGACCCTCGCCAAGTGATTCAAAACTCAGTGGCTCGGGGTCAACTTGCTCAGAAACACCGAGGATGTCAAGGACAATTCGAGGGGTGGACCTGTCGTTGCCTTGACCGATAATCATACCGTCGCAGACAACACACAGCAGTTTACGCTTATCGTCGTAGCGCATCCTGGCGGCCGAATCGATGGCACGGCGCAGAGAATCCTCATCCTCGGTATAAGCAGGGATCTGGCAGATGACGAACTTGTCCAAATTCTCGGGCACGTTCTTGCCACCAAATTGCAGTGCCGCGAAGAACTTGAAGGCGATAACGCAGGCAAGCATAATTGAGATGGCGAGGACCAAATACTCGGAAAATTGACAGCGAGTCGAGTTACGGGTGTCGACATCTCCAACGTAGAAGAGATGGTCGAGGCAGCGGGTCATGTCCGCCTTCTCAGAATCGGTCAAAGTGAGCGAATCCCAATACTGGCTGATATCGCTTCCAGACCTCATTTGGAAAAGCTCCTCGACAGCTGGTTGCATGAAGCTCGTGGCATCTTGGTTTTCCGCGTCGTCTATGGTCTTCTTGCTGTCCGTCGGCTTGAACTTCATCTTATAGCCACCAGCAAGGTAGGCTGTCATATCGTATACACGGCCCTTCAGGATCGCGATGGACTGTCTCTTTTCAGATGCCAAGGTCTTGACATACTGAGGAGAATATCCGATCGCTCCCTTGCGATAATTAGCCCTGAGCACCGTCATCTGCTCCAGATACCAATCATTTCGCGTGTCATTTGTGTGGTAGCGAAAGTCGTGATAGGTGAAAGTCTCGTCAACTTGTGCGTAAGCGGGTTGACCGGTCATGTTCGTGCTCTTGTAGTCCAGGGTGACGGCTGGGTTGATCTGCCCGTCTTTGCCATGGCACAGTGCAGAGACTTGCACTGGAAACAAGTCGCTCACGTCCATTCCAGCGTAATCAAGCAGGGTCTCCTCTGTGATATATGGGGGATAATGGCGAGGGGCAAACGCCTTGAGATCGAAGACGTTGCCACGAATGGACACATAGGCACCCCCACTACCGTCCTCGCCATCGTATGAGGACAATTCGGCCGCGCTGTAGACATACTGGCGAGGGCAGATGAGCATGGGAAATAGAACGATGAAGAAGATGGCTACGGCACACAGAAGCCAGATGAGCATGTTGATAGCCACCTTCTCTCGCCATGCCATTCGCACGTCCTTGCGAGGCATGCGTCCGATCCAGCGGATGAGAAAGTCCGGGATGAACCAAGTGAAGAGGTAGACCATGAACACCCAGCGCTTGCGGCTGGGGCTGTCCTTGTACTCCTGGACCTCAACCAAGGACTTCTCGTTGCCTCTTTCAGCCATCTGCTCGCGTGTGTCGAAGTTCTTGAACATGTCGCCAGCACCAAAGGCCGAGACGCCAGCTTCGGACCGCGCATCATCGCCCGCAGGGAAATAACCGGATCGGTTCTTCTCGCCGTGCATCAAGGGCGTGGTGCCGGAGGACACCAGCTGTTCCTTGGAAGTACCAAAAGGCGCATGCTCGCCTGGGGTGAGACCATCCCCTGTCTCGAATGGATTCAAGCCATAACGGCCAGAGGAAGAGTTGGCCTCACTTAGCTGGGCAATCTCGAGCCAACAGCGCTCGCTGAGAAATACGCCAGTGGAACCGACATGGACCTCATTGTGAGGCCATCGCTTTTCCTCAATGGTGACCTCGGCACGCTCCCGCTCGCTCCCGACTAGCATGGTTTCCGAGTCCGTCAGGCCAAGGAACTCGCTAAAAGGAAGGAAGATACTAAAGTCGGCGATGCGGAGCCTCTGGCTGATCTCTGCGATGCCAAATGTTTGCATCTGCGTGCGTACACACTTACTATCAAACTGGTTGGCGATGCGACGGTCGTTTGGTTTGAGGCAGAAGACAAAGTAGGCGTTCATGTTGGGATCGGCCAAGACACGCCGAACGTTGTCAAGTGAAGATAGGAACTGGCCGGAGGCTCCTTGCTCTGAAGCGGTCTTGTTGTGACCACCATGACCTGACTCGCCCCCGTCGCTCGTGGCCTCGACCGTTTCCAATGCCTGGATTTGCTTTCGGCGGTACGCAGCAGGAGCTCTGCTTCGAGTCGTCTTGCGGGACGCCACGCTGGGAGCACGCGTCGGCTTCGAGCTGATAGTGGCCTGCATGATGGTCGTGCGCTCATTGGGGTGCGTCACCGTCTTCAATGCATCCTGGCCGAAAAGTTTGTTGACGAAATCACTCTTGCTGGTCTTGATCAGATTCAAAATGTCGCCCGAGATGATTTCGCCGTTCTCCTCCACGAGGCCCCTAATAGGATAGTCGACCTCGCCGGCAAAGTGCTTGACCGTGAAGGTCGCGGCCGTGTTCTCGGTCATAAAATTGCTCCCGGGAAGCTTGGCGTGGGCTGATCCAACTTCAATGGAAGGGTTCTTGCCTTCAAAGCGCTTACGCAAGGACTCCAGGAACTGCATGTCGGATCGGTTGCGGCGGGTCTGGTCATCGAGGATACTCAGCAGACCGTTTCCAGGCTTGAGCAAGCCCCTCACAGTATCGGTATTGTCAAAGTAGCTAGTGGCGGGAACATTGACTTCCTCTGATTCGAGGAGCTCAGCTTTGCGGTCGAAAAAGTACTGCAGGGTCATATTGTACACGGACTCGACGGCTGCATTGTTAAGCAGCTGATCCAGCGACGAGAGCGTTGACGACTGTTGGGCAAAGCCAGGGAAGTCAACAATGGAGACGGTGTTGGCGATGGAGTCCTCATGTGCGCAGACACGCTGGTTGATGTTCTCGATGATCCATGCCACGAGCAGAGAATAGAGCGTCCGAGAAAGCTCGTTCGCATGGGATCTGGCACCTTGGGGATCCAGCATGACGGTGACGCGCTCCTTGCTGATGACCTTGCTCTTGTAACCCAACGTCCTCTGGAGGTCCTGAGCGTTGACCCCCAAGAACGCAGCCACGGTCGTTAGGGCCTCCTTGTTCTTGACACCCGTATAGGAGTTGCCGCCTTCGTGGGAGAAGCCGCCGCTTTCATTGCCGTTGGCGCTTGTATCGTTCTCAGCGGCGAACTCGAGCTGGCCAATGTGAAGAATACTGGCCAACATCTGGCAGATCTCAGCAATCTCGCTCCGTGGAAACTCCAGTTTGCGCAGAGCATCCTTGAAGACCTGGAAGCCCTCGGCATCGTTGATGCCGACCTTGAGTTGAGTAGGATGACCAAGATACTTCCACCGCTGATCACGCGCGCCCGGAAGGTTGCCAAAGTCGAGGCCGAGGTGCGACTTCTCAGCCTCACTTGTGCCAGCAAGGAGGTAGTAAAGCACGTGGAAATTGCGCTCTCCGGTGGGCACATCTGTGACGCGGCTTCGTTCGAACCTGTGATCTAGCAGTTTGCCACCGATCAACGTTGGGTTGGTCGTGCTAGCCGTGTCATATTGCAGCTCATAGAACAGGCCAGCTTTGGAAGCAGTTGGCGTTGTGGCAGTCTTGGTTGTAGTCAGTGTGTCGAAAACGTAGGCTGCGAGAGAAAGCTTGGTAGACAGGGGAGTCGAAGATTTGGCAAGGATAGCCGACAAGAAATGATTTCGCAAGGTGGATTTGCCTGACCCAGATTCACCCCTAAATAGTCAGCGGGCGACGCACAAGGGAATATTCTCAAGGACTCACAAGAACACTGCAGTTTGGGATTCTGAGCGGTGCCCTAGTCGCAGCCAGGCCCTGTTTGCCAGGTCCTCAGCGCCTCCTTGAGCACTGCCCTCTTTACCGCCATCAGGACCTTTGCTGGAGGATGTATAGGTGTTGAGAGAAATCAACGCATGGGACGAGAGCCTCGCGGTCGGATGAGAGACGTGGAAGCGGCTCGCCAGGTGTCCTGTTAAATGCGTGTCGGACTGTAGATGGGCCGGCAGCGAGGGCAACGAGGGCTGCGTATGGGCTCCTCCGTTGCCACTGTTGACAGTAGGCAGGTTCAGAGCCATGCTGGGTGAGATGCCAGAGACTGGCTCTCCCGCGTACGACGAGGCAAGCGAATGGTCTGTCGAAAACGTGCAGTCGGCGTGGTCTTGTTCGTTGTCGTCGTGGGAATCAAGGGCTCGGGAGATTAAGGGCGACCACGGCCAACTGTAGCGAATGGAAGGAAACAGTGAGCAGAGGCGCGATTGAAAGATGACAAGCCACAAGGAAAACGAATGTATGTCGATTGCAGGTTAGGAAAGATGCCTCAACAGGAGGGAAAAGTGTGTCCAGACTCGTCACACCATAGAAGTGAGTGAGTATAGTCCACCTCACCTGGACGGCGATGACTTTCTGGCTGGCCAGGCAGGGCAGGGCAGGGGGCTTTGTTTTCCTGACGATCAGCTGCAGTGTTGTTCGCACTGTACAGCACTCGGACAGGGCGCGTTCAGGGGGGGTTCGAGATGTAATTATGAGTGGATCTGGTTTATGCCCCAGCATGCGGTGCTCACAAACTCTAACTTTGGTAACAAAGGCGCTGGGAGATGATGATCTAGAAGCATTTGTTCGGGTACCTCCCAGCTACTATATAAGTTGTACGTACTTAGACAAGACAGCAGAGTGGTTGTTCTTTTGGTGAAGCTCGTCAAAAGCTCCGGCGAGGGTAGAACTCTGAAATACTTCTCAGAGTGGGCGCTGCAAGAAAGACACCTTACACTCTCAGACTGCTGGTATGCCTCGCGTCAAATTCACGTTCCTTAGCACCAACAGCAAAAGAAGTAATCGTGAGAGACATTCGGTCGGCTTAGCACTGCGAGTGATTGGCAACCGCTCGTGTGGCTTGCTGGAGGCTTACCTATCACTGTACCTCCGTACGTACTTGTTTACATAAAAGGTGGGCCCGCCCTGGCTACCTCAGTACGGGAAGCTTTTTGTCCCATCCTCCACTGCTGTCATCATGAAGTCCGGAAGCAATTGCACGACGTGCTCGAAGGTCCCAATGGGGCACCGGTACGGACACGGACGCTGGTTCTTGTCTACTCTGCACACAATAACCATGGTGAGGGCCGTGAGGCTTAGCTGCTGCCGCGAACAATCCTCGTGTCCCAGAGGCCGAGCCTTGAAATTTCGCTGGGCATAGCTCCTTGTAGCACGCGGTTGCCGGGCGAGGCTAAGCTAGACTAGGACTAGGCGCATCGTATCAGCCGGCCGCGAGCGAGCTCTCGACCCGAGAGGTCAGAAGTTGGAAAGGTGCGGTGGAGCTGCGAGGAGCGGCACGGTGATGAGCGCGTACAGTGCGTGCTAAAAATACAATCAGAGTATCTCCTGACCTCCATGAATTCGTGAATTGGTGACAATCACGCTTTCTCCGTGGAGCCGTTTCCCCAGACAGACTGCGCATAAGTGGCTCTGGTGAGAAGAATGGTTTCCGTTTTCTTGACATCATCATAAGCTGAGTAAGACCCGAACGACAAGCGCGATTGCATCGGCACACCCGACTTCGAGATGCTGGGTTGTACAAATTACACAACATTCTCCCCTCCGACCCGTGTTTCACGTGCATTGTGGCTGTATTTTGGGCACCTGTATCCGTACTCCCCATCATGCCAGTCTCACTCCAGTCCAGATGTCCCCTTCACAATTCAAGCTTCCACTGTGCGTACGCGTTTCCACAAATTTTCTCGTAAACACACTCACAGCAATACTTATCGTAGTGAAAGTCATCTCAGAGCTTGGAAGCGACCGAGGAGTGGAGGGTCTGAGGAGCCAAGCATCTGCACCAAACGTTCTTGACTCCAAGATCGCCAGCCAAAATTTTCTATGCCTCGACCTCGACTGCATGCACAGCGTCTCGTATTCCACGCACAGCCCGTTGCCCACGCCTCCGCCCCCCCCCCCATTCCGAGGACGGAGTCAGCGAATGGAGTCGCACAGTGCTGTGGAAGCTTGAAGCTGGCCCGCGCTCGAACGAGGTGTCATTGATTAACTCGAACGTAGCGACAGACCAGCGAGAGGCATCCATCCAGTTCGGGCCCTCGAATTCAGCTCTCAACAAGTACACACGTTTACCCATGGCAAATTAGGCGCATTCTCTCCTTGCATACGTCCGTAGAGCCGACTCACAAGCCTCGTGCCTTGAAACATGCTAACAGCGTACCCTGTCGTGAGCCTGAAATGCAGTGCACACTGTACGTGGCCCAGTGCCGTTCTACGTATTATACATGTACTCATGGCATTGCCAGTTGTCAATTTGCCATCGGCCAGGTTAATCCGATTCAGTGGTGACTGATCAACAGGGGCCCCTGTTTCCCTAGATCCACGAGTGACCCCTACCTACTCTGGGCTTTGTCCGGCGGCCCCCTTATCAGCACAGTGCGCACAGTGCTGGCCCAGCATTTCTACTAGTAAGGTAGACGGGGACGGGAGCAACAACACCCAAACATCTTGCTCGTCCTGTCAATGACACTTTCTTGGTTTATCGCCTGTCCTCACCACGCGCCTCTCGTTCTACGCAGGCCTGCCTCACTCGCTTTGGCAGCCCTTGCAGTTCTACATCCATAATCACTTCATTCGAGCGCTGTTTCTTTCTAATTCGAATCCACATCCTTCGAAACGCGTCGATCCTCGCCTCCCGCACCTCAATATCCAGCATTCTCAACGGCCTCTTTTTAACTAGACACGAGTTACGAGCAAACTCTGTCTTCCATACCTGCCAGACTACAGGAGTATCACACAAAACCTTCACGTACTTGACCTTGCACCAGGATCAGTAGTTCAGGAGCAGAGTGATCGTCGTCCTTTGAGGACATCGCGATTCGGTCTTTCGGCAACATGTCGAACAGAATGTCGCTGTTCTCGATGACCTCCGAGTCTCAACGTCCTCAAGGCTCTGGCCCTCAGACAGCCCAGGTGTCGACCACAACTCTCCTCAATTCTGTTCACAATATTTATCTGTCCTCGAGACCTCATGAGCTGGAGGCAAGTACCAGCCTCGTGGTCAACACGTGGCTGACGGCCGTTCAACATGGGCCCACAGTGGACTCCTCGCTCGCTGCCCGAGCCTGGGAGCATGCTCGCCGCCGCGCCGAGGACGGTTGCGTTGTCTTGGGGTATGCCACCTGTTCCAAGGTCTCCTCTTCTTGCTAATCGACCACAGATCCCTTCACGAATCCACCCCGTCGGTTCTCGTACCCTTCCTGTCGAGCTTCCCCTTTACCGTTCCGTCCAGCGTCTTCAAGGGTCTTGAGGTCGTGCGACCTTTCATACGCTGCGTCACGCCTCACAATCCGTCACTGCCTCGAGAGGTCGCTTTGAATGTATCATTGACCTTGTCTCTGACTGGCCATTTCGCCGGAGCCTCGATTTCTTTGTCTCAGGGTGGGCTTGATACTGAGAGAGGCCTCCTTAACGTTCCGCAAACCGCTGGGTACCGAGCTTTCGACGTCTTCTACTATCTTCTCACCGCAGCCTCGACCCCTGCCGAGAGAGAGTTCCTCGGCTTGAAGCATCCTTCTCACTACGTTTTGCTTGCTCGATCTGGGACCTACGACAACCCTTCTTTCCTGCCGACTGCGGACGACGCAGCAGCTGCGGACGATTTCCGCCAGGCTCTCAAAGACGTTGGCATCAAAGGTGCCGCGCACCGCAACTTCATCTCCACATTGGCCGGTCTGCTCAAGCTAGGAAATACATTGGACTACAGTCTCGACGGCGATGCCTTGGAGGAGATCTGCGAAGATGTTGGTGGCTTGCTGGGTATGGAGCCTGATGTGCTGCTCAACCAATGCAGCACGGAAGACCGCCGCACTTTGGTCGGCGGTCTGTATGAATCGCTCGTGGACTGGGTCATCTCCAAGGCGAACGAGACGATCAGCGCGCAGGTTACACGCATCAGAGACGGGGAAGAGGCACTGGATTCACAGACCTCTGTCTGCTCCATCGACGAGAACGAAGATACGGTGTCGATCACGGTCGTGGAAGTACCTGAACCAACCCTTGGCAAGGCCCTGGCTATGCGGTCTGTCTTCGATGATACCCAAGGTATCAACGCCGAGATCATCCAGGACGGATTAGAAGTTCCCCCTGCTGGCTCATCTGTCCTCCGCGAGATGCAGCAAGTGGTTGCCGAAGTTGCGCCAGATCTCGGTATCATGACCGGCCCCGATGGAAGACAACGGCATCTAGAGCTCGAGAAACGAGAGGTCGTTCTTGAAAAGATGGCGTACGCAGCTGACGAGGATGCATTTGTAAAGAAACTGCTGTTCCCTGTGGATGGGGAGGGCATAAATCTCGGCAGGGCAGGTCGCTTTGATCTTCCCAACCTGTTGGCATCCAGCCGTGTCTGGTACCATTTGTCCATTCATCCCACAGACGACGACCCTGCCAAAATCGCCACTCTGCCTTCCGCGACATCGGCATGGTCCGCTGGCGTCGTATCGCGCCAGCTCAGGTCATGGAGGCTTCCAGAGTGGGCCAATCGTCGCAACCGTGCCCTCGACTTCACTGCTGATTTCGACGCCGACGAATTCGTCAAGCGCTACGGGTCCCTTGGTTGCCAAGACGGCCGAGATGGCATTGAGAGCTGGATGCTTGAGAGAGGCTGGAGCAACGGCGAGATCTTCATTGGAAAGGAGCGTGTCTGGATTCGTGAGGGTGCTTGGTGGGAGGCTGAGAGCACCCTCGACCTGCAGCCTATGGAGGACCAGCCAGCACTCGAGAATCCCTTCAACACCGGTTTCGATACCGGCTACTCCAATAATGGCAGTGGCTATTTCCCCCATCCCCCGGTGAACGACAACGTCTTCGCTGATAGCAACTTCCAACTCGGGCATGGTCGCAACATGAGCCAGGGTAACTTGAGCTCGATCACAAGAAGCCAGCATCCGTACGGGGCACCCTCTGTCGCTCCCACAGCCGCACGGAATAATGCTCACGCTGGTGACTATGGCCTGGGCAACAAGGGTGATACATACAAGGGTGACGTGTTTTACAATGAAGCTGGCGAGTTCACCGGCATGGTCGATCCCGAACTGGCCAAGAACAAGAAATTCGAAACCAAGGAGCTACCTCTCCGCCGTCGCGTTTGGGCTACACTGGTGTGGTGTCTCACGTGGTGGATTCCGTCTTTCATGCTTCGCTTCATCGGTCGTATGAAACGGCCAGATGTTCGGATGGCTTGGCGAGAGAAGCTCGTCATTTTCTTCCTCATCGCCTTACTGAACGCAGCCATCGTTTTTTGGATTGTCGGCTTGGGCCAGCTTCTTTGCCCCAACTTTGACAAGGCTTGGAATCGCAAGGAGGTCGCCACGCATCAGGGCGAGAAGGATTTCTGGGTCAGCCACCATGGTAAGGTGTATGACTTAACGGATTTCTGGCGACGTCAACACAGTGACTCCAATATCAAAACAACCAGTGACAGAATGATGCCATTGGCTGGCTTTGATATGGATCGCTACATTGTCCCTCCCCTGAGCTTGGCTTGCCCTGGCCTGGATATCGGCAAGACGACGACTCTCTTGACTAATGCGACCAATTCGCCCGAGTATGGCTTTGCGGTCCATACTTCCGGAGCGATGAGCCCTTACCACGACAGTGCGCTCAGCAATCAGGATTGGTACAACACCAACTTCAAGCCAGCCATCAAGGAGTTCTACAAGGGTGATTTGGTGTACTCGACAAGCAAAGTCAAGTCTGAGGGTCAAAACGAGCAGCACATGTGGGCCCGGTATGACGAGCGAATCTTCGACTTGACGGATTACTTTTATACGCTCGACCGACAGCCGGGCGTGGACACGTATCAGTTCCTGAACGAGAAAATCACGGATATCTTCGCGGACAACCCTGGTGAGAATATTAAGAAACTGGTCGACGTTGTTCTCGACGAAGCTAGGGCTAGCACCAACGAGACCGAGCGGGCCAACATCCTCTACACCTGGGACTGCATCGACAACATGTTCTACAAAGGGCGCACGGATTTCCGTGAATCTCCCCGCTGCACGGTCAACAATTGGTTCCTGCTGGCATTCGCCATCATCATGTGTGCCGTTATCCTGGTCAAGTTTGTAGCGGCGCTCCAGTTCGGCTCGAAGCGCCGACCAGCAGCGCAAGACAAGTTTGTCATCTGCCAAGTGCCTGCTTATACGGAAGGCGAAGATTCACTCCGCAAGGCCGTCGACTCTCTCACTGCTCTCCAGTACGACAACAAGAGAAAGCTCATCTGTGTGATCTGCGATGGTGTCATTGTCGGTCAGGGTAACGACCGTCCCACGCCAAAGATCGTCCTGGACATTCTTGGCGTCGATCCCAAGGTTGACCCCCCTGCGCTGCCCTTCAAGTCTGTAGGACCAGGCAGCGATCAGCTCAACTATGGCAAGGTATACTCTGGCCTCTATGAGTACGAAGGCAACGTCGTGCCTTACATGGTCGTGGTCAAGGTCGGCAAGGAATCAGAGCAGGCCAAGGCCAAGCCAGGTAACCGCGGCAAGCGCGATTCTCAGATCCTTCTCATGAGTTTCCTCAACCGCGTGCACCATCGCGCGCCTATGAGCCCTCTGGAGCTTGAGATGTTCCATCAAATCAACAACATCATCGGCGTGGATCCCGAGTTGTACGAATACCTCTTCATGGTTGATGCCGACACAAGCGTTGCTGAGGACTCGCTGACTCGTCTCGTGGCGGCTTGCTCCAACAACGCTAAGATTGCTGGTATCTGCGGCGAGACCAGTCTGGAGAATGACGAGAAATCGTGGTGGACCATGATCCAAGTTTACGAATACTTCATCTCCCACCACTTGTCTAAGGCTTTTGAGTCGCTTTTCGGCAGTGTTACTTGTCTGCCCGGTTGGTAAGTGGCAAGCACAACGAAATATAGCCCCTGCCCATGCTGATGAATCACAGTTTCTGCATGTACCGACTCCGAACCGCGGATAAGGGCAAGCCTCTCATCATCTCCGACGCCGTCATCAATGAATACAGTGTCTGCGACGTGGATACCCTCCACAAGAAGAACCTGTTGTCCCTCGGTGAGGATCGGTACTTGACTACACTGATGACCAAGCACTTCCCCTTCATGTCCTTCAAATTCGTCGCATCTGCTCAGTGCAAGACGGCCGCACCCGAGTCGTGGAGCGTTCTGCTTTCGCAGCGTCGCCGCTGGATTAACTCCACCATTCACAACTTGGCCGAGCTGATGCGTCTCAAGGAGATGTGCGGCTTCTGCTGCTTCGGCATGCGTTTTGTGGTCTTTGTTGATCTGTTCGGCACCATCATCTTGCCGTCTACGTGCGTCTACCTCGCATACTTGATTTACAGAGTGGCCAGTAGCACCGGTCCATTCCCAATAATCACGCTGATCATGCTTGCTGCTGTGTACGGCCTGCAGGCACTGATCTTCATTCTGAAGAGGCAATGGCAGCACATTGGATGGATGATCATCTACTTGCTTGCGTTCCCGATCTACTCCTTCATCCTGCCAGTCTACTCCTTCTGGAACATGGATAACTTCAGCTGGGGCAACACACGCATCGTTATCGGAGAAAAGGGCACGAAGCAAGTAGTTGCTGTGGAGGATGAGACTTTTGATCCTCGGTCAATCCCGCTGCAGCGATGGGACGACTACGCCGCCACGAACAATCTGCCAGGACGTCGTGGCCACCGCGAAGAGTCATCGGCTATCGACCAGTATGAAATGGATGAGATGAAGTCTGTGTACTCGGCTGGACCGCAGGGCTCAATGCTCACTGGCATACCCGCTCGCAATACTTTCATGCCTCCCCAGTCACCTGCTGCCTTTGGAGCGCACACGAGGGCGCCTACTACGATGAGCAACTACCAGGACCAGCCGTTGATGCAGAACCGCCAGTCGATGATGTCCCTGGGCACCGGAATCCACGATATCAACCGCCACCAATCACCCTACCAGGACTATCCCGGCGCGCAAGGCACGTCGCCCTCCATCCGCGCCTCTACGGTGATGGGCTACGGAGGCGGCGGCCGCCGTTCGCCCATGGTCCCTGAGGCCATGCAGTCGACGCCTTCGTTCGACTTTCAGCGTGGCAACAGTGGTCCTGACGATGCCATGATTGTGGAGTGCATCCAGACCACGATGCGGGACGTTGACCTCGACTCGGTGACCAAGAAGCAGCTCCGTGCCCTTGTCGAGCAGAGGCTCGGGACAGACCTCGTCGGCGAGCGCAGGACATTCCTCGATCGACAGATCGACAATGAGCTGCAGAAACTGTAATACTACATCTTGTGGGCAATCTAGAAAGAGTTTGTGCTGGGGAGGCGTTTTGAGTTGGGACAGCGAAGACGGCCATTCATCCGTTTGATTTTTGACCATGGGTTTCTGGGTCGACAATTGGGCATCTCTGACAGCACTGTTTGCCCTGGTTTCTTTGGGTCTGTAGCATCGCATCTTTGTGTCGCAATATGGTAATATAGGGAACATCTATCTTGTATGGATACCCCAGTAATGATGACATTTCAAGCCTAAGGATATCTGCTTTCCAGCATTGCTCTACCATCATCAGTCCACTCTGTGTCTGGAGCTGGACATTATTTCTTGTCGTCAATCTTTCCTATCCCCTTGAGGCGCAGGTAGACATCGGTGCCCCATCTGTATAAGCTCTCTACAGCGATACCACCGCCGAAATATTCCGCATATGCTCTGCTTAGAGGCAGTCCGTAGCCGAGGCCGGCGATGGAACTGACGCCTGAGCCAGCATTCGACAAAGCGTGAAGGCCGTCCGAGCCGCTGGATCCAGGCATCTCGTCTTCGTCGGAGAACGTAGTGAAGGAATAAGACCAAATATTCGGTAACACATGCGGTGGTATGCCGCCACCTCGATCCCGTATCCTGATAGTCACACCAGGCGCGTTGTCGTCCAACGGACGGATGGCATCGTTACGGAAGGGACCGATCTCCTTATCGGGGCCCTTGATGTTGAGGATCTCGGAATCCGGCAGCGGTGGCTCGGGCGCAATGGTGACGACAACGGGCTCATGAGACTTGTTCTCAATGGTCGCCCGAAAGGCGTTCTTGAGCATCTCTGTCACAATGTACTCGAGATGCATGGGCACGGAGGCAAAGGTGGCGTCTGGCTGACCATCTATGTACAGCAGGGGCCGCACGCCGTAGCGGAGCTCGCAAATGTCCGCCACAAAGCCAGCGCACGACTCGACCACGGTGGCGGGCCGCAGAGCTGTATCAATGACACCTACGAACGAAGGATACTCGGGGCATGGCGTCGGACTGGCCTCGGGATCCCAGTGTGGTTGTGAGGAGAAGTGCAGGGCAATGTGCTGCTCCGCGACCAACCGCGTGCCGATCCGTGCTCGAAGGTGCTCGTCAAGGAAACGCGTAACCTCGGCGGGGGATATGTAGCGCTTGCACTCGAGGAAGCCCCGGGCGAGAATGGGGATGGTGTCGGTGTGCTGAGCGACGAGCTGAGCGAGGGTGTTGGTGAAGCGGATCTCCTCTTCGAGCGTGGCAATGGGCCGACCCTGGGCCGCATTGTGCCAGTACGGCAGTAGGATAGAGAGGGACTTTATATAGGTATCGTAGATTTTTGATATGTTCGGGTTCGAGACGACAATGTACGGGAGGTTCCGCAGCGCTTGGAGACGATGCGCGAGACGGATGGGCAGGAGGGACAGGGCGAAGTTGGCGGAGGAGAGGAGGGACGGCTCGGACAGCGGCGGTCGACCGTGTTTGACGAGATCAGCGAGACTGAGCGGATGGAGATGTTTGCTGGCGAGCGTCCTGATGTCGGCGTCTGTCACTTCATAGTCGGTGCTGCTGTGGCTGCCGCCGCGGGTTTGCGTCGCGAGCGTTCGGGGAGACGACCATGGGTGCGCGATGCGACGGAGAGGAGGGAGACGGAAGAGCCTTGGCCCTTGTCTGGCGATGATGTTCATCTCAGCATTGCAATTCAGCAATTGCGCGTGCGGGTGCGTCTTGGTGATGGGACTATAATCAGGACCCAACAGTGGTGGACGTTACAAGTCGATGTCACAAATATGGCATCATCAACCGGGACTGGACATAGGCCATGGCATGGCTGTCCAGCCAGTGGATCCAGTCGGTTCGTGGGGAACAAGGCGCTAACGGATGGCTGGTGCGCACTGAGGCGCCCACTGGCCCCCTGTAGCATCTTCGTGCCTAGCCGACCATGCGCATCTGTCCAGTTCCCTCACCTGTCGACGTCAGGCGGGGTGAGACATGGAGCTTAGAGATATCATGGATAGTAGATCACAATGCAGATGAGCTCTCGCGGATAGCATGTCTTACAGGTAGAGATATAAAATATGCTGGCTAGATTCAACTAGAGGTTGGAGCGTGTCTATCCCATCCCTTTGCTGCAGGCGTCGTCGCGCTGCCATGTCCTCCGCGGTTGCCACGCTTATTGAGTCCTCATCACGCCGTCGGCCTCAACGTTCTTGACGTGTGGGTGGTTCTCAAGGGTAGTCACGGCGTCGTCGTCAAAGGTGACCCTGCTTGGGTGTCAGCGCGCTCGCGGAACCTCGGGGGAAGCGCTCTATCTTACGAGAAGCCCTTGATGATGCTGTACTCGTGGCCAATCTTGCCGCCCTGTTCTTTGGTATGCTTCTTCACCCTATTTAGGGCGCGTAAGTATGATGTGATGGATGTGACTCTTTTGTAGGTATACATACTCCTCGACTTGCTCGGGGCTGGCGTCCTCCTTGCAGGTGACCTTTGTGACGATTAGCTGTGTTTCCAAGGCTCGGCGGAGACGTTGTCCTGGACTTACAATGTAGGAAGGCATCTTGACTGTTATTGTATCACTGAAATGACGTTGGCAAATGTGATGGGTTGGTAGTGTGAGATGGTGTTGATGATGGTAAAGGAGGGACGTGGGGACTGTCAGGCAGCGGCTCGCTTTAAAGGTTCGAGGCATCAACGTTACAAGTGAATCTCCTCACACATGACATAGCCTCATCAGCATGGGAAACAAAGTCTCGGTCAGATCATGGCGCATAATCCCATAATCCCGCCCCACTTGCTTGCAAGCTACATGAGCTGATGGCAATGAGACTCCTTTGCTCTAGCTCGGTGCGCTGTGATAAGATTCTTGCAGGAAGGGTGTGGTCGTCGGTCGGTCCCAAGCAAAGGCGCCCAGCTACGTCACCATCGCGGGGCACTCTGCGCAAAGGCACACGTCGTCGCGATGAGGGGCACTGCCAGCGTCGCGCAAACCCATAGATGGGAGGGTCGCTGAGCACATGATGTGTGAATAAAGCACGCTCGACGGATGTCGGTTCGCAGTGGTTAATTCAACTAAACTAACAGTTCTTTCCTGTATCCCTATGAGTCACTAATAAATGAGGGCGCCCCAGGTCGTCACGTGCTCCCGCGCAAGCTTCAGGTACTCCGTAGCTGGTACGGAATAACTTGGATGAGGCACATTTTCCTCCCACCCACCCCACCAAGGCTTTCCCCAGCGATATCGCAAAGTTCTGTTACTTCCTGGTCTTTTTCAAAGCACCAATTACCTCGGTATAGACTGCGTTCTGGTTCGCAGCAAAACTATCATCATGACGATCACTGTGGTTATGGGGTCGCAGTTTGGTACGTATTCTCAATATTCTCCCTCTGGTATCGGCCACGAGAGCAAAGAGTCGTGTACTAACTCGATGTGATTCATCCAGGCGACGAAGGCGTACGTTTTCTCCCTCTATAGTTATCACACTCCCATTCGATCGAGCTCTGACAAATTGCTATAGAAGGGGAAATTGACCGATATCCTCGCGCCCAAGGCCCAGCTGTGCGCCCGCGCTGCCGGTGGACACAACGCCGGTCATCAAATTGTGTGAGTCTACAGGAACCTTGCTAGCACTTGCGCAATGAGGTCCAATTGCTGATAATAGTAGCGCCAATGGAGTCTCCTATAGGTATGCGCATACGAAGACATCACGACCCGGTATGCGCCAATGGTGTTGACAATTCGTAGCTTTCACCTGCTCCCGTCCGGTCTGATCAACCCGTCGTGGTAATTTCACTACCAGCGCCCAGTCTATATCAATACTAATGCACGAGCAGTATGAACCTGATTGGTGCCGACGTGGTCTTTTACGCGTCAGTATTCATGCCCCCCTTTCCGACCACTGCCTGGCTGCGAGCCGCCCCTTCGAGTCGTTCGCCTTGGCCAGCCGGACAATATCCTGCACACCATCTACCGCGATGCTGATTCTGTGTACAGGCCGAGTTTCTTTAAGGAGCTGCAGGAATTGGAGGACAAAGGATTGAAGAATGTCAGGGACAAGATTCTCGTCTCTGACCGCTGCAACATTGTGCTGGACCTGCACGTGGCTGTCGACGGACTTGAGGAGGTCGAGCTCGGAGGTACTACACTCTTTTCCACTAATTCTACTCATAGCTGACGATATCCAGCGCGCCAGATTGGAACGACCAGGCGCGGCATTGGCCCTACCTATGCATGCAAGCATGCGGTTAGTATCTCGCCTTTTGATTTCTCAATGACACTGACACTTCCATAGCGGAACGGAATCCGCCTTGCGGAGATCTTCGACCCCGAGCTCTTTGAGAGGAAGCTACGTCAGCTCGAACAAGGTTATCGCAAGCGGTTCGGAGATCTTTTGAAGTACGATGTGGAGGATGAGCTCAAGAGATTCGAAACGTATCGGGCCGAGCTGGCCAAGTACACTGTCGACTCGACTGCCTTGATGTATCAGGCTCAGAAAGATAACAAAGCTATCCTTGTTGAGGGAGCGAACGTGGGTGTCCCTCTTCTATACTTCTTTTGTTATGCTGACAAGTTGGCGGGTTGCGCAACTGAGCCCGTGGTCTCAACCCCTTTTCCGATTCGAACAGAAAAAACGACAGCGACGCAGAGGTGGAACTCAAGAGCAATGACTTGATTTCGACGACCTTGGACCAGAGGGACCACCAGATGAGATGGCCTCTGCTTGAGCTTTGACAGTCGAAAAGACGGTCTTGTGCCAAAGTTAGGCCGACGAGCAAGTTGCAATGATTGGCCCCGACCCCCGAGAGGCAATCAGTTATATATGACGTTGCGTTGCCTCCCGGGGATGTTCCAGTCCGTCGATGTCATGACGCGCGTGCAAGTCTGTCTTCTGCAAATGGAAAAGGGGTCGGAGACCCTCTCGGGCCCGTTGCATCCCGCCTGGGATATAGGCACTGATGTTGGACATCACACATGGAGGATATCCAGTAGGTTGCCCTCGTTCAAGATTGGTTTATGTCGCTAACAACAGTCTTAGTTTGTTACATCAAGCTCGACAACCATCGCAGGTATCATCAATGGCCTGTCTCTAAACCCAAGGGGTCTGACGGAGGTGATCGGTGTGGTGAAGGCTTGTGAGTCAAGTGCTTCCAAGGCGAGATGCAATCCCTAACAGACATGGCAGACACCACTCGAGTTGGAGCGGGTGCCTTCAAGACTGAAGATACCGGAGAGTAAGGCACCCTTACCCTTGGCAGCGGTAACAGGAGCTAACTAGATGACAGGGTTGGCACGAAGCTCCAAGAGCTCGGACACGAATGGGTCAGACTACGAGAGAGAGAGTCATCATACATTGAAGACTGACTGATTTCCCAGGGCACATCAACCGGCCGTAGAAGACGATGCGGATGGTGAGTTGTTTGAAATTGGACAATCCTGGATCCTGCTAATGATGGGAAGGCTTGATCTGGTCATCGTTCGCTACTCCAACTCAGTGAACTACTATGACTCCATCAACCTAACAAAGGTCAGCTCCTTTCTGTCTTTCTCTTTGCAAACCTCAGGCTGACCTTTCTCTAGCTGGACGTTCTCGACACTATGGAGACCATTAAAGTGGCTGTCGCATACAAATTGGACGGGGAAGAGCTTCCATCATACCCCGCTGACCTAGATGCTCTCGAGCGAGCTGAGGTTGTGTACAAGGAGTTCCCCGGCTGGCAGAAGTCTACGACCAACTGCAAGACGTGGTACGATCTTCCGCCCAAGGCGAGAGACTACGTGGAGGTAAGATATTCCACATGGCTAGGCAGAGGGATACTGACATTGAGGTTTTCTAGTTTATCGAGGCGTTTGTCGGAGTCAAGGTATGCTTTCTGTTCTGTTTTTGGTAGCCTGTTACTAACATTGGCTGTCTTAGATCAAGTGGATTGGCACTGGTCCCGATCGCGAGGCCATGATTACGCGGGCTTGAGAGTTGCCTATTGCTGGCCTGTGACTCGCCCCTGCTTTTTATCATCAATGGGTCCCTCGGATGGGGTTCACAAAACTAGAAACAGAATAAGGCAGAGGGAGAGTTGCGTAGTACTGTACGCATGGCTTGTTTCTTACACTTGGATACTAGTATGCTTCCGTTCCCAGAAAGAGAACGATGTATACCTAGTCAAGAACCAACAATGAGCTAATTACACCCATCTCCTCTTTGAATGCAGCCCAAAAAAAAAAAAAAAAGGGGAGTTTTTTTTTTGTTTTTTTTTTGTTTTTTTTTGTCTTTGGAAAGACTAGATCTAACAAGTGCCGGGTCCTAATGTGTTTTGATCGACTCGTTGTTTCAAAGGCTTTTACTCCATACATATCCCGTGCGTGTCACGATTCCTACGATTCGCAGGCCGGCCAGGCAAATCGACAACATCTAACACGCTTTTCTACAGTCCAGATCGCTTTGTTAGTCGGCTTCTGGTACATGATACTCTTTTTGATCCATGTAATGTCTAGGACAACCAACTGTAAGTCCGACTCGCCTACAGTACAGGGTAGTTAGGAGTGACTGTAAGTGGACCGGATTTCAAGGAAGCATCGTCTCTGTTCTGTCAAAATGCCCACTGGTCGACTTGATAATCCATCTCTGAGAACCTCATCGCGGGGAACATCACCAGCCTTCGACTTGACGCAGACTGTGCGCAATATCTCCACCAAGTGAGGCCGCCATGGGTGTGAAGTGCTACGCGAATGAGGTATCAGGGAAGCGTCTCACGCAGCGATCACTTGCCGTGTATCATGACAAGTTGCGGCCCAAGTGCGGGAAAACAGGCATATTATCGAATGAATCCGGTGAGACAGTGAGCGCTCAGGAGGCTTTATGACTGTTGAATGTCACGAGAAGTGACTTCATACGTCGCCTAGGCCCACAGGAATGGCCAATTCGACTTGAAGGAGATCGTACGCTCGTAGCATCGTATTCGGGTAGCGAGACTGCATGCATCATGCGTGTACGACGCCCTGTTATTACGTAGTACACCTGTGGCATTTGGTTGGTCAACGTGACCTTGGTTCTCATCTACGTGTATTTCCCTTTGCGAACGCTGGCAACCTCTCAGCATTCAGGCGTCAAATCACCCATGATGATTCATTGTAGCCGATGGCGCTCAAAGGCGTGAGGGTCACATAGGGACAACGTAGGAAAACAAGCTTACTTGGCGTGGCGGCAGGAAACAACCACCAGTCAATTGGGTCCCGCCCCGCCCGCCGTCCACGCGTATTGCGATTTGCGAAGGGGTCATCGCGAAGCGGCGGAATTGGATTTCCCAGTCGCTGCCTGTGCCATTCCTAATAGCGCGGCCCGTGACAAATTTCTGCGCAGCGCCCCCCTCCATACCGGGGTCCATTTCTCTGTGTGGCCCAGCTGCTGCTCATAATTTCGCGCAGTCATGACCTCGAATAAACATTGAGCTCACTGGTGATGACGGACTGGTTCACTTGTAGAGAGAGATGGCGCAATATGATATCCGGGACACCCGGTGGTGTACTCGTGATGGACTGATCATTGACTACGATACAACAGACAGGTGCCTGTACCGTGTAGGCGGCTGTCTGCGGTCGCTTTGCCCGCTTGAGCATTGATCGGGGCCTACGAACTCTCCGTTGGGGGGCGTTTGTCGACGTTGCTTTGATTCTGTCGTTTGGGCGAGAAGGGAAAAGTGGTCTGATAACTCTGCCCCACTGCATCCGGAGCCACACCAAGCCGGAACCCCGAGTGTGCGCCATGGCGGGATCATTCACAACGCTAGGCTGAAATAAGCAGTGCTTGACATTCAACCGTCAGGGCGCCAATCATGGGCGCCCGAAGAACTCGAGGAAAAGGGAACATGGACAATGATCAGGTACAGTCAAGAGCGAAGTCTATCCGTAGTGAACAACACAGTATACTACGACTGTCCGACAAGAAAGAAATATCCGAGACTGCATGTGCTCAGCGACGCGCCAGGCATCACAGACGGACGGACTTGCATCGCAATGGATAGCTCGGTGATTGCGCACCGCAATTGTACAAAATGCTAAAATGACCTTGCACACCTCCTCCACAAGACCTCAATGATTAATTACTGCTTGGCACCACACTCGCGTCTAGGACTTCCCAAATAGGGTAGAGCTAGGTGTTTGACGGCATTTAAGCAGGGGCCGTAGCAGGGGACCAGCGTCCAATTTGATTGATCTCAATTACTAACTCCACGTCCGTCAATCTCCACGAGCCTGTCGTGCGTGCGTGCATGCGAGCGAGGACCGCTTGGCTTTTTACATTATTTTCCCCAGCGCCTCCTTATCACCTTTGCTCGTCGTCCCCTTGCTGGCTCCTTCCCCAAGTTTGCTGTGACGACTTCTTCTGTCCCGCCTCAGCAGCTCAACGGCCTTCAATTTTGCGGTTACGCGACGCACGCAATAAAGTCCTCACCGTCGTCAATCCTCGTGAAAGAGAAGACACCCTTCCCTACCAAGAGTCCACGATGGCTGCCAACGCGACCCAGTCGGCCTTCACTTCGGTGTTGGCCAGCACCAACTTTGCCGAAATCGATTTCGAGAGCAATGTCCACTACCTCCTCGACACACTCAAGACGACAAGCGTATGGACGTACCTCGTCACCCTCTTCTGCTTGTGCGTGGTGTACGATCAGGGTGAGTCGCATGCTTTATTCCATGCCCATGTCCATGCTCATGCCCATGCGCCATTGCGCAACGCTCGGGCACATGTTGCGAGCGAGCAGAGAGACTGACAACTGCATAGTCAGTTACATCACCAGCAAGGGCTCAATCGAGGGCCCGGCCATGAAGTTCCCCTTCATGGGCCCCTTCTTGCAGTCCGTCAACCCCAAGTTCGAGGAATACTACGCCAAATGGACCAGCGGTCCCCTGAGCTGTGTCTCCGTCTTCCACAAGTTCGTCGTCATCGCCTCGACCCGCGACATGGCGCGCAAGGTTCTCAACTCCCCCGCATACGTCAAACCCTGCGTCGTCGATGTCGCTCACAAATTGCTCGGTGCCGACAACTGGGTTTTCTTAGACGGCAAGGCCCACGTTGACTTCCGCAAGGGCCTGAACGGCCTCTTCACCCGCAAGGCCCTCGAGTCCTATCTGCCAGGTCAGCAAGATGTCTACAACCGCTACTTCAAGAAGTTTGTGCAAATCACAAAGGACAATGGCGGCAAGCCCATCCCCTGGATGGGCGAGTTCCGCGAGATCATCGTCGCCGTTTCCCTCCGTACCTTTGTCAACCAGTACATGAGCGATGACATGGTCAAGAAGATCTCGGACGACTACTACCTCATCACCGAAGCCCTCGAGCTTGTCAACTTCCCCATCATCATCCCCTACACCAAAACCTGGTACGGCAAGAAGGCCGCCGACATGGTCATGATCGAGTTCTCCAAGTGCGCCGCCAAGTCCAAGGCTCGCATGGCTGCTGGCGGTGAGATCGGCTGCATCATGGATGGCTGGGTCGACCAGATGCTCAAGTCCGAGAAGTGGCGCGAGGCGCAGGCCAAGGGCGACGACAGCGTCGAGAAGCCCCAGCCCCTCCTCCGCATGTTCGGCGACTACGAGATCGCCCAGACTTTCTTCACCTTCCTCTTCGCTTCGCAAGACGCCACCAGCAGCGCCGCCACCTGGTTGTTTCAGGTCACTGCCCAGCGCCCTGATGTGCTCGACCGTATCCGCGAGGAGAACCTCAAGGTCCGCAACGGCGACATCCACGCCGAGCTTGACATGGACAAGCTCGAGTCGTTGGCCTACACCCGCGCTTGCGTTCGCGAGCTTCTGCGCTGGCGTCCTCCGGTCACCATGGTTCCTTACGCGGTAAAGAAGCCCTTCCCCATCACCGACTCATACACCGTGCCCAAGGGTGCCATGGTCATCCCGACGACATACATGGCTCTCCACGATCCCGAAGTTTACGAGAACCCCGATAGCTTCGATCCCGACCGTTATTACAGCGGTGACGCTGAGGAGAAGGGCGCCAAGAACTACCTGGTATTCGGCACCGGTCCTCACTACTGCATCGGCCAGCAGTATGCTCAGCTGAACCTGGCGCTCTTTATTGGAAAGGCCTCGCTCATGCTCGACTGGAAGCACCATGCCACACCAATCTCCGAGGACATCAAGGTCTTTGCGACCATTTTCCCCATGGTATGTAGTAGGTCTCAGAGGATCCACCGGGCTTTTTACTGACTGCGAGATAGGACGATTGCCCCCTTACTTTCGAGGAGAGGAAGTGGTGATTTCGAACGATCGATGATTTGGCGACATGATGATTTCAGAGGCTCATTGGGGGGCATTGTCTTTGCGAACGCGGGCGCCGTCTTCTACGCGAGCCATTAGTATATATTACAGTTGGGTAGACGAAGCCAGGTTTCAGCTGTTGGACAACAGTCAGGAGGTCAAGGAGTCTGCAACCAGGCTCCTGGCGTGACGATCGCTTACGGAGTAAGGAGCATCATTTTAAAGGCCGTGATGATGACCGCCTACACATAATTATTATTCTTGTTTCGGGGGCATATAGACAATCGACCTTCAAGGGCGTACTGGCGTCGGCAGGATTAGACAGAATTTACATGTTCAATGAACGATATTTGCAGCGGTGAAAGTTCCTTATTTTTCAGGCGACTATCTACTTGAACATGCGGAGAGACCCTGATTTGCGATGGTTGCCTCCTCCGGCTCTATTTGGCGCTACTGCCCTGACGTACCTGGTAGCTAATTGCGGGTCGTCGTGATACAGCTCGTCGGCATAGCGTCACTTTCCCACGGCCAACCATCTCTGCCTTGGTTGCATGCCTAGTAACCTGTGCTTGACTAGCCAACCTATAGATTCGCACAATGGCAGTCCCTCAACGTGCCTTGGGGGGCATGCTCTTCCGTGCAGCGGTGACTGGCAGAACCGCCACGACAGCTCTGCGCACCGCGTCCCGCGCTTCTTCGCACATCGTTTCCTCGCACTCAACACTTCGTCCTGCACATGGGCCTCGTGTGCCGGGCCTACGATGGTACTCTATCAACAAGCCTATCGCCCCGGAAAGCAAGATCTATAAGTATGACGATGTCGTCGAGGCGATGGAGACGAAGAAGACCAAGGACGGGAGGCCGAGCTACCTGATCGGTACGTCAACATACCACGCGTTGCAAGATGCACAGCTTGTTCGGCACGTAATACTAACCGACGGATGTTCTGCAGACGTACGCGAACCTGCGGAGTTACAGTCGACCGGCCGTATCCCCGGCGCCATCAACATTCCCATCACAACCGCGGTGCAATCCTTCCACATTTCGAACGAGGACTTCGAGGACATGTACGGCTTCGAGCGGCCGCCCAAGGATGCGCATCTGGTGTTCTACTGCAAGGCTGGAGTCAGGGCCAAGTCAGCGGCTGGGCTAGCGGTACACGCTGGGTGGGAGAGCATAGGAGAGTACCCTGGGAGCTGGCTGGACTGGGAGAAGAACAATGGCAAGGTCGAGTCTGTCAGGGGGAACAACTAACGCGCGAAAATGTCGATGTTATGAGGTGGCATAATCATGGAATGCCCCATATGATGGCTTGCGTGGTATTGTACAACACAAAAATACGTTATCCGGCCCAACGCCGTCACCCAATCTACTAGGTAATGATGAGCAGCCTATCTCGTACAAGTAAAACCGGCCCCTTTTCTGCTTCGTGAACAGGGTGCTTCGTCGTTTAGAAAGACATCATCTTGGAGCTGTCGCCACCCTTGTCCGGACCTCCCTCTCCAGGCGCCCTGGCCACGGGACTCCCATGCGCAAAGAACAGGATCTTGATGGCCAGCGCCAGGCCAGCGTGCAGCATCACCACCGCAATAAGGAGGATCTTGCTGGTCTGTCGATCTGTCGCGCTGAGCACGGGGTACAAGTTGCGCAGGAGAAACGCGACGGACATGCCGAAACCGACAATGACAAAGGCCCAGTTAAGAATCTCGAGAGGGGACCAGCTGACAAAGGCGACAACGACCCAGACGAGGTTGGCGTAGCCGTAGAGAGACCAGCACTCGAGGAGGTTGGCGAGCTCGCTGCCAAAGTAGCGCAGGGCGAGGAAGAGACCGACCGGGATGAAGAGCGTGTATCCGTAGATCAAGCCAGCAGCGCCTGTACGTAGTTGGTTAGCAAACATTTCGCCGTCGGGGTTTCCCGCATGACATACCGCTGAGGAGCGTAAAGTCGTAGGCAAACGGCGCCTTGTCGTTCTGCGAAAGATACTGGCTTATCGTGCCTCCAAGGAACAGCACCAAGACGACCGTGGTCGCAATCCAGAAAGGACCGTACAGATCGGGGTTGCCCTCCAGGACGTCCAGAAAGTTAGCGCGCGGGAAGAGGGCCGCTCCGCAACGCTGGAGCACGGCCGAAGTATCGACATCGAAGAACTGCGCATAGAAAGAAATGGTCCAGAGGAATCGCTTGGAGGAGCTGCCGCCAGATGCTGTGACGGGAGGCGGAAGCCCCGAGGAGGGCGCTTTGCGGGCGTTGGCGGGGGTGTCGTTGAAGTTGGACGCGTGGAATTCGAGGTCGTCTTGGAGGTCAGTGTGGCCAAGGTCGCCCTGCTACGCGTTAACTTCTGTCAAAGAGAACCAAGTCCTGTTCATGGAGCGCTGGTAGGAAGCTCTTTGAGAACCCCTGACGTACCTCGTCGTCCACATCCACGACCGCGTCGTATCCTGATCCCGATCTCGACATGATTCTGCAGGGCTGAGAGTTCTGTGTAATGAGCGGCTGCTGGAGGACAAGAGATCAGCTCGAGCTTTTGGTGATGCTCCGGTGGGCGTTGTTCAAGATGGGATTGCGCCAATGCAGGTGCACAGCTGCGACAGCTCCAACTGACCAGGTTGGCCTACCTAAGGTACCTACCTACCCTACCGCGTCGTCAGACGCAGCGGAATCCGGAGCTTAGCCGGCCGAAAGACAACAGTTGCACCGTAGTCACCTCGATTCGCTCGCTCTTTTCACTTGGAGGACCAGACAGAGGTACCTAGTAATGTCAGGAACATGCAGAATATAGAACTTTATTTCGGAGTATTACAGCAAGAGCCTAAGGCTTGCCTCTGCACATTGTGACGTTACCAAAAGATCGCCTCACCACTACCTGCCGTTTGTGACGAGTTCCCATATCACCGCGTCTTGTCAGAAGAAAATGCCTGCGACACAACATATTAATTCATCGCATGGGATTCATCAGAATGTATTGCCTAGGCTGCCGATGCTAGTAAAGACAACCCTGGACCTGAAACAAAAAGGAAGGCATTTTCCTTCCGCCCAGTATCCTCTCCATAACCCCCCGAATGCAAAACCCAGACGCCACATGCCATGGTGAATAATCTATTTGAGCTTCTTCTTGGGGCGGAGCTGGTTGGTGTGGCCGCACTTGCGCTTGCGGCAGTTGGTCGCACGGGGAGGGAGACGAGCCTGTGTTCTGTTAATGTCGTTCCGGGGGAATGAAGATCGCTTTGGGTGGGCGGCACGTACGTAGCACTTGCGGCAGACCATCTTGTCGCAGTTGAACTTGGAAGCCAAGGCCTTGAGCGAGGGCTCGATGATACCACCACGCAGACGGAGGACCAAGTGCAGAGTAGACTCCTTCTGGATGTTGTAGTCGGACAGGGTGCGGCCATCCTCAAGCTGCTTGCCGGCGAAGATCAGGCGCTGCTGATCAGGGGGGATGCCCTCCTTGTCCTGGATCTTGGACTTGACATTGTCGATGGTGTCGGAAGACTCCACCTCGAGGGTGATGGTCTTGCCCGTCAGGGTCTTCACGAAGCTATCGATCGCAGGTTAGTAACCTTGTCCGCCTGGTTGTGCAATGGTTCATGTTGTTTCCATTCCTCCTCCATCGTCGTCAATTCATCGTGCGGCGAGGTCGGGTCGGGGCGCGGTGAGAGAAAAAGGTTATCTTACATCTGCACTATCAAAGATGTCAGTATCTCATCATGCACTATAGTGACAGCTGCGACTTACTCTTGACGGTTTGTTGGGTGACGCTGACGATGTGAAGTTCGAGATTCCGAGGGCCGGATTTGCCTGACACTTTCTGGCCGCACGATTTGGTGGTGGGGCGCCTCGAGTGCGCGAAAACTGAGAACCCTAGTCACGTGCGAGGCCTCAACCTCGTCATCCGGTCGACGGGGACGTCATCGCATTAAACTCACTGCAACTCGCTACAGAGCTGGCAATCGATCATCGAGACGGCTAGTGGGATACTATTGATGCATGTGCATTGATATACGTAGTTATGGTGACGTTGCTGTCTTGTTGTTCCCTATGTCGCCTCCAGAGATCATTCGGTCTCGTGGGTCGCCTCGCCATCCCCTTACCCGTTGCTCAAGCACATGTACGGCTCTCACAATGGATTCGAGCTTCAAACCAGCTAAAGTTGCTTCCATTTGTTAGTTGGGTCGAACAGCAGTGGCGCCGTACTCACCAGCGGCCGAATACAGCTTCCTGGCTGACGTCGTCATTCCCGAGACGGTTCTGTATGATATGTATTTGGGCTTCGTCCAGCTATCATGCCTCTCGGCATCATCGCTCGTGACTGTCTCAAGGAGGCTCCTAAGAATGGTGCTTGTCCTCGTATCCACCTCGTCCCCCGTCATTTCTCGAGCAGGGGCATCTGGCTCTGGTTGTTGCTGCTTCGGGAAAAATTCTGCCAACGGATTTTCGCCTGTAACACATCAGTCTCTGCGTCCTGCTGCGACGATGTTACTCACTGGAGTCGTCCACCAGCCCAGCTACGTGTGCGAAATAGCGATCAAGCTCAGCGTCATCCATAGATGTGACCTGTTCGACAGTAACATCCTGATAGGGCTGTTCGGCTGAAGAGCTCAGGACCGACTCAGGATCACCCATCAGGTCTGACCATCTCTGCCAACTGAACTTTCCAGCATGTGCGCTCCCCAAAGATAGCTGCGGCACTTGGCCATTCTCCAGTGGCAACCACAGTTTGGCCGCTACAACCACCAATGCGGTCGCCAGAATTTCAGGGTGGTCAATGGGATATGTACGTGACTTTGTAACCGGAAGTTCGAAGCCCGCTCCCAGTACGTTACCCAGGGTCCGCGCAGTCCTGACAACTTCAACTGTAGGATGTTAGTGATATTTGGCAGACTTGCAGAATCGACCCACGTGGAAGGGCAAGCTGCTTGCCGTACTGAACCAGCAAATGAACCTCATTGAGAGCCGGAAAGAACATGCCGTAGTTTGCCTGATAGCCGGTTGCCAGCTGAAGGACCACATGGTGTAGCTGACCACCCTCGAGGGGCGTGAGCACAGGGAGTTTGATGACCCGAGCATACCCCGAAGGCAGTCGATCCCGCATCTCTTGGGGAAGCTCGTAGTACTGTCAGGGCTATCAGCAGCCTTTCCTATTTAGACGGTACGCCAACAGCTGGACTCACGATACGTTTGTATGGAATGTTTCCCCCATTTGCCCATTGGAAGATTTCCCCAATGCGTGTTGGGATCCGCAACAAGAGACAGCCCAAATAGCATAAGCCCAGCGTATCAACCATTCGGGGCATGGGCCAGTCATTCCCTCGGTCCCCATCCCAGTCGTGCGTTCGCTTGCTTGTCTTCACCACCTCTTCGATATCCGCGCCCTGTGGTTGAGAGCTGAACATCTCCAGCCCCTCGTCTCCTGTGCTGTCTTCTACAGGAACAAGCGAGCTGAAACCTCTGGTTCTCAGATCCCAGAGATCTCTCACGATGGTCTCAAGCTCCGCCCGGTGTCCCTTCTCGTCGACGAGCCACGAAATCTGCGCCCTCAGCACAAACTGCAAAGCCTCCAGATACAGAGACTTTCCTTCGACGCCAGTGAGCTGCTTCTTTTGAACTTCTCGGACCTCCTTCTCTTTCCGGACGACACCGCCCATCTTCCCGGCGTCCACCTCATCCCCAATGTCGAATTGGATGAACCCCTGAGCATTTTAGCCGCAATAATATAGTACGGTGCATCTCAGGCTCGTATACCTCAATCTCATGACCATTGTCGGCACAGAATCGGAGGCCATTCTCCAAGTAGTACTTTCGAGAGCCGCAATGTGGACAGCGCTCGCCACGCGGCAGCTTCCGGCTATCGCTACGAGCATCCATGGTTGCTCGATGCGTAAGATGTCGATGATTTGGAGAATGTCGTTGACGGCATATACGCTTGCGAGCCCATCGCCTAGGGATACATTACGTACTCTCCTGTCATGGGAGAGTCGCAAAGAGCAGCGAGAGATGTTGTGTTGAAAAAAAAAAAAAAAAATCTCGTTCAATCGAAGAGACCTGGGAGAGTTGTGTGTGCCGCAGTTTCGCAGTCTGAGATGTAACTAATTGGGCGGACCTAATTCGAACATCGTCACATGTTGTCCCACATGCCTCTTGAATTCTACACATGCCACTTGAATTCTACACATGCCACTTGAATTCTACACATGCCACTCATGAAACACGATTTGACTTGACAGCACTAAGCCGTTGAGATGTGTGTGGTATCATCTGGCACATGGTCTAGATTGCTCACACTCACACATCGGATTCACGTACTAAAACACCTTGGGGGCTAGATTCTTGTACAGGCATGAAATTTGATCTCCAAGGCCTTTCGCTTCTTTATTTGCTTTTTTGAGTCGAGCCTCCGGCTATATAGCGCGTGGATGAGCTTATTGTGAACAAAGGAAAATGAAGTTCAGGCATAAGAAGATCATTCATCATTCGCTGCGCATGCTTGCACGCACATCGCCAAACACGCCTTCACATGCCATCAACCCAACACCGGGGATATTCGACTGTCCCATGGTAAATCTTTGTCAGTCGGAACGACAAGACAAAGAATGTCTGGAAGCTCACGACAATGGACGAAAGCGCGCAAGGGTCATATTTTGTTTGTTTAACCGCGGGGAGCCTCTTTGGCGTCCATGCAGGCCTGCTCGCCCATGGCGGTCAAAATGACAACATCTGCAACCTGTGTTAGACATATCCAAAAAACGGACTGCGTTTTTAACTTACTGACGTCCTTCTCCTCCTCCTTGAAGAGCTTGTTGATGCGGTCACCAACTTCGCCGTCGGGAACCTTGACGTCGTCCTTGGTGTCACCGTCATCGGTCATCAGGGACAGGAAGCCATCGTCGGAGATGTCAAGCTAATTATTTTAGCTTTGAACCGCGTGGCGGAGAAAGGCCAACCTACGAGCTGGTACTCCCTGCGGGAGACGTTGGGAACGTCCATGTTGTGGGTGGAGGGGGACAGATCCTCGTACTTCTTGGAGGTGAAGATGTCGATGGCGACAAGGTGGACCTTGGCGTGACCGTGCTTGCCAGTCTTGGAGGTAGACATGTCGACAATCTTGCAGGGACGGCCCTTGATGACGACGAAACCGTTCTTACGCAGAGCAGAGCACTGCATAGGATAGGTCAAAGACGCGCCGGCATCGGCGGAGTCAAACTCGAGATCATGCTATGAATAATGCATTAGTACGGGATTCTCTACTAATCAATGTTTGTGCCGTCGATTCCGAGGTTGATGGAAGTTCTGTATGCAGTTGCGCTGCTGCTGATGTCTGCCCTGCTGTGCTGGACATTCGGAATCGGAGGTCACATGTGCTCTGGCAGAAAATCCTGCACGCAGAAGCCGTGACTCCCTTGGTCGAAAAAGTGCCGAAAAGCGATTAAGCATGTTTTCGGATCGAGGTAGGCTTCAATCGAGTTGGAATTTGATTGTTGTCGTGGGGCACAAGGCCAGGATGCGGGGTGGGAGACTTGTGTCCAGCCACAGCACAGCAGAGCACAGCATAGCGCATCGCATCGCAGGACGGGCGCGAAACGAGAGTCGGCAACGAGAGGATCCTGCAAGGCAGCGTCGTAAAATTGTTTGACTTACCTCCTCAGCAGCCATTGTGAATAGTTTGCGCGTAGAGCGGGCTCGTCGACAAAAAGAAGAAGAGAGGGAGATGAATGGGGATTGTTGAAGAGACTTCGAGGGTTGTTCGAGGATAGAGGGAGGAGGGGGGAGGAAGAAAAAGAGGGTTGAGAGAAATCGTCCAAGAGAGGGGTGGGCGACAAAGGTGGCGCGGGCAGGTATACTTGTAGTTGGCACTAGGGTACGGTGCATTCACAAGTCACTCTGCAAGTTCAGTGGTGGTAGGTCGTGGAGGGGCAACAGCTCACGCAGCGCCTGTGTAATTACAGGTCAAGCCTTCCCTGTGATTTTTTCTAATTATCTCACCTGCGTGTGATTGGGCCTTAACAAACTGGACTTCCCCTTCCATCCTGGGTAGACAACTTGCTCTTCACCCTTTCTCGCCACTGCTTGACGTGAAAGAGAGGAAGTCGCCGTTGACTCATTTCCCCGAGTTGTCGAGTGCCAGTCCAGAGCCGCTACATGGAGTTTCAACATTTAGTGCTTTGTTATTGCGTCACGCCGCCTGCCCAATGACCAGTCACCAAGCACGTACGTTCTTACAAGTACAGCCGAGCAGTCAATGAAGTGCTCAGTACGTACTAGCCATGCCTTTTCAATTGCTTTGGCGACGATTTCTTTCGGTTGAGCAAGGCCGAAATATGCTGAGCGGAGCGCACATATATCGTATGCGAGTTATATTTTATATATCACTTTTACCATTTCTTGCGTAGAGAAGTGAAGAAGTGAACTCAATATCGGAGCTTGTCAGGCAAGATTCGATGTAGCTGACCGGTCTCACCGAGAGCTTTGACCAATCACATCACAGCCGTGCTATGCGCCGAGCCCAACCACACCTGGCGCGACAATCTGAAGTCAGCTCGCTCCCTCTAAGTCTGAACCCAACAGCTTTGCTGATACGATTGATTAATCAATTGCCGACGGATATCACACACAGCAGACTGCTCGACAATGCGAATCAAATCCAGACTAACATAGTCGTCTGCGATTGACATTGAGGCAGCCTAACTGCGCCATGTGGCTCGATCGCCTCGCTGGCAGCCAGGCCAACGTGTCGGGGACATCGACACCGCAATCCGCGAACCGATCTTATTCACCACTGCCTAGACGTACCTCGAGCGCCCTGAGTCCCTATGTTACATCACAACGCCCTGGCCAGTCGCCACGCAGCTCTTCTCTGTCCCTCGCCTCGAACGATTCGACGACGTCCCTCCTAGGCGCAGGCAAACGACCCAACGGCTCAGGCCTAAGACAGGCCTCTACTATATACGATGGACCGAATCCGGTGGAGATCCTTGAGAAGCTCCTGAGCCCAGATACCGATGAAGACGCCGTTCTGTCTGGAGCTCCTCTCGGCAACTTTATAAGAGACGACGATCTTCAAATGGAACCAGACTTTGATGGACTGTCTTTGAAGAAATTGGCAGAGGCAGAAGCACGCGAAACCACATTGGAGTCGTCGCGAAAACCCCCAGAGATAGTGTCATGTGCGTGTACAACGGTGATGTAAGAGGCAATGTGGCTAATGGGACGTAGACGAGCAACAACAAGGCAAATTCGACGACCTGCATCGGTCTATCGTTGCATGCGACGATGTTCTTGGCTCTGTTGAAGCCAATCTCACAAGTTTTCGCAATGATCTGGCGACAGTCTCTGCAGATATCGAATCCTTGCAAAAGCGATCATCGGCCTTGACCAGACGACTTGACAATCGCAAAGCCGTGGAGAAAGCGCTGGGGCCTTTGGTGGAGGAGCTTAGCATATCGCCCGACATTATCTCCAAGATTTCAGAAGGGCATATTGACGAGACATGGGCAAGAATGCTCAATGAAATCGATCGCCGCTCAGCTGCCAACCAGAAAAGGACATCACAGCAAAAAAAGGCTTCTGATGATCTGGGTCCGCTCCTCGAGAAGCTCACTGCCAAGGTATGATGATTTGCTGTGGACGATTGAGCTCTGTGCTGACAACATAGGCAATTGAGAGGATACGCGATTTCCTCGTGGCCCAAATCAAGGCCCTGCGGTCACCGAGCATCAACGCGCAAATTGTGCAACAGCAGAATTTCCTGAAATTCAAAGATCTTTACACATTCCTGCACAAGCACCACAACAAGCTGGCAGAAGAAATTGCCTTGGCATACATGAATACTATGCGATGGTACTATGCCAACCAGTTTGGTCGATACGAAAGGGCCCTCGCCAAAGTCCGATTGCATGTTCTCGATAGGAACGACGTGCTGGGACAAGAAGACACGACACGGAAAGCCACCGTCCTGTCTGGCTCTCGCACAGCTGGCCCACCACACGATGCCTTCAACCTGGGAAGGCGAATAGACATACTCCGAACAAGGAATCAGAATGCACTGACGTCGTACCTTGTGGATGAGGATCAGTCGACACATTACCTCGAAGTGCCCTTTCGCAACTTCAACCTGGCGCTGATCGATAACGCCACTGCAGAGTACACCTTCCTCGCAACCTTCTTCTCTCCTGCATTGACCTACTCGCACATCGCCAAGAACTTCAATTACATCTTTGAGCCGACGTTCGAGCTTGGCAAAGCATTGTCAAAGACGCTTGTGAGCGAGACTTATGATGCGCTGGGTCTCTTGTTGTGCATCCGCCTGAACCAGCAGTTTGCTTTTGAGCTTCAGCGCAGAAAGGTGCCTGCCGTAGAAGGGTATGTGAACGGGACCAACATGCTGCTATGGCCGCGGTTGCAGGTCATCATGGACAAGCACTGCGAGTCTGTGCGTCAGCTTACCATCGCCATGCCTTCCAAGCCAACCAAGTCTGCGGCTGATCCAAAGCTATCGGCAGCTCCTCATGTGGTTACTCAGCGATTCGGCCAACTGCTCCAGGGCTTCCTTGCGCTCAGCACCGAGGCCGGAGACGACGAGCCCGTTGTCTCAAGCATACGGCGTCTGAGAGGCGAAGTAGAGACTTTTCTTTCCCGGCAAGCCCAAGCGTTTGCAAGTGACAAGCATAAGAGCAGTCGCTTTCTATACAACAACTATTCCTTGATTTCCACCATCATAAGCGACGTTAATGGGAAATTGGCGGAGGAGCAGCAACAGCATTTCGAAGGTCTTAAGAAACCTTATCAAGAAGAGTCATAGGGTTTATCTTGACATCTGAGCGTTCTTCATAGAGGCCGCATGTACATGGCGTTTTGGTCCAACCAAATTGAAGGTGAGGTGAATCTCATGAGCAATTGTAGATATCACGGATTGATGCACATACCCCGCTTGTTGCATATTGAAGCGGCTCAAGAGGAAGGACCACCTGTACCTGCAGCAATGCCACGATTAAATCTTAGCATCTGAGGTCTCTTGAAATGATACATTTCGACCGGGAATCCGGCCGTCTATCGTTCCTCGTATTATTGATATTGATGTTCATCGCATGAATAGTCCTACGATTTGATGTACAATGCCTGGGTTCCGCCGGAGATACATGGCCAATATCCCAAACGCCAACGCTGCACCGACAGTCCGTGCTGGCTTCCTATATGCCCAGAGTGTCGCCTTGACCCTGTCCCTCATCTCTGCCCTGTGCAGCTCTGTCGCTTGCGCTTCAAAGAAGTGTTGGCCGTCTGCCAAAGTCTGTTTTGCGCAATCTTCGACACGGCGCACAGTTTTCAGAGAGCTGGACCTAGAAATTCCACGCCACGCGCGTAATTTCTCGGGGGGATATCGCTCGAGGAGCGAAGCTGATTCGACAATGAGGGTATCGAGATCCATCCGAGGCGGCACCTTGCCCAAGATGACATGGAGCATGTCTGGTTCGTCTATCTCGAAGATTTCGTCTCGCCTGTCTAATACGATCTGGGCAAACATGTATATGCTAAAGACGGGTTCTCTGGCCAAGAAGACATCGAAAAGCCGTGCAATGTCTGAATAGGCCTCGATGTTGTGGGCAAACATAGTTAATGTCCCTGAGAGCGCATAGAAAGGCTCAACACCGAGGAGGTGTCGCCATAATTTCGGGTCCGCGACCGATAGTATGTCTGGGAGTAGTCGTAGCTGGGCTGTAGTCGGGGCAAGCGAGGGCAGCATGAAGTCGCGTATTCGCAGGACAGATAGGCGTGCGACAACAGGCGCGCGAAGCTCTGGACTGAGGACGAGGAGTATGACTTGGCATATGTCGTGGTAGCCCTGGAAGTAGCAGAGGTAGGGGTTCTCTCGCAGGACTTGAGTGATCAGCGCTGATAGCTCGGTTTTCCTTCGATCGAGCTCGCGGTCTGACAAGTCTAAAGACATTAGAACGCCGAAACTTGAGTGAAAATTGACTGTACAGCCTCACCATGTGGATAGTACACGAACGAGCGATTCACGTCAAGTTCGACCTGGCTCTCGTCCCTGTGAGATGGGAGGGTTTCCCATTCGCTACTGATGCGATCATGCTTCTCTTCTGCGTTTCCTAGACCAGATAGTCCCATGAGTATCGGCCCTACAGTCCGTGTTAGCACAACACGCGGTCGGATCATGGTATCGGAGGGCATGGAACACGTACAAGCCTGCTGGCGCAATTCGTCCTTGAGCAAGCCTCCCTTCGACTGGGCCAATGCCCTTAACTTGTCGGCATCGCGCCATGTATAGGCTTCTCTAATTCGATCTTCTTTCTCGAAGAGTATGGGATCGCAGGGTTCGGGAGACTTGCTCGTTGAAGACAAGCCACTGCGCAGGGCGACTTTCTCGTCACATTGTGCCATGGATCGTATCGAACCGCGGTCGCGCGGGTTCAGCTCAAGCAATGCTACGATAGCCGCGCGGACATTGGTATGTAGCTGAACAGTGACCGAAATTGAATGAGAAAAGTTGCGTCTCGACAAGGAATTGCAAGCTACGAGTGTTTGAGGCCTGCTCCTTCGTTGCTGCAACCTCGATGTCAATGGTCTTTGGGAAGCAACGTCATGTCGTCAAACGAAGCTGATTGCCTAATCTGGCAGGCACTAACGTGAATTTGCCCACTGAACTCTGCATTTCATTCCGCGCGGCGCGACTGAAGTAGGTATTGTTACTACGTACTTGTCACTTATTCTCAGAGCAATTATTCGTCTGCTGATTTAACTGATGGCCGCGCTTGCTTAGGCTGAAATCAAAGTAAAGTCTGTTGAGCGATGAAAACCCGCGCGATCGTTCGTCTCTACCATTGAGACGTCTACGCGGGCCACCTGAAGGCACAACGAGCGACTCAAGACTTTACCCAACGACTCTCGTGGACGCGACTCTACTGTGCGTCTCGCGGTCTTGCCAACTCCAAATGCCGCCCCGCCCAACACGCCACTGCCTCACGCACTGTAGCAAAGACGCCGACTGAGCTTCATATCAGAGCCAACGCAGGGGCGTGCCACAAAGAGACATATTTGCTAATCAGGCTACGCCAATACATTTAAAATGTGCAATCTGACAAGCTTGGCCTTTTCTCAACGCTGAGTACCTTTGAACGGGCCACCATGTCGCTCATCAGGACGAATGTCCTCAGAAACGGACAATGGGTCCTTGAGATGGTCAACTCCCATGATGCCCTCGACACATCAGCTGAGCCTTGCCGACCAGAGTCCATAAAAACTTCAACACAATCTCGATGCGGTCTCCTGTCCACGACGGTATTCGACAGCCCCAATGTCAACAAGATTCTCCCAGTGCGCCTGAGATCAAACAAGCACAATGATATTGCATTCATCGGCGTGAGTACAATGGTCATGACGTGCGAAAAGCAGGACTATGTGGTGGCTTGGCTGACGTTTATAGGATCACCAAATCGTCATCTGTGAGCTTCAAGATGCCAGCCTCACTCGAGAGATCTGCAGATACAGCAACCCGTACACTCGGATCAGAAATGCGGCAGTACTAGGTGCCTACGATGAGAGAGCAGACGAAGAACGTGCCGCGGTTTCGAGCAGCATTGAAGAGATTCTAGGCCGCGATGCCACTAGCCAATGTCTGCCACCACAATTGCTTGTGCTTACGTTTGCCACCGGTCAAGTTTGTTTGGCGATGATAGAACACGGCCGGAAGGAGCTCTCGGTGTGCGAGATCGAACTTCCCCTTGACCACACGAGTGATCCTTACTTTGGCCACTACCTATCGGTCGATCCCCGCTCAGAGTACATCGCCTTGTCATCCTTCCAGGGACCCCTTATTGTTCTCAAAGTCAACCCTTGGTCAGTGATGAACAACGAGTACTCAAAAACCGGCCATCTATCCCACGCTGTGGATGGCGTGGTCATGCAGCCACTTCACACTGTATTGGATTTGCAGTTCCTCCACCCTCCGAAACCACACGGCACACAGACGATTCTGCTCGCTATTGTGAGCCATCGAGGGCGAGATGTGAAACACCGACCAAAGTTCATGACCTGGGATTGGGATGGCGCGACCGAATATGTCAGGGTGTTCAGCGACCCACAGAACCTAATCCCACGAGCCCAGATGCTCAAGGGACCACAAGGTGAAATACCTCTCATGGTCATACCACTATTATGGGGCCATGTCTTCTGCGCTCTGTATCAGGACTACCTCGTCCTAGTGCAAGGGCCGTCACCCAGCGCCTCTATGGAGCTCCTCGACTTCCCACCGCATGCACCGTCAGATTGCCATCACGGGAAGAACCGCCCTTTGTGGACGGACTGGTCTCGTCCATTCCGCAGGAAGGAATACCTGGAAAACTCTTCGATAGATGTCATACACCTTCTGAGAGAGGATGGTCTTTTGTTGCAGATGGAGGTTGACATAAGGGAGTCGCCCATGTTACCCGTCTTCCACATTGAAGAATTTCTCGGTGTGAGCGCGCGCTGCCTGTGCTCTGACGTAGTGTATGGAAATTCCGACCTCTTGTTCATCGGGGGGGAGTCAGGCCAGGGCGGGATATGGGAGATTAAGCCGCGGGGAGCTCCCGAGCTGAAGTCACGTCTTCCCAGCTGGACGCCCGTCGTTGACGTGACCAGCACGACTTTGGCGACGAAATGGGATGCACATAACACTTCGACACCCAACTCATCCCAGAAGCAGATCAAGGACAGATTGTTCTTTGCATCCGGGCGAGGCAAAGATGGTGCGATAGTTGAGTCTCGTTACGGACTTAGAGCGAGGATCGGTATTGAAGTTGACATTGAGGAACCAATCCGGCAAGCCTGGATATTTGCTGACAACGGTCGCAAAGGTTACAACGGTGTCTGGGCGCTTGCGGCTCTCCCCGACTCGACGAAGCTGCTCTATATTCCTGATCAGTACGACGAGATTCTGGATGAGACAGGCAGCGGTGCCTCCTTTGACTGTTCCTCGCGCACATTTTGCGCTGGTCAGCTACCGTCAGGGATGATTGTTCAAATCTCTGAAGGCTTTGTGTCACTTGTCACTGGCTCTCAGAGTTCCAAACATGCTTTCAAGGACGTTCTCAAAGCCCCACACGTGGTGGCTCAGAATGGATGCTTCATGACCGATCTTGTGGCCGTTTCAGCACAAGATGAAGACGGAACAGCTTTGCACATTCTGCAGATTGACCAAATGCACGTCGCTCACAAGTCTTCGTGGCGCGTTGGAGGCGATGTGAGCTGCATGGCGTTACTATCTATCGCTGAGCAGGCTTGTGTGGTTGTAGCAACATCGCCACAGAGTGGCCCAGTGCTGACAATATACACGCTCCAGGGGGAGCTTGCAAAGGAGCAGACAATCGAAAATGGTCATGAAAGTCTGGAGTCTTTGACGAGCATCGAAGTATTGGGCAATGCCGCAGGAAAGGATGTCTGCTTGGTTGCAGGTACTCGTTGTGGTCGCTTGTTGACATTGACGTTGTCAGTTGACCCGACTTTGCGCTTGAGTTGTGTTTCAGAAAGGGTGGGCTTGAGCTCAGTACAAGTCTTCCCGCCTTCTGATACCCAGTGGCAACGGGGAATCTCCTTCATAGCCTGCGAGGACAGGCTGGTGCGACTGAGCACGACCTCCGAGCCGGATGAGATCGGTCACTGCAAAGACATTGTATGGCCGACGAACGCGGGAGACCTGTCTCTGGCTGCTCCGCCGGTGCACTCCGTCGCCGTTGCTTTTCCTCCGATGACGCCTGCGTCGCCGTTGTTTCTTCTTGCTGGAGGCACGAAGCTATATCTCGCTGACATGGAGTCCCATGCGGCGCCTGTGCCGCGTGTCATCCCGCTTTCTCATACGCCAACTCGCATCATATACTCTCATAGTTGGAACTGCCTCGTCGTTGCTCTGCAGACAAACGAAGGAATCGATTTGGCGCTGGTCGATCCCGATACGGGGCTTCCCATATCAAAGCCTATTGGGCCTGACAAGGAAGAAGGGACCCTCTCCTCATTTGATCAGCCAGGAGACAAGATCCTCTCACTGACCGAGTGGGTGTATGAGAAAGACGGGCAGGTATTTCCCTACATTGCAGTGGGAACGGCGTATGCACGCGTTGCCATTGTTCATGTGAGCGCTATCCGGATTAAGGACGCATCCTGGGACTCGCCAAGGACACTGGAGCATGCCGTGCGTCACAGACTGAAAGGCCTCGGTGGTCCAGTGACTTCCATCGTGCCTGATGATCAAGGTTTTATCTATTGCGCCGGGTCGGTACTGTGTCGCGTGGTGCTCGACCCCCACACGAAGAAACTTCGAGCTGTCAAGACATTTCAGTTGCAGTCTCCAGCTGTGAGCATGACCATAGCCGACAACAAGCTCATGGCTCTGACGCAATCTCATTCGTTACATGAGCTCGATTATCAAAGTCGTCCAGAGAGGCAGGTTATGGAACTGTTGCGTGGCGAAGAAACCCTCCGGCCAGGCGCCCATATGATTCAGGTGGGAGCATCAACAGAGAGTGAATCATGGCCCATCACTCTTGTCTCGGACCTCAACGGATCCGTCTCTGGCCTATGGACATCAAAAGAGTGGGAGAGAAAAGACTTTGTCACCCTATTCGAAGGTACTATGCATAACTCAATACGCCGATTCGTGCGAGCTGATTGTCGGCCAATATGGCAAAGAACGTCATGCCAGTCTCAGGGCGAGACGTACGGTGTTTTACGCACCAGTGTTGATGGCTACTCTGACATCTTTGGGGTGTCCGTCGATGGATGCCTTCATCACTTTCGATTGCTGAGTATCGAACTGTGTCGATACCTACAGTTGGTGCAGCAATTATGTCGAGGGGACGACCCAGGCCAGGCACACAGGAGCCCGGAGAAGCATCATTCTGCGGGTGGCGAACCGCCTGCGTTACATGTCAACGGCTTCCTGCTCGAGGATTGTCTGAGATCAAGACGATTGGAAGAGGTCACGAAAAACAGCTTCCTGTCCTTCTGTCGCTGCCTGGATGGAATCGAGGGAAGGAGGTATACCCAGGGCTTCAGTTCTGTTGCAGAAGAAACACGAGCGGAGGAATACTACAAACTGGGATATAAGGTCCTGGCATTCGTTCTGACTTCAGCAGTGTGACAGAGAGGAGGAATCGATGGTGAGTGCACACTCCTCTGTATATATCTAGTTGTGTGGGCGAAGGTATTCAGAAAAATCCGACATACGAGGAGCACCTGTGTCGCCTCAATTTCCAAATCCGTGAGCACAGGTCAAATTGGTGCCGGAATGCCCACCGATTGTGTTGATAGTGTGGCCGAGGCCAAACTCAGTTGATTAGAAAAGGGGTTCAGGGGTGTTTAGGTTGTCGCTGGATTGGTCCTTCCGTTATATGACAATAGGGTTTTGCCCAAGCGACCAATGACGTAATTAGCAGCTGTGACTCGGTAAAAATGCCCTTGAACATCGATTTGTGGACAAGAGAAACACCACCACAAAAGCCGCTTGTGACTCGCAGGACAAAAATACAGGTGCAGTCAATTCTTCGTAATACCGAGTGATCAAACAGCTGGACTAGTAGTACGTGGCACAGGACGTGGTGTTATCGTAGGGACAATTTACTCTTGGTTTGCACCTGGGCACTAACTAATAGCGGTGCGTCACTAAAAATGCCCCTCCATGGGCCCCGCCTGTCTTGGTTATGGTGCAGTGACTGAGGGACTGGACTAACGGTGACTGGAATCCCTCCACCCACCACCACCACCACCAGGTTGGGGACGTCGAATCAATTTCTATCTAGCCTGGATCGACGACCGCTGTCGAGACAAAAAGGTGCCAACCCACTTTGGCTTCACTTCTACAGACGCCCTCCGGAGGAGCATCCCCGTCGGATTCGAGCTCCGCAAGACCACCAGAAGAAGTCGACGTGACCAGAGCATGTCGTCTCGCTTTCCACCTTCACTCCAACAACCTCTACCTCTCGCGCTGGATTTGCCACCCGATATTTTCAAGCCGTGCTGAACTGCATGCGACCCGTTTACCAACGACAACGTCAACCCGCGAAAAAGTCCGCCCTGCACAAACGAACGTGCTTGCAATCCATCCTCACGGACTCAACTGGATTCCCGCTGCCGTAGCATTGGAATCAAAAGGGTATATAAAACACCCACACGCCGTCCCACTTTCGTGAGACTCGAGACAAACCGCCATCATGGCTCCCAAGAAGAAGGGTAACAAGAAGGGCAACGATGACTGGGAGGCTGAGCTGGGCGAGTCCATCACCCCGGCCGCCGAGCAGCCTGCCGATGCGGCGGATGCCAACGTTGACGGCGCCGAGGACGAAGACGACGAGGCCGGAGGTGGTCTGATGGCCATGTTGCGCAAGCGCAAGGAGAGGCGCAAGCAGAAGGGTCTTCCCGAGGAGGAGCAGGCGGAGACTACAGGGGAGCCAGACCTCTCGCACGTGCAAACGGCTCAGGAGGCCAACGCGGACGACGAATTTGCCCTGCCAGATAAGAAGGGCAAGGGCGGCAAGGGAAAACAGGCCCAGCAGAAGAAGGGTGGTGCCCCGGCGGCTGATGGCGACGACAATGGCGCCGAGACGAACCGTGTCCTGACCAAGGCGGAGAAGGAGAAGCTCAAGAAGGAGCGTGAGAAGCAGCGTAAGAAGGAGCAGGTATGCTGGACCTTGCAAGCGGTACTATAGAATGCGTTCCCAAGCTAACGAGCTCCCCAGGCTGCCAAGAAGAAGACGCCTGGTGCTGCTAAGGCTCCCGAGGCTGCTGCGCCTGTACAAAAGGAGGAGGCTCCATCCCCTACCCCTGAAGCGGCTCCCGCGGCGGAGACTGGCGGCAAGAAGAAGAAGATCCCCGCTCATCTGGCTATGATCCAGAAGCAGCAAGAGGAGATGCGTCTCAAGCGCGAGGCCGAGGAGAAGCGCAAGGCCGAAGCCGCAGCCCGTGCCGCCGAGCTGGATCGCCTCGAGGAGGAGGAGATCAAGCGCAGGGAGGAGGCCAAGGCCCTGAAGAAGCAAAAGGAGAAGGAGAAGATTGAGCAGCTCAAGAAAGAGGGCAAGTTCATGACAAAGGCCCAGAAGGAAGAAAAGCTCCGCAATGAGAGGAAGCTGCAGCAGATGATCGAGGCCGGTATCCAGATTGGACCCTCGGACGAAGCCGACAAGGAGGCGAAGAAGGCGAAGAAGGCCGCTGAGACCAAGGTCAAGAAGAGCAAAACCCAGCAAAAGGTACGAATATTTCGATCTTTGACTGGTTGGCACTTGACTAACAATTTCTAGCTCGATGAGGAGAAGGCCCTCGCCGAGGCTGCCGAGCGCGCACGCGCAAAGGCCGAGCAGGAGCTCAAGGAGGCTGAAGAGAAGGCTGCTCGCGCCAAGGCTGAGGCCGAGGCCAAGGCCGCCGCCGAAAAGAAGGCTGCAGAGAGCGACATTGAAGATGACTGGGAAGCGGCAGCTGCTTCAGACGACGACGTCAAGGACAGCTGGGACGCCGAGTCAGGGGATGAAGTTGCCAAGGCCAACGGTGGTGTCAAGAAGGATGGCGAGGAAGAAGATGACAATGAAGACGATAGCGAAGACGACAGCGAGGACTCGGAAGACGAGGAGCGCATCTCAGCGGCTCGTGCTGCCGAGGCACAGCGCAAGAAGGAGGCGGCAGAGCGTCGTGAGAAGGCTCACCAGGCTGCCTTGGCTGCCCGGTCAAAGGACAACCTGCGCTCACCCATTTGCTGTATTCTTGGTCACGTCGATACAGGAAAGACCAAGCTCCTCGACAAGGTCCGCCAGACTAACGTCCAGGAGGGCGAAGCCGGTGGTATCACGCAGCAAATCGGTGCTACGTACTTCCCCGTGGACGCCATCCGTCAAAAGACGGCCGTCGTCAACAAAGACAACAGTTTCGAGTTCAAGGTCCCCGGTCTCTTGGTCATCGACACACCCGGTCACGAGTCTTTCTCCAACTTGCGTTCTCGTGGCTCATCCCTTTGCAACATTGCCATCCTGGTTGTCGACATCATGCACGGTCTCGAGCCCCAGACCAGGGAGTCGATCCAGCTCCTCAAGGACCGCAAGACTCCCTTCATTGTCGCGCTGAACAAGGTTGATCGTCTCTACGGATGGAAGAAGATTGACAATAACGGCTTCGAGGAGTCACTGGCCATGCAGAGCAAGGCCGTCCACAACGAGTTCCAGACACGTCTCGAGAAGACCAAGCTCGAGTTTGCCGAGATGGGTTTCAACTCGTTCCTCTTCTACGAGAACCCGTCGCTGAAGAACAACGTTTCCCTGGTGCCCACCTCTGCCCACACGGGTGAGGGTGTGCCCGACATGCTCAAGCTCATTCTCCACCTGACCCAGGAGCGCATGACGTCGTCGCTCATGTACTTGTCCGAGGTCCAGGCCACCGTCCTCGAGGTCAAGGCTATTGAAGGTTTCGGTATGACCATTGATGTCATCCTGTCCAACGGTATCCTGCGCGAAGGCGACCGCATCGTCATCTGCGGTACCGAAGGCGCTATCAAGACAAACATCAGGGCGCTTCTCACGCCGGCACCTCTCAAAGAACTACGTCTCAAGTCACAATACGTGCACAACAAGGAGGTCAAGGCTGCTCTTGGTGTCAAGATCAGCGCCCCCGGCCTCGAGGGTGCCATCGCCGGCTCGAGGCTGATGGTCGTCGGCCCCGACGATGACGAGGAGGACATTGAGGAAGAGGTCGAGGCCGATCTTGCTCAGCTTCTCAGTCGTGTTGAGAAGTCCGGTCGCGGTGTCTCTGTCCAGGCCTCCACGCTGGGCTCCCTGGAGGCTTTGCTCGACTTCTTGAAGGAGTGCAAGATTCCCGTCGCCAACGTCGGCATCGGCCCCGTGTACAAGCGTGACATCATGCAGACCGGTGTCATGCTGGAGAAGAGCCCCGACTACGCCGTCATGCTCTGCTTCGACGTCAAGGTCGACAAGGAGGCCATGGCGTACGCTGAGGACCAGGGCATCAAGGTCTTCCAGGCCGACATCATCTACCACTTGTTCGACGCCTTCACCAAGCACATGGACGACCAGCTTGCTCGTAAGAAGGAGGAGTCCAAGATGCTGGCCGTGTTCCCCTGCGTTTTGAGGACTGTTGCTGTCTTCAACAAGACAACCCCCATCGTTGTTGGTGTAGACGTCATCGAGGGCCAGCTGAAGATCAACACCCCCATCGCCGCCGTCAAGCACACTGCGAACGGCAAGGAGATTGTGAGCATCGGCAGAGTGTAAGTTCTTTAGACCCTCGCGCTGCTTGTGTCAAAGCCGTGGCTAACAACAGACAACAGTACCTCCATCGAGCGTGACCACAAGCAGATCCCCGTCTGCAAAAAGGGTCAGCCCTCGGTCGCCGTCAAAATTGAAATGGGCAGCAACCAGCCCACGTACGGCCGTCACCTGGAGGAGACTGACCAGCTGTACAGTCTCATCTCGCGCAAGAGCATCGATACTCTGAAGGAGTTCTACCGCAAGGACGTGAGCAACGACGAGTGGCAGCTGATCATCAAGCTCAAGCCTCTGTTCGATATTTAATTCCTGGTGAAGGAAGGACGGCCAAAAATCAGGAAGGATATGAGGAACGAAAAGGGGGATCATTGCATCTTTCTAGTCTGATAATTCGACTTTTATTCACCATCACTCTCCGTGGACGTACGTGGTAGTCAGCTAGTCAGGTGGATATGGATGAGTGAATAGAGATGAAGAACACAAGTTGTATGTCGTCTAACTATTTTGTGTACGGCGTTCTAACGTGAGGCGCATGTCCATTATCATAATTGCACTTCCGGAAAGGCCTCTCGTCCTCTGTCCGGTTTCCCTGTCCTGCCGAGCCAACTCCCTTCATGTCATCAACGTCGTTAGATCCAAATGACCCGAACCAACGAGATTGTCATCATTTTCACTCGTCATCGCTAGTTACCTCGGTCACCGTCGCAGAAAATCTCGATTTCTTCTCCTCCGGCACCGTATCGAGGGCCAGAGAAGTTGCTGGATCGTCTCTTGGAACCACTCTATTTGGGGTCACCGGCCTCCTCGGTCTCGGGTTGGGGCGCCTCGGCGTCCTTCATCTCAGCATCCTGAGGCTTCTCTGCCTCGGCCGCGGCAGCCTTCTCCGCCTCTGCTGCCTTGCGCGCCTCCTCCTCCGCGGCCTTCTTAGCGGCCTGCTCGGCTTCGATGCGCTGACGATCAGCCTCGACCTTCTCAAAGTGGCGCTGCACAATGGGGCCGGCCATGGCGCGGATCTCGTCCATCTTGGCAATGTAGACGCCCTTGGACGCATCCTCACCATCCTCGTACAGCCAGTCCTGTCACATTGTTAGTTTACGCGCGTCTCAGGTGATGCGAAGGGTGGAAATGCTCACCTCAGCCTTCTCGAGGTTCTCCTTGATTTTCGACTTCTCCTCCTCGCTGGCAAACTCGGCATATTGCTCGTCCAACTTAGCGCGAAGGTCATAGATGTACGCCTCAAGCTCGTTCTTCTTCTCGTCAGTGTCGGCGACCAGCTTGTCCTCCATGACCATGGCGTTCTCCTTCTCCGAGAGACCGGACTTGGTGGCGTCGTCTAGCGAGGCAGTGCCTGCCGAGATGGGCAGGTCACCCTTGCGGACTTGCTTCTTGACCTTGCGAGTCTTCTTGGAGCCATCTGTGTCCATGGCCTGCAATCTGTCAGCTGGTGCCATGTTACTGGGTTGCAATGTACTCACGTCGGGGCTCTTCTCTTCGCCCTCAGCACCCTCCTTCACCTCCTCCTCGACTTCCTGGTCCTCGACATAGTAGCCAGTCTCCACGTTCAGGACACCGTGGATGTTGACACGAGCCTTGAGCTTGCAGATCATGAAGTCCTCAGCGCCATCGGCCTTGACGCCCTTGACGGAGAAGCGGCCGATCCAGGGGTTGGTCTTGCCGGGCAGCTCATCAGGCTTGGCGTACCTCGCCTCGAGGTCGAACGGCTGTTTGCGGTAGAAAGTGAGGATCTTTGTGGAGGGAAGGACGTTGCCCCTGTTGAAGACAGTAAGGCTGGTGTCCTCGTCGGGAATATCGGGGGCCTTCTCCCAGGCGAACTCGATAGGGTAGCTGACAATGTCCTGAACAGCAAAGTCGCGGACGCGGAAGACTGGGGAGAGGATGGCGCAGCTGAAGGCGCAGCCACGGGCGACAGCCTCGTCGGCGTTCATTGTGAAGGAAAGGGGCTTGCCGAAGAAAGCCTGGATGCGCTCCTTGAGGGCGGGAACACGGGAACCACCACCAACAATCTCGATGGTGTCAACGTCGTCCTTGGTGAGCTTAGCCTGGGCCAGAGCAGCCTCGAGGGGAATGTGGGCACGGTTCAGAAGAGGCTCGATGAAGGCCTCAAGCTCCTGCCTTGTGATCATGGTGTTGACATCGACGTCGTTCATGAGGGACTCGATGTTGACGGGAGCCTGCTGGTTGGCAGACAGAACCTTCTTGGTCTTCTCGGCGGCGGCAATGACACGAGCCATGGCACGGCCGTGGGTGGTGATGTCAATGTTGTACTTGCCCTTGAACTCCTTGGCCAGGTGGTCGACGAGAGCCTTGTCGAAGTCGCGACCACCAAAGTTGCGGTCCCAGGCTGTCGACTTGACAGCAAGCTCACCCTTCTTGAACTCAACAATGGAGGCAGTGTAGTCGCTGTGGCCAATGTCGATAATGCAGATGCGGCGGCCCTGCTCCTCGGGGGCGGGCAAGTCGAGCTTGGTGATACCCCAGCCGAGAGCAGCAGCGGTGTTGTCGTTGATCAGGCGGAGAACCCTGAGGCCGGCGATCTCAGCGGCATCGAGGATTGCGCGACGCTGGACGTCGGTGAACCAGGGCGGCACGCTGATGCAGAGCTCCTGAACTGGCAACTTGAGCTCGGTGGCTGTGGTCTGCTTGATCTTGCTGAAGTACATGGCAACAAGCTGGGTGGCGGAGAACTTCTCCTTCTTGCCCAGGTAGTTGACCTCGGCACCAACCTGACCGTTTACATCGCAAAGCTGGGCTGTGATGTATTGCTGCTCGACCGCAATGTCGGGGTCGTTGTAAGAACGGCCGATGAGACGCTTGATGGAGTTGATGGTGTTCTTAAGGTTCGTCACTTCTTGGGTCTTAGCCGTCTCGCCGAGATAACGGGACTTGGGGCCGAAGCCAACCATCGACCTAAGCCAATGTCAGTCTCAGTGCTCATACATTTCTTGTCTCTGGGGTGGTTGCTGCTGCGAGAACACTTACGGGGTGGAGCGGTTAGAAACTTCATTGGCAATCTGCAGGAGAGAAACCAGTCAGCCAAATGTCCGCCACAAGCAAAATATCAAGATTCCCCCCTCCTCGTCCTTTCCACGTATACGCCACGCGATGTCGCTGCCAGAGACTGATCGGACGCCGTTGGGCTCAAATTGGCGTGGTGGGGTGTCGACAGACGCAGGCTTCGTTGTTCGGGCGAGAACGAGGACAAGGACGGCGGAAGGATGGACAAAAGGGCGACAGTAACGTACCACATCGACACCACGGTTCCTCGCGACGGCAATAGTCGTCTTGAGGGTACCGAAATCAACACCTGTGCGCAGACAGTTCGTCAGCCAAGGTGTTCGTTTTGAGTTGTTGGCGCAAAAGTATGCGATGAGGGGCACCAAGATCACCACCAGTGGTCGGTGTGCTGGGTTGATCTGGCTGGAAGGGAGTGTATCAATTACTTACCCACGACACTCATGATTGCGGTTGCGAAATGTTCGTCTCCTCAGTATACACAGAATGTCTGTCGACTCGTTAAAAAGGGCGAGTTCGAAAGGGTCAATCTCTTTGTTTTTGGGGGGTATAATGTTGCTTGGAAGATTTGCAGGTCGGAGAGCAGGACACAGGATAAGGTAATGAAAGGTAGGGAATCGCAAAGTGGAACCTGAAGCGTTCAATTGGGTAGCGAAAAAAATTCCAATCAGGCGCTGGTCCTACCTGCGTACAGAGCGCTTCACCCTTTTTTTTTGTCCACCCGCCCATTGTAGCGCGGGTCGTGTCGTGTCGCGGGGCAGCTAAAGTCACTGGCACACAGGCAGGAAGGCCCGGGACTGCGGGGCACTGCAGCCCAGGGTACCTCCCCGTGCGCCCACGTCAGCACAGCGGAGCAGGTACTCCTTTGCCCCTCCGTAAGCGCGTTGGAGTCTTCCAGAAGTTGCTGGACGATGCTTGACGTGATCGACGCGACAGCAACATGAAGCAAGCATGCATCGTCAAGCACAGCTTTTCACTTATGGTACGAGTAGTAGAGACCAAGACAATGGAGGATGGCCATCAGAGCAATGACTGAGGTAACAATTAGCTCATGGATTCTTTGGACTCATCCTGGCTGAATTGCTCGCTTTTACTCCCCTCGACAACTCGGAGGGGCCTTTTCTTTCAGACTGTACGATAAGATAAGAGATCGTCTATCGCGATAAACGCACGTCAATGACCGAACTCCCAGAACAACACTTCAAGAGCAACAACTAGGCCATCCTGAACCACAGCAATGGCCCAACGTCATGACGACCATGATTTCCGAGAAACCCAGAAGAATCTCCACCTCACCGGGTCAATCTTTTTTGTTCTACCTCTGCCCTGCCTCGAAAAGTCCTACTCTTAGTCAACGATTCCTCATAGGCCCCATCCCTGACCTGCTCACCGCAAGCCATCAGACAACGCGTTGGCGGTGGAGGCACACGAATGACACACGCATGACTAAGTCCCAGCTTCTGAACTTTCCGCCGGTCGATCATCTTCATCCTAGACGCGAACCTTGGCGAGGTGGTTCTCCACGCTCAGATCCCGCGCCACGCTTCACTTGCTGAGGGCGTTGCGCACTGGCGTATTTGCGCCTGTCCTCCTCGCCCATACATTCTTCCATGTCTGGGGGTATGTAAATGAGGTGGTCACTGGGTGCTACGCAACAGCCTCTGTCGAGTGAATCTCGCGAGGAGGCCATGGTTCCCACTGAACTGTCCGTTTCGTCCGGATGCGCATATGTACCAGCTGCTGTCTTGTGTCGCGCGGAGAACTTGCCTTCGACAGCCTTGGGCGGACACAGTCGGCTTTTCTCCCGCAGAAGGCCATCTATTTGGGACCTTAACAGCCTGCGATCTCGCCTTCTGTGCCTCGTATGCAGGTTTGAAAGTCTCCGGTATGAGGCTCAGATCGTCTCCTTGCAGTTCGGCTTGCTCGATAGCCTCACGAGCTGTCGTGTGGTCGTCAGCTGCGGCTGCATCCGCACGAGGGCCATCCCACGTTCGCCGGCCTGCGGTGAATATGCCGTGCACCATGTAGTACCAGTTGGAAAAGGGGTTCACCACAAACATGAGTGGATACAGCAGCATCTTCCACCGGCGAAGCTTGATCCCAAAGTAAAGCATGAGCATCTAGTTCAAGCCCAGAGCTATGGCCATGAAGCTGACCGGTAGATCGTCCACCTGCTTCGCCGTCGACGCGAGTGCCACAACTATGGCGAGGAACAGTAGCGCCGTCGCCCGGATGGTGTTCTGCATGAAACGCACGAGGATGAGGATGGGATACCTTTTCCACACGCCAATCCGTTAGCATGCAGACCTCGTTGGTGACGAAACCCATAAACCATGGGCGTCGCTGTTTGACCAGGGATCGGACGGTCTGGACAGCCTCTGTCTTGCAGAACGCCGATTTGCACATCTGTATCTGGTACCTCTTCTTGGCTCCAATGATGAAGAGATGGGTCAGCCACAGGTCTTCCCCGAGATGAGACTTTGCAAAGTCAAAGAGGTCTTCGCACTGTCGGTCTTGTCTGCAAAGTAATACTTGGCCATCCGACGAAACGCAGAGAAGCGCAGCATGGCCAACGCGCCTGGCAGACAGGTGACGGCGCCGCAGCCGGATTCCACCGTTCGCTCAAATAGCTGGCCGTGGACGTACTCATTTTCCTGCAAGAGGGTGCTGAGACTATGCTTCCTTGTCGTCTAAGTGATGACGCCAGTCATTGCCAGCATATCTCTAGAATTGCCAGGGCTGAGCTCCATGTTGTAGACAAAGTTCTGCAGACACACCTTGTCAAGGATGCAATCAAAGTCCATGAAGACCATAAAGAGGTTGTCATTCCTCTTAAGATATTGCTCGTAGACCTCGTCGATGAGTTTGAAAGTGAGCTTCTGACACTGCCTTTTTCCACCGGGCGCGAATCGGGAGATGGCCACGCGAGACCCCCTGCAGACGACGTCGATGCTTCGAGGGTACGTCTCCATCGTCAAGGACCCGCCGAGCTTCTCAACCGTGCATACATAGAACTCATCCTCCTCTTCCACATCAAAAGACAGAAAGACATGGATGCATGTTAGTGGGTAATCGCAGTCCACGATCGAGTTGACAGCCTTGATCAGGACTTCGGGCTCTTCCCTGTAGCGAGGCATGACAACCACCACTTTTGGCGCTGAGTTGTCGTCTAGAGCCTGTTCCATCCGCTTGATGCGGCCAAGTTGATGAGCGACGAGTTGGTACACGCAAAACAGCCACGGGACTGTCAAGAGCAGGGCAAACGACCAAAACGCAAACCATTGCAGGAACTCTACCAGAAAGGGTGGCCAGTGCTTTGATGTGGCATTGGGTAGCGGCAGTGTGATGACAATAATGGGCAGGAATACGGCCCTATATCCCAGTGAGTGTTGACATTTCTTGTTGCCTTGAGATTGCGCTCACCTAAGGAGAGTGAACATAGTACCGACAATGATGCATAGGACGTTGATCGACCAATGTTCCGATTTTCGATGCACCTTGACTAGACAGTACACAAAGGCAGCCAGCCATAGGAACCATTCCAGACATGCCACTAGCATGGCAAGGCCCATAATGGCAGTGAAGACGATCTATAGTCATTCGCAGATTAGTATGGCGCACCGGCAGGTGCTGGCTTTGACTTGCCTGTCCAATGGGCCATGATTCCTCGAGCGCCATTTTTGTGTGATTCTGAAGTGTAAATGAAGAATGTCGAGGTTTGCGTTGAAAAGCCGTGGAGATGTTGAGAGCCAGACAACATCAGATCAGTCACTCACGTAACACACAACACGCCCACCGGCCCGCGCGGCTGCACGCTTCAAGGACGTATGAAAGATTATAGAGTTGTATCGTCTATTCACCAGGGAAATCTCACGCCTTGACGACGGTGCTGGCTATCTATCGACAAGTTCGATTGACCACCATCCGAAGCCATCATTGGTATGGGTGCCACAGAACAAGCATCCGTAAGCCCTGTAGCTTCAAAACATGTGGACCGAGTCTTCCGATGCTGAGCAAACTAGCCCAGCGTCAGGATTCACTGAGCCATGACCCTCAAACACCTGACCATTGTCTCCAAGTGGTAGACCACGTCTCCGCCACGCCTAGCTTAAAGCAAGTCTTTCGCTGGTAAGCACAGTGGCGCGACGATGTGCAAGCCCTGACTAGGTAGCTGATCCCGTCTTTTGCTGCACAGATCATGCTCAGAGACGCCCGACGGTCCGCCTCAAGCGACCTCGGCGTGGAATCTGCTCCGGCAGCTGGATCGCGAGTGGCGCATCGGGCGGCAGGACGTTCAGAGTGGCCACTGGCGCCCCTGTCCAGGATTGCGATGCCTGAGATGACAGAGGTGCCTCGTGAACAAGACATCTCAACGTGTTGATAGACTCTACCAATCAACATCGCTCAGTTGTAACTTGCGAACCCTCTGTCCACGGTCCTTTGGGCGCTGCTCCACACGATTGTGGTGGAAGGTCGACGGCCTTTCCCGGTCGCTTTGAGCTACACCTCTTGTCAGTCTGCTTCTTCCCCCAAGGTGGGATGATACCTACAGTCAGGCTCATCACTTTGATTCAGATCATAGTTCAAGACCAGGCTCTTGATCCGCTGCTGCTCTTCCTTTTCAGCCTGCTGCTGGTTCTTCATAGCAATCGCAAAGGTAGAATCGGAAGGCAGCTCGATTGTCTTGGTCTGTTGTCGGTTGCCCTTCTTCGTGAGCAGGGCGAAAGCCATTTTGTTGATGGGCGGGTGCTCCGCGGCTGATGCTTGCGCTGGAGCAGGCTCCTGTGCGGCCTCGCCGTGTGCCGACAGCCCAGACGTTTCGCGACTCTTGGCTCGGACGGGTAGAGGCACGTCGAAGAGCTGCTTCCGCTCAAATTTGCGGGATTCGAGGCTGTCTGACATCATCTTGGCATACTCGCGCTCGAATTCGGCCTCGTCCTCCGAGTCCACCTCCGGTTGCTGACGAGACATGACCAAGTCGTCGTCGTCCTCGACACTGCTCTCCTTACCAGAGTCCTCTTCAGCATCCTCAATGTCCTCTTCTTCACTACCACTATCATCATCGGCCTCGCCCTCCAGGTCCAGCTCGTCGATCCCGTCGTCGGACGACTCGCCACTGCTGGCTTCATCTGGTTCAGGCTCAGCGGCCTTCTCAACACCAGACGCCTTCTGATCTTGGGCAACGGCCAACTGGAAGGCCTGGGCGGCATCTTCCAAGTTGGCAGCGAGCTTCCATTGCGGACGTGTTAAAGCAAACACGTCTTGGACGCTGAACTCAATGTCCAGCGGCATCGACACTTTCGTGAAGATATAGTACTGGAAGAACGACAGGAAATAGTCAAGCTTCTTGCCTGCTGCACCTCGGTTGAAGAACATGCCACAAGTCTCGAGTATGGTTGTGATCAGGCGAATGCGGAAGAAATCATCAGGCGGGTCAAGGTGGTTGAAGCGTCCTGGCATAGGTGCTCCTCCTACGACTAGTTAACGGGCTTCAACAGCTACAAGGATAGAAATCCTTACCATGACCAAGTGTCAAGATTTTGTACATGGCATCGAAGATGACTGGATGTTCGAGCATGCGATAATTGTACAGCTCTCCGAGGTACTTTACTTCGGCAATTCGGCGCTGGGAGAAGCGGAAGTCGTTCTGCTCAAGCCCGAAGGTAATAGACTCGATAACGTTATCGATGACCTTGACGACAAAGTCTGGGTGGTATCGGTACAGCGCGCCGAGGAGGATGCTAAGTAGATGAATGTTGCCATACTTCATCTTGCCGGGTTTGGAAAAGACCTTTTCCATGATATGCACCACCTCAGCCTCCTCCCAGTGCAGTCTTCGAATCTGCTTCAGAATCTTGCTGTAGTTGCGCTTCGTCATGTCCATGTAGATCAACTTGCGAATAAACGTGTCCATCGGTGTACGCTCCTTGTGAACTACGGCCTGCCGTTCAGGCGGATCAACATAGTACACCGCGTTCTCGATGAGCATACGCTCGGGCTGGCCCAGGTGATGAGCTGACTTCTTGCGCTGCAGTGTTTCCAGGAAGCTGGCCATCCGAGGCGAGGTCTCCGGGTTGCGAAGAAGGTAGCGACCGCAGTTTTCGATAAGGTTGCACAGGATCTCAATGTTCATGCGGGAGAAGTCGTCCAGGCTGACTTTCAGACAGTGGAAGACGACGTGCTCCGGCACGATACCGAACTTGGTCAGCTCAGCAAGATAGCGAATGTTGCTCAGGCGGACTTGACCAAGGAAGTCCTTCTCCTTTCGGCGCTGCAAGCTGCGGAATTCGGCGTCGAGGTAATCAACGAGGCCTTTGGGAATGTCCGGCATGTACCGTCCGAGCGTGGCGACGAGACGACCCCAGTTCGGTAGTAGATCAGTACGTCCCTTGGGCACCTCGGTCAAGGCCTTAACTAGTCGGTTTCTGGAAGCCTTAGAGTTGAGGAAGCAGAAGTCAATAGCCAATTCGTCGATGGTATCCTTGTTGGTGAGCTCCGGCAAGCGTGTCAGCAGGGCATCCACCTGTGCGCCAATCGTCTTGTTGGCAATGGCTGTCGACTGGTCCTCGGAGGCATCTGGCTTTGGTGGCTCGGCCGTGTCGCTTGCTTCAATCTTCTTTCCAACCTGCTCTTCCGAGTCGGGCTTCTTCTTTTTTCCATCTTCGAGGAGCATGGCAGGGACCTTGCCCTTCAGATCCACTAGGTTCTCGTAGAAGCGTCTCTCGTCTTCATCTTCCCAGATTCCTGCGCCATCACTGGAGAGATAGTCGCCGGTCTTGACGAGGCCAATGGAGCTGTTCGTAGCGGCCATTGAGTCGTCAGACACTTTGAGGTCCGGCATCTCTGCCCCAATCGCGTCCGCGATAGCCTGGGCGTTGGCCACGAGGCGCTCTTGACTCTTGACCTGTTTCTCGTAGGTGGACTGGCGGTCTTCAAAGACCTCGCCGGACTTGACGTACGCTTCTGCATTGCGGCGTGCCTGGGAATGCACAGACTTCTGATCACGAACGACATGCGCCTTGACGTCTTCAAAATACTTCTTCAGAACGTTCCTGAACCGCTCTCGAAGCTCAGGCGGTGTGAAGGGTTGATCAGTTTCATCGCCAGCATCGATGGGGCACGCGTCCCCGCTGGTGTCCTGGGCTGCGTTTGCCACACCATCCTCCTCTACAGTCTTCCTCCCATCAGCGCCAGCAGGTTTGGTCCCAAGAATATCCCAGCTGAAGGCCTTGACAAAGATGACCAGCAGCGGGAGGTTGACGTGTTCGCGGTCATGGCCAAGCAGATCCTTGAGAACTTCCAAGGGGAACGGCTCGACAGTTCCATCATTCTGTTTAGCTCCTCCACGAGACTTGATCTCTGTTGTCTTCCCGGCCACAGCTTTCGTGGCGTCATCGGGCTTGGCGGCATCATCAAGGGTCCGAAGAACCCTCACGAGCCATAGTTCAGTGACGACCCTCAGGAGCGCGCGTTGGCGGCCGATCCGCTCCTTCTCTTCCTTCTCGCGAGTCTCCTGCGGCAGAGACTTGAGGAAGCTCTTGTCTGGCGTGGCCATGCCCTTGCCAAGGAGCCAGGCCAAGTATTCTGTGAACTCGCCTGGCCCAAAGCGCTGGTGGAGGGCACTGACGATTTCCACGCCAGCGTCCACCTCACCAGGCGACTTGAGCTTGCAGAGGCCCTCGTAGCATGCCGAGATAATTTCGGATAGGTACTTGTGCAGGCTGAGCGCTCGAATCTCTTGCAAGAAAGTTGCGAGGGTCGCGGGGGTTACGGCAGTTCGGAGTCGCTTGATGAAGGCGGTGTTCTTCTTGAGGGACGAGTCGAGAGCCTTGTTGACGGCGAACAGATCTGAAGTTGAAGGTCAGCCGAGGGTCGAAACGCATCGCCATATTGGTCGCACCCTGCTCGCCATTCCATGCGCGTTCATTAAGGCTGCGCAGTTCGCCTGTCTTTTTGTCAGCCTGCTGCGACGCACAACGCCCTCGGGTTTCGTACGCTTCCTGGCACGGTCCATGCTGGTCTGGGGGTCCTGTGTCTGCGGCGATTTCGTCAGGGCAACAGGAAGCGACACAGCGTCAGTCGTATGTTGACGGCGTCAGATGTCTGGTTATCATTCGTGCTAGATACGGTGGGCCGCATGCCTCTTGGCTCAGATCGAGTCTCACTGGCGCTGGGCTCGGACTCGAGATTGGCTGTTGGCAGGCTGTGGTTTCGGGGAATGCGATGGTGAGCTATGGTCGATCAAATTCGGTTTTTAGTGGTTCATGCCACACAAGGTGACGGTTTTCGAGAATGACGATGGAAAGTTCCCTAAGCTCAGTTAGCAGGTGCGACTGGATCTTGCAGGGGTGTGCGTTGCGGTGGATTTATGTCGGCCAGTACGTACCATGACTCAATGTTGAGAACGACCATGAGACAGTCTTTGCGAGTAAACGAACGTGCACTGTCCACAAGCTTACTACCCTGATTTTTGGTTTTTGAATTTTCTTGTTACCGTGCAATCTAAGTTAGTGTTAGGGAGCAGAGTGCACAGATAGGATACGACATTGTGCCTGGGATAGCTGGTTTCTTTTTGTCCCCCACTGTCCCGCCAAAGGTAAGGCCAAGAGTTATCAGCGCGGCAAAACCGCGGGGTGGCCGGATCTGGCTTAGCCCAGAGCTGCGGCTCAGGCATGAATGCACCTACCCTGTATCAGAGTGTGGAAACATGCCACATTGTGTAGCTTGCTGTGCAACCCCCAGTTGAAGTCAATAGAGAATGTAAGCTTCAGAGGTTCATGATTCTGTGATAGACCTCGTTATTTGGTGTCAATATTCAAAGTATCAATCGATTGGGCTGACAATGAGATTACAACTTCTGCTCCACCTACAGCGTCAGACCTGATCGCAGCAAACAAGGGCCAAGGCAACAGGTTGTGTAGGTGACTACACATCCTCTGATATATGTGCATACCAGTATTTATTAATTAGCTCTTCGCAAAACCCGCAACCTCAGCAGCAGCCAGGAACGCATCTCTCCGCCATAACAGGTATTCGTGGGGAAGGACCGGAAGAAGCGTATTAGTAGGACTACGAAGTTCGACGAGAAAAATGCATCTCCGGCGTCCCACGTCGCGGCAACGCTTATCAGGGTGGGCGCCGCATCTTGATTCGCCGTGTCTTATCGCACGACCTCTCCTCAACCAGCTCCAATGCGATGAACTCGATAAGACACCCACGCGACATCCACTCTCACAGATCTTGCATCTCCTCGCTATTATGCGTGGAGTTCCCCGGGTGAAGGACGTTGTGAGATCCGCGGATCCAGTCTCTTCGGACACTAACTATGCGGTATCGTATGACATATGACGACCAGATGGGGACAGATGGGGGCACCATGGAAGTCAACTGAGACGTACATGTGTTGTAAACGGAAGCACACGATCGATCTCCAGGGGTTCACTGCTTTCCATCACACTCTTGGTGCTCTTGAACCTGGCCACACCTCCTAGGAAAGATCTAGCAGCCTGTTCATATATACATACCGAACACGGTGGCTGTGGAAAGTCTTGACCCACGATGGAAACGCCAAAGATGCCTACACACGTCGCATATCCTCCAAGTCCCCCTTCTACCGCAAAGCATTCGAGATCGGGCAGTCCTGGCACGTCCGCGAGAGAAGAACACTTGGTTGACACACCTGACTTGTCTTCGTCCGAGCTGGCGAAAGTATATCCTCTACCACCTTCGTCCAGCAAAAAAAGCGTGCTGAAAGAGGACCTGAAGACGCCCGACAGTCATGTTGAGCGAGACCCTCGGCTGATTCGACTTACGGGTGTCCATCCCTTCAATGTCGAGCCACCGCTGAGCGACCTATACGACCAAGGCTTTCTCACCAATGAAGATCTCCATTATGTCCGAAACCATGGTCCCGTCCCACTTTGTGCGGACGAGGATATGCTGGACTGGGAGTTTACTGTTGAGGGCATGGTTGACAACCCCATCACGATGAGCGTACGAGACCTCTTGGCCGCTTACGAGCAAGTCACATATCCTATCACACTTGTCTGCGCTGGCAACCGAAGAAAGGAGCAGAACATGGTTCGGAAGTCCAAGGGCTTTTCATGGGGTGCAGCGGGCTTGTCCACCGCGTTGTGGACAGGCGTGCCCATCGGTGACCTGCTCTCTCGCGCCAGACCTCGCCACGGAGCGAGATACGTCTGCTTTGAGGGCGCAGACAAACTCCCCAACGGCTACTATGGCACCTCTTTGAAGCTCAACTGGTGCATGGACCCGAATAAGGGGATCTTGGTGGCGCACAAGATGAACGGCGAGAAGCTCCATCCGGACCACGGGAAGCCCGTTCGCATCGTCGTGCCCGGGCAGATTGGCGGTCGAAGTGTCAAGTGGCTCAAGAAGATTATTGTCACGGCTGAACCGAGTGATAACTGGTATCACATCTACGACAACCGCGTGCTACCGACCATGGTCTCGCCGGAAGCCAGCGCCAACCTGCCTGATGTCTGGAAAGATGAGAGGCACGCCATTTACGACCTCAACTCAAACAGCGCCATCTGCTACCCAGCACATGGCGAGAAAATACCCACAACGGGAGAGAATGCGAGCTATAGCGTCAGGGGCTACGCATATGGTGGCGGCGGCAAGCGGATCACTAGGATGGAGGTCACCCTCGACAAGGGCAAATCATGGCGCCTCGCGAACATATACTACCCAGAAGACGACTATCGCGCCGCGCCCGATGGCGACACTCTCTACGGCGGGCGCGTGGACATGTGGTGGCGTGAAACAAGCTTCTGCTGGTGCTTTTGGTCCCTGGACATCCCGCTGGACGATCTTTGTTCTTCCGACGACATCATGGTCCGCGCTATGGACGAGGGCATGATGGTGCAGCCGAGGGACATGTACTGGTCTGTGCTGGGCATGATGAACAATCCTTGGTTTCGCGTTGTGATACACAAAGAGAACCACTCGTTGCGCTTCGAACACCCAACTCAACCGGCCCTAATGCCAGGTGGCTGGATGGAAAGAGTGAAGAAGAACGGCGGCGATTTGAGCAACGGCTTTTGGGGGGAAAGGATGAATGGTGAAGACGAGTCCGTTGTGGTCGAACCGGAGCCAGCGAAGGATATCTGCATGACAAACGACAAAATCAAGCGCACCATTACCCTTGAAGAGCTGCAAGCTCACTCGAGCGAAACGGAGCCGTGGTTCGTTGTCAATGGCGAGGTGTACGATGGGACCCCCTTTTTGGAGGGACACCCCGGGGGCGCAACGTCCATCACAGCTGCCGCTGCCCAAGATGCTACCGAAGAATTCGTCACTATCCGTACGTGAGTTTCACTGCCTATATAGGGCAAAGGCTAACATGTATCTGCAGATAGTGAGAACGCCAAAGCCATGATGCCCGACTACCACATTGGCACACTCGACCTTGCTTCCCTCAAAGCCCTGACCACTGGCGGTGAAGAAGAACAACAGCCTGATACCAACCGCATCGTCTTCCTCCAACCCAAGAGCTGGACAAAAGCCATACTAGATTCCAAGGATAGAGTATCCCCCGACTCATTCATCTTCACCTTTCGTCTAGACCATGAAGCACAGGACATTGGTCTGCCGACGGGCCAACATCTCATGGTGCGACTACGCGATCCCGCCACTCGCGAGGCCATTATCAGGGCATACACACCGCTATCGGAAGCCGACGAGAAGGGCCGTCTAAGGATACTCATCAAAGTATACTACGACACCCCTGATCGCAAGGGTGGCAGAATGACACAGGCTCTCGATGCCATCCCCACCGGGCACTTTGTGGACTTCAAAGGACCCGTTGGGAAATTCGAGTATCTCGGTCAGGGCCGAGTTAACGTTTCCGGGCAAATGAGGCATATCCGTCGGTTCATCATGGTGTGCGGTGGATCGGGTATCACCCCCATCTTCCAGGTTCTGAGGGCCGTCCTGAAGGACCCAGAGGACGAGACAAGATGTCTCTTATTCAATGGCAACCGAGAGGAGACGGATATTCTGTGCAGGGAAGAATTGGACGAACTAGCCAAGCGGCACCCGGAGCGCTACCAGCTCATCCACACACTTTCAAAGCCTAGTCCCGCGTGGGCGGGGAGGAGAGGCAGGATGGACAAGGCCTTTTTCTCAGAAGAGGTCGGCGCACCCGCGAAACCGGGGATCGGAGATGAGATGGTCCTTGTCTGTGGACCCAAACCCATGGAGCAAACGGTCAAGGAGGTGTTTCTGGGCATGGGCTGGAGCGAGGACAATCTGCTGTTCTTCTAGGGGCACGACGACCGCATTTCGCATAGCCGACAGTTAAATGTTCATTTCAAAAGGCCATTACGAAAATTCCCCCACACCACTCGTACAGACCACATTCGAACATCGACTGCTCAGTGCCCTTCTGTCGGATTGGGGTAGTACCAAGCCGACACAGCAACGGCAATGTACAGCAGGACCAGCAATAACCCTTCGAGGTAATTGCTCTTACCATCCTGTAAGAACCTCCCGACAGTAAGAATAGACAATATCAGCATGACGAGGTTGAAAATGTCAAAATTGAGATCCATCTGTTTGCCCAGGCCCCAGGCAACGACCACCGTCAGCGGCGCATTGAACAGCGTAGTCTGAAGCGTGGCCCCCAGGACATGCGACAGCGCGAGGTTCATCTGATCATCCCACGCCTCGTCAATGGCGGTCAGGTGCTCGGCAAACTTCTCGACGAGGGGCACGAGGATGAGGCCCATAAAGGCGTCGCTCACGTTGGAGACCTCGATGACGTGCTCGATCTGCAGCACGAGGGTGATGGCGATGATGGCGACGAGCGGGATCGCGATGAGGAGGGCAATGATGCACTCCGTCATGGTGAGCTTGGCTTTGCGCGCGTCCTCGTGCTTGTCGGCGTCGCGGTGCTCGTCGTAGGCGAAGCTGGCATCGTAGAGGCCGTGGTGGGTGGTGACGGTGAAGAAGAGGTAGGCGGCGTAGGCGATGATGAGGAGGACGGAGATGATGCGGGAGATTTGGAGGGTGCGATCATCAAGCTCGACGCCGCTGAGGTTGGTTTCGAAGATGCCCTGGCCGAAGACGGTGGGTACGGCGAGCGAGACGCCCCTGCGTAAGACTGTCAGCAACCAGGCGTTCGCAAATGTCTTTCCCCGAGATATGTATGTATGTCTGTCTGTCTCGCGAGATACGATGGGAATGAGAACTTACGCTAGGAATAGGAGGCCATGACCTGTCTCGCTGATGGTTCCGCCAAACGTCTGCTCAGTACGACAGACACCGCCAACAAAGAAGCAGAACCCGAGACACAGCAGCATCGTGGCGAGAATGGAGCCGAGGATAGCAGCCTTGATGACGTTGAAGTAATCCTTGGACAACAGGACGATGAACAGCACAATCTCGACCACGGAGCCCAAGCTAGACAGGACGTTAGTTTCGCTCTCACATGTACACGCAGGATGCCTGATACGCACGTAATCTCTGTCAACATGCCAATGACACGCGGTAGCTTCTGTGCCAGTTCCTGCCCAGCAAAGCCAATGAGATTGGCACACGGTACCATGGCGATGTACGCCAGCGTGAAGATGAGAATGTGACGCTCCTCCATGGTATCTGCCCGTCCCCGTCAGTACATGATTTTTACAAGGATCTTTGCAAATACATCAGACAAGAAAAAGGAGAGACAACGCACATCGCACAGCCAGTGCCGCAGGTACAAATGGCCACAGAAGATTGCATATTGTGCTGGCTCGACTGGTCGACCTAAAATTGATGCGGAGGAAGTGGCTGGGATGGAAGCCTCGTCGCCCGCTTTCGCCCCCCGGGTTCAAGGCCAGTCGGGACTGTTTCTCATTTGTATTCTGGTGCCGTTTGGGGAAGCGATCGTAGGTCGTTGGGGCGGGAAGCTGGTGGTGCTGCTGTTGTCGATGTCGATGTTGATTATCACCCATGATGCTGCTGCCGCTGTAGTGAGAGCGACGCTCGTCACGGCTGCGTGGACGGGAATGCCTCCTGCTCTGTTGAGGAGGAGAAGGGGGCATCATGATGCCAGAGTAACTCAGTTGGCCGTCGAATTCGCTTCTGCGCGAATGTTGAATGTCCTCTTTTCTTCTTCTCTGCCTACGTAGAATAGGAGATCGATATTCTGGAGGCCGCCGGCGCTGCTCCTTGTCCCCTGATATTGTGCTTGGCGACGTACCACGGCGTAGAGAGACGAGGAAGTCCCAGCTTGAAGATGTGATGACAGAGTGAAAATAGTACTAATGGATGAGTATCAGAGACAGGACCAGCATATTACTCGATTGGGTTGGGCGTCCAATACGCCAGCTACGGAGCGCCAGCATCATCGTCACGCGTCCCTCGCGCGATTGAGACGCAGAGACATCTAAGCGGGAGGGTCTTCCCTGTTTTGACCCTTGACCGTAGGTTTGAGACGGTAGTGGCCATTGGTGAATCAATCGAACGTGGACAACTTGCTCGACACATCTCGGTGCCGTACTGCCGGGGGAATGGTCGAGGGAGGCTGGAGAATGGGAGAGGATTGGTTATGCGACCTGCACGGGCTGTTGCCAAGGGTCCCATGCAAACAAGCTTGAACGGCACTGAGTCCACGAGCAGCTCGGGTGCTAATAAAGTACGGATAGTTAACGTTAAATTATTCCAGTACCTGGCTGAAGGTTCGACAACACGAGTGGTTGTGACTTGTGAGTACGAGCTTCGAGTGAGGGCAGCTGAGGCAGACATGGCGATGTAGCGAGAGCAGGGATTTGAAATCGCCCTCCCTCAGATGGCCAAGCGAACAGGGAACTGGCAGTAGTGGACAAATGACAACAAATACCGCGCTGAAGGGTGAAGACCAAGGGACTGGATGGATGGCGCTCAGCCCCAGGAGCGCGTCCGGCTCCCACATGCCGGCGCGGAGCCTCTGACGTCATTCCCGGCTGGCGATCCCGCGACCCGGTCTTGATCGGATCGATGGATGAGAGAGAACAAGCAGTCGGATATGCGGTATCGCAAGGGTCTGCTCATGGCATGGGAGGCTCCCCAATACCAGACCATCTATCGAAACCACCCATGGTCTCGTACTCCTCCCGTGGTTCGGCCTTGACTAAAGGCTCAGACTCACCACCGTCTTGCGCCAACAGACGCGCATCCCTAAAGGGCACTGGCTGCGCAGCAACAACCGTTTCGAAACCCAGGGGGCTCTCGTCCTCGGGCCCCATGGGCAAATCCTCCACGTTGATCTTCATGTTCAGCAGAGCCTTGAGGACCACTGCGCTACCCGCCTTGCTCATCACCTCGTTGGAGTGCTTGCACAGCTCCGAGGCCACACACTCGACGCAGCCTCTCTCGCAGTGACAGCCCTCAACCCTCTTGAGCGCGTCCCGCAGGAGCTGATCAATGTGCTCAAACGCCTTTGTATTGATACCAGAGCCCCCCGCGCCCCCCTTGGCGTCGTAGAACGTCAGCCGCGCCGGTCGCTTGCGCTGACTGTCCTTTTGCGCAAACTCCTTCACCCCAAACTTGCATTCGGTCCGTACATCGCTCGGCATGCTGATGACAAAGTTGGGCACCAAGCTCATGATGGCGTGCTCGGCCGCATGGATCGCCGCGGCCGAGTGCAGCCGTCGCTCCTGTAGAATCTCCAAGGCTACCTTTGGTATGTCCACCCACATCCCCTTGCTGAACCGGATGACGGGTGGGTTGTCGACGTGCACGGCGTCCAGGACGCGGTTCTGTTTGTCCACCTTGAAGAACCCAAATACGTTCTGCTGGATCTTGATCGTGCCGTAGTAGGCCATTGACCGTGAATTGGTGATTTTGCGCAGAGCTTCTGTCTCTGTGGGATCAATGTCTGTGTAATCACGCTGCACCGTTGTCCATTCCACCCTAACCTTTTCCACCTTGGCCATGTGTTTCTCAGGCTGGAAGTCTCGGACAAGGTACGTGTTGCCCTGGTGGAGGAATATGGCCCCGTCGTAGATCGTGAAATGTGCTCTCGAGGCCTCAAGCTCCTCAAGAACAATGTTGCGTCCATTGGTAATGTCGATAATGGCGAAGTGATCATCTTCTGTGTCGCGGATGGCAACAAATTTGGATGGCACGGGGCGAAAGCGGTCGTGACAGTGATAGTATCCGGTCTCGTCCAGGAGAAGTCTCTCTTCGCACACTCGGGGCAAGTCCTCCCCAAAATATTTGGCATCCTCTTTAGGCCGGATAGGCATCTCGTATGCGGCACATTGAATATGGCCCTCGCGCACCAGGAGATTGTCCAGATCTACCTGCAATGCGCAATTCGCTTTCGTGAACAGCTCATTAGGATTCTGCATGTAATGTTGGTCTGTAGGAAACGAATCGCCCACCAAGATTGACAACGAGTCCTTGTTCCTCCGCCCGGCACGTCCGCTTTGTTGGCGCAGGTTGGCAATGGTATAGGGGAAGCCCCATGTCATCACGCAGTCCAGCGACCCAATGTCAATACCAAGCTCCAGGGCCGTCGTGGCCACAATTCCCAGCAGCTTGCCCTCAAACATCTCGCTTTCGATGCGTCGGCGGTCATGCGGCGTGTAGCCGCCACGGTAGCCCATGACTAGATTGATAGTCTCTGGACGGCCCATTGACTCTAGCTCTTGCTTGATGGCGTTGACCAACTTCTCGCACTGGTGACGAACCCGGCAAAAGGCGATAATACGCACACCTCTCAGCATGAGGGAGCAGAACAAGCGAGCACACTCAAATTTGGCGCTGCCTCGGCCACTTGCAGGATCGCCAGGGTCTTTGTAGGGTGTGTTCCAGCATAAGAATTCCTTGCGTCCCGAGGGCGATCCGTCAAAGTCGATGAGCCGGACATTGTCGATACCAAAAATGGTCTTGAAGTGATCTTTCGGGTTGGCAACGGTGGCAGAGCACGAGATGAACTTGACCTTGCGATTGCCGACGGCAGCACAGACCCGTCTCAGCCGTCGCATGATAAAGGCCATATGGGAGCCCATTTGCCCATTGTAATAATGGAGCTCGTCCACTTGATAGACAGGTCAGCATGGTTTCGTCTTTATGCTGGGAGGAGTCGAAGAACACTTACCAACGACATACTTCAAGTTCTTGAGAAACGTCCTCCACCTGTCTTCTTGTGGAAGAATCGTAATGTGCAGCATGTCCGGATTCGTGAATATGGTCCTCGCGCTCTCGCGGATTTCATTCCGCATCGTAAAAGGCGTGTCTCCGTCAAAGGTCTCCACCAGGACCTCCTCCATCCCGGGCATGTAGGACATCATCTCCTTCAGACTCCTCTTCTGGTCCTGTGCTAGTGCCTTGGTTGGGAAGATGTACATGGCTCTTGAATTAAAGTCCCGCTCGAGAGCGTAGATGATCGGTAACTGATAAATCAGCGACTTGCCTGAGCTCGTCGACGTGGAGACAACCACGTTCTGGCCATCGTGAAGCCCATTTAGTGCCTCAGCTTGGTGCGCGAAGAATCGGGTGATGCCCTTGGCATTGTAGAGCGCATTGACAAGGTCCTGACTCAGTAGAAAGTCCAAGTCTCCGTAGACCGGCTCTTGGGCCTCGAACACTCGATGCCCGTCTGGCACAATCTGGCCCGTGTACCACGAGCTCTCCTTCAGCTCCTGCACAATCTCAGGAATGCTCTTGCGCTCTTGTGGAATAATCTCGGGCAGCGTGCTGGGTGCGTGCAAATCCTCATCCTCCTCCGGCGGCGAAGGCTCAGGGATATGCGCTTTCGTCTTCTGCACCAGAACCATCTCTGGGTCAACCTTCTCTTCGACACATTTGTTCAAGAACACGTTGACTGCGCTCTTGAACCTCGTGTTACGCCTCTCAATGAGCTGTGTCATCTGCTTCTGGCTGTACACAGGCATCTTGAGATCCTCCTCTCTCAGCTTGCGATGTGGCTTCGTAGGCTCGCCACTCTTACGGTCCTGCACCTGGCGCTTGAGGTCGCCATCTACAAACTCAAAGTAGAGGACCTCCCGGCTCTTGGGTGGTTCTTCGGGACCAGGGCTCGCCCGTCTGAAAGTGTCTTTGCCTGTCCAGCCGCCCACGGACGCATCCAGAGCCGGAGCCTGGGATCGGAAAGACTTTCCCGTCTTGAAGGTATTATCCCTCTCGGACGCCTTGACGTCCAGCTCGAGCATGAGCTCATCGACGTAGGCAAACTTGATTCCCTCAGGCCGGAGCGCGACGATGGACGCCACCGTCTCCACCGTCAACGTCTTCTTGATGTGCGTTTCCACCGTCGGTCTGATGGTCTCAAATGTCGTCACCAGATGTCGCCTCGTACAACAAAATGTATACACAAGATTCAGCGCCCGGTGCGTTTGCTCTAATGCCTTGAAGCTCTGTGGCCAGTCTATAAGGCAGTCCACCACTGTGCTGCTTTCCTTATGCAAAGTCGCTTTTTTGCCTTTGGCAGCGGCCCGCCGACCTTTGGCTTGGGGCTTTTCAGCTCCATCACCTACCGTTTCGCCCTCTGGTGCAGGAGTATCATCCCCCTCGGCAGCTCTCTTGCGCTTTGCTGCAGGGCGGCGCTTGGTACGGGTGTCCTCTGTCCCTGCTGGAGCGGCTATCGCAGGCATAGTCGCGGCCGTAGTGATTTCTCAGGTCATGATGAGGAATATGATGCTTGAATTGAGCAGCTCAGTCACCGGTGGGTAGTCCGCCTGTGTGTAGGGTGTTGTGGCGACTGCGTCGGATCTTTGTCGCGGAACTGGCGCCAAGTCACGTGTGTCCTCTACGTCACCACCACCCCTTTTCTCACCAGGATCGCGTGAAGACAAAGGGACTGGACTACATGTAAGTAGCCGTCAAAAGGAATCATGGTGCTGAACAAAACGTCGCGGTAGAGTGAGCTATGGATATTCTGCTTATCGTAGTACGCACTGTTGTTATGTAGACTCCCCCCGACCTCTAACATGCAAAACACTTGACCCTTGAAAAGTTCCTCTAGTCTACCCGGACGCCTTGCCTCCCTGTGCATACTGCTGAGCACATAACCATCATTTTCCGTATACCAGCCACAGTGTCAATGTTGCAAGCTAGATTGCGCCGATCAAGCTGCCATTCTCGGCTTGTAACAACACCCTTCCAGGTGGTGGCATGAGATTTGAGTCATTCCAGACGTTGAGGAACTCAATTCTCAATTCACAATCCCCTCTTCAGCCTCGACAACTGCAAATCCCCACACTCCACATTACGGCGTTCCCTCATGTCCATCTGCTTGCATTGTTCCGCTGGTCTGTCTTTACAGATTCTTCGCTCCGACTATTGACACAACTCAGCTGTACCCTACGTGTAGGTACTGGCTGTGCAACACATCGGTGGGCGCCGTATTAGAAGTTGCTGGCGAGGGCTGCCCCTAGATGCCCCGGAGCTCCCTCTGGATGAGCTTGACCTCGTTCATGAAGATCTTGGCGTTCGCGGCAGTCATCTGTGATCAGGTTAGTTCCAAGTCAGAGCCATGTAATCCATGATTCCAGATGCGTACCTTGGCAGTGATATTCACAGGTTTAGCACCCGCGCCGTCCCCTTCAAATGCTGTGAAGACGATGCCGACTGACTTCAGCGTTGCCTTCTCCTGAAACTCCATCGCAGGCGCGATGGCCGTGTTCAGAATGACGCGGTGCGTTTGATCTTGTCGAAGAATAAGGCGGGCGACCTTGTTTGGTTTCGCGCCAGCTTCCTCGTCCTCCAGCTCGAAGCCTGAGGCGTCGAATGACCCAGGGATCGGGTTGTTATCATGATCAAGCTCAACGCACTCGACTGGTACATTGATCTTGAGCATGCCGCTGCCACGCTCTTTCCACCCAACCTCTTTGTCCAAGTGGAAGACCTTGGCCCGCACAGAGACGACAGTGACCTCGCCTTGCTCGCCATCGTTGACCTCAACTAAAATCGCATTAGTAAGACAAGTGACGCTGGTTTGAGTGGGCACCCACCCTTTTGAAGCCTGGCCTTCTTCTTGTCATCTTCTTTCTCAGGCGATGCTGCTCGCTCTTCGTCACCCTTGTCGTCCTTGGACTCATCATCATCATTGTCGTCGTCTTCGTCATCTTCGACATCACTCTCTGGCGCACCAAAGGCCTTGGCGGGCTTGTCATTCCCAAAAGCCGGCTTGGAGCCCGGCGCAGCGAATGACCCCAGCTTTGAACCCGAGGACGCCCCGAATGCGCTACCGCCGCCCAGTGCGCTGCCGAACCCATTGGATCCGGAAGAGAGTCCGGCAAATGGCGAGGCACTTGTACCACCTCCAAAGCTAAGCTTCGGCGCCTCGCTGGGCTTCGTGGGCTTCGTTGGCGAGGCGAAGGAAGTCATGGGTTTACCGGCTGCTGCTCCAAAGGGACTGGCATTCCCTCCACCCAATGAAGCAAAACCTGAGCCGCCCGCGGCAAGTTTGCCGAATCCTGATGCTGCAAAGGCGCTTGAAGATGTCTGTGATTTTTTCGTATCTGGTTTCGCATCGGTACCGCCGGTTTTCTTGTCGTCTTCTGTGGTGGACTAGTAAAATGCATTAGCACCTGTTTGGTAGGCATGCTGCGTGGAGATGGGACATACTTCTTTGCTCTCACCATCTCGCGGCCTCTTCTTCTCGGGCTCTGATCTTGAAGCCCGGTCCTTGGCCGAGTCTGTCGAAGCACCACTTTGTACGTCCTTGTCTTGCATGACCTTCCCGCTGTCTAGCTGGTCGTGCGCCCGCTTCTTCTTCGGCGACAGAACGTGATCCTCAGCCGGGGCAGCATCCTCTCCTTCGGTCGCAGGGGTCTCGGGGCGCTCGTTCGCGTCGGCCGCAGCGGTACTTGCTGGCTCGGATATTGAGTGTTGCTTTAGCTCCCTGCGGGCCGCTCGCGTCTCGGCATCCTCTTTGGATACAGGACTCGTTTTGGGACTGTTTGTTTCCTCGGCCATGGTGCTCGCGTGGTTTGAGGCTGGCGGGCGACAGAGGTGCAAAGTTCAGTAGTCTGAGCGTAGCCGGGTTGCTCGTCGATAAGGCCGCCTTTAAGTTTCGCCTGTGTTGGAGGGGTTACCGCTGGTGCCGCCAACAGAACATGAATCTTCGCAACACCACGGGCTCGTACTTTCGCGCCACTTGCACAGAATGCTGGTTGCTGAGGGAGGGAATAAAACCTCGAGGTCGAAGAATTGCGCGACTGGCAGGACGAGTTTGGACGGCAGCTGAGTGAGGTTGCGGAAGTTATAAACGTAGCCAATCAAGCGTGTTTGTCTACCTAGGCTTGTAACAAAAACCCGTCACTTTAAGCAGGTTCTCTTTGTCGACAGAAAATAGAAACAATCTCCGCACCTCGGCATACCAACAAAGCCGCTCTGGACAGGATTGTACAATTAATTCATTGTCCACCTCAGTCAAGGTCACAAACTGCTATTTAAAGATATCACTGCTGTAGCCTGCCACCTTGCGGACTCTAAGCTATTCATACTAAGCTAAATCACTAGACGAAGATGACGTCCCCAATAACGCTCACTCTCTTGCTGAATCAACCCCAATATATTGCTAGATGTGTAGGGTGTATTGTCTGAACGTCTGGATAATTTACAGTGCCCCCAACTCCTTGAGCTTAGCCAGCAGCCCATCAACATCTTCCACCTTACCACCGCCTTGTCTGGGCGCTGGCTCGGTGACCTTGAGCACCTTGAGTCTAGGCTCATTCGTCAAACCAAAGTCACCCAGCCCGACCTTGTCCAGCTTCTTCTTCTTGGCCTTCATAATGTTCGGTAAGCTCGCGTAGCGGGGCTCGTTCAATCGCAGATCGGTGGTCACGACCATGGGCAGCTTCGCTTTCACCGTCTCCACGCCTCCATCGACCTCCTTGGTCACTGTGATGGAGTCGTTCTCTCCAAACTCGACCTTGCTCGCCTGCGTGGCCTGCGGCCAGCCAAGAAGGCCCGCCAGCATCTGGCCGGTCTGTGCGGCGTCGTCATCGATACTCTGCTTGCCCAGGATCACCAGGTTGCTCTTCTCGCGCTCGGCCGCGGCCTTAAGCATCTTGGCGACAGTCAAGGGCTCCATATCCTCGCCATCCTTGAGCTCCACGTGGATCGCACGGTCGGCGCCCATGGCCATGGCTGTGCGGAGGACATCGGCGGCCTTGGGTGGTCCCGCAGAGATGGCGCAGATGTCCTCGACACCACCGGGGAAGCGCTTCTTCTCACGGATGCGGACGGATTCTTCGACGGAGAGCTCGTCAAAGGGGTTCATGGAGTGCTTGACGCCGGCGGTTTCAACGGCCGTCATGGCCTTGTTGACGCGGGGCTTGACCTGTTCTTTGTTAGTACTCCTAGACGCCCGCGCGACAGACATGGTAATTACCGCATAGTCAATGACCCTCTTGACGGGCACAAGAATCCGTAGTTTGGAAGCCATGGTGATCTTGGGACGATGAACGCCGAAATGGGAATGAAGGACGCAAAACAGTGTATCGTGAGATCGCTCGGCAGGTCGATGATGGATCGGCTAGGCCCGGCCTCCAACCTCGGGCCAAGACGCACGTGACTCGTGTCGTCTAGCCGCACTCCGGCTTCGGCTTGCGCACGACGTACTAACTTGATTACCCGAAGCATTGGGATCTCGCACTATGGCTCAAACAGCACGTTAATACTGTTCACTACTGTTTGGCTCCCAGCGGTTGGACTCGGGATCAAGTACATGTATCCGAATTCGTCACATAGTCTAACGCCACATATATTCCAACGCCTAGCTCCCAGCATGAAGGTCTAATCTTCGACAACCAAGCACTCTCCCTGCCGCGTATCGCCATCCACCAGTGGGCCTACCAATCATCCCACTCATCGTTCTTCTTCTTCGCGGGCGGTGCGGCGCTGCCACCGGCTCGCCCCTTACCCATTGCACTGGTTCCAATGGCGCTGGAACCGCCGCTGCCGGTCTCATTTCTCTGGTCTGCCAGGTTGGAGAAGTCATCCCAGAAACTCCTCCTATTCTCATCCATGTTCGAAGCACGCGGCGACCGCGCATTGACCCCCTGTTCATCTCCCTCGACGAAGCGGTTGAAGCCCTCGGAGGCATTCTTGCCGGCAGCTTGTGCTTGCTTAGCCAAAATGGCCGCTGTAGTCTGTGCCTGGCGCGCAAAGTCGGTCTGAGAAAACTATGTCATGGTCAGCGAGATGGCCCTTGAGTACGACGACCGACCAACCTGTTTCGACGCGGGCTGTAGATACCCATCATTGACGTTCTTGGCAGTCTTGGTCACTGTCGAGGTGAACCACCCAAAGCCCTTTGTAAGCGCCGCCACAGTATCTTTCTGCATATCCTCAAACGAGGGCGCATTCTGCGCTCCCGAGGCGGGACCAGGTGTGTTACCGAAGCCTGCATACTTTCCTCCTTGGCTGGGGGGAACGTGATCCGGCCTAGTGGCGTTCGCGTTGCCCAGCCGCGCAAAGTATTCGTCGTCCACCTTCACCTTGCCCCCAGGTTGTTGCTGCTGCGAGGGACTCTCGCTGCGACTGGCCGACCCGCTGAGCGGCGTGCCTGAGCGGGAGCCAGATGTGGCAAACGATGTCTGCTTCTTGACGGGCGCGGGCGCTGGCTTCTTATCGCTGGGCACGTACTCTCTGCCCTCCACCTTGGCCGTCAGCCTCTCCTTCCATTCCTCCCCTATTTCGCTCGTGTATCTGTCCGAATCGGTGCCGTCATCCCAGGTGATGCTGCTCTTGTCGGTGGACTCGTGTTCGTAGAATTTCCGCCAGCCCGCGTTCCCGCCTAGGCGCATGCGTTCAATCTCGATGGCTTTGAAGGCGTCCATGGACACGCTGCGCACAAACGAAATGTGGACGCCCAGACCGCGGTGCTTGCCAGCGCAGGTCAGGCAGATGAAGATGCCAAACTTGGGCGAAGCCCATTGGGGTGACGGAGCATTGCAGTCGCAGCAAACGTTGTTGCTTGATTCTTTCTGCAACGCGGCGAGCTGCACGGGTAAGAACGAATTGTCAGTCTGTTGTCCTTCGCATCAATGAGCAGAGGTTATCTCGTCACCTTGGACCGCGTTTCTGGGTCAACCTCCCACATGGCTTTGGATGCCATCGCGGGCGGCTCTGCTGGGTGATTATATCGGCAACAGGACTTCGAACCTTGTGCGGCGAATCGGAGATCTGTCAAGGAACGGGTCTTCAACAATTAAAATGAGCTTTGTTGGGATAAGTATGTAGTAGCTTTGGTTTGTGGTTTCGACAGCAAGGGGCGCTACGTATGCACCAAAATACGGGCAGGAAGGGCCACTAACTTAACGTTGGAATCGCGATGGAACCCAGACCCCCCTCCCCCTGGCAAGCAACTGGAAATCCCCACACAAAACGGTACACGCGTATGTATCGATATTGGCATGGTGGACAGCTTCTGTAGCTGGACTCCTTAAGACGACATTCAACAATGTTTGTGCTGTTTTTTCTGTACCGAACTGAAGCATTAGAATGTGCTATATGACACGAGGTGGAATGCGTCGCGGCTGCGAACGACAGATTACAAAGTCATGTTCACCAGCGCACCAGTCACTCGAGTTTTGAGAGTCGCTATTTTGTTTTTGAGTCCAACTGGGGCGGAATTTGTTTGGTGAGTAACTCTGCAATTTCTCCCATATATTAAATACTCATTCCCAAAAAAAAAAAAGGACCCATTGTGACCTTTTTAATTCATGATGTGATATCGGGCATATGGAGGTTATTGCCGTGAATGTCACCCAAGCCCATCTACACAACGGTAGGAGCGGCGACGGCGGCGGGGACAGCAGCCGCATCCTTTTGCTCGGCGGGCTTGGTGTTCTCTTGCTTGGTAGTCTCGTCCGCCGGGGTGTTGGCCTCCTCGTCAGTCTTATCAGGGGAGTCAATGGCCACCTTGACAGCGATCTCGCGACCCTCAATGTCTTTGGCGTTCATTTCAGCGACAGCCTTCTGCTGGAGCTCCTCAGAAGCCAGGGTGACGAAGCCGAAACCACGTCCCTTGCGCGCTTCGCCACGGGCCTGAAGCTTCTTGATCATGAAGCGAGGGATGGGGCGCAGGGCAATCTTGGCGGAAGTGGGCTGGTAGTCCTTGAACAGATTGATGAGCTGTCACAGTCAGCACGGTTCCAGGCAGTCCAGTAATGGTCAACTTGCCTGCTCCTCGGTCAGGTCGTACGGAAGGTTGGCAACCATGACCTTGGTCTTGGAGGGAACACCGTCAGCAGGAGGGCCACGCTCACGGCGCTGGCGCTGCTGGGCGTTTGCGGCCGCCTTGGAGGATGTGTCAGTATTGTTCATTGCGTTGGTGATATCGGCCAAAGGTTGTGGAACCTCGTTGGTAGCAGCGGGGGGAGCATCGGTGGCTACAACACCGGTGGGACCAGCGGCAGCGGCGCCTTCAGCGGTCTCATCCTTCTTCTCTTCGCCCTCCTGATCTTGTTAGCTGCTCTGTCGGCAAGGAGAAAGATGGGGGAGTTGCTCACAGCGCGGGCGCTGCGGCCGCCACGGCCGTTGCGTCCACGGCCACGTCCACGGCCGGAGGCACGGCGGCGAGTGCCCTCGCCACCAGCGGCCTCGGGAGCTTCAGCAGCCTTGTCGGCAGCGGCCTCGGGCTTGCGAGCCAGCTGGACGGAGACCTTGCGTTCCAAGATCTCCTTTCCGGATAGCTCTTCGATGGCGCGCTCGGCCTCCGTAGGGGTCGAGAGGTCGACGAAGGCGTAACCGACAGGGCGATCGGTACGCGGGTTCTTGGGGATGGAAACGGACTCGCTACACTACAGTTAGCGTAGGCTCGTACCGACTCGAACGCTCGCATTTTGTGCGACATCGACAGCAAATGTGCGGCGTTGCGGCGCGGGGACGGTGCGTCGAGCTCGTCCGAAGATTGCGTGAAGATCCAAAGGATCAGCATCTGGAATGACTTACACAAGGTAGCTCTTGAAGAAGCCCTTCAACTCCTCCTCAGTTGTCGCGTAGGCCAGGTTGCCAATGTACAGACGACGGCCTTCGGCAGCACTGGCCGAGGCAGCCTCGTTGGCGGCGGCCTTGTTACTGTTGAGGTTGGTATTGCTCAAAGTTTCGGCAACATCGTTGACGGCGTTGGAGACTGTGCTGGAGACAGTCTCGGCAGCCTTCTCCACGGGGGCGGGAACAGCAGACATGGTGATGAACAAGTGCTGTCGTGTTGGGTCGTGTGATGGGGTGGAGGTCGGTGAGAGGTTGAGATGACGTTCGAACTCGGGTGTGGAGAGGCACCTGAAGGTTCGAAGAAGTGTGCTTGAAAGAGGCGAACTCGTTTGAGCAATGAGGAGGAAGTTGAATCAGGGTAGCTTGGTGCCCTAGAAACAGTTGTGGTTTGACAGACGTCGAGCGTTGCGCGGAGACACAAAGTTGACTGGATTGATTGTTGTGTTGGAGGAGAGAGAAAGGGGGAGCGAGCGTTGGAGCTGGGCGCGGTGAAGCTCTGAAATAATTTTCGAGGGTGCAGGCTGCAGTCAGCGCGCCTTCACGTTGCCTCCCAGCACCTGCCGCCGCTGCAGCAGCCCCCTGTGACGGTGAGATCGAAATGCAGGTGCAGCGGGCGTGCAGCCCCAGCAAGCGTGGAATCGCGCCTGCCAGCTTGCGACAAGCTTCAGCGAAGTGGCAGCGGCGCTCACAGAGTGCCTAAAGTTGGCACCAATAGGTCCGGAGCTATGGACACTCAATTATCGCCCATCAATCGAGATGACAAGACATGCGCCATGATGTGTGCATGAGGTTGCTTGATTTCAGCTGTGCAGGCCTCTATATTGCCATCGAATCATCGTCACAGGTCATCTTCATCAGCTCATGTAGCTGTCGAAGTCAACGGCCAGTGGAATATGGAAGCAATGCAAGACCTTGGCTTTCTGTCTTTTTTGGCAGAGCTTTCCCCAACCTGCTGGCTCGGACGAGATCCAAACAGGGGTCTCCTCTAGGTGTCCCTAGGCTCTAGCGTCCAGACCACGTCCTAGGAGAGCGACTGGATCCACTTCCAGGTAGTCTAGTGCATTCGGCGTCTGTGGAGAGGTCTTGCCGCCCAAAGTCTCCAAGCTCGAGACGACCCTTCTCATTTGGAAGTTCCAAAGTTGATGAGGATGAACAGACCGGAGCTTGGCAAGAGCCATGCCTATTTTAAGATAAGGTACGTTACCTTACCATTATCTTACGTCTTCCATGATCAGAAGATACTCCTGGGCAAAGCAAGAGCAACACAAAGTGCGACAGAATGCAATTCATGCCGAGAACGATTGTTAGTCAGATCGATAAGTGGACGGTGACGAGGATAAATGCCGGGCCCTCACCAATGAACTCGGAGAAATTAGCAAATTCGTTGCAATCCTCAAAGTTTATGCCTATGGCTGGAGCATGTGAGCAAGACGCCATCCCTGGAGTAAAAGAATGAGTTCATTCATGCATTAATATAGCCAATTCAACTCTGCCTTGACGGCCTCCACTACTGACAGGCTCGGCCGCTCACGTTGGGTCAACAAAGCACATTCAGCGTGTCGGTCGCCTCCATTGTCGCCTCATCCACTGCTCGAAGTAGTAGGAGTTAGAGTAGACAGCTAGAATCACATGGACACACGCTTTCTTGGCTACTCCAACGTAACAGTGCCGGGATCACATCAATACCGGATGCTCAATGCGACCAGAATGCTGACCGCGGGGAACTTTTCGTCAAATGGTTGCAGTTGCGAGATGAGATTTGGGTGTAATAGATTGATAAGATATCAGACCTTGATACGCAAAGCTACTAGTCTACGGATAGTCTGGTGGGTGACCGCGAGGCGCCCCGTCATCGGAGTCTCCAACAAACAATTTCGGCCCATACAGTACGAACCAAGCGGCTCTCTTCATCAATAACGGAACCACGTAAACTCATGACTTGCGCATCGTATTCTCACTAAAGAGTCGATAAGATGGCTGGCAGCCAGAGATCCGCCCTCGTCCTCTATGGATCGGAGACGGGGAATGCGCAGGACATGGCCGAGGAGCTGGGGCGACTGTGCGCACGCCTGCACTTTAGCACAGACGTCGACGAGCTCGACGCTGTCGATCTTGTGAGCACCCTTCCCAAGGACAACGATGGCGGCTTTGTACTGATCCGCACAGAATAGCCTTCTCAAGCATCAAATCGTCATGTTTGTCATATCGACAACTGGGCAGGGTGACATGCCACATAATTCACTCTTGTTCTGGAAGAAACTACTACGGAAGAGGCTACCACCTGGCTGCCTCTCCCAAGTAAACTTCACCTGCTTCGGGCTTGGTGATAGTACATATGTCAAATTTAACTGGGCGGCTCGGAAACTCGTGAGACGGCTCGAGCAACTGGGGGCGAACCGGTTCTTCGACGATGGGGAGGCAGACGAGCAGTTTGAAGATGGGTATGACAGTGGGCTTCCTTACCCCATACGAGCGAAAACTAACACATTGTAGCATTGAGGGTGCCTTTTCGAACTGGGGGGAGCGGTTGCACAATCACCTGCTGGAGGCATACCCTCTCGAAGCAGACCAGTCGCCCATACCTGACGACGCAGTACTGCCTGCTCGGTGGTCTCTGGCCCCAGCATTGGAAAAAATTAAAGACTCCTCAAATGGGCATCACACGCAAGACTCAGAACCCATGGTAACCGGCCCGCCTCCTGAGCGACCACTCCCTATCCCAGATGGCTGGACAGCCACAATTGTCGAGAACAGTCGACTCACCCCTGACTCGCACTGGCAAGACGTTCGTCAAGTATCCTTTGACGTCCAGCAGCGTCCTGCCGGCGAGGTTCTCCAGACGAACCCTGGTGACTGTCTCACAATCTATCCCAAGAACTTCCCCGAGGACGTCCACCGGCTCATCACACTCATGGACTGGACATCCATCGCGGACGTCCCCCTCGTCCTATCCCTCTGCCCATCGCTGCCTCGCAATCTATTCGCCCCTCAACCATGCACACTACGAAATCTTCTCCTCGAGAACGTCGACATTACAGCCATTCCCAAACGATCCTTTCTCAAGAGCATGTCCTACTTCTCCACGGATGAGTACCACAAGACCCGTTTGCTGGAGTTCACCCAGAACCTGTACATTGACGAGTACTTCGACTATGCCACACGATCACGGCGCAGCATCCTCGAGGTACTGGAGGAGTTCACCTCCGTCAAGCTGCCAGCTGAGCGTCTTTTCGACATCTTCCCACTGATCCATGGCCGAGACTTCAGCATCGCCAACGGGGGCGCCACGTCGCCATCCGGCGTGGGCACACGAGTCGACCTCCTCGTGGCGTTGGTGCGGTACCGCACCATCTTGCGCAAGCCGCGACAGGGTCTATGCTCTCGCTACCTCGCATCTATGCCCCTTTCGTCAACGCTCGTGGTCTCTCGCAAACCCGTCCTCAGTCCCATTCATGGATCCGCCAATGCGCAACGGCCTCTTATCGCGATGGCGACAGGAACAGGCGTTGCACCCGTCCGATGTCTCGTCCACGAGCGCCTCAGCCACCCGAACCCAGGGCCTATGCTACTCTTCTTTGGCAACCGTAATCGCGAGGCAGACTATTTCTTCGAGAAGGAATGGGAGGCGTTGCATAGTGGTGGCAAGCTGGAGGTTTTTACGGCCTTTTCTAGAGATCAGGACAAGAAGGTCTACATACAACATCTCGTCAAGCAGCAGGCGGACAAAATCGCATCGCTGATACGGCAGGGTGCCATATTTGCTGTGTGTGGCGGCTCGAGCAAGATGGCCGATGCATGCAAAGAGGCCGTGTTCGAGCCGTACAAGAGTGCAGGCGAGCCAGAAGAGAGGGAACGAGAGCTGAACGCTCTAACGTGGTGGCAAGAGATCTGGTGATGCCTACATCTGGAGTTGAATAAAGAAATATATGCTTGTATGTAAAGTCATGATACAAACGCAAAGTGCCCATTGCCCTTGATCCGCCTTTATATATCCCTTTCGCCCATGAAATATAAACCTGTCCATGAGCGTATCTGTAGATTATTTTCGCCAGTCATGAAGGCAGCCTAATTTGTCGTGGCTTCTTCCCAGCTCTATCTCCTTGCGGCCATCTGCGGCACGCGCACAAACTCCATCCCTCCGCCACCAGAAGCATCATCCCCATGTCCATCTGCCCCCGGCGATACAGGAGGTGTCTCCGCCCTATAGTTCACATGGTCCCGCAAAGCTAGCATCGTCTCCTCCTCTTCAGTGTAGTTGCTTCCCAGTATTCCATCATGCGAGCCGTTCTGTGCTGTACCACCACCAGAGGCTTCGGGGTGTCCATGCGGAAGATACACACTGTCGGGCAGCGGTCCCCAAAACACAATTCTGGACGGGTCAATCGGCCTGCGCTGCACAGCAGAAGATGGTGTCAGCTGGACGCTGGCTGGGGACTCTGAGCGAGCGGGGAGACAATGCTCGGCGTGAGTTGCATCCGACCACTGCGACTGCAGCGCCCACGGCAATCCCAGCAATAGTGGCTGTGCTCAGGTCATCATGGCGTGACTTGGGTGGTGGATATGGGCTGCCGTCTGGCTGCTCAATTGTCTCGAGGACAGCAGCCTCATTCGACCCGTCAGGGAACAACGCCTGGTGTATGGAGAAGGTTGCGCGAACATATTCCGTGAGGTAAGCCTCTTGGAAAAATGACCGTCCTATCACGTAGGCAGAACTGTCCCCCGACCTTCTGAGGGAGAAGTAAGGAACGGCTGGATTGCCATATTTGATAGCCTCGGGTTCGGAGGGATACTGGACCGTACTGATGAAGGCCTTGATAGGCACGGTGATATTGACTACGCCAGGGGTGTTCATGGGGTCTCCCAGGTTGTCTGTGTTGTCCGTGCTTGACAGTGTGAAGCGGAATCCAAGGGCATCCGAGTCGTGGTGTTGCTGGTACTGGTCGTTGTCAATGATGTACAAACCCAGAGTAACATCGTTTGTTAGGTTCAAGGTTTGTGCAAATGCGTCACACATTTGATCTGGAAATCACAGGAAGGGCGTCGCCGTATCGATGAGCGCAAAAAAAGGAGTATCCGGCCAGAAAGAGCCTCTGCGGATGAGTTCCAGTTGCCAGGGGTCTCATTCCCATTGGTCTCAACCTCAATACCACGGACGAACGTCCGCAGCAGAGTGTCCTGCTTTGTGACTGCAAAGTCAATGTCGTGATTGATGAAGCGAGTAGAGTCGAAACCACTCATGGTGATTGAAGCGGGCGTATCATCTGGCACACATCAGCAAAGCTCAGAGGCATATGGTCACCTTGGGTACCTGCGATAGTGGGCTCCAGCAGTGTAGCCATAGCTGTAGCTAGGGAAGAGTCCATAATCCTCGACGGCAGCCGTGGATGGTCACTTGGCCACCACGTCCCCGAAGTTTCCCTGTGTGATGCCGAGACCGAAGATGCCCAAATAGTAGTCCATCAAATTAAGGGCAGATGTAAAGACCTGTCTCATGGACAGGCCTTTGTTCACGGTCGGTAGGCTCGATCTGCAACGCGTCGAGTCCGTACCGGCCATTCGCACCGTGATTCAGATGATCCAGCCCGAGCTGCCGCGTTCCCATATCATGCCAGTCTTTCGACTGCATGGGGTCGCACAGACCACCCGCGCAGAGGAGCAGTGCGGTTCATCTCCATCAGTCAGTCGATCTATAATCAAAGGGAGGTTACTACATACTAGGATAGCATCCTCCAGTGCCTACAGCCCAGAGTTCAGATAGCGCTGTGCCGATAAGAACATTCACCTTCTGCTGCTGAGAGCCGAGCAAGACTTCAGTCGTTGACCAGTTGTCATCGATGCCAGCCCATCCGCCGTTGGGCAGCAGGTAACCGCGGTCCTTATGACAGTCTCAACGAGTAGCCATGCCAACGTGTTCATGGCGGGCTCACATGAGCCAGATAGATGGGCGTCTGGCCAACAGACCGTCACAACAGTGCTGCGAATCAGATCTGTATTGGCCCCGTCCATCTGTGAAGAACAACAGAGACGGCCCAAAGACGAGCGGCTTCATAACACGACAAAGATGAAATGACTGTCGTCCACTGAGTGGTGAACCTGAACTCCTGGAGACGAACGTTGTCGTCCTGCATCAATTATGTCGCTTCATCAAATAGTGCATTCGACCGGCATAAGCTGCATAACTCGGGGATTTTGCACAACCATGGGGACCCCCAGTCCGACCCCTTTATAGGCCTAGTCCGGTCATACCAGAAAGACCTCTTTGAAAGTTTGAATTCAACAATTGAATTGACCTCATCAGTCGGGTGACTCCGCGACCAATTGAGTGCTCTTGCAGTAGGTCCGACATCGAGAGCTTTTTGTATTGCCGACCTCGCATCCAGGTGTGGCATTGACCAATTCCAGGGTGGTCGTATCGACAATCGCGGGCTAGCTGGGTGGCCAAGGACTGGCTACGCGAGCATTTATGCCACATGCCACATGCCCTTTCACGGACGCCTCGGGGACTAATTATTCTAGCCTTTGCTTGAAGCAGACAAACAACTCAAATTCTGTGGAGGCCCAGGCTTTCAGCCGTGACAACATTCACACTGCCTACAACTCAAAGTCCGTCATTCTTGCGGGCCACTCGCTCGCTCTGCAGTGACCTCGAGGCGCTTAGTATCGGCCTCCGCATCCCTGATGCAGGTAAATAGACACGCTGTATATCTTCCTCAAGCACCGGCAATTGTTGCGAAGCTTGTTTTACCGTTACAGGCCCGCTGTTGACCTCGGTAGCCGGTCTGGTCTCGCTCGGACAGTTATGTCCTGACGGGGGCCAGTTACTACAGTGGTCTAGGCTAGGTACGCACATGCATGTCTGTTGCATTCTTGGGCCTGCCCAAGGCGACAACCGACAGCTTCTCTCACCAGGCGATATTAATACCGCAAGCATTGCGAGTCCAATCACTCGTCACCAATTAATAACAGTAATCCACGATTGCATGCATAGTGGCATGTGCTCCCCGCCCACCACCCGCACTTTGTTGAGCCGTCCGTCCCCATCTCATTAAGTGGTGCCTGGCAGACTCACATCCTTGTATTGTTAGTAGGGGGAGGTGATCAACAGATACTACTCTATGTGAGTCACGCCTCTATAAATGACTCTCCCTTGCCTCCAGTCCGCAGCGGGAGGCCACCCAGGCGTGCCACAGTCGAACCATGTCTGTCAACATGATGAACACTTCATGGCGAACGGCTGCCTCACGGCACGCTTACAGCCTCCGTCCACGCCAACTACCGAGCCGTCCCTTTTCAACCGTCGTGGACCAGCAGCCGCTGCCGACACGCAGCCCACTTCGAAGCGACCATGAACAGCCAGAGGAGAAGCAGACACAACATGCGGAGGAGATCTTCCGCCGAGCCGTTGCCGCCACACAGGTCCGGAACAACTGGACAAAAGAGGAGATCTCGGCCATTTACCACCAGCCACTGATGAAGCTGGCCTATGAATCCGTGCGTTGGAAGCTGCGTGATGCGTTTCTGAGCTGACTTGGCATGCCGGCAGGGCTCTGTGCACCGTCGATTCCACGATCCAGCAGAGGTTCAGCTCTGCACCTTGATGAACATCAAGACGGGGGGGTGCACCGAGGACTGCTCGTACTGCGCCCAGTCGACGCGGTACCAGAAGGGTACCGGTCTCGAGGCGAAGAAGGTCGAGACAGTCGAGTCGGTGCTCGAGGCGGCCCGCGTGGCGCGCGCCCGGGGGAGCACGCGCTTCTGCATGGGTGCTGCGTGGCGGGACATGCGCGGCCGCAAAAACGCCCTGCGCAACATTCGTGCCATGGTCCAGGGCGTACGCGCGCTGGGCATGGAGTCGTGCGTCACACTGGGCATGATTGACGGGGCACAGGCGCAGGAGCTCAAGGAGGCAGGCCTGACTGCGTACAACCACAATGTCGACACGAGCCGCGAGTTCTACCCATCCATCATCTCGACGCGGAGCTACGACGAGCGCCTCAAGACGCTGGCTCACGTGCGCGACGCGGGCATCAACGTCTGCTCGGGCGGCATCCTGGGTCTCGGGGAGTCAGCGCAGGATCGCGTCGGGCTGCTGTTGACGGTGTCGACGCTGCCCTCGCACCCAGAGAGCTTCCCCGTGAACGCGTTGGTGCCCATCAAGGGCACGCCACTGGGTGACCGCCCTCCGGTCGACTTTGCGAGCATGCTGAGGACGATTGCGACGGCGCGCATCCTCATGCCGGCGACTGTGATCCGCATCGCGGCCGGGCGCAAGAGCATGTCCGAGGAGCAGCAGGCCCTCTGCTTCATGGCTGGCGCCAACGCCGTGTTCACAGGCGAGAAGATGCTGACGACGGACTGCAATGGCTGGGACGAAGACAGTGTCCTGTTTGGTCGCTGGGGTTTGCGGCCCATGGAGCCGAGAGTGAAATAACGGAGGGCCTGTGCGCTATTTCCTCGTCGTCGCGAATGAGGTCTGGTCGTGTAGCTGTTTTGTCCATCATCAAACAACTGAAAGTTCAGGTGAATGACATGCATGAACCACGTTCGAGAACCGGGATCACGTGCACTGACGACACCCTTTTCCGCTCCTGCGAGAAGCGACTGAAGACTAGCCTGGAGAACAACAAGTCTCGGACTCACAATTACATGCCAGTGAAATCAGGGGTCCCGAGAGACTTGAATAGTTGACCTCATGTTCCAATGGCTGTGCGCGGACGTGGCTATTGCAAGTTGAGGAGATGCTTCTCGCCAGCAACGTCTCAACGAGCAACATCCGCTCCAGAGTGACAAAAGACGGCGACTCCATCAAGAATTCAGGATAAGTGATCACCATGGACCCCAGCCCGGCTCCTCCTCGGAGATGCAAGGCGCACGAATGGCATGCATGTCTTTTGATCTTGATTCTGAACCCCGGATTCTGTGCGAAACATCCGCGCTTGAAAGTTGAAATCATTTCCGCCGGCAGTCATGACCCAACCTTTTCTCTCTCTCCACCGTCCATGTATCGCCCTCGAGGCGTCAATCAGTTGCAATCAAATCGTCGGCTGACGTTGGCAACGTGGCCTCCTCGCGCTCTACTCAATCAAAGACAGCAAGGATGGCCTCGCCATCTGACAATGTCATTTTCATCAACGGCAAAACCCTCAGCGTGGACGTTGCGGATGTCACGACCACCATGGGAGGCGAGGTGCTCACGGTGGAACAAGACGGCGTGAGGATGTCCGGCTCACACGCGGCGGCTACCGCTCTACAAGTAGCCGTGAGACGGACAAGGGAGTCGCCACTTTTGAGGGCGAGAGCAGGCCCAAGGCGACGGGAAGCAGCGAAGATGGTGATGAAGATGACGAAGGTGATGGCGCGGGTGCTTTGGCGCCGCACAGAATCTCAGCTGGTATAACAGTACTGGCCATTTTGGAGCTCCTGGTACAAGGGGCCACTATTTAACGACCTTATGATAAGGATTACGACAGATATAGAAAACGCACACATCAGGATAAACGGGCATTCGGCGTTCATGGCAAGGCAAGTATTCGAGAGGCCAGTGAGAGGTCAGAACATGCAAGATTTAATAACGAATAACACCAAATATAATTCACGGGAGCTCAAAAGAGGTCTAGTAGGACACATGTATCCACGGAGAGGTGGGGGAAAAAAAGGTATTATCAAGCAATCCAGAAGCAAACACACACGTCGCGCACACGAGGGACAATCACCATCTGCTCACCCCCTTGCCCTTGCCAACCCCTTCGGTCATCAATGTCGGAAATTCCTCGACCTCAGCATGGCCGTTCTCAATGGCTGCCGAGGAAGAGGGATCCTGATCAGCCATGCTCAAACTGAGAGCCAAGGCAAGGTCCTCCTCTTCTTGCGTCGATGGCCGAGCCAAATTGCCCAGAGATGGCATACTGGGCGTGTGGCTCGCTGGAGGCGACTCATTGGAACCAGACCGTGAAAACTGGCGATTCTTGCCACCCATGGGCCTGAACTTGACGGCAAACTCAAAGTCCCCAGGCCCCTGGCTACGCGGTGACTGTGCCGCCACGTCGTTCACGCCTTCCATCAGCGATAGACGCAACGCTTGCTGGACCTGCTGCTCATAGTCCGAATCTTCCTCGACGATGGGCGCTGAGGCGGAAGGCCCCGCAACGCTGGCTTCAGGGGTGACTACCTCCGCCGTCGTCTCGCTCCAGGACGAGGCTGTGTCGATACTGGCTTCGGCAGAGTCACTCGTGCGCCGTCGCTCCTCCACGGCAAACGCCTCTTCAGACACCATCTGCGCGTACAGCAGCTGCTCCTCTTCCGTCAGATCGCCCAACGCGCCAACGCCAAAGCGACTGCGTAGGCGCGCTTTTTCGCGTTCTCGGTCTTCATTCTCCCGACGCAGCTCGGCTTCTTCGGCAGCAATGTACCTCGAGCTCGTCCCGGCGTGGCGACGGCTGGCGATTCGGCCATGGATATCAGAGTGTCGGAGACGACGCTTGCGGCCGGGATGATGAGGGGTCGAACTGTAGGACCAGTAGCGCATGAATGCGCCAAACGACACGATTCCACGCAGAACAGTCGGGTCCGGATCGAGGTAGATGGCACTAGCAGCACAGTAATGCTCCGCCGACAATGCCGGATTCATAGTGACCATGTGCCGGGGTACGCGGCCATTCGATCTGGCATTCAGTGTTCTGACCACCTCCGTGTTGGAAGCCAGGGGATCCCATGCTTGAACAAGGCCATCGCTTCCGCCATGCACAATGTACAGGGAGGAGGCCGCGACGCTGGAGACTTGCGGTGATTCGGTCTGGATGGTGCGAACAGGAAGTAGATCAGAGCTACTAGGCCTTTCTCTCCCATTCCAGGCAACGACAGCACCAGACTCAGTGCCCAGCACGAGGAAGCGCGCACGACGGCCAGGGATCTCAACGTCGTTGCTAGTGCCTTGGGCAGCCATATGAAGGGGATCCTCTGTCAGTCTGGTGACAGCATGGGTGGAGCAGTCCAACGCAGTGGCAGTGATGACCGTGGAAGGAGACGTCTTGAACTTGAGCGCATGGCACCACCACTTATGTTGTTTTGGTGAAGAAGTCTCGCCAGGGCTGAGGGGGGTCGGTGGGGGAGGTTTGGGGTTCTGGGCGTCAGGGGTCGATGTGGAATCCACTGCCTCCCCATCGACGCGGCCAAATAGAGAAGGCGGCGTCGGGCTAGAAGACGCGCCAGGCATTGCCTGCTGGCCCTGGGCAGATGTGCGCTGATACCGGTACACACAGGCAGGGCGACCCTCTGCCAAGCCGCAGTCGAACACGAAGATGCCTTCACCGGCCCCTTTTCCATCGTCGTTGGCAAAGTCCACTTCCAACCTGCGCCGCATGTCCCAGCCTTCGCAGACCTTGACGAAATGGGAAGGTGTGTAATGCAGGTATTTCTCGACCTCGCGGGCTTCTGCGGTCATCTGCTCCTGATTCAGCTTCATGAAATCAGCAGGTGATCGAGGGGAGTAGGTGCCGCGAAGGACATTTTGGTCCAGCTCGTCCGGTCGAGCCACGCGCCGCGTTGCTTCAAGCAAATGCCAGTATGCTGTGCGACCAGCGTACCAGGCATTCTTGCGCACATCCTCCCCCTTGACGTTGCTTAGGTTGTGGGCGGGTGTCTCCGTCATATAGAAGACTTCGCCCAGGGCGTTGAGTGCAACTGCCCATACCCTGTTGCTCGACTTGCGCTTGGCATTGTAATGATCGTCAACCTTGATGGAGATGATGGGCACACCGGGGCTCAGCACCCACGTCGCAGTCATGTCTCCACTGGCGAGCCTAGGACCTGATGAGTCCCATCCGAGCGCGAAGGCAGTGATGACGCCAAGTGTAGAGCCAACCAACATGCCAACCATGGCAGATGTAGCTGCTGGGACAGCAGACGATTTGGCCAGCCACACGGCAGAGACAGCATCCGAAATTTCGGGAATCTTGGGGATATCGGGGTTTGCGTCTGTGACGCTCGACTCCGCGCCCAAGTAGCGACCTCGATTCTCGTTGACAGCCCGAAAGTAGGCACGCCCGCCAGGGAACCCCTCTCCAGCCAAGAGGCCGTAAGGCTGACTGACATCCATGACGTTGGGCACAGCAGCTGGGCCGTCTCCTAAGCCGTAGGGGACGGTGTTGGGCGCAATCTCATCTAGCTGGAGGATCGAAAAAGGATCCTCGAGGCCCCATTTCTCAATTTTGCCGCTGGTCGGGTCACTCATGGTGCCAACTCCCAGAGCGGCTGCGCCCTGGATAGCACGAGGAGGTTTCTTGCCATTGTTGAAAACAGCGTGGATGTTGGTGATCAGCCAAGGCAGCTTCGAGTTGTAGGTCAAGACGGCATTGTTCTTCTTGCCTGACTGGCTTGTGCGACCTGATGATCCGATGCCGTTTCCCGGTTTGCCTCGCTCAAGACTCCGTATCAACCTAGTCCTGAACAGGTATTCACTCCTCCAGGTAGCGAGGGGGGTGAGGCGCGTAAAGTGGCGGGTCTCGGACCGGACGACATCTGTCACCGACTCTGACCAGACGCTGCTTGCCTTGCCACTCTTCGTGTTGAGTAAGGTGTGCGCAGGGAAGTATCGCAAGAATGCCATGCGCCACGCATGTGGCGTTGTTATGAGCGCATACAAGCGTTTGGACACCAGTGACACGGCAGCATGGGAATCAGGATGGAGGTGCGACAGAATGTGCGTCAAGACCTCTGTTTCACGTGTCAACTACCATCAGCACTATTGCGCTCCCGCTCGTACATACCATTAGGGAAGTCTTCGATGTGGATGCCTTCGGTATGTGAGTCACTCCGGCGCTTGATGACTTTGAATCCGAGGCCCTGCTTGGGTGTAGGGGGGGTGACCGCGTTCTCATAGTCAGCAATGCGTTTTCCGGGGAGTACAGCGCTTTCTGCAAGCGGGTGATCAAGGCTTAGGCCACGCAATCGCTCGTTGAGATATCCAGCGTCAAACCCCGCGGGGAGGTCATCGTGGTGATCGCGTCGCACGGAGTGCGGCGAGGCACTTCCGCTGTGACCGTCGAGACGGTCTCGATGAGATGAGTCGCATTGCTGATGGGAGCCATGTTGGGAAGAAGGAGGCGAGTCGAGTGCTTTGCCGGGTTCTGGGTGCTGTTCTGATATGGCGAGGGGCTCGTATTGCATGTAGCCGAGAGTGGAGGAGCGGTTCAGGTCAAGATGACTGTGCGCGTGGTCTTTGCACAGTCTGATATAGTTGCGTCGCGGGTAGGAGTGAGATTCGTCAGAAAGACAGCTCGTTCGAGTGATGAGGTTGCAGGGCGTTTGCGTGAGCTGGGAGGCATCAAGTGGTGGTATGTGTGTGGTCTTGACTGGAGTTGAGAGCTTTTCTCCAAGAGGCAGATGCGCGTCGTCGTCTGTCGTCACGACTCGGTTGACTCGAGACGCTAACCGTAGGGAGTCGGGGGCCACCTTTCTCGACTTATCGATACCTGGTAGTAACTCGCAGTCTTGGTTGTCAGTTGGCTACCCTGTACTGTGATACTCTACGCTGTCAAGAACTCTCTGATTATAAAGCCGTGTTCAATTCTTATGCTATTGACAGCCTGTCTCATATGGCCCTTATATGGAGTGTCTCACGGGGTGACTCGTTGCGTCTAAGCATAAGCATCAAGTGAGATATACGCCAACACGTTCTCGTCAGGACCTGATAGTTAAGTTAACTAACACTCTTGTCTAAACAGAAGCGATTTACCCTATGGACCATTTTGCGACTGCTAGTACCGGAACAATGAGTGAGCAAATGTTGTCCCTACAAATATCTGCCAGGCGCCGTAGGTCCGATTCAGCTGCAACAAATTAAAAAAAAAAAAAAAAAAAAAAAAAAGGGGGGGGGGGTGGCCCACGCACGACCTGAAGGCATAAACCAATAAACCAAGTATGACTTATGAGTTCTGGTTAACATCTACAGACACCTTCAAGCCACGAAACCAGCCCACTGGCTCGGAAGAGCCGAGCACGGCAGATGCGGGGTTCGAAAAGCGACGAGGCAAGAAGAGAAGTGATGCGGCAAGATCCCAAGGGTGTCAGTAATATTGCATATCTCTTGCAGGACGGCAGACGCCGTGGATGCACTGGACTGCAGCCGGCAGCCAGCATGACTGATCCTTGCCCTGATACCGTCTCGGAGAGGAATTTCCTGCGAATGAACATCGAACCATGGCGAGGAGTTGCAACTCGTTTGCTGACCCCCTTTCTCCTGCGTCTTCTTCAGCTGTGTATCGCATGCCACCATCGATGCCAACATGAATGCAACAGCAAGTTTGTTGCCCGAAGATCAGGAGCTGAGAATGTCCCTATCTACCTGGCAACGCTGTGTCGTTATGCACAGGAATTATGCTTTGCGATATCAAACGCAGCTGCAGACCTCTGTAGCTCAAAAGGTACCTTGCTAGACTTGCCGATATCCATCTTCAGCTGTCAGTTAGTAGGCCTAGATGATGGGGCGTGTCTGAGCCGTGATGCAAAGCAACGAAATGCCGTCAAAACCTCGGATTTCTTGAACAATTTGAGGCCCTTATATGGGAGGGCATTGCCCGCTCCCCAGCAAGCAGATGATAGAGTGGCAATGTCACTGACGTTGTCTTGTTGTTGGGCCGCACCAATAACCTTGGACGTTCCCAGTTGGGAGTACGGACCGTGCGACGATGTCGGTCGCAAGCCACAGGTCCGATGTGTTGGAACCGCAGTTCCCCCTTTTCTTGTTTCTCACCCGTCCCGTTGTGCCGGTACCGGTACTACCAGGCGCGGTAAGGTGACGTTGGTGAGGTCACATTCGAGACCCCGCCTCCAGCCCAAAGGGCCCGACTGCAACTTGCAGCGCAGCTGCCCATTGGATGGGAAAATAGCCATTGTTGTCCGTTGCCAGCCTTTTATCTGCGATATTTGATCTGAAGCTCGCTTGGTAGGACAGAGCAAGACACGCATTGGCCACCATGAGTAGCAACCGGCAGCAAGCAGGCAGGCAGCCAGGTGAACAGGTTGGGTAGCTATTGAGACCATTGGCTTGAGTCAACACGCATACGTACGTACAGTAAGACCGGCTTTGTGATGCGTACATCATGCGGCAAGCAGCTCCATGCGCTGTCTGACTGTCTGGGTCCTAGACTTAGGATGTTGGACCAGGCCAGCAGAGCATACAGTCGGATTTTGCGGACTGGAGCTTGCGGCGGCCGGCCCATCGATGCATATGCCCGTCACGGTCCATTCCTTCTGCTGCCTGAAGTGTAGAGTGCATTGTGGGCTCCTTGGTCGACTTCGGTGGCCGCACTCGAAACGCTGCGCATCTTGAATTAGTGGAGGCTGATTTATGAGGATGATGAAAAAGACTGGACTCTTCGTACGTACTACATGCATAGCAGCCCCGAGCGAGAAGACGGGACCGACCGCCCGTTACCCACCTCAGAAGCCGCCTGGGCCTGGACCCACGCAGCCCACCACTGCACTGAGCCCGCCTACGGGTGCGATATCCCAATGTCTTGGCTACCTTACGAGTACTCCATCCTTCATGTTCGCCGCCAGAGCACGCGCATGCTATCCTGATAGCACAGTGCTGTCCGTACAACAACAAACGTACTACGTACGTGCATATGCAAGCTGCAACCGGGAACCTGGTCCGGGCCTGTCCTCCTGTACACTGTACAAGTACAGGTCCACGGGCACGGGTACATGACTGAAGCTGCGGCTGATGAAGATGCCCACACGGCACGGACATGGAGCCTAGACCCCTTCACCTACCAATCCGTACTACGTACCGCACAGCGTTGGCCCTGTATCTCTCCGCACCCACCTCACGCTTACATCCATCTGGCCTCGATTCTCATGAACTGGTAGAAGAACCCCTCGAAGCCATTCGATCTTGGGCTCAACCTCTCCCGCAAAACACTTCAGACTCCGGCCGGTGTTTCGCGATCGAACTCAACCTATCTTCCTCTCGAATTGCCGCGAACCACGATTAAGCACCGGGGAGACCCTCTTGAGACACCCCGAGACCGACGGACGACTTCGCCGCGCACTTGATAGCTACACCAATTGAACGATACGACGAAGGTTTCGACGACCAACCTGCCGCTGCAAACGCTTCCCGACCATGAGCTCCCAGCCAGATGCGCCGGCGGCTTCCACGCCCCAGGGCGAGAGACCGCAGCGAAAGAGTTTGACCAATCTATTCTCCCGTGCTCGAACAGTGCTCCGACGCAGTGAAAGCTCTACGAAGCAGAGGGAGCAGGGCGATCCAGCGTCCGAGACAGGCGGGGCCTTCGAGCTGCCTGACAAAATGTTCGTACCAAAGCCCTCTCATTCTTGCTGGCTACCGGCTCTGCTAACACTTTGAGCAGGACAGCTCCGGCTCTGACCAGGGCGCAGGAGGCTCGTGCCAGGTACGAGGCCATGCAGGGTGTCTCGCGCCTGTCCAAGTCCGAGATGTTCGAAGAGCGAGCCAAGAAGCTGGGCGAGCGCTTCGGCATCGAGCTCAAGCCGACCGAATGGCAAAAATCCATCGCCGGCGACACCGTGCTGCGGACAGACAAGCCCATCCGCATGCGCGTTCGCCGCACCTGCCACAAGTGCAACGCCGCCTTCTCGGCGGACAAGGAATGTCCAAACTGCCAGCACATCCGTTGCACAAAGTGCGCGCGCTACCCCCCGAAGCGTACCGAGGCGGAGGTCATCGCCGGTCGCGAGAAGAAGGCGGCTATCCTCAAGGTCAACAGGGAGAATGCACCCATCATCCCTGACTGGGACATTGATGAGAAGGAGGGGGAAGTGCTTCTCACGCGTCCCGCTAGGAAGGGCGGTTCCGATCTTGTCTACAAGAAACCGCGCCAGCGTGTGCGGCGCACATGTCACGAGTGCCAGACGCTCTTCGCCACCGGGAGCAAGCTGTGCGCAAGTTGTGATCACGTCCGTTGCACGGACTGTCCGCGCGACCCGTACGTTGGCCACGCATCTCCCCACCACGAGTTGAAGCTAAGCATGGCAACAGGCCCAAGAAAGACAAGTATCCCTTTGGGTACCCAGGCGATGCTTTTGGTCCAAACAGTACTCCGCGCTTCGAGTGCGCCAAATGCACGACTTTGCATCCTGAAAATGTTCAGGAGGGGGCCAAGTGCAAGGTATGTGGGCTGGAGAAGTCGGACGCAAGTCCACGGGCACAGCCGCGCAAGGTTGAGTCCGAGCCTGAACCTGAAGTTGTGAAGAGGCTGGCGGCGCGCCTGGCTGCACTCAATGTGAGCCCAGACGCCTGATATATTGACCGGGCTCACGACTCGATCCACCTGACGGCCGCCTATTTGCTACCAGCACTTCAGCAACTACCTCTTCCATATACCTTGACGTAAATCAGCACATCTGATATGAGATTACTGTATCCGCAAGCTCAGCGACCGATTCATGTAATTAGGCATTGTTGTAGATCGTCCACGGCTCCTTCTCAGCCCTCTCCCGAATCTGCGCCTCCTCCTCCCTTCTCAGACGTTCTCGGACCACCATGAGCGCTTCACCAAGCCTATTCTCACCCCATTCTGCACGGTGACCCATGGCATGCTTCTCCTTGAATCCGATCCCCCACACTCGATCCTTGCTTGACGCCTCGACCAGCACGCGGTCACCGGTGGCGAGGAGCTTCGCCTTCAGTCCTTCGTTTTGACCGAACTTGGCCACGTTCCCTGCCACGACCACTTTACTCTTGACGTCGTCCCACTGCCTATCACAACATCCGATTGTATTCTTTCCGAGTCTTTTCTGCTCCTTGGGCGACGCCGTGGCCATGATTCGCAGTTGGCGTACAAAGTCGCGGAACCGCCCGGCTTTGCAGTACATCATGAACTGCTCGGCGCAGTTGAACGTGATGGTTTCATTTGCGCCCGAGAGTTCACATGGCTGGCCTATCAAGGAGGCGATCTCGGCCTGGGAGACGGTGAAGGGACCGAAATACCATGGGCAGAACTCCCCGTACGGTGCGTTGGGGAAGTAAAAGAAAATAAACTCGTCCTGGGCTGGGGCTCTGGAGCCGGAAGGATGCGATTGTCTTTGATGAGGTTTCATTGCGCTAGGTGGGTTGCCGATTCACGTTGTCAAAAGGTGGCAATGCGTGAAGGGGGAGTTGGACATAGACGTATGACGCGAGCAAGTTCTGGCCTCTTCTACTTGATTTAAAAGAAAGTTTCACAATTCTTCGCGTAACAAGTGAGGAAGCGTGGCGAGATACTTTATTCAGCCTTGCTCGCGCCTCGCAGGGAGTCATACGGCAACTACTTGGTGTAAAAGCCTCCATCCGCTAACTACAAGATTCAGTAGCGAGAACAATAATTGCGCCCATGTCTCCGTGACATTCAATAAACCCAAGCCCTTTCTCAAACATCTTCCTTGACATGTCCTTCCAACGCCAATCGTGACCCGTGGGCCACACAGGGTCCCAGCGTATCGATGCGATTCCTCTTGCGGCCAATATATCTTCCCATGCCTGCCTCCATGCGGTTGTTCAGTTGCGGTATGACCTGCTCGTTGACGTGGCCCGACGCTACGATCTGATTGAAGCTCCCCGGGTCCAGAATGGGCATCAGGCGATGCGTGGGGTAGAAGCGGCCCTTGATCGACCTCTCGTTCAGGATCACATTTTCCTTCATCAGCGAGTACTGGTAGGTGTTGTTTTTCGAAGCAGTCGACTGCCTCCATTTCAGTTCGTCGCGCAGCGCGATGGGAAGCTGCTCCGGCGGGACAATGTTTTTGGAGGCATCCTTGCAGAGCACGTAGAGATGGCCGCGGAACAGCAGGCCGCCCTGCTCCTCCGACACAAATATGTTCCGCAGCCCCATGACCGCGGTCTCGCCGGCCATGAGCGAGGCTGGCAGCTTCCGAAGGCGCAAGGCATCGCCAATCTCGATGCGCTCTGCTCCCAGGAAGCAACCGTAGTAGAAGATGGTTTTTTGGTCTTGCGACACGGGAGACCAGGTCGAATACGAGTAGTCGATCTTGGTCGCCGCCATCTTGGACGCATCCAGCGCGAAGACGTCGCGTTTGCCCGTATCGTTGCCGAGGGCATGGATGGTCGACTCCCACGGGATGTCGTCAAAGACCTTGTCTTTGAGATCGGGTATGGTGACAAACGGCACGCTGAATGCGTAGAAAGGTCGCATATCCTCGGGAGGCTTGACCACATTGGGGCGGTGAACCATGCCATGTCCTATGGGCAGGAGCTCATGCGCCGTCTGGCTTGACGCGGCGATGATGCCCAACCGCCAAGACGCTCCATTGTTGAACCACACAAGCTCACCGGCACGGAAGACAAGTGGCGACCTGAGGCTCCAGATAATATTTGCTTGTGCTTGTGGTTGCGCCTGTGGTTGCGCCTGCGGCTGGGGATTGCTTTGGGCTGGAGCCTGAGGTTGTGGCTGTGTCTGGGCCGGGGATTGTCGTTGCATAGGAGATTGTGTTTGCGGCCGCATGTGTAGTTGCTGCTGGTGCTGGACTTGAGGCTGGACCTGGACCGGAGCGGACACATGATTCGCGAGCGCGCTTTGCTTGGCAGCAGCTGGTCTTGCAATGGTAGCTCCTTGTTGTGTCTGTCCAGAGATGGGTATCGGCGCAGGTGTCGCCTTGGGCTGCACCTTATCTTGCTTGGCCGGCGATTCCGCGTGAGGCAGATTGGGCGTGTCCAACTCCACGACCACCGGCTTAGGCGCGCTCTGGAAGTTGCAATGCGGGCAGCAACAGTCTTTGTAGTCATTTGATGTAGATGAGAGCCATATGAGGTGGAATGCGAATTCCTGTGGTGTCCTGAAGAGCTTTGACTTGATCGGATAGCCCGAGACCCAAGTCTTGTTGGATTTCTCATACAGCCAGTATCCTCTGGGGAAGTTGACGAGCCACGCATTTCCCTCTGTGAGTATTAGTATACGGGTGGTGGTGAGTAGTGTGCGCCGGCAAAATCTCACCATGAGGGCTAGGCGATAATTCCTGCTTCAGGAGAATCCCCAGCTTCACTTTCCATTCGACAAATCGTGGGTCGTCCTCTGCCAGTCTCGCCATTGACGGCTTTGTGCGTCGTCCAGCGTCTGTTGCTGCCCCAGGGACCTTCTTGGGAGGCGCAGGCTGTGCAGGCTGTGCAGGCCAGTATCCAGGTCCTGTATCCGCGCCATCGCTACGACCAAACTGGATAACGTTGAACTCCTTTTGGTCCGCCATGGCGGTCTTCTGAGAACCTGCCTCCTGCAGGTAACCCGATACGCCGGTAGACGGTACTGTCGCCTTGCTTTACTGATAAAGTGGCTGATGTATGGGCTACAATCGCAGGATACTGAGTGCGGTCTTGGGCTGTCAAGCTAGCCTTTGGGAGCCCTTGACACGTTTTCTGCGGGCTGCTTTGGCAAAGAGTGGTCGACAGCTCAAACTGAGGTTTAGAATAAGAGGTAATCTCGGCCGATCCTGCTGGACTACCACGCAAATCACGACGCGCGCGACCAGATGAATTATAAACAAGAGCACAGCACCTTGTTCGAGGTTTGGAGGTCGACGTGGGACCCACCAAATATTCAATGATTGGTCAACTGCTACTCGAATCGTGGTCCTGCACTGCAGGCACTCAACACGGTCCACGCGTATCAATTCATTCATTCATCTATCGTCACTTCAATTTTCACAAGTTGACCAACGAGTAGGATTCGAAGACTTCGCCCAACTGCTCACGATCCTCAATTAGACGAGACTTTCTTTACAAAACCTGTGAATTCCTAGGGCAGAACCATGGAAGGACTCATTGACCCAAACTACAAAGTTGGCAACAAGGCCTTCCTCCAAGCACTGATGGCTCGGGGAACCATGACATACGAGGAGGCTCGCCCCATTCTGGCCGCCATAGGGAATGCCGATGAAGGATCGCAAGAGCACGACGAGGAGGAAATCACCGAGGAAATCTTTGAGGAATACATCAACCTGGCCCGCCAAGCTGTCTCACTGTTCGATTATGACATCCGCAGAGCAACGCACCAGAAGACAAAAGAACACATCTACGCCCTCATCAACACTACATCGGACCCGCAGACACAACTAGCAACCACGTTCACAGCGGATGAGCTCGCATTCATCAAGCGGCTGCTGGTAGCCATCTTCGAGTCCCACAACAGCCCGCGCATGGAGGTCATGGCAATCACACAGATGCAAGCAATCAAGTTGGCGAGGCCACGGTCAAGACCAAGTCAGGCACACGATGAGGAGAGCACGCAGGCACCAACAGACCGTGGACTGAAGCACAGTGAGGTGGAGGATGTTCTGTCGAACATGACAGCTGGCGGCTGGCTGGAGAAGAGTCGCGAGGGCTTCTACAGCCTGTCTTCAAGGGCACTCTTGGAGCTGCGCCCTTGGCTCATTGAGGAGTTCAACAGCCCAGACGCTGAATCGGACGAATGGCAGCCTATCAAGACCTGCGCGGCTTGCAAGGAGATCATCACGTACGGGCTGCGATGCGCAGAGCCCCTTTGCAACCTTCGGCTGCACGACATTTGCGAAGACGCATTCTGGAGGTCAAGAGGCAACAAGAACTGCCCCAAATGCGCGCGGGCGTGGACTGGCAAGAATTATGTCGGTGAGAGGGCGGTTACGAAGACAGCCGCGCACGAGAGACGGCGGACAGCGGGCGGCGCGAGGAGAAGCAATGCCGCCGAAGAAACTACGCGCCACGCGCAGCCCAACGGCGGCTACTCGGACGACCAAGGGGTCGACAGTGACGATAATTCGTAAAGACAAGCGCTTTACAATGAATGAATGAATGAATGAATGAATGGATGGATGGATGTGCCAAGATCACTAAGAAGGGTTGGGCGGCAAAGAACTTTGACTTGAAAGTGCATGGTTGGGGAAAGTGTGGCTGATGACATCACCCAAGGGTCCAAGTGTGGCGGTGCACATGCGGCCAACAACAAAGCAGGGCAATGCTCATTCATGAGCACATGCGAAGCCAGGTGATTCGCCCAGAGCTCAAAGACAAGGCGGCAGAGAGGGCGCTAGACGTTTAACTAAAGAGTCGCTTGCATCCCCTGCTTCTCTGGGGCAGCTCTCCTCAACCTCTCACTGTTATACACCCTGAAAGCTCGAGCCAAACTATACCAGTCGACGCCATGCTCGAATACTTCACCTACAAGAAAGTCAAGAAGGACAGGGACGCCAAGAAGGCACGCGAGAACGAAGCCACAAGGGCCCTCGAGGAGCGCAACAGCAATGTGACCACCCCGGTGGACCCCAATAACAACGGATCCAGCTCGAGGCCCGCCAACGACCCTGCTACGCCTGTCCTCGACCGCTCAGATGAACGATTCCTCCAAGAGATCTTGTCTGAGGATGGTGATCCACCTGCGCTGCCGGAGCGGCCTCTCGTGGTGCCAGATCTCGAATGGCAGTCTGACGACGCCAAGTCGCTCGACCCACGCAAAATCAACAAGAGTCGCAAGAAGAAAGAGAGGGAGGAGCAGAAGCTGAAGGAGAACGAACAGAGAGCCAAAGACCGAGATAACAACAAAGACAAGGAGAACCAGCAACTCAAACCGGGCCGCCTCTCTGTCCTCTTCTCCAAAGCCAAGTCAAAGACAGGCGATGACAAGACGAGCCCAGCCGTCTCACCCGCCGTCACACCTGGCGACACCTCCCTCTCCGAGGAGGAGGAGCAAAAGGAGGCCAATGACCTGGGCCGCGTCCTCGAACGTCTCAATCTTAAGGCAAAGAACAACAAAGTCCTCGCCGGCGAGAATGCCGATCTGCTGGCTAGGTTCACGCAGATCTTCAAGGACCTGGCGAACGGCGTGCCTACGGCATACGACGACCTGGTGAAGCTCATCAGTGATCGCGACGGCACCATCAACAAGGGCTTCGAGAAGTTGCCCTCGTCGCTGCAGAAGCTGGTCACGCAGCTGCCCGAGAAGCTCACCAACAGCATTGCCCCCGAGATCCTCGCCGCGGCTGCCAAAAGCCAAGGCGTCCAGTTCAACGCCGAGGGTGGCCTCAAGGAGGCGACGAAGAAGATGCTCATGCCGCAGAACATCCTCGAACTGGCGACAAAGCCCGGCGCTCTCGTTGGTATGCTGAGGGCCATTGTTACAGCGCTCAAGACAAGATGGCCTGCGTTCATTGGAGTCAATGTGCTCTGGAGCGTGGCGCTCATGTGTGAGTGACCAACACCCCCTGACTCGACTGACAGATCCGGGATGCTAACCCCCCTATAGTGCTCATGTTCGTACTCTGGTACTGCTACAAGCGAGGACGCGAGGAGCGCCTCTTGAAGGAGAAGGCCGAAGGCGAGGATACCGTCGATGGCAGCAGCAGGATTGAGGAACTCCCAGACGACCCCCAATTGCCTGCGCCGCGGTCAGAGACTATGCCTCTGGCTACGGACAGTGAGCCGGTCGTCGCTGAGCCTGTCCGCCGCCGTACTCAGCACGACGAGGCGTCACGCTCGCGTCAGCGCCGGGATGATTGAGCCATCGGAAAGATGTGATGATACCCTTATGATCTTTTGGACTAGTTCCTACGGTTTAATGACTTTAGATATGATGAATGGCCTGCAAGTGCACGGTTTTCTTCATGTGATGACAACCTTGACGTGTTGTTCCTTTTTCAGCTGGGTATCCGAGTATTTGGTGGTTGACTTAGTCGTCCTGTGCAATTCCTCTTCCATGCGTGAGACCAGCCTTGGCTGAACCACTCGCCATGCCTCCGCTGCCCGGAGGTCCCTGACCGTCCTGCATCCAGAAATCGACCTCGTCGACAATGTCCCATACCACATCCTCGGCAACCTGCTCCTCGAATCGTTCAGAAAGGGGACGAGCAACACCGCCGGTTCCTCCGTTGCTCTCTATCTCCATATCGCCATTGGTCGACTTAGGAGGCGGATACCAAAAGTCAGGTCCAAAGTTCACCTCTGCGGCGCCGCCTCGAAAGACACTGACGGCGGGGTAGTATCCTAACGACCCATCATCTAACCCATCCCTGGCCCCTTGCTGTTGTTTCGAAGCGGGCGGTAGAAACCCAAGTAGGTCTTCGAAAGCGGTGCCCATGAGCTTCCCGTTCTTGTATAGTCGGATGGATGAGTTCGGCAACGTGCGTAGACTCGGGGACGCATGCAGCGGGTTTGGTGCCTCCATGGCACCATTTGGACCAAGAGGGGATGGGTTCATGAGATCTTCCAGCTCCTTTGTCGAGCTATAATCGATATTCTCAAAGTAATTGTTGGCTTTGTGTCGAATCGCGGGTCGTTCGCGCACAATGTTCGCAGCACTGGCCGTCCGTTTAGGCTGCAACTCCTCGTGGGGGTCGACCGCAGGATTGTACGTGCCGGCCATGACTCTGCGATGCAACCGCTCAGAGGGTAATTGGATCTCGAGACCTATGACATCTCCTTCATGTATGGTCTCGCCCGGTGGGAAGAAGTCTTTTGGCCTTGACATCCATACCTTCTCCCCCGTCACATCGCGTATGCCGTAGCTGTAGGCATCGTATCCCACAGGCGCCTCGAGGGAAGCCTCCCGTCGCGCCCAGCCCATTCGGACGTGGTTGCTTGTCTGCGCTTTCGACTCGCCATCCTTGGCTTTCCGGATGCCTTGCTTGATCTTGCACTCCCAATACCATCTGCCCTCTCGTACGCCGACGTTGGCCCTGGCCATGCGAAATCCCTTGTCGGTTGTGACCTGCCGGCACGTCGAATCGAAGAAGATGTGTGACGCAGCGTCTTCGTAGGTCAATTTGGGTCCGTACGGTTCAAGTTCGGTCTGTCGATAGTACAGCATGGATGGGAAAAGAGGATCGCCTATGTAATGCGAATACCGAAAGTTGCGCTTGTTCGCAACGCTGGTATCGTTAGTCAAAGCCGGCAGCGAGCCATTTGGACAGTGGCACTCACCCCTCTGTTGGCTCAAAGAACTCAATGGCCTCGCCATCTTCGGTCGTAGCCTTGTGGTGTGGGATCAAGACAGGCCCTCGCGAAAGCTCAAAATCGGTTTGCTTCGGAGGTGCGACGAATCGAAGGGGGCTCAGCTCGGCATCATGCGATTCTTTGAGGCTCTTGAACCCAACACTGCGCGGCTTTGGGTCAGGCGTTGCGCGCACGCTGTCCGTGCCCTTTGCCTCGCGCTTCTTGAAGGTGTCCTTCTTGGCGCGTGCTGACTTTGTGCGATGGGGGGCTTCGTCAGCTGGGGGCTGCTCGGTGGCCCTGTTATCAGGGTTCAACGGCGAAGACACCGCAGGACTGTGGTCGTCATCGAGAGCGCGCTTCTGTGGGATTGACCCAAGTGGCGTGGGTGTCGGCTCATGTTTGGGTGTATCGCTTTCCGTAGCCATTGTGGTGATGGCGAGGTCAGGTCGCTGGGGGAAGAAAGAAATGACGTCGAGGTAGCTTTTCGGCCGTGGTGGCGGGCAGGCGCGTCTTGACTCTAGACGCGACCAGAGCGCCAAGAAAGGAATTGGATCACCCATCGACAATACTCCATACTTGAGTTTACATGACTCAGATCATCTCGCCCAGAGCTTTGAACTGATTTTGCAATCAATGCTGAACAGTTTCTTTTCATAATATGTGCCAAATTTGATTGAACAGCGAAGATCTAAGTTATTGTTGTCAATCATGGGTCTTGTGGTTTATTATACGCGCCAGCGAAAAAAGAACTTCAACCGACTCGGCATATCCCCGACATGAAGGGTAAGAAGGCAGAAAAGGCAGGGGCCGACAGTCCAGTCACGTCTTTGTACAAGTAGGGAAGTACCGCACATGAACAACTGCAAAGCTGAGCTGGCACTTCGCAGCACGTAATGTTGGCATCTGGGTAAATCGCACTCGTTCAATTAATTGGCCTGTGGTTGACTTGCGAGGTCCAGGCTCGAATCAAGTAAGGAGTACGGACTATGGATAACATGGCGCTATCCAAAATTCGGTCTTCGCTGTGGCCTAGCCCAGACTAGCGGTTCTGGAGATGCATCGAGGCCCACCTCCTGGTGTCGACAGATCTGACCAGCCAATGAAAACGGAGGGAATGTAATCATTGCTACCTGAGGGGCTTGATACCGGCCGCTAATTGGCTCCTTCCGGCATCAACGTTCGAAAGTGACGATTTGGGCGACACTCCTTGGGATTCGGTGAGATCCGTTGAGTGTCGTCTGGATCTGACAATGCCAGGATCCAAATCCCCGATTCATAATCAACCCGTGCCAAACCACATCAATCTCCATCGCAGGAGCATTCAGTGACACAGCGGGATCGCGAGTTCTTGCTCTGTTGTCTACAGACGCCTCAGCGCCCACTGAACAAAAGCAAAGTGTCACCTCATCCTCTCAAAACTTCTCAAGGCACGGACGAATCCTAGATCCGGCCTCTGATCAGTCCGGCAACGAGTGCTGAGGTAGAAGCCTCCAACGATCCCATCGTCCCCGCGATCAAGATTCGTCACCCAGCATCGTCCCCAGGATCTCCTTGACATACATCTCGGGCGTTGTCAGGTGTATTATTCAGCCCAGTCGCCTCTTCACCTAGGTCAGCTGACGACTCATTTGTCGCCTACTCCCGTCCTTCGGTCAAGATCCTCGGGCTTTTTGTTCGATTCGCACCTCGCTTGCGGGTTAATTTCGTGGCCGAGGACAAACGTCTTCTCAGACACACTTGACACTCATCATCACTATCCTCTCACATACCAAAGATCCGGTGGGACCGGACTCAATGCCTGGTCAACTCATTTTATGACACGAGGGTTGAGGCTGATCTGACTCTGACTCGCACATCCCGCGTTGACAACCTCACGGCTGGCTCAAGATAACTGCACCTCGCCACCAAGATGAGCGAGCAACCGTCTCACGACAGGTTCCCAGGGTCCTTGCGCGATGTGGCGGCGCGCACGGCTCTGCCGTCGCGGCCCGTGCTATCGAAACCACAAATTGGGGAAATGTCCCTGCGACCAGAAGCGCCCACCAGCCATCGCACGTCGAGAAGCATCTCACCAAACTCAGAGGACAGCGCACTGCGTGATGCGTCGCCCTCGCCCTCAGCAGCGAGCCCTGTTTCATCGACGGCCATGTCAGCAGCAAAGCCTAGTCCGCCACCTGGCAGCCATACACCAGGCGGACAGATTTGCAGGTACGTTTCTCGTGTCCCGGTATCCCCTGTCATGAAGCTGACGAGGGTAGCAACTGTGGCACAACACGTACGCCGTTGTGGAGAAGATCGCCCCAGGGCGCTACCATCTGTAACGCATGTGGCCTCTACTACAAGGCGAGGAACACGTCACGGCCCATCGGTCTGAAAAAGCCGCCGCAGGTCGTTCAAGAGAAACTAAGTGGACAGCCCATATCTATCGCACCCAAGCCGAACGCAAATGTGCCCGGTGCAACGTACGTCTCTGCTGAGCAGACGCCTACTGGGTCATGTCCTGGCGGAGGGCGTTGCAATGGGACCGGTGGTGCAGAAGGATGTTATGGCTGCCCTGCTTTCAACAACAGATTGTCCAAGAGCGCCAATCTGAATGTGAAGGGCCAGAAGTCGGCAAGTTGCCGCCCGGCAGATACACCTACAGAAGGATCGTCCCAGTTCACCAGCATCAACGACCATGCTATCGATCTCACCACCGCCCAGCCGACGACACCGAATCAGCAAGACGATACCACCGTGGTCATAGCGTGCCAAAATTGCGGAACAACGGTCACGCCTCTATGGAGGAGGGATGAGAGTGGCCACACAATCTGCAACGCTTGCGGTAGGTCAAAGCCTTTTGCCGAACCACAGACTCTTGCTAATGCCAGCAGGCCTCTACTACAAGCTTCACAATGTGCACAGGCCGACGACAATGAAGAAGGCGACAATCAAGAGGCGGAAACGAGTAATCCCAGCAGGGGAGGACGCGGAACTGGATGACGCTTCGCAAGCCGGGCAAACACCTCCTCTGGCAGAGAAAGGGTCTGTGAACGACGATGGATCCGTTAACCTTGGCTTCCGGAGACAAGAGGCTCAGCCCTCTGGCATGGATTACATGTCGGCCCGCCCTAGCAGCCAAGGTCACAGGCAGCCTTCGCCAATCTCCGGCGCGTCGGACCTCGCAGCCTACCACCAACAGTCACTGCGTCCGCGTAACATGCACCAACCCCTGAGTGACGACAACCGGCTGCCGCCGATAGCTGGTCTACATGCGCCAGGCGGTGTGGTCGACCGCCAATCGTCCATGTCGCCGGCGTCCTTTGGGTCTTTGACGCGTAAACGTTCCTTCTCGTCAGCTGAACACGATCCGCGGAATCAACAGGAAGAGAGCGGTGGCGAGAACTCCAAGAGGCTCTCGTCCATCAAGTCGATCCTCAACCCCTCTCAGCAGGGTGGACGACACGACGAACGATCCGACTTTGCCCTGCCGCCGCTTCGGTCACCCGGCCCTACCGCGCCTCCGCCTCCAGCCAGCCCTGGCACATATTCTACGAGGGACCATACGCCGGCGCGGTCCGATGCTGAGGGCGAGCATATCAAGGCTGATCGCAGGGCTGCGCTGCAGCGGGAAAGGGATGCCATGCGCGAGATGCTGGCTGCCAAAGAGAGGGAGCTCATGGAGATGGGCGATTAGCAGGACGAAGCAAAAGGTGGCCGCGACGAGTTGGCGGAGCATACGCGATGACAAGCCCTCAGGAGTTAGGGGGCCAGAGCGAGGCGCATTGGGGAAGGCCTTCCATGGGTGGAATTGTGTTTCAAGAGTTGCGAGCTTTGGATGGCGTTGATGACCGAATTATCGGGATGCATGTCTACCATCGGCTTGTTGTAGCCAGCTATCTCGTTTTGAAGCCAGTACCAGGTCAAAAGCCTCTATCCCTATAACGAAGTGATATCGCACGGTAGACGAACTATAACGAGTCCAGGAATTTGCCTCAACGTGATGTCTGGACAAAGCCAATGCACGCGTGGGGTACGACAGTGAGACTCTTCTCGATCCTCGACCTGTGTTCCTGACTCGAGTACGGAGTACGACTGCCAAGGAACGGCTGTCAATGGTGTTGGCGCACTTGGTCGTGGTACGGTAGGAGGATGATTCGAGAAACGTCATGAAGTAGCTACCAGCCGAACAGCGGTGAGAAGGAATTGGCTTGCTAGAGGACTTCTCGGAGGATCCATGTACGGAGGAGTCCTTCAGGTATGATGCGACTCACGTTGCCGGTGTCGGATCATGGATGATACAGCCTATCCGTACAGGATGGGGTCCTGCGGAAAAAAGACTCGAAGCAGAAGTGCTAATAAAACGGTGGAGAGTCCGCCGACCAAGATGCACGCCTTCCGGACGACAAGAAGTGTGGGGCAGACAGGGTAGGCTGTGTGGGCCGGACGGACATTGATGCTGACATGATGAATCGACACTGTACTAACCCGGCTTAGTTGGAGTGCGTAGGACAGTGCGGAATAGACTGTCCTAGACGCAGCCTGTCAATTCAAGGGCGCACGACCAGCAGCAGGAGCGACCCCAGCCTTCGCCGTCTTGCGGTAGGCGACTCCGTACGGAGTATCCGTACAGCGGTGCAGTTAGCGAGCGAGCCAGCCACTCAGCACCAGCAGACATGATCAGAGTGCTGACAAAACCGGCGGGCGGATGACTAGAACTCTGTTCAACACTCGAGCGGCTGAACAGACTCTCTTCTTCTCCTCTTCTCGACATACTTCAATGTTCGTTCCTCGAATTTAAGAACACTGTCAGCCGTGTTGCAGCAAGGGCGCCTGTGACGAGGCTCCACCATCGTCGACTGCTACACCCAGAGAGGAAGCACAGCCAGCCAAGCAAATAGCATCAGAGGCTTTGAGAGCAGGTGCAAAGGCGCGCCCTATTCCTTATATCCGCCGTGGTCATCTGTCATTGTGCGCCCTTTCACCCACAAAAGAGCTCGTCTGCTTGGCCGAAACCATGACTCCTGCACGCTCAGCACTGGATGAGTTGGACGAATTCGTCAACTGGGGAGACAGTGTGAACGCCAATGCCAACGACACCTTGGACAATGGCAACGCCACGGCCGACGCCAAAAACGACGCATTCTTCCCGTCCTTCGAGATTGATCCTGCTCTCGCTGACTTGAGCATGGGGCCTAGCCCAACCCCTGAGAACATTGACCTCATGCTTGGCAACGTCGATGAAGATGACTTCAGCTTCAGCGCCATCGAGCACTTTGGCGCGACAAACGCTGGAGGCATTGATCTTCCCGCGCTGACGGGGAACGACGTTGCCAACCCCGAGATGCCCACTGGCACAGATTCCCCCATGGACTTTTGGGAAACGCCAGAGTATCCGTGTGGTCACTGCATCATGGGCGGTCATGTCTGCAAAAAGATCCGAGAGGGCCGTTACAAAGGCTACTGTACAAGCTGCATTGCGCTCAGCATCGAGTGCAGCTTCGTCAGCATGATGTCCGGTCCGCAGTCGGGCTCCTTTCAGGAGGCTGTCCCCATCAACCCATGGTCTACCATGGGGGCTGAGCATACTGTGAACGACCCCAAGGAGAATCCGCTACATCGGTCATTGAGCACTCAGTCTTCGTCTACCGACTTGGCCAATCTGAGCACTGCCGAAGAGACCAACTTCTTCGCACCCAAGCCCGACGGTGTTCCGCCCAAGATTGGCGCTCGATTCTCCCGGGAGTCTGTGAGGATCCTCAAGACATGGTTGACTACCCACAACAGGCATCCTTATCCCAGCGACGAGGAGAAGGAGATGTTGCAACGAAAGACGGGCCTCAGCAAGACACAAATCACGAATTGGTTGGCCAACGCTCGTCGCAGAGGCAAAGTGCAGGGACCGCGGGCAACCTCGCCTCACTCCAACTACCCGTCCCGTGGCATTGACATCCCCCAACGCCGTGGCACGCCAGCTCTCGAGAGTATGAACCCCCTGCAGCGTTGGGCACACTCGCCTCCCGAGCACGAACCTGCATCGGTCAGCGCCATTGCCCGCGCTGTGACGGCGTCATCATCTGCCGTGTCTTCTGGGCTGAACAGCCCATTCTCGCACCCTTACACCGACGATGGCTCCAGTCGGTCACTCTGCAACCAATCTTCGGCTAGTAGTTTTGGCACCTCGCATTCCAGCAATGGATCTTCTGCTTACTCCCATGGGTCTCGCAACTCTTTTGGTTCTTTCGGCTCTGCACCTTTCAACAACCACGGACGCCGCCGACGTCGCAGGAGGGCCACCCCTAGCAAAGGCCTGAACCACCAGACGGAGCTGGGCGCTCCCCTCAAGACCTTCCAGTGTACTTTCTGTACAGAGACGTTCCGGACGAAGCACGATTGGCAGCGGCATGAGAAATCACTGCACTTGTCGCTCGAGCGGTGGGTGTGCGCGCCCCACGGCTCGCGCGCTGTGTGCCCTGACACAAACCAGCTTTCCTGCGTCTATTGTGGCCAATCGAACCCTGATGATGAGCACCTAGAGAGTCATAATCACTCGACCTGTCAAGAGCGGACGCGCGAGGAGCGGACCTTTTACCGGAAAGACCATCTCAACCAGCATCTGCGCCTCGTGCACAACGTCAAGTTCATGGATTGGGCGATGAAGTCATGGAAAGTGGCAACGCCAGAGATCAGATCGCGCTGTGGTTTCTGTGGCGAGATCATGGACACGTGGTCGTACCGGGTGGATCACCTGGCAGAGCACTTCAAGACGGGTTTTTCAATGGCGGACTGGAAGGGTGACTGGGGTTTCGAGAACCCGGTGCTCGAGCATGTCGAGAACTCGATACCTCCATGTATGAGACCTCTACAGTATCCAGTAGATCAGGTGCAGCCATCTAACTTTTGAGAAATATAGATCTTATTCATCATGAGCGCATATCTCCGTTCCCTTACATGGCCACTGGCTCGGCGCCCGAGACACCGCGAAACGCCTACGAACTCATCAAGCTCGAGCTTGCCTTCTTCGACGGCAACCATCGCGAGCAGCACGGACGACCCCCGACAGACGAGGAGATGGCGGTCGAAGGCATGCGTATTATTTTTGCCAGCGAAATCTTGTCTTTGCAGGGTATTGCGACACAGGTTTCCTGGCTGCGTGATCTGATTTTCAAGGACGACAGTCTGATGAGGAAGGCCCGTTTCGGTCCCCAGCGTGGCGCGACTGAGAACAGGCTGGAGACACTCAAGATTAACGGCAAGGACAACTTATTCGAGCAGTGCCCGATGGAGTTTCAGCTGCACGAGTTTGTCAGGGCCAAGAGGTTATTGGGGTTAACCGCCATGGACGACGAGCTGCAGGAGGAGGCTTGCCGCATTGTCGGGCGTGTGGAAGAAGTCTCGACTCACCCATCAGACATTGTGGCCAACTGGGTGCTGAGAATGATTGCGTCCTCGACAAACTGGCTCGCTCCGTTCAGACGGCGTGCACACTTGCCCCGGTCAGACGACATCAAGGACATGCTCATCCGGTCCACGGACCCGACGGTGATCGACTCGACCATCCACAACTATACGAGGTTGGAGAGAGAGTTATCAGACTACATGCGGACGCAGCGCGCGGCTGGTATCGAGCTCTCGGACGAGGCACTGCAGCGCCAGGCGCGTATCATCATCTACGAATTTGACGATGGCTGGAACCAGACCGCTGCCGACAATATGACATGGCTCGAGGCTTTCAAGTCTCGCCACTCTGCCGAGCCAAAGCCACAGCCAATGGACAGCTCGCCCACGTTTTCGCTGCCCAAGACAAATACATCTTTGACTGACAACACGCCCTTTGCCAGCGGCGCCGCCACCACGGTTTCACCTGCGACTGCAATGAGCGGTCCGTCAGTCCTGGATGCGGACGGCAACATGTCCAAGTTGAACCTCTATTTTCTACACGAAGCAAATTGCCACCGCAGTCTCTCGCGCGACCTTGCCCGCTGGGTGGCAGCGACCATGTCCCCCAACAATCCCGCCCAGCACGTCCCTACCGACGCCGAGATACAGCACCAAGCGCGCTGGCTCCTCTATGACGAGGACGACCCGTGGAACTACACCCATGCAGACAGCGAGGAATGGCTGACTCGGTTCAAGCGTGCCACCGGCATCCTGCAGGACGACGGGCCCCTACTGGCCTCAACTGGCCCGCTGCCGCTGGCCTCCAAGAACGAGTGCCAGCCCCGAGAAGCAGAAGATGCGACGGCATTCATCAACGAGCACATTTCGGACGAGGAGATGGGAAATATTGTGCAGGGCATGGAATTTACCATGTCAAGCCAACATGAGCATGAAGGTGGCGTGCGCTTGTCACGCGGGTAGGACTATGTTGTGGTTGTCGAGGGGGTGTTGAATAAGGGGCCACCGTGATGACAACCACAGAAAAAGATGATGCACGGCGGTAGTAAAAACAAACGGCACTACACGGCGCTGATGTAGTTTACAATATACCATTCTTAGTTCTTAGCGAATTACGAACCTCGTTTTACATATCTACCTATACTAGGCACATTAACCTCGGACGCATGTCATGGCGTCAGCACAATCTTGTTGTGCCTTGTCACAGCGTGCTCCTGTCCTCATCATCAAATTAGACTCTACAGAAAGGATGGACGACGTACCAAAGCAATACCCAGGCCACGAGCAGGCGCATCCCCACCTGGATGCACACCAGATTATCCGCACAATCTTGCGCAACCCTACACACGGCACCTTCACAATGTCCAGGCCATGAGCATGACCCCTCGCCCATCTTCTTCAACAGTCTATCTCCCAACGGCTCGACGCTTGCGTGAAGCTTCTCTAAAGAGTCGCTCTCCCATATGGCCCCGGCTCTGCCAGGCACAGCATCACGCCCCGTAAAGGCGACATAGAGCACGTCAGGCTCATCATCATGCGAAGATAGAGCCTCATCGCCCCCGCTCATCCCCTCTCCAAAGCACGCCGTCGCCAGACTCAAGCTCGTCCCCCAGACGGACGCCCTCGGGCTATGGGTGCCGTTCCCCCCCTCCACCCCCCAATACACCGCAGAACATGTGCCCTCCACATACGATCATCATGAGACTGGCCCTCTCCGTGCCGTACTCGTGCGGGTCAGAGGTATCCCAGCCAAGGGGGCCCCTGTCCCCAAAGACAATAAAGGAGTGAATGTGCGAGTTGAGGTCGGGGATGCCCACGTCGTAGTCCTCGATGAGATGCCGGATGCTCGTGGAGGGGAGGAAGGTTCTGTTGGCGGCGTGGGAGCGGCAGCAGTCGGAGAGGGCATGGTAAGGTTGGCCGTCGCAGTTGATGTCTAGATTGGAGAGTTTGCCATGGGGACCGAGGAGATAGATGATTCCGTGGGAATCTAGGTTATCGCCGCAGTAGGACATGTCTACGCATGATGTTAGCCCCGGGGGTTCAGCGTCGGAAAAGGGCTTGTGACTGACCTCCTGGCTCGAATTGCGAGTTGTGGAATCCGTATGAGAGATTTCCGTCACAGTCGGACTTGCTTCTGAGCTCGTTCTAGAAATTTTGAACGTGTGGTGGTATTTTAAGAGCGGCAGATGGGGAGGCCAGCATGGCCAGGAGCATGCCTGATAGCTCCATAGTCTTCATATCGAAGATTCAATACAACCAAGAATTTGGGAGGCCGTTCGATTCCACATGTATGTCCGAGTATGTTGGCACTGCTGGGTAGGTTGTCAGCTCAGCCGTCGTCCCTACACACGATTGTGAGGACCACATCTCTGGCCAATGCTCTGTATCTTCATGCTCCGTCTAGAAGTCCGGCATATCCATGTTGATGAACAGCTAATCTAATGGCGCATGAGATGTATATGACGATCCAGTAGTCGAGACTGGATATGGCGATAGCCTCGTGAGCAATCCCGTACCATGTTGCGAGGAGAGGTTGTGCGCCCAACTTGCCAGGGCCCAGCACTGCAAAAAGTGAAATTCACGGTGACGAATGAGATAGACTTGCGGAAAATAATGAACCGTATTTCAATAGCGTGGTATACCAATGTGCGATGCTCACATCATTGGGATGTTGGCTTCTTGTCTCGCGTGGGAGGAATGAGACTGGACTGGGCGCGAGGTAACATACTACTCCAGCCGACCTCATTGCCTTCATCATGTGGAAGAGGATTTCATCCGACTCGTGAAAAAGATGAGACGAGGTGCGCCTGATCTAAGTTACCTGAGTCATGATCCGAGCAATTGCCCTTGTCAGTGCTACTGGGAGCTCACTTCAACGCCCGGTCATCTGCGTTCCTGTTTGTGTCTTCAAACGCTTGCTTGTTGGTCAGGCCGGCCGGACCATGACCACAAGGCGCGACCTTACAAGCCAGGCGACATGGCCGGATTTCAAGTGTTATAAGTTATACAAATCCGAGATGGCCTGGATAAGTACTTCATCGTAAGTCGACTTTGGGCGGCGGTTCCAGTTGCTGGTATCTGTTCATGAGCTCTAATTCCAGGCCAATCTTTGTGCGGCACAACCACAATTCCTGCGCTTATCACAGTGAACCAAGGCAGCTGGAGGCCAAGGTCGAAGAGCACCGCATCCTTTGGAGGAGGAATAGCATCGGAGGTGAAGGAGAGGTGATGCAGAATTGGGGATCGGGGGATGAAGGTGCGATATTGTCTGCACTCTGCACTGCCGAGGACAGTGCGTGCGCTGCATCGTGAGCTGTCACTTCACTGTACGATAAATTAAGCCAGCCAAACTATGTCCCTCCCGGGCACTGCAGCTACTGTGCTATTATGTCTTAGGCAATCAGGGGCCAGGGCTAGCCTTTCCTCATTCTTTCTCACGACTGGAGCGTCTTGCGACAGAAGGCGCACACAACAACAGGCAATCACAATCCAATCCACTGCGGGCGTTGACTGGCCGCAGTTGCTGCACGTACGATGAGCATTGGGCATTTGGGCCGTCGCTCTACGCACATCAAACAAGACGACCATGGCTCACCTCCACGCCCCTGTCCACCTTGACACCACCACTTGAGCCAACATTCGCTTACTCCATCACTGTGCTTCTCAGGGTCTGATCATCGTCTCAAAACAACAAGATACGGTCGTCAAATCGTTATTACAGGTAGTGACCACCTTCGCCATGCCCACATACCTATGCTATGGGTTCCGTTGGGATCGCAAAGCCATCCGCATCTTTGTCGCAAACCACGACCTCGAGGACGCCACGCCCGACTGGGTCATCAATAAGAGGTCATCCATGGTGATCCTCCGGCAGCTGCACAAGCTATATCCCTCCATCAGGAAGCCAGATGAGCCCGTTGATTTGCAAGGCCGGGATGCTCTGGGACAAGAAGTCAACCCTGAGTACGCCCACTTGCCTGCCAGCTATAACCCCGAGGAAGACCTTGTCCTTCGCCATGACTGGTCTGCCATCAAGCTCTTGGAATCGCACGATGGAACCAACAGAGAGGCTTCACGACCCTATGCCTTTGTGGCTAACTACGTCGTCCGCGTAGACCAAGACTGCAATCTGAGCATGGAGTCGGCCCACAAGGCCTTGCTTACTGAAAAACACGAGACAGAGCATGGATATCTAAGGACGCTCCAGGGAGCGCTCGCACCAACAGAACCTTTGGCTTGGTACGTGGTCCACTGTGCCGACTCAGAGCGCGCCGCATAGGGAGGCGCCGCTGCTGGCACACAGGCAGAAGTCAAGAAATTGGTTCCAACTTGGGGGCCGGCTGAAGTGGCCCAGAGACAGCAAGACGATTCAGGGTCCAAGCCCAGGCGGTTTCTGGGACAGAAGAAGTGGTTCCTGACGTGGCGTCGCAGGCCTGGCAGCGCGAGCAGTGGGACACCGACGCAACGAGCCCACGAGGAAGCCGAGCGCAACGAGACGAACGAACAAGACAACAACGGCGAGGGAGAAGCGACTTGAGCCGCTCCGCTGGACTGAGCCGGTATAGAGTTTTGTTACTGTAGATGACGCTAAAGTGTGTATCGTGTCACTCGAGCAGAAGAAGAGGCGTTGCGCTGATTTCAACATGGGTTTATCAAAAAGTCTTCACGGCCTGCGCTGGCTGTATCCTGATGCTGAAAATATGCATAAGCATTTTCTTGTACGCATTGTCGAGTGCCTAATCAATCAGTAGCGAGTTCGGAGTGATGAATATCCCAATCAACGACGACATGTCTTGGCGCGACGGACCCCGGATTTCCAGGGTGACGACGATCCACAGCTGCCGACCGTGAGTCCGTGACACTTCGCCTAGTCTTCATTCACGACCATGCGCGTCGCAGCGTAACGTCCATGGCGCTGGATGACTGAGCCAGCTGCCGATCGAATACGTACCAACGGGACCGTTCTCCCGCAGCCACAATGGCCTCGAGCCACCACCACCTCATGACCGCGAGCCCCGGCGGCGGCAGCGCCCCTGGCGAGCTCTCCCCTTCGTTTGCCCAGACAGGCGCCGAGTTCAGCCTCGACGACAGCGACGTGGACGACTTTGACCTCCACGACCAAGCGCGCGACGGCCGAGACGACGATGCGTACGAGATGCGCGCCCCGAGAAGAGCGGAGCACTGGGACGCTGGGGACGACGACAAGTTGACAACGGACTCGTCGGTGGATAGCTTCCAGCTGTACACGCCCGACGAGGAGATGGCCGTCCGGCGGAAATTCGACAGGCGACTCGTCTTGTTCGTCGCGCTTCTCTACATGCTCAGCTTCCTGGATCGATCGAGTATGTTTCCGCGTCTCTCCATAGACCAGAGCACAACTGACGGCGGCAGATATTGGCAACGCGCGCATCGCAGGCATGGACACCGATCTCCAGTCCACCCCGGCGCGTGCGGACTGGTACGAATGGGCCCTCACGTCCTTCTACATCTCCTACATTGCCTTTGAGTGGATGTCCCTCCTCTGGAAGGTCATCCCGGCACACATCTACGTCTCCATGCTCGTCCTGTCCTGGGGCCTGCTCGCCTCACTGCAGGCCGTGGCGACCTCGTACCCCGTGCTCATCGCGCTGCGGACGCTCCTGGGCATCGGCGAGGCCGGCTTCACCGGCATCCCCTTTTATCTGAGCTTCTTCTTCAAGCGCCACGAGCTCGCTTTTCGCACCGCCCTCTTCATCTCCGCCGCGCCCCTCGCGACGAGCTTTGCGAGCGTCCTGGCATGGGCCATTGTCCGGGTCGGCGAGCACAGCCCCATTGCGCCGTGGCGGCTGCTCTTCCTCATCGAGGGCTTTCCGTCCGTCATCGTCTCGGTCATCGCCTGGTCCGTGATCCCCGATTCCCCCCAGACGGCGTCCTACCTCACCAAGCGCGAGAAGAAGGTCGCCCGTCTCCGTCTACGCGCCGAACAGCCCTCGTCGTCTTCTTCGACCAAGCCGACGTCGGGTCTGAAGCTTGTCGAAGCCCTCGCCGTGCTCAAGGATCCCGTCGCCTGGCTTCCCGCATGCATGTTCTTCCTCACCAACATGGCCTACTCCTCCCTGCCTGTCTTCCTCCCCAAGATCCTCACCGACATGGGCCACGACGCACTCTCGGCCCAGGCTCTCTCCGCCCCGCCCTACCTCCTCTCCTTCATCGTCGTGCTGCTCACGGCGCGACTCTCCGATCGCCTGCGCGCGAGAACACCCCTCATCGTCTTCCACGCAGCAGCCTCATGCGCAGGCTACGCCGCACTCGCCTTTGCTGAACCGCTAGCTCTATCAGCGACCCTCCGCTATATAGCCGTCTACCCAGCCGCCGTTGGCTTCTTTAACGTGGTCACGCTACTGATTACGTGGACCATTAACAACCAACCTTCATCATCTCGTCAGGGGTCAGGCTTTGCATTGATGCAGCTCGTCGGTCAGTGCGGACCTCTGGTCGGCACGCGACTGTACCCCGACAAGGATGCGCCGTACTATGGCCCTGGCATGCGGACTTGTGCTGGTGCCATGCTTCTCGTCACGCTGCTTGCCATCGCCCTACGGTTCTTCCTGCAGTATCGCAATCGGAAGCTGGACAAGGAAGAGCAAGCGATGGGTGAACATGGTAGCTTGGTGGAAGAGGAGGGTCTGGTTGGTTCGGGGCGGAAGAAGACAACGGGCCAGCCATTCCGATACATGCTCTAGGATGAATGTACAGAGGTGGTCAAGGAGTAAAAGCATTCAATCCCGGCAATATTTCAGTAGCACCATTTGCGAGCCATGCAACGTTATCCATTATCCTGCTGCTCCTGCCTCTATCACTAAAGACCGTCTGTTACAATCACCAGGCAAAGTCGTGTTTGAACGCCATGCGTCTCGCTGTCACGAGAACGGATACAACTTTACGATGAGCCCCTGAATCCAAGCTGTGACATTATCGAGGCAAGGGAATCACCTCCTACAGCCCTTCCAAACTTCATCCAGCTCGGCGCCCCATACTTGCTCACACCTTCCTGCCACCATTCCTCACTGGCGTTCCTATCTCCGTCGATACGGACATTAGGAGAGCTAGTTTTCGTGGTGGCAGTATTGCCGGACTTCTCCGTGCGTCGACGAGCACTCTAGGCCCCAAAGCTGCTTCGATCCTTTTTATTTCCTTCTTTGATGCGGCGGCGGACTTCATTCAGGCTGCTGGCGACATTGCGCGCGAGGTTGCGTAGGCTGAGTCGCTGACGCTTGCCCTTGCTCGCCTTGGACGTTGCCAGAGAGGCGGACAGGCTGCGCAAAGAGAATGTCGATGCCTTCCGTTTGCCACTCCTGCTTCCCTCAAGCAACACATTGTCTGACGTGTCTGTCGAACGCAAGAGGCGCCTCTCGCTGATGCCATCCAGTTGAGCAGTGATGGTAAAGGCACTGTACGGCTCGACCGTGAACTTCCCATTCAATGACGGTAGGAGCGGAGAAGTGTGAGGTACGGTGGGCGTCTCCTAGCTCCCCTGCCGCACACTGCGTTTCCAATCTTCGATCGACTCTGGTGAGGATGTTGGCACCTTCTTAGATGTAGCCGGCGTGGCCGTCATGGAGACGACAAAGCTATGCCAGCCCTGATCCGCAAGCTCCGCATCAGCGGCCGCCGGATGGACAACCTCTTCGACGCTCTCATTGCGCGATTCATATTCGGACATGAGGTTGTCTAGATTGTCGTTTGCACGACTGTATCTGCTGAGGTCTTCGCTTGCAAAGACAGTCCCGACGGGGGGCGTTATCGGCGCGTCGATGCCTTCTTGTGGCGAATTTTCCTGGTCGTAGACGGAGGACGTGAAGCTCGCATTGTCACCTTTGACTTGCCCATGCGCTTGGTCGACTGTACACGCCTCTTGCATTGAAGCATTCTCTCCTTCGAGATAGCTGTGAGCTGACGAGCCGGAAGGTGTGACCATGTCCATTGTCAGGTTGCCATTTTCCTCGTTTCTCAGCTGCCTCCCACAGCGCTGTTGCACCTCGAGAGAGCACTCCTCAATGGTGTCGATGGGGTCGCTCCCGGGGCAATGAGCCAGGTAGGCAAGGTACTCGGGCGTGATAGGGTTGATGGACTCCACAGGGCTCGGGCAGTTATCCCGGTCCGTCTCATGGCTGCGCTCGCGAAGGCTGGGCAGACGACTGGAGAGACTTCGACGAAGACGGTTGGAGACGCGGCTGAATGGCCGGCTGGGAGGTAAGCCTTCGTCGACTGAAGTGGGCGAAGGCAGCTCAAGCATCTCGGTACTGGACCCGAAGCGCGGAGGACCAAAGGAGATCGATGGCTTGCGCGCGGGTTGCAGGGGATAGCTCGACTCGGCAGCCATGTTCAGCAAATATGAGTTCTGAAAGAAGATGTTGAGGAGAACTCTTCTTATCAAGGACGCGTCGAGGGATCAAGAAGACCGACAAGAAGACACTGACTTCTGGGATAGGTATTTGATGTTGAAAAAGGCGAGAAAGATGATGCTGTTAAGGAGTTGAATAGATGAAACGCTCTCTCGCCAAGCGTGATGGTCACATAGGTGTGGCAGCAGCATCATACAGGAAGTAGGAAGTAACTAAGATAGTAAAGAGTCAAGCACTCCTGTATTTGCTCTACCTTAATTGGGAAAGAGCCATTTGATACCTCCGTCTCGCCACTTGGTGGCGATCCAGCGACATAGCGAAAGGCCATATCCCCGAGGTACTGTCCCTCTTGGCTCTTCGTTCAATCGCATCCTTGAATCGCAAGTGCGTGCGTTGCCCGTAAAGCTACAGAAATCAAGTTTGAGGGGCGAGAACGAACGGAACGACCACGCTAAGGAGACTCGCTGTTGCGCGGGCGTCGAGCTATGAAACTCAATCCCAGTGGCAATTTGGCACTTCATTTCCACGTATTCCCCAAATCCCGAGGTAAACCCATTAAATATTGATAGATGTGTCGCTTGTTCGACCATGAGCGTGCTGATCGAGTACCCAGCAAGCTCACCAGAGCTGATATCTCAAGGGTATTGAGCAAGCGACCCCCAATGTCACAATATGCAACAGTAAGAAACTCGTCAAAGAAAGTATCAATTTAGAGATCCAAGAAAGGTACGTGAAGATCTAACTTCGCCGCTTGCAAATCTACTAAATACAATCCTTCTCGGCCATGTTGGCACCGTAGCCAGCCCCTGTCATTGGGCTCCAAGCTACCTATGCACCTCCTCATCCGCCTCCTCGACTCGGGGTATCGTTGAGATATGTGTTAATGCAAAAGGGTAGAAGAAGAGAGGCGGCGAGGTTTTTCTACAAACCCCGCCGCCGTCGTGCCGTCATGTTAAATTATTGAAGACGGCCTGCGGTGTTGATTCGTCGCTCATGTCGTGGTGTAACTTTTGTGTCATGTCAAAAGGAAAAAAATATTCAAGTGGTCGCTTCGTCAGTTGTGCTCCCGCCTGTACGCGCGTTGGCCCAGCGCCTTTTTGTTGAAAAAGACACGCTCATCCCTTTAAGTAACGCCAACCGATGCTCAAACAAAGGAAAATGAATAATCAGACAGCTGGCAGAGCGAATCAGACCGCGGCAGCAGCAGCAGCAGCAGCAGCGCCGTTGGCAGCTGGTTCGGCAGCGTGGTTGCCATTGCTCTGCGTCTCCCCGCTGGCAATGGGCTTACTCACGGCGTCCCAGTCGAGCTCTAGGCCTTCGAACACCTTGAAAATACCGGTCTGGTCTTGGAAATCGTTGTTCACTGGAAGCGTGTTAGCAATAGCCCACCTGAGCACCAAAAGGGGGTCTACGGACCGATGTTGATCAAGTGCCAGTCAGTCATGATACTCTCAACTACCTTGCGGCTAGGTGACGATGCATCGAAGCACTTGGCCCAGTCCATGCCCAACTGGAAGGCCTCGTCCCTCCACGCGAGGAAGGACACGCTCTCGACAATTGTTGGCTGCACGATTTCCTTCCCGGGGAACACGCCCCAGGTCACGGCGTTAGGGCCCTCGGAGGGCACGTTGGACTCGAGTTCGCCCGTGCGGGTGACGGCGTAGTAGGTGAGGTCCGGCAGCTTGCTCACGCGGTCGACCAGCTTCTCGTAGATGCTAGGGTGCACCAAAACCTCGAGGTATGACTTTTGATACACATACCCGTGGGTAGGTCCCCAGCCAAAGACTGGGTGGGTCGACTTGACGCCATTCACGGCAGGTTGCGAGTTGATGGTCAGGATACCGCGCTTGTTGAGGGCGTAGAGGTCGTCCTTGATAGCATCGGATTCAACCGTCAAAGGCGACTCGCTCCATGGCAACGAATCAACCTCCTTGCTCAGGTACCGGCAGAACAGGTCGGCAACATCGCGGTAGGACTGCGGCTCCCCCCACTTCTTCCTGTTGGCCTCGTTGGTGCCGGTCAAGCCGATACCGTAGGCATCGAGCTCGCCAAAGGCAGGGGAGCGGGAATCACCCCATCGACCGTTGGGGAACTCGTCCCAGTCCTGCGTGCGCATAATGTAAGCCTTCTGGCGGTTGCGCCAGAAGATGGGTCGCACATCCTCGTCGCGGCGGCCGAGACCCTTGGAAGGCTTCCAGGGCAGAGCCTGGGTGAAGGGGCGAGCTGCAGATGGCGCCCAGTGCAGCTCCTCTAGCACCATGCGGGTGGCTTGCGCGAGGTTCATTGTGTAAAAGTGAAGGTGGTTGATGCCGTTGGCGAGCAGCTTGCGGCACATGTCGGCGACCAGCGTCTTTCCAATCTCCCGCACAGCAACGTCGTCATTCTTGACTGGCTCGAGCTTGTCCATCCACTCCTGGGGCACTTTGCACTGCATGTGCTTTGCGCGGCGCAGGAAGCTGTTGTACGTGGCGATAGGCATGATACCCGGCAGAATGGGGATGGTGATGCCACGCTCGCGCACCTTGCGCACCCAACGGATGAAGTTGTCGCCATCGTAGAACATCTGGGTAACGATGAATGATGCACCCTCGTCGACCTTCTCCTTCAAGTGATCAAGGAGCTGTTCCTCGTCCTTGTTGTCGTCACAGCCCTCCGGGTACCCGGCGACACCAATGTCGAAATGGTCACCGTACGCTTTCCGGATATGCTTAACAAGGTCCCGGGCGTAGGCGTAGCCATCTGTGGCAGCTGTCCACTTCTCCTGCTCTCGGGGGGGGTCACCTCGCAAGGCGAGGATGTTGGTGCAGCCAGCCTTGTACGCCTTCTCCAGCGCGTCATCGACCATTTCGCGACCCATATCCGTGCAGGTGAGATGCATGCAAGTCTCGAGACCGTAGACTGCCTGGGCCTGAAGGACCATCTCGCAGGTCAGCTCAGCGCTGCGGCCGCCAGCACCCCAGGTGATGTCGATGAACTTGGGCCCGAAGTTGTACATGCGATCCATGCGCTCGTACAGATTCTGGACACCCTGGGCCGTCTTGGGCGGGAAGTACTCGAAAGAGAACGACGGCTGGTCATGTTCGTCCTTTCCGGGGAGGAGGTCCTTGATATGCATGGTGAAGGATATCGAGGACAGTTCGTGGGGAGGAGATCGGATGTTCGCAGTCTACGATATCGTCTCGATGAATCCACAATTACAACCACCGAACAAATAGCAGAAGCTGTTGACAACAGTCAGCACAAGAATATGGTTTACAGTCCGGCTCTTGGGCAAGAAAAAGGGGGGGAAAAAGAGTAGGTAGATTTCACCGAGACGGTGAGGGCGCAGGTGCTGGCCGCTGCCGCTTGAGCGACTGGAGGTGCGGCTTCGGATGGTGGGGTTTCGGTGGTAGATCGGGGTTGTTGTTTTTTTTACTCACAGCTAAGGACGTGAAGTGCAACGCGTTCCTGGGCGGATTGAAACACAGGAACTTCGGCACGAGAAAAAACGATATGTTCAGTCCCTTCGAGCAATCGTAAGGAGGAATTGAGGGGGAGAAGGTGAGGGAGTTTCGAGGCGAAGAGGAGGCGTAGGGGCAGCGACAACAAGACGAACAAGATGGATCGAGGGACCCTCCGTGCCTGGGTGCAGTGGTGGGTGTTGGTGGGTTGGGCCACACTGGGGAGATGGAGGGTACCTGCCCCGCCATGGATTCATGCCTGCCAAGTATCACTTCATTGGTTCATGAAGGGGAAGTAAGTACCGCTTAACACTTCCCGACCTGCAGCTGCCAGTGACGACTGGAGAGCGCCGTTGCCGGCGTCGAAATTGGATTCAATGAACTGGGTGGGGCTGCCTACCTAAGGTACACTGCCAGTGCCAGTGCAGCATTTGGTGGGGGACATGGACCTTTTTCCTCCAGGCCCTGAAGTTCCATGTCGGCAGGACATACACTCAGGAGAATGATCCAGGAGGTCACGGACACGTTCATTCATCCAAGTCTTTAACTCGTCACCATAGCCTTTGATCTTCTTGTCATTATACAAAATTTTCAATTACGCTTGGGATTCCGTCTCAACAGCTTAGAATTCCTCCGCTTATGCCCCTCCTCCCCCACGCGGCACGCTCACACCTCACAGTCCTTATTGGCCATGACGCATACATCCGCCGCGAACCTCCTAACTAAATGGCTCAGTCGCAGCCAGATCACTTCATCGGACTATGATGCTATGCGAGAATCCTGCTTAGGATACTTCTCATGCACTCTCAAGCAGCATGTGCATGAGGCATGTTCTTCATGGTCCCTCATTGCTCATTGGCGCTGTTGGAGTGCATCAAACCAGTGACATAGTTCCCATGTTCACTCTTCAGCCACAGCACGCCATGACGAGCCGGTGATAGGACATTCTGCTACTAACAATACTGACGAAGACGAGCCATGTGAGAGTGTGAACTGACTCAGGTATCTCTCCTGACAGTATTTCAGTGGCGCTTTGGACTAACAGATTGCCCCTGGCACATGACCAACTTAATCACCCCAAACTTCAAGCCCTCGCGACATGCAAGTTCAAAACTCAACCATTTGCCTGGCGTTTCACAGAACCTAGTTCCCATGACAGCCGACCCCTCTCAGGCTTGAGTTCAAATTGCGGACCAAGTGACATGAAACTTCTTGCAGGTGGGAGCTTGGAGCACTAGACGCTCTTAAAAGGTCAAAATGCGAGCGGAACACGTGGAAACCTATTGTAAAAATACACACGTATACTCGTCAGAGTCTTTAGACTGCAGGTTCCTCTGGAGTATGACTTGTTTCTTCTTTGCTTCTTAGGCATACCGTACATCTAGGACTCCGTCACATCCTTGACCATCAACGGCGGTGCCCCCCTGAGTGCTCTCCATCGATTACTCCCTTGCACAATCGCCCTATCAAACAAAAACCACCATCTCTCAAAAAGCACCTGACCAATCTCCCAGCTGTTCCCATCGCACGGATCGTCGCCGTAGATTCTGGCGCCCTCGGCGCTGTCTTCAAAGTCGTACGCAAAGTTGAAGAGAGCCATGGCGCCCCGCGCATGCGCCGGCCGCGCCTCGTCGGGCAAGTTGAAAATCACAATGATACGGTCCCGCGCCGAGGGCCAGGGGAGGAGATCAAGGAGCGGGTGGTGCGGCACCGTGATCTGCGAAGATGTCGGCCGCCAGTTGGGAGGGAGCAGAGCAGCTGGTGTGCCTGTGTTGGTGTTGAACGGGGAGAGGCATGTCGGCGACCAGATTTCGGACGTGTCGCATCCTATTCTTGTCGAGACGCGCAACAGCCCACGGAGGAGGGTGAGCTCGTGGACAGGGAGGAGATAGGAGTCTGGAAAGTCGAACTCCTCTGTTGATGATGGCGTAAACGGCAATGTCGATGAGGAGGACACGGTGTTCGCCGATAGAGTCGTCGGTTCATCCAAAGCACCAAAGGGTGGGAACTGCAAGGCGAAGGCTGTTTCAAGATTTGTTGTGAAGGGCAATGCGTCCGCTAGGGACGATGGGAGGGCCCCTGGTACGAGAAATGACCGGTCCGCATCCTTCTCGTTTGCTACAAGTCCCAACACATCTTGTGAGGAGAGATCTAGTTCGGCTTCAGATACGCCAATGGTATCATGCAGCAAATCAAAGTCCAGATCCAATTGTCTCACGCCGTCGTCTATGGATGGTGGTGTGGGTGGGAAATGCTCTAGACCGTCCAAAGACGTTGGCGCAGTAGCTTGCGCTGAAGAAGCTTTGGGAACGTCCTGTGATTCAGAGGATTGCGCTGTAGCACCATGACGTGAGCCAGACTTTCTGATGAGACGCTTTTTCTCACCTATATCCTTCATTAGTATGCAGGCTGTCTCCGTTCATGAAGCACAATGACTCACGGTAGCGACGCTGCGCCAAAACATTAAGGACACGTTTCCTTTCAGCGGCATCCTGTTCAATGTCAGGAACATCAAGAGCGGGCGGTGATATATGTCTTCGCTGTCGAGTCCAGGGCTGCCCTGTCGACCCTGATGGTCGTGAAGCTGTGCTAGGCATATCGTACCACCAAGCTTCGTGTGCTGTTACTCAAGCTATTCAGCCGCTGTTTAAGACCGAGTGTGTGATTCAACTTGGGTCATTTGCCGTTTGAATGGTGTGAAATTTTGTAAATTCGTTAGTATTCGGTGTCGCAGAAGTCATAGAACAAGCATAACGGCATGGACAAGTGTAGCCATCTCGCACTGTACGACCATAACGGATATCAGGTACTTTAGTTGGTAGCAATGACAGCTGATTTCTGAGTAGCGCCTAGCACATAATGGTGCAGCGAGGGAGCTGTATACAGTGTGGACGTGTATGAACACAGTGCATTGTTAGTGAGGGTGGTGTTGACTCGGGTATCGTAACGTGCTCGGCAACAGAGTCATGGACCGATACCAGTTTCGCTAGCTTGCAGTGTTGAAGAGGGATCCACGACGCCCGAAAGTGTCATGGCCGAATCGAAGGTGGCTCCTGCAGGCCGGTTGCTTGGAATGATGAAACTGAACGAAACAAAGACAAGGACTATCGTGAGATGCGAAGTTTAGAGTTCAGAAAAGAGAAACGCAAATCAATCCAGATTCGCAAAGCAAGCTCTTCTATGTCCCTTTTCTATTGATAGACCCCAAGTATGATGGTTTAACATAACGCCTTGGGGGCATCGTGACGACCTTGACCAACCGAGGCCTACTGTAAGAGTGATGCATTCACTGGACGAAGGCGACGATCAGGGAATTGGTTGCCGCTGATTTGCTAGCATGATGGGATGTAAAGGTTCAAGTCGTCACAAAATCAGAGATCCGGGTTTCCACACGGCTGTGTGCATTTGTGTCTCGATCCCGCATCCTGGCCTCTGCCGTACCGTCACTGAATCAAGCAAATATGCTCCATGCCTCGACTCACAACAATCGCGAATTCGGACTCATAGTATTCGCCATGACGGTCGTTAAATACGCTCGTAATTCCCGTTGAGCACTCACAACTCAATAGACATAGTCAACCTCCTCATCCTCCTCGACCTTTTGATCATCGGCATATTCTTCATCCATGTCCCCAATCGTGACCTCGCCTTCCTCTCTTTCTTCTTCTCTCTGCTCCCCTGAATTTTTCGTCTCCGACGCAATGGACGAATTGGGCAGCCCTCCTCCTTCACCACCACCTACGCCCCCACCTAAGGGCCGGCCTGCTTTCACGGGATTCGGTTCCTTTGCAGACCAGCTAAGCTGCAGCGTCCCCTCTACATCAGGCAGTGACCGACCGTGAAGCGAGGAGAAGAACGTCTCCGCAGTCTTGCGGTCACGGAAAGAGACCTGGGTTACGTCGGGCTTTGTCTCAATGGCATCAAACTCGCCCAGGTTCTAGTGCGCGGTTAGGCTTGGACACTGTGGTAGCGGTGGAATCAGGGGGTATACATACCAAGAGATAGTGTCGTAGTGCCTCGTCCTTCTCAGGGGCCGTGAAATCGACGCCAGAAATTGCAACCGCCTTTGGCCGAAGGTCCAACGAGTACTGTGCGTATGCTGCATGCCTCCCCTCGACACTAGTGCCGCCGCCTCTTCCTCGCCATGCCCCCCTGCCCCTGCCTCGGCCACGCCCTCGCCAGCCACCGAGCGAGGGATGCGGCCCAAGTGATGACACGGATGCATCGTCAGCCGCCCCATCAGTGTCGATGCCCAGGATCTTCGCTTCTTGCTCCAATCTTGCCAGCTGAGCGCGCAGCTTTTCTGTACCCGAAATCTCGGGTTCACTGCCGCCGTTCTTTTCTACCATCTTACTGGTGAGCTTCTCGGTCGCTTCGCGGTATTTCTCTAGGTGTTCCTGCTGGCGGCGTTCCAAATCTTGTCGCTGTTGTTCGATTTCGGCACGCTTCGCCTCGCGCTCTTGCCACTTCGCTTGAGCTTCCTGCTGCCTCCGTTCGAATTCTTCGGGATCCATCTGAAACTCTTCCTGTGCCTCTTCCCCTGTTTCTGCGGCACCATTCGACTTTGATCCGTGTGGGGGGTTGGTCTCGTCTTTATACCAAAAGACCTTGACGAAGCGATTGTCGAAAATTGCCTTGGGCGACTTGTATGCTGCATTAGCGGATTGCCAGTTGTCGTACTTGATGATTGCTAGCTTCTGTGTCGGCTGCAGCGTCAACTCCTCAATGGTGCCAAACTCCCCAAAGAAAGCTCGAATGTCTTCCTCGTTCAGGTGATCCTCGGGTATCGACTCGACCACCAGCGTGCTCTTCGTCTTGTCGGATTCAGGTCCTTCGGCAGAGAAAGGCGCCCTGCCCTTCTTTCTCCTTTGACCCCCTCGGCCGTCCTGTCTATTTCTGCCATTTTGTGGCAAAGCGGTCATCGTTTGTTTATGGTATGAAGACCCCGGCATCGCTTTGCTGTTTGGGTCATACTCTTCTGCATTGTTAGCAAACTGTACCGTCCGTAAGTCTTCATCAAACGCACCTCCACTAAGATCGGGGACTTGTGGCAGCATTTGAGGCCAATAGCAGGGGTCCAGAACATGGTCAAACTTGCAGTTGTTTCCTCTCGCGCAAAATCCTTTAGTGTCGAATTCTCGACATCGTTTCCGCCTGCGGTGGCTGTCCCTACCCGTATTAGGCCAATGGCCTGGCATCCCAGAAAATGGCATTCCCATCGCCAGCATTCCCATTCCCATGGAATCTTGCGGATCATAAGGGCCCCCTGTTGTGTCTGGCGGCATGGAATGGAAAGTAGCAATTTCCTGCTGCGACTCCGGGTCGCCGCCTTGACCATTGCTCCTCGCGTTCTTGAAAGGCCGCCTTTCGTGCACCTCGCCTTCCTCAGTCGGCGCATCAAGGTCCCTGTATCCTCTCTTTCGCCCTTTTCCTTGCGGTCGTCTGGGTCCACCATGTTCTCCCGGCAGCACCAGTGAATCGTTGCCCGTCTGTCTCGAAGGCGGCGGTTTCGACATGCCAGGGACGTACAACTTCCAAGCGATTGCTTGAAAGACATCGTCCAAGAAAACTTTGATGTCCTCGTTCAAGAAGACTGGGAGCTCTTGTTCGCACAAAGCCCGCACATCCTCTTTAGTGCCCTCATGCTTGAGCAGGGCCATGATGTAGTCGGCAAGCACGTCGGCGTCCGCATCAGATGTGTTCTCTAGACGTTTGACGACCCATTTCTTCAGCAGAGGCGCATCTTCTTCGGGAAACAGCATCATCGCGTCGCGCGGCTGCGCCGGGGCGCGGGAGGATTGCTCGAAACAAGGCAGACGGGTGCGGGAAAATGGTAGTCGTGACTATAAGCGGCGACGGGGCGACATTTGACCGGCCGATTAGATGCTTGGGTGACGAGAGTTCCGATGGAAGCGTTGCGAGGAGCGTGCGGTTTGCAGATTTTGAGAACCGCAAGATCTGAGTATCGGGTAAATCGAGCAGCGGGAGACCGATAGTTGTGGAGTGCGCTGGAATTGGAGAAGCTGTAGCTAGGAAAAGCTGGCATGCCACATACTAGTTAGTTATTCATGAACTTATTAGGTAGCCAGGGATTCGGTGAATGGAAAGTTCAACATGTCTGTCTTCATTTATCATTTATGACGACCTGGGTTCCGAATTATACAACCTTATCGCTTATCGCACAAAACTAACATCACTTCACTATTCATGCATTTGGAACCTACGAAATTGAACATCATCTTTGATTGTGAATCCACTAATCAACGGAACTACATTCGTTATCATGATCTCCGTCATGTGTACCACCAGTGTATCCTTTTTGTCTTTGGTGGCGTCCCTTCGTGTCTTCCCGGCCCAGGAGACGAACGCTCCTACAGTATATGCGTAGTGCGCGCAGTGGCTCCTAGACAAGAACGCATCGTTGCTGCGAGAAACCCGCGGATATTTCGTGTCCAGTTTGACACCTTGGCTTGATCGACTTGGTTCGTGTTCGAGCTGCTTACAACTTGTCGTAGTACTGCTCAGAATTAGCAATGGCCTCAATTTCACAAGTTCAGAATCACTCACGTTGTCGACGCCGGGGACGTTCTCCTTGATACCCTTGCGCTTGCGCATCTCGGTAACAATGGCACCGGTCTTGGTGGTGGGGTCCAGAGGAGAGCCACCGGGCAGCACCTGCCAGTGGTCGAAGACGGACTGGGGGAAGGCCTGGCCAGATGTGGCAGCACGCAGATCGGCGTTGAAGCCGAAAGACTCCAGGACGGGCAGGTAGGCCTTGATGTTGAACAGAGGAGTTCCAGGGCGCTGCTCCTCGTTGAAGACGTGACCACGACGGCGGGTCAGGACACCGTAGACGCCACCCATGGCGTTCTCGGGCACCTGAATCTCGACCAGGTAGACGGGCTCGAGGAGAGCAGGGTCAGCCATGAGCATCGAGGCGTACAGGACGCGGCGAGCGGTGGGGATGATCTGGCCACCACCACGGTGGATGGCATCGGCGTGCAGGGTGACATCGAGGATGTTGAAGCGGACGGAGCGCATGGGCTCCTCGGCAACGGGACCCTCACGGGAAGCCCACTGGAAACCGGAGACGACAGAGTCCTTGATTTCGTTGAGGTACTGGACGGCCTTGGTCTGGTCAACCAGCAAGTTGGCGCCCTGGCCATCGGGACCGAAGCACCAGATCTTGCGGGCGTCGGTGACATCCCAACCGTAGTCGTCGGCGAGGACACGGGCACGGGCCTTGAAGTCGTCACGGGCACTAACCTTGCCGGCCTCAATAGCCAACGACAGCTCCTCGTCCATGGGCTCGGCAACCATGTAGAGACGGTTGTGCTTGTTGGGCGACTTGGAGAGGGCAGTCATGGTCGACTTGCCGGCGACAGTCTCACGGTACTGAACGACAGGGTCGGAGATGATCAGGGGAACGGCGGCGTGGTCGTTCTGGAGGTCGTTCAAGCAGATCTCAAGGTGGAGCTCACCGGCACCGGCAACAACGTGCTCACCAGAGTCGGAGGTGTAGGTCAGGACACAAGGGTCAGACTTGGACAGACGCTTGAGACCCTCGACAAGCTTGGGCAGGTCCTGGGCGTTCTTGACCTGCACGGAGCGCTGGACGACGGGGGAGACGGAGAACTTCATGACCTTCAGGTTGTGGGCGGTCTCGGAGGTGGTGAGGGTACCAGACTTGAGCAGGAACTGATCGATACCGACCAGACCGACAATGTTACCGGCAGGCATGTCGTCAATGGGGTCGACCTTGCCGCCCATCATGAGCACGGTACGCTGGATAGCCTTGATGAAGAGATCGTCCTTCTTGCCGGGGGTGTAGTTGGGGCCCTGAATGCGAACCTTGATACCGGACTTGACGGTACCGGAGAAGACACGACCGAAGGCGTAGAAGCGGCCCTTGTCGGAGGTGGGCACCATCTTGGAGACGTACAGCATGAGAGGAGCCTTGGGGTCGCAGTCACGGATACCAATGGCAGCCTCGTCGTCCATGGGACCCTCGTAGAGAGTCTCGGCACGGTACTTCTGGGCAGTAACGGGCGAGGGCAAGTGGAGGATCATCATCTCCAGCAGGGCATCAGCGGCGGGGATGAAGGTGCGGAGAACAACCTTGAGCAGCTGCTTGCCCTCCTTCTGGCGGTCCTCGGAAGAGAGCTTGAGCTGGAGCTTCTCGAGGAGGGTGTTGATCTCGTCGTTCTTGAAGTTCATGACGGCGGCGAAGATCTTGAAGATGGGGTCCAGGATGAACTGGCAGAAGGCACGCTCAAGCTGCTTGCCCTCGTGGGTGCCGTTCTTGGTCCACTTCTTGGTGTGGGGGTTGAAGTAGTTGTCGCCCCAGAGACGCTCCATCATCTTGTTCTTGTCGACACCGAACTTCTTGGCGTACTTGACAGCGAACTGGCGGATGGTGAAGGCCCAGCCGTGGAGACCGGAACCGAAGGCAATGGTACCCCTGTCGGGGTAGACCTGGACGTCACCAAGAGACTTGTCGAAGTAGGTGGAGATGACGACGTTGACGGACTCAATGGTACGGGAGAAGGACTGGTAAAGGTCCTCCTTGGAGACCTGGAGCTCGAGAAGAGCACGGTCGACCTTGTTGATGACAACAACGGGCTTGATACGCTCACCAAGAGCCTGGCGGAGCACAGTCTCGGTCTGAACGCAAACACCCTCGACGGTGTCGACGACGACGAGAGCACCGTCAGTAACACGGAGAGCGGCGGTAACCTCAGAAGAGAAATCAACGTGACCGGGCGAGTCGATAAGGTTGATCAAGAACTCGCGGCCTTCAGTCTTCTGGCCAACAATATCCTTGATATCTTCCTCGTCCTCGAGGTTGTGGTACAGGGAGATGGCAGTCGACTTGATAGTGATACCACGCTCCTGCTCGTCGGCTCTGGTGTCGGTGGCACGGGCATCACCAGCCTTCGCGGTGGAGATGATACCGGCCTTGGACAGCAGGGAATCAGTCAACGTCGACTTGCCGTGGTCGACGTGAGCAATGACCGACATGTTACGGACATTGGTGGGCTTGTCCATCAACGCCCGGACCTCGTCGACCGTGAAACTATCATAGTGAAGAGCCAAAGGTCAGCAAAATGGCTCTCTGGGTGCAGGTGGAGCTTAACTCCGGAGAGTGAGGGAGAATGGTCAAGGGGAAAAGGCCAGTCGCGCAGACACTGTTGTTGAGGTCGATTGGTGTCGGGAAAAGCGCATGTTCGTGTCGAGTCGATGAGAGGTGCTTTGAGGGCTGGTAGAGGACTTACTTGACCATCTTGGCGGTATTGTTTTGGTTACCTGGCTCAAGTGCCGTGTGGTGTGTGAGGAAAAAATCGGTCGTGAGGCAGAATGGGAGAAGAGAAGCGGGGTTGAAGTTTTATGGCCCCGCGTCGACTGACGTCTCTGCAGAAAACCACTGATCTTGAAGCCCACTTTAGGCGGTCCTAGGAGGCGAATGTATTCTGATGGATCGGTGCTTATATCTTGTCTTGAGTTCAAAGGCGACAAGAGTTTTAAGTACACATTGTATTTAGTATGAGGGCGGTCCAGAACCTGGTTGAAAACGTGCTACGTGGCTATACACTGCGAGATCCATGTCTCTGCCTCACCAAAATTCGAGTCTCGGCGAGCAGAGCTGGAGGTTAAAGCAGGCTAGCTCATATCCCGCCTCTCACACAACGATGGACTCACGGCGGCCTTCCCACTCATCGGCGAGCCTGACTGTCCTGTGCGAAAATCCCACGACTGGTGCATCTCGGAGGGGCAGGAGTGGCCAGAGGGGCAGATTGCCCCACCTTCCTGCTAAAAATTAGGACCCCGCCGTCGCACCTTTCCTCTGGAGGTTGCTGGGACACCCGGGCTTGACTCACCACGCCGGATGCTCAGAGCTATGCGAGCTTGGTGGCCAATCATCGACGGCACCCAGTCAAGGTGGGTCCATTTGAGGGCAGGAACCCTCAACACACGGTTTAGAGCTCCATTCCCATTCAAGCCTGAGCTTCAGATACCGGCGAGCGCGATCACACCGGCGATTCGGTTGCTTGGTCATGTCTCCGTGAGGCTCTCACCTTACTTCTCATAAATGCGCAAAATCTGGGGAAAGGATCAAGGTTTCGGCGTGCTGCAAGACGGTGGACCTTGATCATGACATTCCATTCGAGGTCATGGACGACTCATGGTTGGTTTACAGCTCACATAGCACCCAAGCGAGAGATGCACTGGTGACTGGTCTGGCCTCGCCCAAATTGCGAAGGCCTTGCGCCTCTATGAGTTTCGATATTTCACCAACTGAATGCTTCATTTGTCTAGGTTTGCCTTTGACAAGCTCGATGACACGATGTGGCCCATCTTCACAAGCAATTACTTCCTCGATTTCTTGCTGCCTTTCTGGGCCGAGGTGACATGTGATTACTCAGCACAAGACATAGCTGCGTGCCGACGGCAATCTCCATCTGTATCAATCGCGTCACGAACTTTCAAGCTCAGTCCATCGAGTTCACATTGACTCGGAGTTCTTCAACAAGTGGCTGTTTTTAAGCTCCTTGGCTAGGCCATTCACACGGCGCCAACACCAATGTATCGGATGCCACACCACGATGCCCAAGGAGCTGCAGCCCGCGCTGGGCCCGGCCAGCAACATCTCTATTAGAGCCAGCCCTATTGCGCTGCAAAGGGGTTTCCTGGAGCTCTCTTCCATACCTCCAGTGCTGCGTCCAGTAGTTCGAGCGTATGTGTTCGGCTATGTGTCGGCCGTGGGTCCCCGGATCTTGACCCTCATCTTGCAGCGTCTCACCCGGCGGAAAAGGAGGCGACTCTCTCAGGGGTATGACACGGACACATCCACGTTTCGCCAATCAGCCCTGCACATACTCAAGACTGGTTTCGATGTCAAACGCTTTCCCACATTCTGTGCTGTTCTGGCGGGCGGGAGCACGCTCTTGCAGGTATGCACCACTTTGGCACGCGCAATCAGATCTAATGATAAACAACAGGGGCCTCTAAAAGCTGTCATCAACAAACTCGCAGTCAGCCTCAGCCAAGACGCCCGAAAAAGGTAAGGCAAATATCTAGAAGTTGAACACGCAAGACTTACGTCGTGACCAGATTCGTCAGATGGTTGTCAACCTTCGTCTCATCATGGGTCGCCCTGAAGCTCCTTCACTGGGCCTCAAGTCCAGCCTACTCGAGGTGGACGACAAAGAAGGACAATGGCGAACAGGGTGAACCGCGCCTGGTTCAGCTTGGTGGTAGAACTTTGGACCTTACCTTGTTCACTGCCACACGGGCAGTGGACGTAATCGTCGGGGAGCTTTGGTCGCAACATCGTGCACGTCGGAAGGCTGCCCACAGATGGACTTGGGTAAGAAAAGCTGCAAGGTGAAAGACAACATAGGTCACTGACGGGTCCAGATTGAACAATTCGTCACCAGCATGATTGATCCGGCCGTCTTCTCTGTCTCATGTGCCTTCATCATGTGGTCCTGGTTCTACTACCCCAACAACCTGCCACCCAGCTACAACAAATGGATCACTTCCGCCGCTTCTGTCGATCTCCGCCTCATCGAGGCCCTCAGGCGCTGCAAGTTCAACGAGCTTCGTTACGGAGAAGACACGGGCGCGGCTCCCTTGCTCGGATCAATGTGCGTCGACCACAACCTGCCCTACGAGTGGGGTGATCCAGAGAAAGCGATACCATTCCCATGCGAGATTGTCCACATGGGTTGTGGATCCAGCTGTGAATACCACGCCCTCAGCCGCCTTGTCAGATCCTGGAAGTGGTCGATGTATACGTATCTACCTCTCGCCCTGGCCTTCAAGCTGCGGAAGCCGACGCAGAAGAACATTGTCTTCGCCTTCCTTTCCGCAGCTAGGTCCTCGGCGTTTCTGGGTACCTTCATCATGCTCTTCTACTATGGCGTGTGTCTAGGCCGAACGAGAGTCGGCCCGCACATCATTGGCAAGGACATTTCGAGCCGTCAAAAGATTGATAGTGGAGTCTGCGTCGGCACAGGCTGTTTCTTGTGCGGATGGAGTGTGCTCATTGAGACGGCGAGCCGGCGCAAGGATATGGCTCTCTTCGTGGCGCCGCGCGCGCTAGCGACTGTGGTGCCCCGAAAATACCCCATCGAGAAGCAATGGCGTGAGTCCATGATCTTCTCAGCCAGTGCGGCCGTCGTTATGACATGCGTACTGGAAAACCCCAAGAGGGTAAGAGGTGTCTTGGGGGGACTACTGAACATGATTATGAAAACATAATCTGCGCCGTCCATTCAGCATTTGCATGCGCATGGCGCAGTCTAATACACTACATTTGACGTTCTCCACCAGTGACAAGCACCCAGTACAAACATGCAGCCCAGTATATCCGCTCGTACCGTTGTGAAAATCTGTCCGTATCGCATGACAGCCTGCACGTATCCTTTCCATGGCTCAGGCAGGTACCCAGTCAATGTCCAAGCGATGCCAGGCGGCGGTGCCCGTCCCTTGTCTAGGAAGAAGCGCGTCGTCAGAAGACAAGCTTCAGCTGTGGCAAACACCCAGAAGAACATTCGCTTCTGATGCTCATTCTCCTCCAGAGAAGCCGTCTCGCGCTCGATCTTCGTACCGGTGAAAGGTGTCAGGATAGTGATATAAAGACCAAGGCCCAAGGCGACAATGGCGTGGAGCACACGCCACAGAGCGGTATAGGAATCAATGGGCTGGGTTCCAGACGCCTGCTGCTGAAAGCCTCCTAAGTTTGGCATGCCAGTAAAGGGATTGGGCCCTCCAGCGCCACCAGCGCCGCCCATCATCTGGGACATCATCTTCATGATAGGATCGTCCTCCGCACCCGCACCGTGTGCGCCAGGAAAAGGTGGCGCGCCCTGGGCGCCGGCCGCGCCAGCTCGTGGATTCTGTGTGGGATCGAACCCGAGCATCATCTGACGCAGCGCATCTTCCGAGATTTCAGGTTGAGGACCGGCGGAGGTTGCGTTCTTCGATCGAGCTGTGGCCTGTGGTGCGTAGAAATGTTGCGAAATGTCCACCTCTTCGGGGTCAGCGTCGTTGGCAGGGATAGTTGAGGCCGTAGCTGCGGCGGCTGCTGTCTTAGGTGCCTCGTCAGTCGCCGGGGGTTCAAAGTCTACCGTTTGTCAGTGAGTTTGCCATGCCAACGGGTGCTTGCTTGTGTTGAGCCAGAAACTGACCAGCTTTGGGTCGGCCACTCATGCCAGTGATCTTGTCCAGTCTGGTAGAGCCACCAGCCTTGAGCTTCGCCTCGCGTTTGGCCTTGCGCTGGCGGGCTTGCTCGGCTGCCCTGTCAGCCTCCGGGGAAGCTCCATTTGTCTCTGACATTGTTTCGATAGCGTACAATGGGATGGTGCGCGGTGACAATCGTCTTCTAAGGGGGATGGAGGGGTGGAAACTGGAAAGTGAAGCTGCCAGGCGGGCTCCAAATCGATCCACTTCTCGTCTGCAACGTCACTGGAGCATAACTTAGTTACATCGTCGTTCAGCTTACCCTGCACATTCGTCGTGGATTGTCCTGCAAAGGTCAATAGTTTCACAACCTGCGGAGATGGCAATTATTTATTTTCATAATCGACGAAACAAGACGCACTAGGCCAGGAGAACAATCCCGGAGAAGTATACATTGGCCTCCTAAAGCACGCCGAGCACGACCGCAGTGACCGTTTCAGCCAAAAAAAATCGCACTGGTGAAGTTCTGCGCTGTTGGGAACTTGTATCGACAAGGCCCCGGCACGAAAGCATTGGCATTCTTCAAGGTCCACATGGCGGCGAGAGTATGGAGCAACCATATTGCCCGTATGATGGTATGATATGTTCAACACAAACTTGATTAGCGAGTTTTCTTTCCTTTTGCCTTCCATTCAGAGACCAACCGCCGCCGGGCCCAAGCAGGCCACGTCAACTGTTGTACATCGCTGCGCTCGACATCTCTGTGGAAGCGTGTCACAAATTGCTATGAGAGGCTCAAGTCATGTAGGACTCGTAGTAATGACGACGCCGGCATACTCTGCCTTGCCCACCTTCCCGAGTGAATTCCAAGGGCATACTTGACGGTGGGAGCACGTACGGATGCTCGCACATGCACGCTCGGGTTGTGTGAAGTTTCGCGAAACACGTCAGCCAGTCCTTAGAGACCGAAGTACCAGAGTCAAAACGCGTTAAAGCCGGCACGGATTTGGCGCCCCCGGAATCTATTAGTCTGGCAAATCTGATGCTATCCGGCACAGCCGCCGGAGGCTCGCGCAACCTTAGAAATCTGATTACCTAGCTACTAGGCTTACGTCTACAGAGAGGGCTGGCAGTCTTCTTCATCGATTGTTCTTCATCGATCGAGTAGCTGGCATGCGCTCTGATGAAATGAACACGGAAGTCATCTTTGAGGCATCTAGGACATCGGCTGTCCTATCGGGGTCGGGTCCCTGACACAGATTGGTTTCCAGTGCGGCCTCGCCTGCAGTGGTAGACAGTGATGGATCTGAAGGGCTTCGGCAAACTCTCGAGCGGGTAATTTTACAGTAGTCATGAGCGCAATCTGGAAGTCGAACAACATTATTGGATACACCGGCAGAAGCGTATTGTGCACATTTTCATCTAAGTAACAATCCCTCGTCTCATACTTCGTAGTGATCAGCTAGCCCGGAGCAAGGCTCAAGGAGTAGCCTTGCTCATGCTGATGAGTCTCTTCACCCCAACCTAAAGTCATGTCAGTCATACTTCACGGAAAAAGCACGGGAAGATTCATAGCTGACCATCCAGTTGCCGCATTCGTCTGTACGGTCGCGGTTGATATCGACCTGTATTCTCTGAGCAGTGGCATAATCCTTGCCTTGGATAGCACGCGCCAACTGCGTCAGGTCCTCAATAGTCCCAGGCTTCACGAGCTCCTCATTGTTCAAATGGTCAAACAATATGTTCAAGCGCTTCTGAGTGTCCTTGACCTGAACTGCATACGTTGATGGCGCCGCGGCAGCCACACGCTGCATATCCTTGCTGAGGATATCAACCAGCTCTTGCGCGTGCGCCGGGATGTGGGAGCGATCGCCGGGAGGATGCTTGGCCGCGGCTGGCGGGGGCGTCGGCCGAGCAGGGGGCGGCGTGGCCTGTGGAGGTGCGCTCGGGGGTGGACCAGGACGACCTCCCATCGGTGGACCTTGGGGAGGTCCCTGAGGCCCGGGCTGCTGACCGACCGGGGGCGCATAAGGCGACGGTGCATACTGGTTACTGGGAGTGCCCGTTTGAGGCGGCGCTCCGTAAGCACCAGTTGGTGGAGGCCGAACCCCTTGAGGAGGAGGCGGGAACGAAGTTGGCTGCGACTGCTGCGACGGTGGCTGCTGAGCAGAAGGCGCCGGTGCGTACCGGTTCGAAGGAGGCGCCGCAGAAGGGGGCGCATTATACGGGGACCCGCTGGGCGGAGGAACAGGTGGCGACTGAACAGTCGAACCAGCTTGAGGTGGCGGTGGCGCGTACGTACTGGCAGCCGTGGAGGGCGGGCGAGGAGGGCCCTGTCCGGCCTGTGGGGGACCTGTGAAAGGAGACTGCATGCGAGGAGGAGCAGGCCCCTTGGGTGGAGGCGGTGGTGGGCTGGCCACGGCGCGCTGACCGTACGGGCCGGGAGGTGGAGGCGCCGATGGCCCTTGCTGGCTGCCCGGGAACGGCGAGGTCATTGGGGCCATGCTCGGCGTTGAACGTCGTGGTGGCGCCGCCTTAGACACGAGAGGCACGTCGTTCCAGTTCTCATTGCTATTGGCCTTGGGTGGTGGCGGTGCCGATGGCGTCAAACCCCTGGGCGGGCCTGGGGGAGGAGCCATGGGCTGACCATAAGCCGGCTGTTGAGGCTGATAAGCTCCCTGAGGCGCGTACGGGTTCGTTTGAGGAGTGAACTGCTGCTGAGGAGCTCCATAAGGCTGCTGTTGCTGTGGCGTCGGAGCTGGGGACTGTGAGTAACCTCCGTAGGGATTGGGTGTAGGCACCATGGGGTTACTGGGTTGAGGAGGCTGGTATCCCATCTGCGGCTGCGCACGAGACGTGGTGCGACTAGCTGAGGTAGGCTGTCGAACAGTGGCCTGGGCAGCTGGCTTCTGGGTGGCCAGTCTGACACGCTCTCTGGCAAGCTCGGCTGCTGGGTATTTGCCAGGGAGGAGGCTGAGATACTTTTGAGCGGCTTCGAGCTGGCCATGGCCTGCCAGAATGTCCGCGTACTGAGTATACTTGTCGTAGAGTGTGGCCAACTTCCATCCAGACTCGAGTGCTTGCTCACTGTCCGAGAACTTGCTGACCTCACGGAAGACGGTGACCTTCTCGATGAAGTTCTGCAGAGATCTGGCGTGGACTGAAAAGGTCGAGTCAGAAGCGTTGCTGATCCCAGCTTGCTCAGCCTCCTCAAGCTCGGCGGCCCAAATTGTCACAACTTTCTCCAGCTTGGAGCCAACCAAGTAACAGAAAGCAGCATCCTTCCGCGCCCCATTTTCATGAATGCGGTCGCCCAGAGCCTCGCAGAGATCGGGGAACTCGGCAGGGTCGGAAAATGTGCACAGAATGGCCATAGTCTCTTTCCAGCCCGCAAGATCGGCGTTGTACGCTACGTCCCAGAGGTTCTTGGCGATGACCGAGCCAAGTAGGCGCATGTAGCTCGGTATGCCACTCTTGCGAGACAGGTAAGCCGATTGCACCTTGTCAACCAGCTCCTGACCACCGCAGTTGGCAATAAGGAAAGCGTCCGCCATGCGCTCCTCCTTGAGACAGATGTCTGTTGCCTTTGCAAAATTGCCAAGTATCAGAGCCTGTGTAACGTCCTTCTCCATCGACGTATCCGCGTCGCTAAAGAGCTCGAAAGGATTGTCGGTTTTAGCTCCCTTGGTGGCTGCGAGGTTCGAGAGGAAGTCCTCTTCGCCCTCGGCATCACCGCCGTCGAACATGGTGGACAGACGGTTGTTCTTCTTCTCCTCAGTCTCGGAGCTGGTCTTCAGTGTATTGTCGGCATCCTGCTTCTCTGCAGCGTCAGTCTGCCCGTTAGACAGCTCATCTTCCTTGAAGCCGAGATATTCAACAATTTTGGAGCGTGTGTTGCCGCTAGCCAAGGTCTCCATGACCTTCCAGTCTGCCTTCTCCTCTTCCGTTTGGGCCTGCTCGATCTTGTCTTCGCAAATGGCTATGACATCACCCTTGGCAATGGCAGCTTGGAACTTCTCGGTGGCAGACGACACGTCACTGTCGACCGAAAAGTTGGAGAGGACGATCTTGGAAGATCGTTTCTGACCAGGTTGCGTAGGGTTTGCCTTGAAGACGACCACCTTGCCGCCAAATCCAAAAGAAGCACCCACAGGCCGTTCAAGCCATTTAGGCGCCTTGTTCAAAGACCACGACGCACCCTGCGGCTGGGTCTGAGCGGCGCGGAAGAACTCCTCATCATCTAGATTCTTCTCTGCGGTAGACTGCGGAGTGTCGGGGTTGGTGTTTTGGAGTGTCTGAACGGTGATCTTACCATCGAAGCTGGCAGTGGCGGAGAGATTGGGGTTGTGTGGGTTGAAGCGCGTCTGGAAAGTCCAGTTGGTCACTTCAGGAAGCTCGCCAAGCTGCTCGCCGGTTTGAGGATTCCAAACGAGGGTGCGGTTGTCCTTACCAGAGGACATGAGTAGGTCGGCATCTTGGAAACACCAAGAGAGAGACAGAACACCCTGCTCGTGGCCTTGCAGTGTTCGTTCGGGCGCATTGGAGTTTCGCAGATCCCAGAGCAGAATCACAGGTTGGTTGTCATCGGGCGTAGCTGTAATGAGCTTCGTCGAGTTGTTGGGGTCCCAGGCGATAGCACTGACAGGCTTACGGCTGTTGTTGAGAGTAAGGGTGGCCTTCTTGGTCTTTAAATCCCAAACTTGCACAAAACCTCCAGAGCCTCCAGTAGCCAAGATATGTGACACCTTGCGGTTCCAGGCCAGACAATCAACGTCGTCGGATCGGCCTGCGCTTCCTAACCGAAAGGGGTTCTCAATATCGTTGATGTCGTAGATGAAGAGTTCGCCTTTGGCACCACCCGTAGCGAGGATCTGGGGCTTGAGAGGGTTGAATTGGAGTGTTTTGACTGCACCGGTGTGCTTCGAAGTCTGCGAAATCAGTGCGTCCGAAGCACCAGCAAGCAGCTTTTTGGCGTCCCACAGGTCGAGGGAGCCGCTCTCGAGGGCGCCAGCAATGATACCGAGCGGGTGTTCTTCATCGGGAGGTCCCCAGGCAATGTCATAGAACCTGAAGAGCATTAATGTCTGGTAACGAAGCACACTGCCACGCCCACGTACTTTGACTCTGTCGAAATGCTCGCCACCGGCTGCAGCTCTAGTCCTTGCTGCTGATCATCCAGTGCCAAATCCCATAGCTCCAGCTTGGACTCGTCCGAAAAGTCGGCATCGACAGCTCCAGCTCTAGTGCCAGTGACCAGGAGCGGCTTGCCAGAGCCGGAGGACCAGGCAAATGTGGCCGTTCTGGGAAGCTCGCGAAGGCGCACCATGGCGGTTTCGACGATCGAGGAAGTTGGCGAGAGGTGGCGTTACTCGAGCTCAATAGGTCTGCGCTTTGATCATGAGAAGATGGTAGGAAAGGGGGCTACAAGAATACAGGCGCCTGCCAGCTACTAATGGGCATTAAGCTGGTCTTAGATGTACAGCTCGAAGCAACAGGAAAGGGACAAGGTCCAGAAGGCCAAGTATGATGCCAGATCGCAGGCCCACCTGCCGCCCAGTGCCCCTTGCCAGCCAGCCTGGGGATTCTGCCCACTCCAATGTCCGTTCAGGCTCCTGCCCCACCATCATCACTGCGGGCCTCGAGGCACGTGATACGTGAATCGGTCGAGGTGAAGATTCAGGCAGGAAATCTACATTCACTTACAGATCGAAGACTCCGATCAACTGAAGCACTCACAATTCCCCGTGCGAATCCCGGAAATCAAAATGACAGACGCTGCTCGGTGGAAAGCGACTGTCCACGTCGGTGGACTCTCCCATATGGCCACCAGCAGACACGTCCTGGACGCCTTCATCCCGTTTGGCGAGATAGTAGAAGTTCAGGTGCCGAAGAACGATGCGCCAAACTCAACAGAACCACACCGCGGGTTCGCATACGTCGAGTACGAGGACGTTGCCGATGCCAAGGAAGCCATAGACAACATGGACCAGGCAGAATTCTTTGGAAAGATACTGAGATGTTCACAAGCAAAGGCACCCAAAAGTGCGGACGAAGGTCTTGGGAGCAAAACCGCTGTTTGGGAACAGGTAGGCAATCCCCCATTCGCATTCAAAGTTGCAATGATTAACTTAATCGTAGGAAGGCTGGTTGGCGAAGAATGCTGCGGAGGACAGCAATGGCATTTCCGGCGAAGAGCCACCGCCCGTGGACATGACTGGCCCGGATCCGATGCAAGGCTTAGAAGGCCTAGATGTGGCAGGGCCGAAACAGGCGTAATGACCTTGTAATCAGGACGATTCACGGGATCCCCAGGGATATGCATAGCGTCGGCGTTTGTGGTTTCAACACAATGGTTATCAAGAAATCCAATCCCCCATTCTTGCTAACACATGTACAATGCTCCGACATCTGACAAATGGAATATACTTGTGATATCTGTCCTGAAAACTTTTGCTTCCCTAGTGGTCGGAGCTGTCGTGGCTCTCGGTGCGAGCACCGGGGCCCTGGCGGGCAAGACGAAGGTTCTTGTCGACCATGAATTTGCGAACGCTCGAGTAGCCGGCAGCGAACACGGCAAATCCAACGACGACAGCTGACCAGTGTTAGTCTTGGGCTTCTCTTCGTGATATCGCGGTGGTGCCGTACCGAGGGGGTAGAGCTCGAGAGGGATGGACTTGAGCTTCCTGAGACGCTGCGAGATGGTGTGACCTGTGAAGCAACCACCGTCAGTCGTGTTGTTCCTTTACATCCCTATCCCAACCTTGCCCGAGTTGTTTCCGTCCCAATTGGTCGGATATCGTCACATACCGGCCTGGTCCTCCTTCTGTATGACGCAAGATTGTTAGCAAGGCCGAGCCAATTGTAACCGAGTGTGACTTGACAAAAGCTTACAGGAGGAGCACGCATCATGCGCGGCGTGGCACGAAACATCCGGAGAGCGGCGGTAGAGCGCATATTGAAGGAGTGGAGAGGTTCAGAGGGAGTTGTTCACGTCGTCGGTGGTCGTTGCTGGTGGGCTGATGCTCGTCAAGGCGTGGTTATTTGGAGCAAAGACCCGAAGTAGACATCTGAGTCTCTGGCGAAGGCACAGAGGCTGGATCCACAATGGTTGCTGGAAAGGCCGGAAAGCCAATGAACGCACAAGCAATTGCATGCCTGACGCCAATTGCACCCGGCAATCCCCAAAAATCAGGCACACATTGAAAGCTAGCCGGCTGTCTCCAAAGGTCAGGCCACCTGATTCGATCCCGACTGCGTCGGTGCGTTCAACCTCGTCCTGCGAACAACCTCACCCAACCTTGCCGTCATCGACAAATCGAACATTTTCTCCCAACAAGCACGATCTTGCAACAATCACAATGGCTGAGGAAGATGGTCAGGAGCTTGTCACCAAGCCCTTCAAGTTTGTGACTGGTATGTCCCATCCCTTTGTTGCGAAATTTAGTTGAGTTGGTAATCCGAGGCTAACATTCTCGCGCAGCTGGTAAGAACCCCGACTCTTGACAACGGCTACGATCCAGAAGTTTATGCGGGATCAATTGGGCTCGATGGACGCGCTGTATGGCTGACGCGAACATCCGAATAGGCACCGACGCTCGTTTCCCCAACGTCAACCAGACCAAGCACTGCTGGCAAAACTATGTTGACTACCACAAGTGCATTATCGCCAAGGGGGAGGACTTCGCTCCTTGCCGCCAGGTATGGACTTCCAAGTTCAAGGATTTGCTTGCGTCTCGAAACTGACACGAGGCAAAAGTTTTGGCTCGCTTACCGCTCGCTCTGCCCCTCGGGATGGTACCAGCGCTGGGATGAGCAACGAGGTATGAGATGCCCGATATGCGCCGCTGAGAATGGATGCTAATACTCCTACAGAGGCGGGCCAGTTCCCTGTCAAGCTTGACGCTTAAGCGCTTTCATAGACAACAAATGACACTGGGTGATGGAGTTCTGTAACATTGGTGCATTCCGATAGTCAAATGAAGCTAGGCTACTGCCGGTGGTGACAGCGATTGCAGGTTTGGGAATAGCCTGCCCATCTGAATACAGGCTAGAAAAACAACGCTTTCATTTGTGCTATTGCTACATACTAGCTGCACGCATGTGCTACGTGCTATATTGATATGCTCGCATGCGACATCATTTGCGTTAATCTGTTCGCGAAGCCCACGAGGCTTGTCCAATTGGAAGACATGCGAACTTGATCAGGTATTCGGCGGTAGAGTAGATCAATTGGCGAATGTGGATCTTTGCACCAGAGTTGAGCGTTGTTATGCGGGCGACAGAAACAGCTCACAGATTTGGTCTGCTCGATGCATTATCCGCTCGACCGAGTTGCTCGCGCTCGTGTCAATATTGAGCAGCAATGGTATTGTAAGGCTCAGCTGAGTTCTGCACAGCTATTGATCCATGACATTGAGCCGAGACAGCTAGGTTCTGATCACACACGCCATCAACTTTGTCGAGAGGATACGGTGCTGTCGTCGCGGCACCTAACGAGCCTTGGTCGTAGATAACTGCTGACCTGAAAGAATCGCGCTGGGAGGTCATCCCACGTCTCAGAGCGCTGTGTGAGGGGTTGACAAGAAGTCACCCTATCCATTTGGTCATGGAACCCTTTCCCATCATGACCGAATTGTCGGTGCTTTCAATTTTAGCATGCGGTAGGGTCTGTCAACCAAGCCCGGTGAGGGATTCAGTTCGATGGTCCAGAACAGAAATGAGAGATCAGGTGGAAGTGGTGGTCAAAGATGACAGTTATGTCTCGCACACATTCACTTCTTTTCTGTCTCCTCATCGTCGTCGGAGCTCATAAACTCGTCATCGTCGTCGTCGAATCCAAAGAAAGCAGGGGCTTTGCCCTTCCCTTTGGCTGTCTTCTCGGTCTCCGCTGGCTTTGTGAGCGGCGTTGACTCTTGTGAGCTTGGGCTTCCTCCCTCCTCCGATTCAGAATGCTTTTGACTGGTTCCCGAAGAGCTGGAACCGGCCGAGGTTGCAAGCAGGTTGTCGGTGTAGTTCCCGGCCTTCATGGCTGCCAAGACCGCATCCCGTGTCCTCTCGTTGCTCTCCTCCTTGTCGTCAACCCATTTACCATCAAGACGACCTTCGCCTCCATTCTTGATTTCGGCTTGCTTACGCTCAGCGGCCTCGACAACTTGCTCCCAGCGTTCACGGCGCTTGTCCTTCTCCTTCTTATCCATCTCGGGTTTGATGGCCAGGTATTCCGCCAGTGCCTTGGCTTCATTCACCGTACGCAAGCGTCGACCATCGAGGTTGCGACTTGAGCCGTGATCTTCCTGGTTGCGCTTCTTCTTTGACGACATGCGCCCACCTGCGGCGCGAAGCTGTGAGCCGAAGCCACCCTTGCCACCACATAGGGGGACACTGAGTCGTAGAGACAGGAAGTCATCGTCGGCATGTAAAAGGTAGTCGGATACGAATTTGTCGGATCGAGGTACTATTTGCTTGTTGCCCAGCGTAGTGATGATGAATTTGGTGTCTTGAGAGGGTAGCCGATCGAGAATGCTGCCTTCCAATTCCGTTGTGGTTGCTGAAGCCTCTGTGGGCAGAGAAAGTGTGGGAGGAAGCCCAAGACCACCAAATGTTGTGATGAGAGTGTTCACGCGTTTATCCGCCATCTTGAAAGTAGTGGTCGAGGTGCAGCTGATGAGAGGTGCAATACGAACTTGATACGTGTAAGATGCAGATCGCGAAGTCAAGGTGGAGGCTGCGACTCAACGCCAAGACCCGCCTCATGCGCCACACCAATGGCTCCACGGAGTGACAGGCTTGCACGTGATCTCAGCCACAGCCCCCACTACTTCTCAAGCCACCCCACTCTCGATTGTAGGGTTTCCGCCCACAAGAAATTCAATTTGAGCGCAGGCATCTTCATCGCAGTCCGACTGAAACCAGCTCTCCCAACGTCGACCGAACGAATTCCACCCCAACCGCCACGATGTTGATTCCCAAGGCCGACCGCAAGAAGATCCACGAGGTACAATCGCATCGATTCCGACGACGACGAAACATTGGCTAATTAACTTTTTTCCAACAGTACCTCTTCCGTGAGGGCGTGCTCGTCGCTCCCAAGGAGTTCAACCTGCCCAAGCACCCCGAGATCGACACCAAGAACCTGTTCGTCATCAAGGCGTGCCAGTCGCTCACCTCGCGCGGCTATGTCAAGACCCAGTTCTCTTGGCAATGGTACTACTACACCCTGACCCCCGAGGGTCTCGACTACCTCCGCGAGTGGCTGCACCTGCCCGCCGAGATTGTTCCCGCTACGCACATCAAGTCGCAGCGCACCCACGCTCCTCCCCGCGGCATGCTCGGCGAGGGTGAGCGTGAGAGGAGGCCTTTCGGTCGTGGACGTGGTGGTGACCGTGGCGACCGCGAGGGTGGCTACCGTCGCCGGGATGCTGGTGAGGGCAAGGAGGGTGCTGGTGCTCCTGGCGGTTACGCCCCTGAGTTGTAAGCCTCAGCCCAATTGGCAGCTGACTCTTGTGGACTTGAATGCTAACTTCTACACAGCCGTGGTGGTTTCGGACGTGGTGGTGGCCGCGGCGGCGCTCCCCCTTCGTAAGCGGATCGGAATTACGCATACCCACTCATCGCTCTCACGATACATGGCGCAAGGATTATGGCGGCATGTACTCTAAACATGGAGGGAAATTAAAAGCACATTGATCGAGCCTGGCCTCGCATGTGGATGATCGGTTACGTGGGGTTTCACCGTGGGAGTTAAGGAGGTCACAGAGCCCTCGGACATGGTTTGCATTAGGGTTCACGTTTGCTCTCAACACGTTATGAAGTATCTGAGTCTACGTGAATAAGTGACGTTGATGGATAATTCAGGTGAATCATGCAGTAGTTTTGACTACTTTGGTCCTACACTGCTCCGGGTTTCGAGCTGATGCTTGAACGGATTTCTGACCAGCAGCTCCGGTTACGAGGAGCGCACTAGCACGTACCTAGATAGTACGCAAAGACAGGTCCGAAACTCGAGCAGCTCAAGGCTTCTCGCTGACAGCTCTTTTCTGAGACATCTGGCCTACCAGGAACAACAGCAGAGTGTAACTCTGTTTAGTTCCAGAGTCCAGCTGTCTTTCACATGAGAGATGTCCAGCGTCAGTGATTGATCACAGCCTGTACCCTTGATCTACTCCGAACAGGGACGAACTTGCTTCGGTACTTCATGAACCACGCCAGAGCCTACGTGCCTCCATTGCACTCACCAATGCTACGGTTATGATATCGAGTTCCCAATTTAGATTACTCCCATCCATCAATTTACCGTGACTACTAGACTACTCATCCTGAACATAGGCCGCTCCCACTCCCTCACAGTGAATTGCGCGCCGAAACTGGCAACTTGCACTGTGATCGACCTTTCACCATGTCGACTTTCACTTCTCACATATCCTCCGTCATATCTATTCTTTCAACTTCTACAGCTGCCCTGGCCTGATTTTATGCACGCCAAAATTTTCCAAGGCCACTGTGCCATCCTTTACAAAGTTACCAAACCTCGTCTTTTCCCCGTCCGCGCGTGGCACAGGTAGCCTGAAGCCGGGCGATCTTCCCCCACAAAACACCTCGATCAAGCACGCGTGCAACATCACAGTGATGCCACCCTCAAGATCGAGACCGTCGTGCCTGACGAGCTCTGGGCCGTCAATGGGACGCGGCAGACGCAGTTGGCACTGATCCACCCAAAAGTTATCCAGAGGGAAGTCGGTGATCAACGCGACGCTGCACAAACTACAAACTACCATGCGCATTCGGCGCGATGCCGAGTCTGAAGGCCTTGCCACTCTCGTCGGCCTGCAGCACTAAGCCGAATGAATGCGCTTCCTTGCTTCTGCACGTTGAAGGATATGAGCAGAGCATGCTGTTCTATCTCGGCAGTGAGTTTGGGGAAACTAGTCCTGGTCGATCCGATAGTCTCGAGAAGCAGGGTTCCTCGCCCTGAAACCTTCTGAAGAGGCTCTGCTGCCTCTTTCAAGGCATGGAGATACTGGGGCGCCATATCCTCGCGCAGCCATTCTTTCAAATCAGCGGACACCTGCCGTGGCACGCCCATGTCCGCTCCCCAGAGCCACTTGCCTTGCTCGCCGACATAGTTACCAAGCCAGCCAAAGCACAGCCCTTTGATCAAGATTCCCAGCCCTGGGGCATGACTCGGCCGCGTACCATCGACGGCCATCAAGGCGGCCGTGCGACCCATTACGCGGCACTCTAAAGGGACCTCTCGGGCTGTCGGCGACGCGATAAACAGTGCCCGCACTGGGAGCGTGAAAGCGCGAATACACCAGATACCACTTGCCGCTGGTTGGAGGGTGAGAAGCTCCGGACACTCGGGGCAGAACATGTCGTTTGGAGAGCACAGCGGTTCTGCGTCCAGCGTCCAGTCGTCGAGGTTGGACGAGGTCAAGAGAGCGATACACCACGGCTCCAACGAGGGCCGTTTCTCAATCTGGTCGCGACCAGCATCCAGTACCGCGCTTGCGAGTCATTGAAGAACACATACGGGTCGTGAAAGTCAATGTCCTCGAATTGCGACATTTCTCCTTGTATTGCGATGACCATTCCCTGAATTTCGAACTGGGCGCCATGGCGTTCCTTTGACTTGGTGCAAAATATGACTTGCTTGCCACTCTGAGAGAGGTTGTAGCCAGTGTATAATGTTTTCATGTCGCCGTCAGGACCATGTGCAGCAGCGTCCGTCCATATCCCCTCGGCGTCGAGGTCCGATGGTCTCGCTCCTGGTTTCAGCGCAGGCTCTATCTCGAGTCCATTCTACCAGGTTTTGGGACTTGATTCTCGACCATCGGGAGCTGCAGCTGCATCCAACCACCTTCTTCTTCGATAAAGCCAGCTAGGAAACACCGGGAGAAAGACGAGACTTACATCCAGACAATCTTGTCGAAGTTCTGCCTCCAAATTGGCTTTCCTTGACTGTTGAAGAAATGAGGTCATCCTATGAGAGCTCCATGTACTCTCGCCCATCGCCAGCGCAGGCAGCAGCTGATGCCAATCCCATACTGGTGGATGATAAATATCATGTCTTTCATCTCACAACTCCTTTCACGAAGCACCTTCCGCCGTGACTGCGCTGCTCACTGATCCCATTGTACCGCGCAAAGTCATTTACAGCACGGCTGCCTTGGTCGCTCAGCAGATCAACGGCATTCATTGGTTTTACTATTTCGAAACCGTCTTCTCAAAGGCGATTGGGTTGAGCGACCCGATGCTGATGACCCTGATTGTCTTTATCATTCAAGTCTTCGTCGTCCTCTGCTCATGATACTTGTGGCATCATGACGATGTCCATCTTCGTCGTCGGACGCCTGGGTATTCAAGGCGGCCAGATCAGCAACATCATTAGCAAGGTCATCATCAGCTTTGCCATCATCGAGATGGTCGCGTTCAGCTTCGCATGGGGCCCTCTCGGGTGGACTATTGCATCGGAGATGGCTGTGGGCCGCAACCGCAACAAGATCTGCGCCATCGCCGTCGCCGGCTTCTGGATCACAGCCTGGGTCACCGTCTTCACCCTGCCCTATCTCTACTACTCGACCAACCTCGGCCCCAAGACGGGCTTCGTCTACACGGGCCTGTGTTTCATCACCTGGGCGTATGTGTACTTTTGCCTGGGAGAGGCATGGAAGAGATCAATGGCTTCTTTCGAGATGGTGTCCCTGCGAGGGAGTGGAGAGAACGGCCAAAGAGAGGTGAGGATGCCATCGACATTACACACGTGCAAGGCAGCGACGCCAGTGTGGTGAAGCTGGGCAACAATGAGAAGGCGTAGAAGCGAAGCATCTTCTGTCGATTCGTATAGTAAGATGAATTCAACGATTCCACCGAATATCGGCTAGAAAGGAGTGCTCACTCATCTGTACCTACTGTGGGCGTGTGCACAGCCATTATCCCACTGTCTAGAGCTGCCAAGGAATTTCCACGACGAAAGCGGTCGTGATGGCAATCAAGTCCCGGAAACAGCCACCGTCTAGCACCCAAACATTTCACCACTAACAAATTTGTCTCGACATGGCGACCAACCGCGACATCTTCATGAGTATCAAGCCCGCTCACATGGAAAATCTCACATCCTGTCTCAAGAACCACGAGTATCCAAAGTACAAACTCCTCGATGAAGTGCGCCGAATCTGGTTCTACACAACCACGCCAATATCTGCCGTCTGCTACATAGCAGAAATCTCCTGCACGAAGGAGCCCTGTGGAGTACCTGAGAATGGTGGCATCGGCAAAGCAGACTTGAATGCCGGTAAGGTCTCCAAATATGGATACGAAATTTGTCACTTATGGGAGCTACATGAGCCTATCACACTCGCACAGGCAAAGTCTCTAAGTTAGGCTATTTGAAACGGCGCTCTGTAAAAGTATCGATGGGTTAAGAAGGACGTCCTTGACTGGTATTAGACTGCCGGCCAGCGCAAAATTGAAACGAAGCCAAGTTCAAACATACATGAAGGTACACAGAAGGCGCCACCTTAATTATCATTAGTCTTTTCTCAAGCCTGTAGGGTAGTCGTGGTGAGTCAATTGACGAACGCGCCTACAGATTCGGCACTTTCTCACCTGGTGCCGAAAACACTTTGCCACGCCAGTGACTACTGGCAGCCTCGCAGATCACAACCATCAACAGAAACAACACATACACAACTTCGTCAAGCTGACGAAACGCCCGTTCGGGTCTTCATCTCGTTGCGGAAGGCGCACAATGCAGAACGATGCCCACCGAACCTCAATGGCCTAAGCTCAAAGTCTCGGGCAAAGATGAATACTCGACTGGGCACTGCATGACCTGCGGGTTACTCATGCGCTGGCCGCGAGGACTCCAAGAATTTCGATGCACAATATGCGCCACAATCAATGATCTTTCCCCTTTGAAGGACCGGCATGCAAAATCATCCACGAAGAGGGAGGATAGGAAGACTACCCCAGAGGTGCCGGGTAGGTTGACGCCACATGTCAGCTCATCCCTTGCTCATACTAACCATGTATGATTCCAGTGAGGCCGATTTCTTTGGACCGGACGAGACTTCTAGTGGATGACTGCCTCAGAAGTCTTTTGATTCAGAGATTCTGCACCAACGATAGCGAGTGGTTGGGCGCACCCGATTATGCCACATCCCGACACGACGAATGTTATGCTCGATCACAACAGATACGTACTGGATCAAGTGCAGCAACTGCCGGCAAAGAGCACAACGAATACGTGCCCAAGTACGAGTTTAATGAGACACCCACACTGCGCCCAAAGCCTGTCTCCAAGGTCTCTACGAGCGGTGATTCCTCGACGCTACCAACGCCCTCGCGAGGCCACGCCAGAGCCTTCCCTGGCGGCACACTTGAGACCAATGCGACATCTGGGACCTCCAAGGTCTCGCCAATCTTCAACATCGTCCAAGAATATCTTGAACAATGTTTCAGCTCCTTTGATAATGTCAGCCACTCCTTCAGGACCAGACCGCGCTGCAGCCCGCACACTGAGCGCGCTACTGTTCTCGAAAAAGCTACGCAACCTACATCAAGAAAACAATCTCCCGCCGAGGCCCGCCCAGGCAATAGGACTGTCCGTAATATCGACCCAAAACTCTTGCTTCTGGGCGATGTCGCTAAGAATGGCACATGGTGGCTTGGTGGACAAGATCTCGACGTGCCATCAAAGACAGGGGCCGACAAGGATCGCAAGGAAATCGCTTCGTTACCCCCGAAAAGGTCACCTCATCTGCATTGGGAGGAATTGGACGAGTGGTATTCGCTAGTTGTAAACCCCATGGAAAGATGGCCATCTATTTGCGCCGAAGTATGCTCCCGCCCTGACTGGCAGTATCCCAAGCAACGTGCGCTGGAGCAAGCTGAGCGGGACGCTGCTTCAGCACAGGTGGCGCTAAGGAAAAGTTTCATGAAGACCGTGGAAATGTTTTTGAAACGACCTGGAGGGAGGATAACTGACGCGGAAGAATTACGAGCATTACTCATTCTTCTAGAGAACCCTTTGCTCGACTGCGAGGATGAGACTGGCGCTGTAAGCATTTCCAGGAATGGTCTTGGCAGGAAAAGGGGGACTCCAGCGTCTGGACCTTTGTCGGGAAGACACTCGCGGGTCATCAAGCGCATCATTGGACTAATGTCTCATCTGGCACCAGAGCTACATTTGCAGCTTGTCCATTGGTTTGGAAGATACGATGCACGTCGCTTCATACGAATCAAGGACCTCATTGCCGGCTTCTTGGGCTACCGATTGTTGAGGAGGGATAGTGACACAAGAAACGCACCGGGAGTTAACGACATCTCAGAACTTGTGCCACAGATTCGTCCTGGACAATCCAACGCAGCCTTCCATGAGGAGCTGCGGCTGAGCCAGAAGGCTTCCAAAGCGAGATCTCAAGGAGCGGCTTATATCGACGATTGGCAGGTAAAGTCCGCAGCACGGATACTGGCCCTATTCTTCGAGGCCAACAACTCTGGCTCTGGGCATTTCGCAGGGGATGCATCGTTGAGTAAGTCCGGCACCTCGAGAGGTCGATTCCTACCCATGAGCGACTTTTATGTGTCCTTGGCGGACTCGATCGACCTCATCGCCGATTTCCGCGAGTTTGAGAAAAAAGGGGCAAAGTTTGCCTTTTGCCAATACCCCTTCTTATTGAGTATATGGGCCAAGACACAGATCCTCGAACACGATGTGCAAAGACAAATGCGGGACAGCGTCCGAGATGCGTTCTTTGACAGTATCATGCGACGGCGTGCAATCAACCAATTCTTGCAGATTACCGTCCGGCGCGAGTGCCTAGTGGACGATAGTCTCAAGGCTATTGGTGAAACGCTGGGTGGTGCGAGCGAGGACGCGAAGAAGGCGCTTCGGATCACTTTCAAGGGTGAAGAGGGGATCGATGGCGGTGGGCTGCGAAAGGAATGGTTTCTACTCCTGGTGAGAGAAGTTTTTAGCCCTGACCTTGGGCTGTTCATCTACGACGAGGATTCGCAGTACTGCTATTTCAACCCCTTCTCGTTCGAGAGCTCAGACCAATTCTACCTCGTCGGAGCGATCATGGGTTTGGCTATCTACAACTCCACCATTCTCGACGTGCCTCTGCCGCCATTCACTTTCCGGAAGTTGCTTGGTTCTTCATTAAGCAACCCCATCAACTGGACACGCCATGCAGCCCGCTGTACGTTGGAGGACCTCTCGCAATACCGGCCCAGTCTCGCCCGTGGACTCCGGCAGCTGCTTGAGTACGAGGGCGATGTCGAGGCTACCTTTTGCTGGAGCTTTGTCATTGATGTTCAAAGGTACGACACGATTGTCCCAGTCCCTCTTTGCGAGGGAGGCGAGAACAAAGCTGTCACGAACAAAAACAGACGTGAATTCGTCGACCTCTATGTCCGTTACCTGCTGGACATGTCCGTCCACCGCCAATTTGAGCCCTTCAAAAGGGGATTTTACAATGTCTGCTCCGGCAATGCCTTTGGCCTTTTTCGACCAGATGAGGTGGAGCTGCTGGTTCGAGGATCGGACGAGGCTCCCGATATAGCCCGACTCCGGGGCGTAGCAGAGTACGACAATTGGGAATACAGGAACCCAGATGCACTCGTCGATCAAGTGAATTGGTTCTGGGACGTTTTTGGAGAGGCGTCACCCAAGGATCAGCGGAAGCTGCTGCTGTTCATCACGGGAAGTGATCGACTACCAGCCGCTGGAGCCTCCATGATTCCTCTCAAATTATCGTGCCTGGGAGATGACTCGGAGAGGTTCCCCATCGCGCGGACATGCTTCAACATGTTGGCCATTTGGCGTTACTCGACCAAGGAGAAGCTACGGACTAAATTGTGGACAGCCGTATACGAAAGCGAGGGTTTTGGACTAAGGTAAGAGAGATCGTACATGTATTAGAGCTTCATTGCGTGGCGGCATGTCTTATGGACCAACTCTTCAATAAGACTCAAACAAAGCCATTTCAGCTCAGTGACAATTCATACCCTGTTAGATATGGTGATCCAAAGGTCGGCGCCTTTTCCATCCCCTATACACGGCCTCTATATGGCCTAATTATACAGCACGTACACAACGTCTAGCATAAGAGTACGGCACTCAGTCCTCGCTCAAACCACCCGCTTGCCTGGCTCGTGCCAGCATATCCTTCTCCCGCTTCTTCTCTGCCCTGAGCTTATCCAGCACGCCCCTGTCGTACTCTCCTTGCTTGGCCAGATCCTGCAGACTCTGGATTTCCTGCACCTGCTCTGGCGTGGGCTTGAGCACCTGCGCCCTCGTCTCGGCAACAAAGTACTCGAGAATGTACGACGAATGCTTGTCCTTCATGTCCAGCTCAATCGTCTTCTCGGTCGGCAGTGGTGGCTGCGCTTTCGACAGGCCTGCATGTGACGAGGGCGGTTGCTGGAGGCTCTGGGGCTCGCTGGGCTCTGGCACGTCCGGGTTGCGGACGTATATGGTCATTTTGGGGGGGATCTCGTTTTGTCGGTGGCGGTTGACGATCATGGGGATCGACGGGTTGTGGTACTTGAGACGGGGGAGGACCTCGCGCCAGAACTTCCTGGAAAATCTCCTGTCAGCTCTTGTTCTGGGCAACGTCGCCTTGCACTCCGGACGTACTTGGGACCCATGTGGCCGCCTTTACATGTGACGGCAAAGTCCATATGCACGCGCGTGACATTGGGAGGGATGATGGCGGCACCGGGGCCTGTTTGGAGGTTGATGAGCTAAGATTGTCTCGTGAGCTTTGCGGCTTGGCAGGTATTGATATCGCATGTGGGAACGTACAGCCTGGGAGAGTTAGTAAATTAGTATGCATGATACACTGGGGACGCTTACACGTCTCAGCTTATTCCATCGTACTCCTAATGTCCTCATTGTGGCGGTTATGATGTGATGTGATGGACGGGAAAGATCATGTCGTCCAAAATGTTCGACTTCGCGATTCGCGACGCTGGATTTCGTCGGTTTCTGCTTCTCCAAATCCCGTGTCACGTGTAACCCCTGTGGTCTGTGCACAAGCAGCCTCCTTTGCGGTTCTTCGAAAGACATTTGATTCAAGTGCGAGTGCGAGGCACGTTTATCTGGAGTCTTTGATTCATTTCCTCTGTTCAGCGCATAGGTGCACACGAAGCTACGTGGAATCATGTTCCGCGCAACTATGACTTTCTGGTCAACGATCTTGGGACACTACAGACACTACAGAGCTTGATCATCACGTCGTCTTCATGGCACATCATGCACCGGTCCACTTAATTCTAAAGAATTTCCATATGGACCCAGAAGAGAGGTTGTCTAGGTAAAAAACTGTTCGTCATCAAAGGTAACCACCTTCCATAGCGCGGAAGAGTGGCCACCCTCGAGCAAGACCACAACATGCGTCCAAGTGACCGTACGCGCAATGACCCCAAAAGACTATGTCTCTGTCTTTGGGAAGCCTGTATGCGCGAGAACGACCTGGCTTTAGCAGCCCCGGACCTAGTAGGATCAACAACAAGCCTTGCCGCACGAGAGCTGCAATAGGGCCATCCTTTGAGAAAGCATCGGTGTATATGAGGCCTCACAGGGTGAGCACAAGGCCTTGGTGATGCTCGAATGTATCTGGATTTTCTAGAATGAAGCGCAGTGTTTCCTACCAGGCTGCCCCGGGTTGAACGATTTGATCAGGCTTTGTATGGGTTGATCACTGCTAGGATCCTGTGAGGTTGTTATATATGACACGGCAAAGAACCCAATACCCCTGAGCGACGACGAGCCATGAGCCATGAGCTAATCGTACCTGAACAATTCATCAACAAGGCAAGAAACGGCATTTTGAAAAGGTGCCATCTGTGATAATAGAAACCCCTGATACTTGCGGAGACGGGAATTAACCGGGACTGTTCTATGCGGGACGGTGGGGTTTGCTTAACGCGCTGACACGCGACTTTCAATGTCACTCCAGCTTTTTTTCTTCCCGCTAAAAGTCGAGATTTCGGGGAGCTTCCACAGTCCAAAGTCGAGTCGCAAGGGAATCATGCATCGCGCAATATCGGCACGATGGCTTCCTCGGGCTGCCAGAAATCGTCAGAGTGCGGCCTCGCTCCCTGTACTCTTTTGCCCTGCCGTTACCCGGTCTGTCACAAGTAGTCCGTTTAATCGACCGGCTCCGACTCCCCAGACTTTGCGCCGACCGCGATATCTACATACCGAGGTGACCCTTGAACAATCAGCTACACAGGCGCCAGCTACGCCAGCTGCTGATCCTCATGTACCGGAGAGCCGACGTCTACCAGTGAATTGCACTGGCTGCGGCGCTTTCAGTCAGATTGACGATCCAAACCATTTCGGCTACTACGATGTCAAATCCAAAAGAGTACGCAAATGGATGCACCCCGACTCGGAGAAAAGTTACGAACCGCTCTTGGAGGTGTCGAAGGAAGAGGAAGAGAACAAACTTGTCGATGAGGTGCTCAAGAACCTCGGCCCAGCCGAACTCGAGGCCCTCGGTCTGGATGCTACGAGTCTGGTCACGGGGGAGAGCAATAGTGAACAAGACATGACCGCTGTTCGCGATCTTGTGGAGGAGAAACCGCCTGTCTGCGAGCGCTGTCATGGACTGATGCACCATGGCCTCAACAACAGCTCCACGCAAATATCGATGCACCACCCCACGGTCGAGGCCCTGCGCGAGACGATCGAGGAATCGCCACACAAACACAACCACATTTACCACATCATCGACGCGGCCGACTTTCCCATGTCTTTAATACCGCGACTCCACGTGTTGCTGGGCGACATTCCGCTGCGGTCGCGAAACCGCCGATCCAAGGCCACGAGATACGTGCGGGACCGTCAGATTGAGATGAGCTTCATCATCACGCGAGGAGACTTGCTTGGACCGACCAAGAAAATCGTGGATGGCATGATGCCCTACTTGCGGGATGTGATGAGGGATGCGCTCGGCAGGATAGGGCCCCGAATCCGCCTGGGCAATCTGAGATGTGTCAGTGCCAAGCGCGCATGGTGGACCTCTGACATTCGAGAGGAAATTTGGAAGCGTGGCGGTGCAGGATGGATGGTCGGCAAAGTGAATGTGGGCAAGAGTCAGCTATTCGAAGCTGTCTACCCCAAGGGCAGGCTCTCGGGTGCTCCCAAGAGCATCGCTGGAGACAAGGACATAGCACTTCCAGTATACCCTCGCAACGAGCTTGCGATTGATAATCACGCCAACGACGAGGAGCTGGAAATTGGCGAGCTCCTCCCGCCTGCTCAACCTGCTACACAGTATCCCGACATGCCAATCGTGTCGTCATTGCCTGGCACAACGGCTTCGCCGATCCGAATTCCATTCGGCAACAAGAAGGGAGAACTCATTGACCTGCCAGGCCTCGAGAGGAGTTATCTCGAGCTGTTCGTGAAGCCTGAGCACAGGCAAAGCATGATCATGAAGAGCCGAATCGTTCCCGAGCAGATCTCTGCGAAATCCACAGAGTCTCTACTTCTTGGTGGTGGACTCATCAGGATCACCCCACGGACACCCGATCTCACGTTTCTATTGTACAACTTCACTCCTCTCGACGAACACATCACCAACACCACCAAGGCCATCGAGTTTCAGAGTCAACAACGAATGTCACCTGGAGTGAAGAATATCTCTATCGATGGGATCGGCGATAGGGTGGCGCACGCGGGCACCTTCAAGCTCAAACACGACGTGACCAAGCTGAGAGCCGGTCCTTTGACGCGGAAGAATGCGGTGGGACTGTCACTGGACCGCCTGCCATTCCGTGTGTTTTCGATCGATCTCTTGATCGAAGGAGTAGGCTACGTAGAGGTGGTCGCACAAATGCGAACCCGGGACTTGAAACTGATTGAAAGGGAAAAGGCGCCCGAGCCCGTGGAAGAGGAGACACCACCAGTGCCTAGCGATCCTTTCGACGCGATGAAGAGCGAGAGGCGTGAAACGAGAGAGACCTTGCGCGAGATTGCGCGTTTCTCAAAACCAGCCAAACCAGAGAAACCCATCAAAGTGGCTGAGCCCGAATACACCTGGCCTGAGATTGATGTCTTCTCGCCCGAGGGACGCTTCATCGGATCGCGACGACCGATTCAAGGATGGCTGCATAACAAGCCGCTCGTGAAACCGGAAAACAAGCGAGCACGACCTAGGCGGAGCATGACCGGCCAGAAGAAGAAGGAGAAGCATGAAATGAGGGCTACGCAGGCTAGTTCCTAGCACCGCATTTCTTTGTACAACATGTAAGGCTAGCAAGCATGATCTGCATTACCCGGCGTTAGCATCGCGGACGGACCGTTATCGGTCGGATCTTTGTACCAAATCGAGAGGGAACAGCGTGTGCACTTTGGAAAATCTGCTTCGTATCGTACAGAATAGCAGTCTATTCGTATCTGAGCCAGAGTAACATGCCTTGTGCCTGAATAGCATCATTCTTGTGTGGGGTGACAGGCACTCGTAAATGCCCCTCCAAATTCTGACGTCGCTACTGACAAAACCGCAGACTTCCATAATTCCAGCCGGTGGGATTTAATTCTTTATCCTGCATCCTACAACTATAATCCTTCCACTCGCCCTGAACTTGGACCACAAGCTACTATCATCGCCCCTCGCCTTGGCCACCCGATATACCCTACCAAGCAAACACGCGCATCATGTCGGGGTTACAATCGCGCCACTCCGCGCCTGGGCCGTCCCAAACACAGACCACCACCGAGGCGCCCCCGATTCCTTTATCTACGCACGAGCAACCCCAGCGCGTCCTTCGTCTACGAGGTGCTAGGAATACGAACGGGCGATCAGTCCAGTGGGCGGAAGACGTGGTGGACAACGAGGGTCTGGGGCGCAAGAGCTCCAAAGGTATGCTTGCTTGCCTGTGCTGCTCTACGCCGTGCCTAGGACAACGACTAACTCTCACTTAGTCTGCTGCATATATCACAAGCCCAAGGCAGCCGACGAGTCAAGCGACGAGTCCGACACCTCCAGCAGCTCCGGCGAAGATTCAGAAACTGAGTCCAAACCCGAGAAGGGGAAGGGTGCGTGCAGTCACGGCCACGGGCGCAAAGCAAAGAAGCGGCCGAGCAAGGGCCGGGCGCCCAGTCCGAATGCATACGAAAAGGTGCCCAAGGTGAAGCCCCGGGAAGAGAAGCAGACCAAGGCATAGAGAGGAAGATGACATGCGACAGCGCCTGTAGATTGATTTATGAGCGGATGGGGGCAATCATTTGGGTTATACACTTCTACGCAGCCTCGCCTGCTTTCTTTCCCTGGACTACGAAGAATCGACCTCTCTTTCTGGACGCCGTGGCCAGCGCGTCCCAGTCTTCTGCTTCGCTTTCGACCTTTGTTTTCACCCTCTTTGGCCTTTTGTAATACCCGACTTGCACTTCTTCCTCGAGCAGCCCTTTCATCTTGTCCAATGTGATGGTTTCCTCCTGCGTGCCCTGATCTGTCTCGTCGCGGATAGCGTGCAAGGGTTTCACGCCTCTTGTGTCGACGCGCTGGACTGCGCGTACGAAATGCAGTTGACTTTGAAGGGTTGCAATCATGGAGTATTCTTCTTCTGGAGTCTTGGGCAGAGGAAGCGCCGACAGCTTTAGAAGGTGATGTAGTTGTTTCGGTGTGATCTTGTCATCTTTCGCGGCGTCGTTGGAGGGCGACGATAGAAGCGACCGGACGGACCATGTCGGTTTCGCAAGGATTTCTGCTGGAGAAGTGGTCCCTGTGGACATATAGCGCGCTTGAGGTAATGACCTCCGAACAGGGAGGCGACAAGTTGTACAGAGCTTCATTCTTACGGAGCGCTGTGATGCAGTATTGAAGCATTACCCAAAGCTCACGAGCCTCGAAGCTACACTTTGTTGGTGCCGGGTAGGCATGTGGCTTGACGTGTGGCTAAGCAAGTACGTAGCCTGTTGGCGTCATATGCTACGGCTGATATGCCGTCGGATAAGCACCATCTCAGGCAGCTCAGCATCAACATCGAGAAGCCACATTGACCGTATACAACCAAGCACATTCCCGAATACCGATTCGAACATCTGAACCCGAGCCAGGTTCTATATATCACGCGATCATGGCACAAGATCCTCGCGCCTTATTGCAAAAGGTACAGTATGCCCCTCCCCCGCTATCCGTTCCTGGGTGCTTCGCAGCTAACCGACGGAACCAAAGGCCCAGAAGGCCCTCGACGGCGCCGGCAGCGGCTTCAGCTTCTTCGGAGGCCGGGAGGAAAAGTACCAGAATGCCGCCGACATGTTCATGCAAGCCGGCAACGCCTTCAAGATGCAGAAGCAGAGTACGATACGAAACCCCAAACTGAAACAGCGCGTGCGCAGCAGGAACTGATGCTTGGGAACCAGTGGTCGAGGCAGGCCAGGCCTTTGAGCAAGCCGCCAAAATCCAGACCAACAACCTCAAAGAGCCCGACGACGCGGCGAACACAAACGTCGATGCATTTAAAGCGTACCGCCAGGCGGACCCGCAGTCTGCGATCCGGTGCCTGAACGTCGCGATCGACCGCTACTGCAGCAAGGGCAACTTTCGACGAGCGGCCGGACACAAGGAGACCTTGGGACAAATGTGCGAGGAGAACGGCGACGCCAAAGCGGCCCTCGAGGCATACGAAGCGGCAGCGACATGGTACGAGGGCGACAATGCGACAGCGTAAGCAGATGGTGCCCGTGTATCCGTCCTCGGGAACAGGCGTGCTGACACGTAGACTAGACTTGCCAACAAACTGTGGCTCAAGGTTGCCGAAGCCTCGGGGCTGGAGGGCGAGTACTACAAGGCCATCGAGCAATTCGAAAAGGTCGCCCAGCAATCCATTAATAACAACCTCATGAAGTACAGTGTCAAGGAGTACTTCCTCAAGGCGGGCATCTGCCACCTGGCCAGCGGCGACCTGGTGGCCGCCCAAAGAGCGCTCGAGCGCTACGTCGAGATGGACCCGCAGTTCGCCAGCCAACGCGAGTACCTATTGCTCTCCGACCTCACGGCCGCGGTCGAGGCCAAGGACCAGGATCTCTTCACCGACAAGCTGTTTCAGTACGACCAGGTCAGCAAGCTCGACAAGTGGAAGACGACACTCCTGGTGCGGGTGAAGAACACAATCGAGAAGAAGGAGGATTCGGATGATGAATTTGCCTAAAGCGTAAAGAAGGCTGTAAATATGTGCCGGTTCTCGAGTTTACTTATGATACATGATCTTTTTCTTCTCCGAATACCGAAACCGGAGCCTTTGCCACTGGCAACGCGGTTGCTACGCACTATGAACTGCCCCTCGGCTTTTCCTCCTGACTTACCTCCACGTTTCCATCTCCGTCGCTGTAGTCTCGCAAGTCTTGGGCACAGTGTACTGGCGATTCGGGTCGCTCTCCCATGTGACGGAGCCGTCGACGCCCACGTTGATGTACTTATAGGCCAACTGCGCGCCAGCCGGCAGAGTCACGGTGCCTTTCCAGACAGGGTTCGCGTTTGTGTACGAGGAGGCACTGAGGGCCACGGCGTTGCCAGTGTTCCACTGACCGAGCTCACTGGCATCACCGACGATCTTGATTGTCTGGCCAAACTGCGTGCGGACGCGCACCTCGAACGTGACATCGACGGATGTTGCTGTCGTGCATGGCGCAGGAGACCCGGTAGGAGTTGGGCCGCCATTCGTAGGACTGGGAACGCCGTCTGTGGGCGTCTGGCTGGGCGGGAACGAGGTCCTGGTGGCAGAGGTGTACGACCCGACCGCCGTGGTCGCGCTGCATGTTCCTGGAACGTTCAGGTTCGCCCCCTTCACCCAGGTCGGGGGCACAATGCCGGCGCGACGGGATGTAGCTGTCAGGAAGGCAGCGTAGGACCAGGTCAGGTCCCTGGCGCCAACGGGTGACCCATTGAATTTAGAGTACTGCTCGGCCAGCGAGCCGTCACTGGGCGTGTATTGCTGGACCTTGGCAACGAAGCCGTCTGCGTAGTTTGAGACGGCGGTGATGATGCTTGTGTAGGTAGCTGAGTTGCTCGCGTACGTTCCAGTGGCGATGCCGGGAAGCAGGTCACGGAAGAAGCTAAGGGATGTCTGCGACACGGTGACGCTTCCCTGCTGCTTCCAGACATACAGGGCATCGTACAGCTGCTCTGCTACGGCCAGTGTGTTGAGGTACCACGGATTGCCCTGATAGTAGACATCCTCAGCGTACCGTCCTACGGCGATGGCCCTTCCGGTAGGGATGCCGTTATTGATGCCGTAGAAGCGGAAAGAGTCGACGACCGCCTTGAGGTTGGAAAGCGCGCGGTCAGAGCAAGGTTGGAATGTGGCAGAGTTGCACCCGATGGTTGGGTCGAAAAGATGGATAGATGCCAGGACACTGTTGGCATCTTTGCCCGTGCGGCCATCGTTGACATTGACTTTCACGGTCAGCGCTGGAATTCACGCACGGCTGGCGGTGTAGAGTAGGATACTTACTGTTCGAGTCAACGTAGCCACCGTTGGACACCCAGAAGTTCTGAAGGTAGCAGAGAATTTGCGGCGCGATGTTGGCATACTTGTCTCCCGACTTGCCTAGCTGCCTGGCGACCGAGGCGCCTTCAACAAGTGCTAAGGGGCATCGTCAACAAGCTGTTCAGCTAGGTGAGTGCTTTCAGGGAGTGCGTACCTCGGTGCAGACTCGCTACAGTAAAGAAAGACTGTCCGTTCACTTCTTCCCAAAGATCGAAGCCAGGCTGGGTCCTAAGCATGGTCAGTCTCGATACGTGCTCCACCTCGACGGCTACGAACCAGTATTGAGCGGAGTATTCGAGGTCGTTTCGGACCACAGGCCAGACGATGTCGTTGGCAGTGGACTCGTAGCCGTTTTCAATAAGCCATTGGGCGTATCCAAGCAGGGCGATGGCTCGCAGGGCTGGCCCGTCACGCTGAGGTCGGCCTAAAGGCTATTCAGCTGCTGCAGTTTTACTTGGGCTCCTGCGTGTACTCACCCCAAGCACCCATGTACTCGGTCAGATCGACCTCGAATTTGGCTTCGCCCAGGCCTCGCCCATCTGACAAGGAGCCTGATGGGTTGGAAACACCCTGGAGCTTGGCTTGAGCGCCCACGAACTCCTGAATAAGGCGTTGGAGGTTGGCGTCATACTGATCCGTGAACCTGTCCACAATGCTCTTGAAGACGAGGGCACTATCTCTAGTCCAGGTGAAAAAGTCTAGCACACTGTAAGTGGCGAGCTCATAGCTGATTAGGGGGCCTGGGAACGGACGACGAGTGACTTACACGGGGGATCCGCCCTGTCTGGGGAGGCAATGACCACTCCGGGCGCTGCACCCGCAGCAGCACATCCATCAGCACCTATGTTGCACAGGAGCTTCTCGAGGGCGATGGGTGTCTCGAAGTCGACAAAGTCGTCGACATCTCGTTTGCCGATGAGGTTGGGACGGCCAAGGACGGCTTGGAGGGCAAAGGAGCCTAGGAGCAGGGCGGAGGGTAGGATATGCATGAGGGGCTGCGTCGGAATAGGAGTCGAGCTGTTGGATAACGCAGACCCGGCAGAGATCGACAGGTCCATGGTGTTTATATAGGCAATGTAGAATTGTCCCTCGGCGAGCACCACGTATGGCAAGTCCTACCCTTGATTCGAACCAGCACGACCACATGATGCGGCAGAGGACGGAAGCTCGAGTAGGTTAGATTGCGGTGGTGGCGTCCCCATTGGAGCTGCGCCGTCCTGTGCTGCACAAGGTACCTGACAAAGGATCGCGGGATGTTTCTCACTGTGGCTATGGCTATGGAGGTGCTTGTTGTATTACACCAACGGGTCAGCAGCGACCTCTTTCGAGGGCGCCTGATCTAGGGTACAAGCACGTCAGTGTCTGTCTACCATTCGCAATGTGGTCCTGGGTCTATCAGAATGCAGCTCCATGTCTTCACTGCCGCGGGTTTGAGGTGTGGCTGCAGAACCTATGCGTTTCGAGCGCGTCCTAGCCATGACAGCGCCGGCATCGCCACGGATATGTTCCCCATGGGGAAACTGCGTGGATGATGATGTATGATAGGGCCGAAAAGAGTCAATAGCGCTGTGTCATGCTGGGCCAAGCACGCGCGGTCACAAAGAGCCTCGCATGTCTGATGATGTTGGGGATCTGGCCGAGCGCAAAGACACTACCCAATATGTGCAAAGATCGCGAGGCCAAGGCTGAAGCGGTTGTCTGGTCGGTATTCGCTCCTCGGGCGACATGCTTGGGCCGACACAACAAGCTGCTAGACATGAGAAGCAACCAGTACTGTACACGTGGAATTGGGCATGTGATAGCGGCAAGAACTCAACTTGCATCCGAGCTGCGGCGCCACATTTCGACGCGAGCTGATCTCGAAACAGTACTTTGTACACGTAATTAATTCGAGTGGGGATGGATGCAAACTTTGTGATGCGAACGAGCAGCCAAGGACACATGGGCCAGCTGTAAATAAACCCCGGCAGACACGACGGCATATCCTCCGTGCAGCCTTTGACCAAAGCACGGTGCAACCGCAGCCAGCCGGCGATGCACGTTGGAGTTGAGCGTTCAGTAGGACTACAGCGAACAGCGCGGGCAAAAACAGACACAATCACTGTACTAGGGTCGAGAAATGTAGACATCCCTGGTTTTCCTCCCACCTCACCGACCAACGGTCTCGGCAAAAAGGTTCGGAATAGAGTGCCTCGGGGACCACGTCCGTGTGGACGCAGAAACCGTTACTCTTGGACCTGTCGACAAGGAAATAACACCATAACGAGTTGATGGCTCCACTCGAGTGTCGAACTGCACACTCCTCAACTCTGACAGCCTCGAGGTCGAGCCTCAAGGCCGCAAAGGAAGAATGGCACAGATCCGTGGTTGAAGAAGAAGAGAAGCGGAAATCAGAAAATTCAGCGCGATTGATATGGACGCGGGCGAGTGGGTCCAGATCACGTGTGCGCATAGTCTTGGGCCCATAGTAATTGTCTTACCTGTAGGAATGACGGACGCTCGCCAATGTGACCTCAATTCCACGGTCGCATCACGACCTTACCTTCGCGCCCGACCCCAACCCATCACCGAAGCCATCCCTTGTCGCTTCACAGACACAGCAGCCATGGACGCCGCGACGATTGAAGAAACGAACCGGATCCGAGTATCCCTGGGCATGAAGCCGCTGCCGGTCCCCGGCAATGTCGCTTCAGATTCAGACACGGATTCGGAAAGCGAAGGCGAGAAGGCCAGCACCGTCGAGACGCGCCAGGCGCTCGCGTATGACAACTACAACAAGATCAAGGAGGCGGAAGTAGCCAAGAAAAAGCGTGACGAGAGGAACGCGGCCATCAAGAAGGCACGCGAGAAGGCACAGCTGCAAGCTCAACTTGAGGGCGAGGGCCTCGGAGACGCAAAGGATGCCGATGTCGATACCAAAGCATGGCTCCTGAGCCAGAAGAAGAGACAGAAGAGGATTGACATGGCACGCAAGCTCGAAGAAGAGCTGGCCGCTGCCGAGGCTGAGGCTGCTGCGGCTGTCCAATACACGTCAAAGGATCTCGCCGGCATCAAAGTCGCCCACGACAACGCGGCCTTTTTGGATGGCGACGACCAGGTTCTTACACTCAAAGACACAAACATTGGTGCTGAGGATGAAGAGGACGAACTTGAGAACGTCACACTCCGCGAACAAGAAAAGCTACAGAATCGTCTAGACTTGAAGAAGAAGCGGCCCGGCTACAATCCAAATGACGAAGACGAGAGTGGCGGACTACTAGCGCAATACGACGAGGAGATCAACGGAAAGCAAAGCAAAAAATTCACGCTGGACTCGATCGGTGCGTTCGGGGAACTCGCCGACATTCTCGACAAACCAGTCGAGACGGCTGAGAAACCTCAAAATGTCAGCTTGGATGACATTGTTGGTACGTCAATTTGTTGCGTTCATGACATTACTCTTTCTAACACAGTGTTAGGTGATGCCCCAATCTCATCAGATTACCTCGCTCCCTCAGAAATCAAGATCAAAAAGTCCAAGAGGAAGAAGGGCAAGAAGGGCACGCGCCAAAAGCAGGCCGATGATGACGACATCATCCCGTCTGAAGTTGCACCTGACAGCAATGCGATGGACATGAACACCAAAGATGCGGCGCCGACCAAGAAGAGGAAGCTTGACGACGGCTTCGCAGACGACGACGGCGATGATCTGCAAGCATCACTCGCTATCCAAAGAAAGACGGCTCTCAAAAAGCGCAAGAAGATGCGACCAGAGGATATTGCTAAACAGATGAGAGAGCAAGGGGATGAACCGGTGAAAGAGGAGGATCTTGGAGACCATGGTCTAGTCCTTGATGAGACGTCAGAATTTGTGTCTGGTTTAGGCAAGCGTGAGGAGGAAGAGGAGCCGGCAAGAAGACGCCGAAAAGCCACCACAAAGACTCCCGAGGTTGCTGAGCCTCAGCAAGACCAAGAAATGGAAGACGCGCATCAAGAGGCAGAGGACACTAATGTCAAAAGAGAAGATTCGGAATCTGCCGAGAAACCAGACGACTCGTACATGGACGAGGAGAAGACGCTGGACAGAGGTATGGGTGCGGCTTTGTCCCTTCTCCGTGAGCGTGGTCTTGTCGAAGAGTCACAGGGAGACGAGCGCTTTGGATCACTGCAAGCTCGCGAGATTTTCCTCGCCAAGAAGCGCGCTTTGGAGGACGAACTCGAGCAACAGACGCTGCAGCAACGTGAGCGCGACCGCAGAAGCGGCAAGCTCGACAAGATGTCGCAGCGGGAAAGGGAAGAGTACGCCCGGCAACAGAACCAGTGGCGCGAACAGCAACAGTCGCGCCGCATTGCCGAGCTGTTCTCGGCCAGCTACAAGCCAAGCTTCAACATCAAGTATCGCGACGAGCACGGCCGAGACCTCAACCAGAAGGAAGCCTTCAAGGAGATGAGTCACCAGTTCCACGGCAAGGGCAGCGGCAAGGGCAAGACGGAGAAGAAACTCAAGCAGATCAGCGACGAGAAACGCCGCGAGGCGCAGAGCTTGTTCGACGCGACACAAAACAGCGGCATGACGAACGCGACGGCGCAGCAACTCAAGAAGCGCAAAGAGGCCGGTGTTCGCCTGGGGTGATTGGGAAGACTGAGGGACATGGACGACGAAAGGTGCTTGACCCTACCACTGTATTCAATTTATCTAATGTCCTGCTGACACAAACGAGCCTCATCAGATCAGGCGCGTGCCACACTCATTGTGAGCATGTCACCCCATGCTGGTATGTTGTCACGCCCACCGCTACCTGTGATGTACCATGACCGACCAGAGTCCGGCTCCCTCTCCGTGCCATATCCTGCGTGGCGCACTCCTCCTTGTCCTGTGACGCACTTTAAAAAGGATGACCCAGATGAAGATGGCCTCTGTGACTCCTCTCACTTGTACTGGTTCAACCTCAGACCCTCCGGCTCCAACTCTGGGCACTGCCGCCTTTGTACATCCTGTACCCTGGGTCGGCCAGGAGCAACGTCCTCCAGGCTGTGCTTGAACTGCCGCATGACCTTGTCTGACTCGAAGCACAGCTCCAAGACGACAGTGTCAACGCGCATCTCGCTGTCTACCTGATCTCTCCGCACCAGATTGCCGAGATCCAGAGTCCTCCCATGTTTGGCCTTGAGGGCTCCGGACCTAAGGCTGTTCATGTCCACGGATGTAAGGGGCAGGCGCTGAGCGCGTAGAGATGCAGCAGTAGAAGATGATTCGGTCTGGCGAAGCATCTTGAGAGGCTGTGCAAAGTCTCTGCGTGCAATTGCGTGGTCGCTCACAAGATGCTCGCTCACTCTCCGCAACTAAATTTGTCATTGGGAAAGCTCGAAGTATCATCGGACAGCGCAAAGTTGTAGACTTTATGTGATGAGGAAACAATTACTCCGTTCGTGGGCCGAGCTCGTCTCAGTGACCGTCTACAGCGTCCGTCCTCAGCACAAACCCGAACAAAGATGGTCTTCACTTATCATAATGACACGTCAAAAGTTCGACACAAACTTTCCATCAAACGGCGTTTGCCCGTAACAAAGACGTAGGACACAGTGGTACAGTTCCGCTTATGATCGCTTTTCCCTCCGCTTGTCTTCGTTGATGAGAGCGAATCTTGTCGTGGCAAAGTACGGCTACGCCCTAGTTTTCATCATCGGATTGAAGGTTCCTAATTTCTATCACAATCTCAGGCATGCAGTGACCAGCTAATGGGTGTGTGTGAGGGGAAGCCAACTATGAGCAAGACTGTAGTATTTGTCCATGTGTCTTCGAAACCGTCTAATGTACAGAAAACATCACCAGAACGCCTTGCCATCCAAACCAAGAAACAGCCGAGAAAATAGCCGTATACCGCATTTATAGCGATACCTTGGCACCGATGCCGTGCCCAATGTAGTGTATCTCCTCGACCCAGCTGCCGAGACGGATCCTGACATCGGCTTCCGCATCCAGCTTCAGCCTGCCGCCAAGTGCTTCTTTAAGCTTGCCGTAGCCAATGTGACTAGGCGACCACTCAACCGGCAGCTTCGGCGTGACTGTCAATCCGGGAGGGGCGGGGAACGCCTGGTCCGTGACGATCTGTCCGATAGGCTCCGTGTGGTTGTAGAATGCCGTGGCGTTGATGTATTCGATGTATACCGTGTCGTGGTGAAGGGGCGACGCGAGCGTGAACGTGGATGTGGATGAGAATATGTGAAAAGTGGCTCCTTGGATGAAGCGGCTGCTGTCTCTGTCGTCCTCGTCGCCACCATCCCCGTCCTCGTCCCCGCCGGGCTTGTGCGGTAATCGAATTCGAGGCGTTGGGATGGTGATGTTGAGTTTGGATAACCCTTCGCCCAAGAGTGGCATGCTTGGGATCGTGCCGCGGTGAGTCCGAACTTCCAGGGTCGTGTTTTCGCCCGACAAGTATTCTGACAAGAGACGCTTGGCGATCCGTCGAGATTCGTCGCCACCAAAAGTCCATGGATCCCAGGTGGCGTGTATGATATTCCCAGTATTGTTCCCCAATATGAGGTTCACGTTCGTCGCAATCGCTTCGCCAATGAGAGACCCGCTGTTGAGGATGTGAAGGTTGACATATGGTATTTGCGCAGTATATGGGGTAGGGTTGGTGAAATTCACCCTGGCCTCCATGGTGACGCCCGTTTCAGAGGTATTCAAGATTTGTATGTTGTCGACCTGCGGGAGGAGTTGGGTGAGGGTATCTCGAGGCATTGCTAAGGACCTGTCAGTCATACGTACTGAAGGCTTGTGAGACGGCGGGCAAAGTACATCATAGTGTCGCTGCGATCGCCCTCACAAGTCAAATTGCAGACTACCAGAATGAGGACGAACTTTTGACTGGGATGGTCCCGTTCGCGGGAATACCCTTGAGATCAACGTGTCCAAGTACAGTGCCAACTTGCACATCCACATCTGCTTCGACAGTGAGAAGAATGTCACCGTCTCCGAAAAACATCTTCTGTAGAATGTCGGTGAATACGTCATTGTTCGTGACATCGAGTGGTACGTTGAGAACGCGGGAAGTGATGTTCATCATAACCTCGTTATCGATTGTGACCCTTGTCGAGTTTGCAGGATTCCAATCCTCCATGTTCAAATTCCCAAGCTTCTTGCCTTTGTAGAAGAGCTCAGCATCTGACCGTAGGTTCTGGACTCCGAGGTCGATGTCGAACTCTTCTGGCAACGCTGCAATGACCTGGATGGTTCCTGATACATGCGGCACACCTTCTGGGTCGTTAGGATCAGCGAATGGGCTACCCATCTGAAAGTTGACATCGGTAGCAGAGAAATTTCGGATGACGTTGCCAAAAGAATGTCCAGGGAACTCGATAGGCACCATGATATTCCGCAAAATAGACGTGATCCAATCCGGCGCGTCAGAGTCCTCGATCTTATTGCCGCGGACATAGATCTCAGCATCTTCGCCCCGTAGATACCGGCCCATGAAGTGGTCCAGTGGAGACATGTTGCTCTTGGGGCAGGACCGAACCAGCGACTGGGGGATCTCGCGAATGATGCCTAGCGCTCCAGCGTGAACATCAGCGAGGGGGCGCACCTCAATGTTGTCAGTGACAGCCTCCGCCACTGTGATGTAGGGGTCTGAAGAGTCGCAGTTGGCCAGGAGAATCTCGAAGCCCAGTGGAGGGACATTGAGGCCGATGTGATAGTCATTGTGGAGAGCGAGTGAGACATTCGCACCAACAGCCATGCGTCCGTCGCGGCCCATGGGCACGTCCGTGAAAGTAAGACGCTCGATGTTGTACTCGGGCACCGACGGGATTTTGCTTGCTGCGAGGGGTATCAGCAGAGTTCTAGCACGGCACGGACCATCCTATCATTGAAGTATCATCTTTTCTCCAAAGTACAGGACTGCAAAGGAACGGTAGAGGGATTGACCTTCAAATACCATGGATTCCACCACGTCATGCGCTCCCAGAGGGAATATTCCGGATTTGACCTGGATCTGAGCGGCGCCAGTGACCTTGAGTTGGTCCAGCTTTCCCTCGAGCCAGTTGTTGGCAATCCTCTTAATTTGTTCAGCATCACCGGGAGTGAGATCGGTGACAAAGTCCACGGTAGTTGTGTGCCCGTCGCGCAGGTCAACAGTGATGGGCGGGACGACAGCCGAGCCCAGTAATGAGTTGTCGTAATGCGGGAGATAGACGTTCACGTTGGTCTCCGATGTCTCCAGCTTGCGCATGATGCCCGTTGCGAAGCGGCCGAGGCGGCGAGAATTGACGTTGTCCACACGAGACCCATCCAACCGAAAATCGGCTTGGATACGTGCCCGAACACCGTCGCTGGTGATGGACTCGATAGACAGACCGGTTGGCTCAATGACCGCAGCACCCTCGGCATACTCTTTGACAGCGCCTGGCATCACGAACCCGCCAACAAGTACAGCAATGACCAGCAGTACAAGGATGGCCCCAGCAGCAATGCTTGGCCATCTCCATTTCGATTTCTTAGAACCATCTGCTGATTTGCTTCGCGGCCACAGCGCAGAGGAAGTTGACCGACGCTCTTGGCCATCTTGGTGTTCTGGTTCGGGCTGCGAATCTTCGTTATCTGCAAGCAAAGGTGAATCCTCGGTGGCGTCGATACGGTCCTCGACCTCATTGTTTGCCGCGAGAAGCGGCGAGTGCTCCGTGGGTGGCATGGTTCAGAAAGTATGGCGTTGACAGCTTCTCCCGGTCAAGCTCGGAATGACATGAGCGCGGCTATTAGCCGGCGGGGGTGATTTAATGATTCCTGAAGATCGAATGCGGGACGGTCTGTAGTGATATCAGGCTCCACGAGATGCGTTGCGTAAAAAAGCGACGGTTGAGAGTCGATGCAGAGGGTCTTGTCTGTATGGATGGATTCGGATGGGAGGATAACCAGCTCAGTGTCAGCGTGCCACTGGCGTCGTCATTGCAACATGGCTGGCTCCAGCGGCTCCAGACTCCAGTCGCTGCAAGATCCGGGCGCCGGATCACACTTCTCCTATTGGTCAGCCATGTTCTTATCTAATCCCGTCAGGAACGGAGAGCTGCTATTCCGTAATTGGTCAAGCGCCAATGCGGCACACGCGACTCACTTCGTTGAGATGCAGGCATTAAGACCAGAGCACAGGATGCACATGGTTTGTACTCAGAATTGGGGAAAAGGCAAGACGAAATTGCCTTACAAGGCCTCTATAATATTGTTGCGCTCCATTGAAGCATTTCAAGGCCGCGAATTGATCAAAAGCTCGGAACACTGCAGGTAGTTCGCGGACGGCATCACCATCAAGACTCTCATCAGCCTTGTTGACCCCACGCTCCGCTGCCGGATCCTGTGAGCCATGTGTTGGTGCGCTCCACCGAGTGCTGGGCGTCAAAAGGGCGCGACGTGACACAGCATTGGATTTGAACTCTGAAATATTCCCTTGAACCGTATTCCAATCCGTCAAGTTATCGATTTCGGCGTGTTTGCCAACGTAGCTGAGTCATTGCTGGGCCGCGGCCTCCTGTGCTGCCTCATATTAAGACCTCGCTGCTCCCACCTGCTACCTTACCCTGCCTCTCCGGTCTCGGTCAGACCGCTCAAAAAAATTGCCCATCATGAACGGTACCTCGCTCCTTCGCACCGCCCGTCAGGCGGTCAATGGCCTTCAATTTAGAGCCTACTCATCGGCCTCGGCAGGTTCTCCTCGGCATTTGCTCTCCATTGGCGACCTCTCGCCCAACGAGTTCGCGACGCTCGTCCGCAATGCCGCCAAGCACAAGGAAGCGGTCAAGGCCACCCAACCCGCCATGTCACTGAGCACGGGCTTGTCCAACAAGACTGTGGCCATGATGTTCAGCAAGCGAAGCACGCGAACGCGTGTCTCGACAGAGGCGGCGGTCACATTGATGGGTGGGCACCCGATGTTTCTGGGCAAGGATGACATCCAGCTTGGTGTAAGTGACCTTAACGCTAATCGGCACCCTAACTAACGACGCGTCAAAAAGGTGAACGAGTCCCTACATGACACATCCGTTGTCATATCCTCCATGGTGCAATGCATGGTTGCTCGCGTGGGCCCTCACTCGGATGTTGCTGGTCTTGCCCGGAGCTCGAGCGTCCCCGTCATCAATGCTCTGTCCGATGACTATCACCCGCTCCAGATCATCGCCGACTTCCTCACTATTCACGAGGCTTTCCCTTCACAAGCTTCCGGCATCGACCTTGGCTTGCAGGGCCTCAAGGTTGCTTGGGTAGGTGACGCCAACAACGTGCTCTTCGACTTGGCCACCGCCTGCGTGATGATGGGGGTGGATATCTCTGTGGCTACTCCCAAGGGCTATGAGATCCCAGAGAAGATGCGCAACGTCATCAACTCGGCATCGAAAGGCGTAGGCAAGCCTGGCAAATTGAACGAGACCAACGTTCCCGAAGAGGCGATCAAGGACGCCGACATTCTTGTGACTGATACTTGGGTCTCCATGGGCCAAGAAGAGGAGTCTAAGCGTCGCATGGCTGCATTTGCCGGTTACCAGATCACTAGTGAGCTGGCGAAGCGTGGTGGTGCTAAGGAAGGCTGGAGGTTCATGCACTGCCTGCCTCGACACCCAGAGGAAGTGTCCGATGAGGTCTTTTACAGCGATCGATCACTCGTATTCCCCGAGGCTGAGAACCGTCTTTGGGCCGCTGTTGGTAAGTTCAAACGCATGCCTGAGCTCTTCGACCAACTAACAAGTTGCAGCTGCTCTCGAAGCCTTCGTAGTCAACAATGGTCAAATTTAGGACCGATTTTCGAAATCTCATCTTTCTTCAGTCACTTCGGCCAACGTTCTGAATATTATTTGAACGCGTCGCAAGCAATACGTGAAATGCATTCGCATTTGGTTTAGTAGTTGTCGGCAGAGACAGGTGCCCCTATTGTGCACGAGCTGTATCAGCCCTGCGTAGCCTCATGTAACTAACTGCCAAGGATTTTAATACTCTTTCTTGAAGTCAGGACTATATGTATACACTGTGACATCCAGAGTGCACGTTTTGCCATGATGCCAGTTGTAATGCTGGTCAAATTCCAGACCCCACCGTATCATGCCAAACGCCACAAGTCGTTTTCGTACCTCACTAAAAGCGCCGTGCATAATCGCATCTCCAACTTTTTCCCACCATCAACTAAACACTCCAGTCGCAACTCAACCTCAAAGTCACCATCGACACCATCTCAAGGAGATTTCTACGACGCCCCACCAGCAAGCTTTGACAGCAAAGCAACTTGACCAGCATCAGAGTGCCTGGCCGATACTTCGCACGTTCAACAATGGAGGATTCCGAACGCACCACAAAGCGGTCGCGCTTCGACCAGAAGGAGCCCGAACCCAAGAAGTCGCGTTTCGACCGACGATCTCGGTCCCCCCCTCGGCGTTCAGAGCGCTCTGAAGACAGGGATCGCAGCCCATTGAGACGCGAAGGAAGCTCGGGCGAGTCGAAGCCCTCCGATGCGGCGGCTGCTGCTGGTATGTCCTGCTCCATCAACCCTCTCTTGCTTGCATCGCTAATATTTGGCAGCTGCCGCTGCGGCACGGATCAACGCTTCTTTGCAAGCGCGCAAGGGTATCCAGCATGTCGACGTACCTCCGATCCAGAACGAAACCTCGCCCGCACCGCCTCCAGCTGCGCCAGCAAACGACCAGGGCACCAGCGCTCCGAGCAGCAGCAGCAACGCGCACTCTGGCGGACCCGTCCTCAGTGGTGAGATGTACGTCGACGACGGCGATTACATACAAGACATTGAGGTCAATGATCTTCGCAACAAGTACGTCGTGACCAAGGGAGCGACACAGAAAATGGTAAATACTCTTGATAATCCCACTGATCCTCCAGCTTTCCAAAACTCTCGGTCATAGTCTTTCCATACACAGCCACTGCCATGTCGAGGATATCCTGCTTACCAGCCGCGATAGCTCGCACGCCAGCCCCCTTCGATGCTCCTGCTAACTCCCGTATGATAGATCAAAGAAGAAACCGGTGCCGGTACGCAATCCAACTTTTAACCCGTGTGCTTTGTAGGAACACTGTTGACATTGCAAGATGTCACGACGCGGGGAGCCTTCTATCCCAACAAGGCTCTCGCTACCGCTGCTGTAAGTCACCATGGATTCAGCAAAGGACATTCACGTGTTGACCAGCCCAGAACCCACCGTTGTATCTTCATGTTACAAGCCAAAACAAGGAAGGCCTGGAAAAGGCCGTATCTATGATTCAGAACATGATCAAGCAGGAACTACCTCAACTCGTAGACGACCGCCGCCTCCGACGCCGCGACCAGGAGCAGCCCGTCGAGCGTGACGAATTTGGAAGGGTATATCTGCTCAACAACAAGAATGCTCGCGTGGAATTCGCTGACATGTGACAGCGCAAATGGCGAGTGGAAAAGGTCTTCATTGGCCTCGAGTCAGTGCCAGGTTTCAACCTACGCGCCCAAGTTGTTGGCCATGGCGGAGCCTACGTCAAGCACATCCAGCAGGAGACTGGATGCCGCGTACAGATCAAGGGGCGAGGCTCGGGCTATCTTGAGGCCGCTACGAATCGGGAGAGCGACGAGGAGATGTATCTCAATGTCACGTTCGTTGTCTCAAGTGCCCGTAATACGATGTTCTATCCAGCTAACTCTGCGCCAGTGGCCCAGATGACAGCATGATCGATAAAGGAAAGGAACTCTGCGAGGACCTGATCGCCAACGTCAGGGAGCAGTACGAAGAGTTCAAGGCCCGCCCGCCGCGCCAACATGGCGGCCACGGTGGTCGAGGTAGCCACGGCGGGTACGGAGGCGGCTACAATGATAGCAACAGAGGCTCGTATGGTGGTAACAGCTCGTACGAACGCTATGGCTCAAATGGCGCCTCGAACAGCCCCGCTCCTCCTGGTACTGACAGCCCTGCCAATGCTTCAGACTACGCTGCCCAGTATGCGCAGTACTATGGAGGACAGGACCCTTATGCTCCTTGGGGAGGATATGCTAAGTCAGTTGACCCGCCATCCTTCGTAAGGGACTCGTACTGACGGACGCAGCTATGTCGCGCTGTACCAGCAATACTATGGACAACAAGCGGGAGGCCAAACCCCTGGCCAAGCACCTGGTGTCCCAGCCGCCGGCCAGTCGGCCTCGCCACCTCCACCATCAGGTGCTGCACCACCACCTCCTCCTAGTTCTGCTCCCCCTCCGCCTCCCTCTGGTGCCCCCCCTGGCACAGGTAGCTATGGATCGGTATGCTTGCGTTGAATACTATGTGCTTGCAGTTGCTGACTTGTCGCAGGTTCCTCCTCCCCCTGGCTTGTAAATCCACACACAAGGTTTGGTACCAGACTGGCCCATTAAGGACAGGCGTTAGGGTTCTCTTATGGCATAACTAAGTGAAACAGATTCTGCAGACTTAGATTGCGGCAAGGTCTGTAGCTACATGTAGGTTGGTGGTAATATGCAGCTTTGCTAAGACGTAGGCCATGGGATATTGTGGTTCTCCATCACAAGCGGAATATCCCAGCTACTATAGAAAACTAGCAGCAGCACAACCTTTTGTTACTGATCACACCCGCCAGGGGTTCGTGCACTTTTCCAAATTAAGCTTGTGCATGGATACATCCATTGTAAGAGGCTTGCGATGTATCGAGTCCTAGACTCTAGTCTACAGCATTCTACGGAGTACATATAAGAGACTTGTCGAACGCATGGACATCTCCCAGGGAGATTCTTATCGATAACAGCGAGCTAGGGTGACGACGTCAATGCAACGCGGTACTCCGTACTCCGTACTGCCACCGCGACTACTACGAACCTCCAACTTGGGCGCCCACAACTGTACTACGTAGAGCATGGCATAACAGCCACCCACCACGCTTTCAGCGCAAAGACGACCTCAATTTCTAATATATATTATGAGGCTCAGTACGCCGCCCTATCGACACAATGAGCCACCAGAGATATCCATCGCATGACGCTATCAAAGAACCCCACTCCATCTCCCTCAAAGTCCTTCGGCAAGCTACATACCTCGCATCCGCAAAACCCCCGTCACCTGGCTAACGTGCGACAGTCTCTCCCGGCCGTCGCTCGTCCAGCAACAAACCCTCGCGCCCCCTCTCTCCAAAACAACATCTCTCGAACCCTCGCCCGCCAGTCTCGCGTACCAGACTAAGGGCAGCACGAACCCATCCCCTTTCCTCCTGTCGCCCATCCTCAACCTCCCCTTCTCCTTCGGCTCAGCCTACACAGGGGAGACGTTCTCCTGCACACTATGCGCGAACAATGACCTTCCCTCTTCGTCACGCGCCATCCGCGACGTCAAGATCGAAGCCGAGATGAAGACGCCAAGCGTCGGGCGCGCGCAGAAACTAGAGCTCAAAACACAACATGGCGAGGGCCCGCGCGACTTGGAGCCGGGGGAGACGGTGCAGGGCGTCGTGGGTTTCGACCTTAAGGAGGAAGGGAACCACGTGCTCGCCGTGACGGTGAGTTACTACGAGGTCTCAGAGACGAGCGGGCGGACGAGGACGTTTCGAAAGCTGTACCAATTCATATGCAAGTCATCGCTCATTGTGCGGACCAAGATGAGTCCGCTGCCCGCGCTGCCGAGCGGCCGGCGGAGATGGGTCGTGGAGGCGCAGCTGGAGAACTGCAGCGAGGACGTGATGCAGCTGGAAACGGTGCGCATGAGCGTGGAGGACGGGCTACGGTGGAAAGGGTGCAACTGGGAAGCTGGCGGGTCAAAGGGGCCCGTCGTCAAGCCAGGCGAGGTGGAGCAGGTATGCTTCGTGGTCGAGACGGTCGACGAGGGCGGCGTGATGAAGGCGTTGCCAGACGGGAGGCTCGTCTTTGGCGTGCTGGAGATTAGTTGGCGAGGCGAGATGGGCAACAGGGGCCATCTAAGTACGGGGAAGCTAGGAACAAAGGTTCGGACGTAGGACACATGAGCACACGAGGAGGTTGTTGGCGGTGTTGGGATCATGTTACGGTGCGTCAAGTTGATTGACTTGACCATGCACAGCAACAAGCCGCTTGATGCCGTGATTCTCACACATCGAAGCATGTCTATATTTGTTTAGGGTAACCCTTGTGCCCTGCAGCTTCTCGGTAGCTGACAACCAAACAAATCCCACACGCCTTGCTGGGCCATTTGTGGTCATGAAACTCATCGCGCTTCATAAGAGTCCATACGACAGCTTACACGAGACGGTCTGCAAGGAACAAAGGTCGGGTTTTATATGTCAGCGACCGGTATTATACGAACTTGGCTGACACAATGAATGCACCGTCATCCACCGCCAAATCATATACTACCTCATTCCTATACGTGGACTTGCGGTCAACGACATTTCAAAGCTTCTTGGCTTGCCGGTTGCACGTTCCGAGCGGGTGTTTCCATACTATGGCTACTCCGTACTGTCGGTGTAAATCGGCCGTTGTGGTCTCCATTTTCCCCAAGCACGCGGCTCAAGCGGATGAGGGTTGCAAGTGACAGGCGCTGGCACTGGCAATGCAGTTCACCAAGTGGGAAACACAGCCCACATGAGCCGCAGCGGACTCGTCCTCAAGCGACCAGTGGAGGAGAGTCGATGCTCCCAGACTGGACTGGATTTGCTTTGCGCAAGCAAAAAACGTCCTGCGCGCGTGGGCCAACCCTGGAGCTATCTCGGCGGTCTAGCCAAACCTACCCCTCTACAATGGCTCGCTAAGAATGCGAGATCTAACTCCCAAGCAGGCCACCCAGAGACGGCGCACAACTAGAGTCTGAACGTGTGGATTGCGAATCCCGAACAGTAGTTAGCGGCTTGCGCCTGAATCGGGAACCGCACAGTAAGAGGCGCGAAGTCCTGCGCTTGATGTCATGTCAGAGGGCATAGGCGCGTCGCGCAGCCTTCTCCAGGCTGTATCCACCAGCCTACTAAGATCCAGGGGTCCGCGCCGACAGAAGGCCGCGAAGACGAGAGTCCAGTCATTGACGAGCACCTTTGAGTCTCTGACCCGTCTACTGTAAGACTGCGGCACGGTCACTGGCGTAGCGGAGAATATCTCCTAGGCCAAGCACTGCGATCTTGGCTAGGATCGCAAGAGCTATGCGGCCGACGGGACGCCAAAGTATGAGACAATGGCTTGACGGGCTGATCAGAGGCTGGACCCAAATCTACAATCGCTTGTCTCGCAAGGAAGATATGGAAAGTCGGCTCCCGCTGCCTGAATTCCTGCGTCACAGTGGCATGATTACTGCCAGATGGTGAACGACGGAAACGCGCGGGTGTGCCGCGTCGAGGCCACACTGCAGTTACGGGCAGGCGCATTTCTGTGCTGCCCTGCATTGCATCAGTCTTGTCCTTTCTCCTGCAGGTTGCAGCGACCTTGCAGACAAGCAAGCGCACGCAACGAATCCAATGGTCTGTAATTCCTTTGTAGGCTGTAGGCCGGGCCTCACCACTGTCTGTGGAGAAAGATGGTGTGCATGTCTTGTTGATGGGTCCGTGGCGGGCTGGCGGCCGATATGGAATAGCTCGCGGGGGTCCTATGCAATCGGCTACCCATTTTCGCCAGGGTTCTTGCCATTCGATGCGGAATGCGTGCGTGTTCGCCTGTATTTTGGGGCCAGTCGATAGAGAGGCGACTCAGCACTGGGATTCGCAGAGAGTTTGCAGGTACAATCGTGCCGGGGCATTGTGAGGGTGAGGACTGGAGGGCAAGCAAACGATACCATTATGGATGCCAGGGTGCAGCAGAGCCGGCGAAGGAATGTGGTAGAGGGGCCCCGGGTTGGTCCTTCAGCCTTCTGCAGCAGCAAGAATTACCGGCTTCTGCCTGTGCAGGGCTCCCGAGGGCAGCACTAGTAATTATTACCACACAAAGTATCTACAGCTCGATGCGGTCAGGAATGATCGCAATCATAAATTAAAGCCAATGACTACGCGACAAAGCTGTCTGTGTATCCGTAAAGCATGTGTTGTCCCGAAGCCGACTAGCTTCTCTGTGAGCAGCAAGCTGAGTGAGGTGAATGTTTCTTGTATCGACGGTAAGTTACAGTGCTTGAAGGTGCCTGGTAGCTGAGTGCCCCCGCTCGTTCGCACAGTTCGGGCATCTTTGGTGGCATTTTCACTCTATTAGTGGGTACCCGAATTGGCGCTGGCGATCAATTCCACTCTACTCCGAACACTACATACAGACAACCGACAACGACCAGGCTACTACTACTGTACCAGCAGCAAACGACTGGACTCTACCGAGCCTTGTGCTAAAATAATTAGTACGTAGAGCGAGCGTAAAAGTCTCTCACTTCTATATCCTTACTTACCTAGGCTTGCCGCGGATATCGGCACCACCACTTGCATCGAGGACTACCTACAGATCTATCGAAGCCCGGACTCCATGTCGCTCTCGACCGCCTAATAAACAAGAACGCATCTGCAGCAAGACTCAGGGGCGCGTTCGTACCTGACGCTATCGTGCCGCTGCCACGCCTGCGACTGGCCGCCTCGACGTGTCCGTCTTGGCCCACGTCCAGTCCTGACCAGTAGGTATTTCGGTCTCCGACCCCTGTACTGTCCACAGCCCAATCCACCCTCCAGCAACCGAGTTCAGATCCTAACCTGCCAAGCCCCGGCCACGACGCTGATACGACCGTCAAGAAACGCCGGCCGCGCTCTGCTGTGCGTACTACAGCAACCCGATAGAGCCAACGGACCCCTCCAGTAGCCCCAAAAAATATATCCGTCGCCCATCCCATCCATCTCCCAGGCTCGCAACTGCGTCCGACTGCTACGCTGGCTGATTTGCCTCTACGCCTGTCTCAATCGCGGCCCCTTCTTCAGTCCTTTCTCCCGTCTTCTGCTCGCTTCTGTACTCTTGCTTTTCTCCTTCTTCAACGAGCCAAGACCTCGGGTGCGATCCGGCGACTGACATGACATGGAGGGCACGTCGACCCCTCTGGCCGACTACTTCTGGATCGCGGGTGTAGAGTCAATTACCTACGACGATGCCCCGCCAGGCCACGCCTCGCGCGAATACAATGTAGAGTCGACCATTGCTGAGGATGGCGAGCCAGAGGAACCTGCCGACGCAAACAGCTCTTCCAGTCGGTTTTCCGCGAGACATTCCCGCCAAAGCTCCGGCCAACGTTTCTCGAAGCTGTCCCTGAGCGACAATCGTTTCTCAATAAGTACGATCGATGATTTGGACAGCGGGAACACTGCTAGCAACAGGAGCAGCGCTACCATCCGCCCCGTCAACAACACCAACAACACCAATGGCCTCGCCGTCCCCGAAAATGGGGGACAGAACAGAGGGAGTGGGGGCACAACCCTCGAGGGGTTCGACTTCGACAGCGCGCTTCTCAAGTTCGCCGCTGAGAGGGAGGATTTCCTGGAGGATCTCAGCTTCAGCGCTGGTGCCAAGGTTCAGACCAGGCAGCCCATGACAAACCCGCGGACGGAGCGCATCAAAGCAGACGACGCCGAACCAAGCGGCCGACGCAGCCCTCTAAGGAGTCTCCGAGGCAGCATACGACGGCGCATCAGCTTCCGCGACATGAGCAGCTCGCGAAAGCAGCCTAGTCCTGCTGGCAACAGGACGAGCCGAGCCCGTGGGTCTCCCTTGTTCCTCTATGCTCCCCCCCCCCCCCTTCTCAAACGATCACCACTGACATTTCGCAGCTTCGGTTCGAACGACGAGACGATTGAGTAACTACAACTCTGTGATTCCGCCCCCGGAGCCCCTCAACACAGACCCCGACATGCACCCTCTCAAGCGACGCTTCGAGCCGGTCTTGTTGGACCGCTACCCACCAAAGGATGCGACAAGCGAACTCGGACGACGAGGCAAATTTCCCGACTATGTGCCGATGTTCGCCTTCCCCAACGATATACAGATAGTGTCGTCCGATGACCGGCCGCGGTCCACATGGCACGGCTTCACCATGACCTCTGACGACAACTCCAAACTATATGGCATCACCATAATTATATGGATGGCAGTGAACGCGTCCGTTGCAGAAGAGATAGAACTCAAATGCGAGCAATGGCGGCAGAGTCACATGTCCAACGAGGAGCGGGAGTTGGCCGCGAGTTTGGGCGTCAGGCTGGCTGGCGAAAGGACCCATCTGTCGCATCTTCTGGCCAAACTCCCCACACTGCCCTCGGGTGCGCCTGCTCGAGACCGCCTCGAGGACGAAATCAGTACTGTGGAAGAGAAAATCTCCATGATGACAGATATGCTACGTCCACTGAGGCATGGCGCCGCCTCCAAGATCGAGGGCTTGACTGCAGGCGAGACGGGTCTGTGGACACCCAGAGCGTACGGTGTACTGGGTCGAGATCCTGCTACGATACCATTCTGGAAAGAGTGGCTGAAGGCCATCGTGGTGCCTATGACCGACGGCGGAGTTCTCAGGGTGCCTCCGACCTCGCCACGTGTCGGCAAGTGGCAGCCGTTGGAGCGCTATGTGACAAACTTGTGCACAGAGGCCTTCAGCCCACTCGCTTCCAAGACGCAAGTGGAGATGAGCATACGCGAGCTCAAGCTGTATGCTCGCAAGGAGGCGCACAATGAGATCCCTGGCACGCGAACGGTTGATCTATATGCCCTCTTCCGTTGCTTGTCCATTGAGAACATCATGACACTCTACGAGTTCGCCATGGCCGAATCGCGCATCATCTTCTTATCTTCGCACACGAGCATGCTGCATCTAGCTTGCCACGCTATTGCAAGCCTGCTGTACCCCATCAAATGGGCAAGCATCTTCATTCCTGTGCTTCCCGCGCGTCTGATATCCGCACTGGACGCTCCCTGTCCTTACATCGTCGGGGTGGAGCGTCGGTACGAGAAGATTGAGTTGCCTGATGACGATTACGTCCTGGTTGACCTGGACAACGACACAATAGATGCCACCTCGCAGCCCGTGAGGTTGCCACGCCCGATTCGACGAAAGCTTCACTCCTTACTCCAGGTCGCAGCACCACATAAGCTGCGATGCGGCGTGGCGACTGGTCCGCCACCGTATGCCATGGAGTCATTCCCTTACGATGCATTCTCCACGGAGAATGGCTCCCTGTTCACTCCAAAGGCTGTCCCAGGCACCCTAGGCAAGTGGGTGGCACAAAGCTCGTCCACCTTTGGAGCACTAGATCCCACGGTCGAGCTTCTACCCCCTGTGTTCAATGCCTTCGCAGTCGCACCAACTGACAGTGCGAAATCCGATCGACCCGGGACGAGCAAATCAAGCAAGACCAGCCCACAATCGTCCGTCTCGCCGGTGTCCATGAACTTTCCACCCATGCCGACGACGCCAATTTCTAGGAGCGATTCGGGCTATGCTCTGGCAGCGACCCTGCGTGAGAAGCGATCGGGACACTTTAGGGATGAGAAGGGTCGGCGAAGCTCGTCTTTTGGTTTTGAGCACCCACCTATGCCGCCTCCCCAACATCGGCCTAGTCTGCCATTCTTGAATGGACATCAAGCCAATATGTCAATCTCCTCTATCTCCGCCGAGTCAATGTCGTCCCTTGGCGGTGGAGGCAGTGGAAGCGGTGGAGGAGGCTATGCACCATCCACATACGCACAGTCCACGATCGCTGCTTCAACCATCATGCCGCAAATGCAAGTGCAACCAGTACACAACACGGACACCACGATCTGGGTCGAGGGCCACTGCTTCAACTGGACGGCCAAGAGCACAACATCTTGCACGATATGTACGGAGAAGCCCGAGGAAGATGGCATCTACATCTGTTCCGGATGCAACGCGACGTCACATGGAAGGTGTCTCGGCGTAGTGTCTGTGGTTTGTCCAGATGCTTTCCTTCAGGACCGCGTCCGCGCAGCATTCGTTCGATGCCAAGCCAGTCTTTTCTACACCTATCGCAAGTATCTCGGTCGTCCAAACAAGCAACAGAAGATGAATGGCCAATTATCCGCATTCGACATGGATGGATTCATCAAGAGTCTCCCCTACGATCAGCAGGAGTATGCCAACATGCTGAGGGAAACACAAGGTAAGAGAGATACACCGAGACACTCAAACACGCTTTGTTGATGTTGACGTACCGCAGGATTCAACGAGTTCATCCACGACCGTGAGACAAAGCCAGCGACTGAACCCACAATTCGCCTTTTCGATGAGGTGATCATGGCAAAGAAGGCCCGTGGGCGCCCAGGCATAGCCGCCGGCCTCTCGAGACTTTCCACGATACGCCAGTCAGCCGGCGCGTCAGCCAACGCTTCCGGCTTCCTGGCACCATCCCGGGGCGGCAAACCGCCAAACTATCTCAGCGACACGAGCGAGCACATCTGGCGGACAGCCTCCGTCCCGATGCCCAAGGGCAGTTTCCCCGGAGACTACCACGCCATTATCACTAGGACGCCTGCGCGGCTCGATCGCACATTGATGCGCGAGCCGCGAGCTGCACAAGGCGTCCAGCGTCCCGAGCAGCGCGGTGGCATCAGAGGCGTCTTGCGCAAGCAGGTGCCCAGCATGATAGGCACCACACCGCCTTCTTGAGCCCAACTGCATATTATTGACTGTACTCTACATCAGCGTGTAATCTCAACTGTTCTACACACATTCACATACACAAGTACACACACACACACACACACACACACACACACAGACAACTCTGACTTTACGGCGAACACTGGTGGCAGCGACGTCAAGGAGCAAATTTTGTGATTTGAGAAAAAGGGAGATGAGGTTGACCGAACATTACTGAGTCGCTTATCAGCATAGAGCACGTGGTCAACATTGGGTAAAACAGGAGTAGACCCGTAGATCGAGTCCATGGGGTCCGTTGGAAAAAGAACAGTCCTGAATGGGAAAATGCACAAACAATGCCGTGTCCATACGCGAATACCACTTGGCGCACATTGTCCTACCGATACAATACAGATGATAACCTGTGTACGTAGGAAATAATGTAGCTGTCAATAATTTTCCCGATTCGTCAAATAACATCAATGCGTACTTGGTGCGAACAGTAGCAAGGAGGGAGGAAAAAGGGGGACCAGCTACCAGATAAGCTCAAACAACGCCTCCGAGACATGTTTTGCGTTAAAGCTTCATCCACTCAAAACCACGACGCTCCACAAATTTGCTGCAACGCAAACCATCAGCGGCCGTAATCAGGTTGCGAAAACGATTCAACAAGGACAACTCATCTCCTTCCGGCAATTGGCGCGACCTGAAATGGTTTCTCGTTCTTGACGATGTCACCGTCCAGGTCATCCCAACCGATCTCTTTCAAGATGCGACCTGTGGCCGAGGCATACCCCAGATGGCCATAGGCGAGCTCTCCAACATCGAGATTCTCGACGCCATCGGCGCCCTGTATCTCCTGCAGACCGGCAATGCCGAAATGTGTGTTGGAGTATCGGTTCAGGAAACCGAGAAGGTAATCGTGCTCCGAGTACACATTGACCAAACGACCCGACACGACGCTTTTCAACGTCAACCAAACACGGGGCTCCGATGGCACCGGTGCGCCTATTACGACAACAGAGTCGATCAGTCCAAAGAGCCTCCTTTCAGCAAGGGACATGAGACAGGTATAGATTGCTCGGGCAGCGAGACCGTATCCTAGGAGCGACACAGACCGCTCGCCTTGGACTTTGTGACGCGAAATGGCATCCGCCAGTGTTTGGCCAGCCTTCTCGGCGCGGACCATGCCCACACTCCACGGGTTGTCGATGATCTTGCTGATCTTCAGCAGCTGACTCGGCCAGGATGATTCAATGATGCTAGTGAAGACTGCGGAACGTCAGCCGGTGCCCATTCTCACGATCGTGCGTAGCTCACTGGTCTTTGTGCTGATGGCCTCTTTAGCATCTCTCCAAGCTTTACTCTTGATGACCGTTTCAAGCGAGCCTCCCAGGTTCAGCAGAGCCGTCGTCTCCCATCGAAGAACAAAGGCTTCGACTTGTTGTCCGAGGCACTTCCATGGATCGTGTACGTCCTCGTCTTCGGTCAGCCAACCGCCCAAAGCAATGACGAGCCGAAATCGACGATCGACCGCTGGAGGTCTACGTGCGTCTATATATTCGGAGTGAACTTCGCCGTGCATCGGTAACAAGGCAAAGTCCTGAATGTCTCTGCTGAAGATCTCTATCATCTTGCTAATGGGCTTGGCTGGGTTCATGCTGAACATGTTGCACAACGGCCTCTCGCTTCCTGCCATGGGACCCAGTAGCCCGATAGCGGTGCAGGTTGTCAAGCCAAAGCTTCCGGCAGCTGTCCCAATCCCCGCTTGAATGAGCGCAGGCGCAAGACTGGCCCCTGGCTCAGGTCCCTTCCATTTGCGGGAACCTCTGATCTCCTCGGGCTTCTGGCTCAGTAGAGATTCAGGCGATACGTCGAGCGCAGCACTAGCAAAAGCCTGTGCCAGCCTCACCTCCTCCGCCAGGAACATCTTGACTGGCAAATTCAGACACGAAGTCAAGTTCAGAAGCAGCAGATGCGCATTCGCCGAGTACTCTGTCAACGATATGATGGCCAAAAACGCGATATGCAGGAATAGCTTGCGTCTTTCTTGTGGAAGAGTCCAAAGCGTGTTGGGGATCGGCGGGAAACGGTTGGCAAAAGGCACATCGGTGTGCTTTGATGGAAGACGGGGAGGACCTAGTCATTCTGTCAGAACTCTCAGCCTCAATGTGGTTTGAGGATGTGCTGCCCTACCTGTGGCCAAAGTCAGAGCACCGCGGCCTGCTCTACCACCGCGTGCGCCGCGACCACCCCTCGCAGGACCGCGAACAACAGGGGCTCCCCGTCCCCGTCCTTGCAAGGCACCTTGAGTAGGCGATTGATCTTGGACAGTGATGCTGATGTCTCGTACTCGCTGCAAAATGGATGCCTGCCACTTGCGAAAGAACGTCAAGGCCTCCTTCTTCAACTCTCTCAGATGCGGTGTCATTGGTTCCTTTTCCTTTTTCTCGATAATCTGATGAGCGCGGTTATACGAGTTCGATGTTCTTCCCGCATTTTGATAAGTGTTTGAAGATGGAGGCGTATTCTCTTTGCCTCGACGGTTGAGCAGTGACAGCTTCAGCCAGTGATGACAATCTTCAGCCATCACGGGCGAGACTGGAGGTGAGTCAAAGATGTTGCTAATGTCATTGTGCATTCGCTCCGTGATGGCATTGATCAGTGTCGCAAGACCGTTTCTTTCGGCAGCTGAGATGCATCCTGTCAAGTCAATAGTTCGACGAGCGGCGGTGGAGTTGCCCCCTCGCCCAGCACCTCCTCGAGCCATCAGTGGCAGCTGACAATGACAGTGTCGTCTGGTTCAAAGAGTCTGGCAACAAAGTTAGCCGGAAGCGACCCATCTCGTCGAGTCTGATGTCTTACCAACAAGACGATCCTGGATCGGCATGTAGGAGGAGTCTTTGAGACGGCGCTGGAGGGACTCGAGGCAGCGTGCAGGTACCAGACCAGTATGCCAGAGAGCGACAATCAGCCGTGGTGAGAAAGAGCTGACGAGATCTCTACGCTGCTCTCTTCAACACCTTGGTTCAGGAAATAGCAAGGTGAAGGGCGGTAGAGAAGCACAACTCGACTCACTCGCAGTTGGTCTACCGCCGGCTTCGGCCTGAGAAAGACCTTGTGACGTGCAAATATTGCTTTGCAACACTTGAGATGAAGTCAATCCTGATAATGAGAATTTTAGTCAAAGAGAAAGACTGGAGGCCATGGGGAAAAGACGGGTTGACCTGGCATACCCTGGCGTGTCCTCAGCAGCCCCCAACAGCATGAGAGACTCAAGATGCAACAAATACTGGAACGCGAGTGAAAAGTTTGGGAGGTCGTACCTACCTCAGTTTGCTGAGCTGCTGGTCATCAGAGCACAAGAGCCAGTGCTGCACAGTAGCAGAGGGATGGCTGGCGCTTCAGGTTCACCTGCCAGAGTTACTGTGCACTTGCTCCTCTTCAAGGCACCGGTGCTGGCACAAGCGCAAGAAGACTATGGGACGACAGACGTGGTCTTCTCCACACCATCCTAAGGTGAGGCGGCCATATCTGCCAGTCCGATGGAGTCTTGCTTGCCTTGGTTCCTGCTTGCTTGCTGGCTGGCTTGTCTGCCTGCCTGCTGTTGTCACGCTCAGCAGACGCTGATGTGAGCCAAACTTGGGAAGAACGACTCGAGTAAACGCCCGTTGCGTCTCTTGCGATGAAGTGACGCAGGGGCGGCAGATCGTCGCTCTTGCCGTCGTGTAAGTGCGAGTAAAGCGATGTAGGGAAAGTGCTGGCTTGATTGCCGCCTCAGGCTGTCAACAAGGGATGTTGCGTGAAATTGTCGACTAGTACTGATGGCGATGAGGGTGGTGATAAAGATATCAGAACGTCCAACTGTCGCGAGGCAAGAATAACTGGGCAACCTGGTTACAAGTATTTCGGTCAACCGGAGAGGAGGCGGCGAGAGTGCTTCTCGAGTGTCACGAGAGCCCGGTCTGGTCCATGATGTGAAGTGTTGTTCATGGTCTTCCCTCATCCGACCCTGATCACGGCAAGGGACATTGCGAACAGTCGAACGCCAGACTGTGGAACGGGCGCAGCAACAGCGATACGGCCAGGCAAACACCCTTCCCCGGTCCGTACCTCTACATAGCACGCGAGTGTCTGCGAGACCAGACAGATACCGCTTGTGTTCTTGCGCCCAGTTTCCGTTTTGGCCCAGTCTGGTCGCGGCTTGTGGCAAGCTGCCATGATTGGCAGTGTACAGTCTTCAGTGCAAGAGCTGGCGCGCGGTCGTGGCATTGCAGCGTGTTGTGTGTTACACAGCACTCGCTGCCCACCTGTGTGTACTCTGTTTGCAGCCACTGAAGCGGACAACGAGGCGGAAAAAGGACAGGGCTAGCCGCTGCTACATAAAGCAAACAGCTTGATGATGGTCATCGGTATGCGCTTTAGGCAAGCCCAAATGTAATTGAGATTCGTTGTTTAAAGTGTATCGAGAAGGCAAGCAGCTTGCAAGCCCTATTTTTCTACTTGGGCAGGGCATAGTATCTATGCCGGATAATTGTGCATCGTCGTAGCAGCAACACATTCTCTTGGTGACTGACTGACTGTCTGTCTATCTGACATTGCTGCCTGGAACGCGCGTGTGGCACCGTGTGTAACTACATGTAACTACGACCGTGCTTCTACACAACAGGTCGGTTCTCCGGCACCTTGTTCTCCAAATCCTCTTGTGTTTCATGAGGAGGCAATACGTGAACTCGGACCAAGCTGTTGTTTAGGTGCACGACTAGCGCTCCTCGTCAGGGGTATTCAATCCAGGGGCTATATGCGCCGCCAATGTCCCTCTGCGTGCGAGCGCTGTTGCCTACTTGAGCTTTCTGAACTTCGTTCTGCGATATTGAAGATCGTTCCAGCTCCAAAGCATCCCTCATTCTTCAAGATCGTGATATCTGAGATGCGCAGCGAGTGCAAAAGCTGGTATTGCGTGGCCACATTGCGGGCACGAATCATTATCGCTCTCTTCCCAACCACCCTCAGTGTCACTCACAGGTGTTTCTTCAGGGTCTGGGACGTGGGGGCGACTATTCCTTTCACCGGTCTCTTTATCATCCACTTCACTCCCGTCGTGCATGACCCGCCACGGGCGCAGAGCCTCGTCTTGGTGTTTAAACATGCTGGCAATGTTTCGACCCACTCCAGACCTGTCCTCGGCTGCTCCCATGACCATGTTTGCGGCACAAATGTTGATCAGCTGTAGGTTCCATTTGGGTCCCTTTTCGCTAGACAGGCGCCGCAGCAACGGCAGCAAAGCCTCTGACACAAGTCGCTCTGCCAAGTGTTCCGTGTCTGACTGCAGATCAAAGACGAAGTTGGGTAGAGGCCCGGACCGCGAAGCACGCTGGTAATTTTGGGCATGCATGTTGTGCCACGACCTGATGGACAGGCGAAGAGTCCGTGGCCTGGCCAGCCATCGCTGTTCGCCTGCATCCGCGCGGGCGCCATCGTCTCGCGTCAGAAGATCGCCTTTCATTCTCCTTAGCAGCGAGTGGGACAGCCTATGGAGCTCTTCGAGGATTTGGGGCATTGTCGAGAGGCCTTTGTAGGTGTCCTCGATGCTAATCTGTGAAGGGACGTCACTCGCTTCTTTGACTTCCGATGGATCCACGCCATGAAGAAGTTGCCATATGCGCGAACCGGCGCCCCTCTCTGCGCCTGGTCCAGAGAGCATTTTCTCAAGGGAGGAGGGTGATATCTTTGGCGATTCCCTCACTTCTCCGACTTTCAGCTTGGACTCGTACTCGTGAGGGTTGTCGGGAGGACTATGGCCGGTCAGATGGCTCTCTAGCATCGAGGCCATCTTGAACCCAATCCCTGGAACGCTGCGTAGCTTGAGGTCGCCCATGAAATTTGTGACGTCGCCGTCGGTGAGGGCAAGCAAGGTGGTCTGGTTGCAAGGTTTGTGCCTCGCGCCTACAAGCTTGCTCAAAACTTTGTTTGTCGATACCCCGCATGTTGAAGTATATCCGTAGTCATCTTCGATTCTTGTCCTCAGGTATAAGGCAAGGTGAGAGCCGAGAAGCAAGCGTAAGAATCCAAGGTCGTCATAGTTGGGGTTCTCCGGTATCTCGCCCTCGACCATGCCTGCGAACTTTGTGAGGTCGCACGAGAAACCTTTTTCGGGGTCTCGCTTGGATAGATAGAAGAACGAGCTCTCCAAACCGTTTCGGTTGAGGCATGAAATGTTGTGGTCTACCAGGTCGGTTACGTCTAGTTCTCGTCAGACTTGAATCCGCATAAGGATCCAGGTTGTACGCACCCATGAAGATCTCATCGAGGCCCAGTCGTTCTACACGTCCGCACCAGCTGAAGCCCCTGATAAACCCGAACAGCTTTTTGCTAACGTCCCGGAAAGGCGTTAAGTCCTCTCCATCGACGAGTCTCAATTCGGGACAGACCTTGCAAGCCTCGGTCACGAGCATGAGTTTCCTCACGCCTCGGGCACGGGCGGCGTAGTTGCATGTTGCAAGGATGTTCTTCTGTTTGATGCCAAGCGGTGTGCCAGGTGGTGCCAGCGAGGGATTGAGATTGGTATGGACTTGAGCATAGAAGCAGTCATAATCCTACTTTGTTAAATACCATCGTCTTGGTGAACATCAGAACTCACGAATTGAAGTACAAGACGATTGTGCGAGTGTGTGGGCGGCTTTCTGGGCTGCGTGAAGTCCATGGCGACGGATTATTTGGTCGACCAAGGAAACCGCCCGTCTTGCATGTGTGTATTCAGGATGCCTCATCGAATATTGAGTTGTTCTCATCATGAATTGACGAGTTCATGTTGCCTTCAAATGTGTAGGTGGATGGTTGGACCGTGAATCCCACTGATGGACGCGACCAATGCAGCGTCGTAGGGTAGGCGGTACGACGCTTAGTCAAAGCGGGCACGTCAACATCTTGAAAGCATTCTGCCGGTCATAACTTCGCAATGTGACAAATTACAACAGACACGCGGTCCTTGAAAAGACTCAAAATAGCAGGTGTGCTTTCAGGCGTATCGAAGCACGTACTGCTTTCAGCGAACGTTGATTTTGAGGGAGTGTTTGACGTACTGACCGACCGGCCGACTGGTGAACGCGTCTCGACTCAACACGTCAGGAAACAAGCGCCATCGGCCCAGTAGCCCTCAGCCATGACAATAGTGCGCAACAGCAAGAACTCAAGGTGTAAGCAGCGGCCCTAGAAACCGATCCTTGCCCACAAAGCCCGAAGCAATCCTTGGCCTCCATACCTGCACAAGCGCGCTAAGCGCTCGCTATCGCCAGCAAGCCATTTCATCCGACGTCAATATGTTTATCGAAAAAGGGTTGTTATGCAAGAGTACAAAACAGCGGGGCCTGCTTGCCAGCAGGTGCATCGTTGTCGGCGTAGAGCTTCTTCAGCTCCTCGCAGTACGTCTCGTAATCGCGCACTTTGCCCTCTACAAACTCGTCGCTATCTGAGAGAAACTGAAGGTACATACAACGGGCAAACGTGACCAGACCACATGGCTTGCATGCAATTGACAGAACTCTGGGCCGTCCAGAACCATGCACCTCCGTGTTCCCATGTCCGTTTCATGACGTTGGTCAGGACCGGCTCCCGCGTCGGTGTGGCCTTGCGCTCCTCTGCCTCGAATATTTCCAATAATTCCTCGCGTCTCTCATTGAAGTGGGTGAGCTATTCGCCCCGGAGATAGAAAGGCCCCTCACGCCGATCCTCGAGAATGTAGCGGTGGGCGACGGCCCGGAATGTGACCTTGCTCGCCATCATGCTGCGACAGTCCGTGGCGTCGAAGGCGGCGTTACGGTTCGATGAGAGACGGTGGTCGTGAAAGGTCACCAGGTCTGATACGTATGACTCTGCGGCCGCATAGGTACGGTCGCGCGGGATACAGCAGGGTGCGCCGTCATTTTCGAGAATGGCAATGCTCGTCGTGAGCGGTCTGTTGGAGACCGTGATAGTGCCGTCAGCGTGGAATTGGAAGGCGCCGATCCGGGGTTGTGGAAGAGAGGCCAGGGAGAGCATCGTCTTGGCAAGTCCACAGTAGAGGTTCTGCCTTCGCTTTAGGTCATCGCGTTGTTCTGCCCGGGTGTTGGACAGCATCTGACGGTCTGACTCCTGTCCACGCCAACATCTTCAAGGATCATGTAGGCAGTCGAAAGGCGGTGGGGAGATGTGTGAGGGACATAGTGAGAGAGGAGAGCAGAGGGCCTGAGCCACGCGTGGAACATGCATCGAAGATACTGGACAGCGGGGATCAAGAAGGGGCGGTGCGGCTGATGGGTGAATTGGCGGTGGTCGGTGAGGCCGAAACCGTAGAGATGTGGTATGCGAATACCAGGACAATGCTCCTGCATTCAGGCGTGCGTTGCCACTTCGCAGCCGTCATGGCGAGGTCGGACAATGTTTCTTGAGATGGGTGAGGCTGATCTGGGAATTCAGGGGCAGCCTCAGCTCTGAGATAGCAGTCAATTAAACCTGGGTCATCGTTGCTGCTCGAGTAACCTCCAAAACGATACATCAACTATTACACGACGGACAATCTCTGGCAAGACTCATATTTGGCTGCAGCGCAGACACTGATTACCAAGATTTTGTGTATTGCTATCTACCTTACCTATAGTCACTGGAAGCAGCAAGCCTGATGCGGATTGACGTGAACAGGACTCCAAGACCCAGCAGCACAGGGATCTCTCGTCTGCCCACACGTGCCTTCAATTATTAGGGCCTCGAAACACCAACTCAAGTCAGTGGTCCTGCGCGCTTTCTGTCGCGAGATCCTTGGAAGTGGCGCCGCAAGGACGTATGCGGCCTTGACGCGACCAACGATGCGATCACCACCTTGGCTGGGTGCTGTGATGACAATCGAGCACCCTTTCCAACAGCAACCAGACAGTTCTGCGAGATCCTGAGGCGCGTGCGGCTTGGAATGAAGCCGAAAAACGCCAAATGAGCAGTTGAAGCACTGTCAGTGATCATCGCCATGCCCTACGGATACAGGTACATGTACTTGCCATGACACGCGGCTTGGTCGAGTCCTCGCGAGGTGCACAACACACCACCACCAGCACCACCATGCGTCACCGCCTCTTCGGACCTCATCAAACTCGCATTGGGAAGGATTCTCTGAATGGCACCAGCAAAAGCCACGCGAGAGGTCGCCGAATGTCCGCATTTCTCCCCGCGTCATGTCGAGACTCGAGTAGTGCATGCGATAGTCGGACCTAGCTCTGCGAAGAAGAAGCCCAAGAGACCCGAGGTGATAACGTCGTTAGCTGCATGAAATAGACGCCAGTCACATATGCCCATTGGTCGACTGTGTCGTCGTCCCCTGTTCAGCGCTTACCTGCTGCGTCTATGGCCAACCACAGCCGCGGCTGACCCTCCATCCCGAATGTCCATCTCACTCACTTCCATGGCCCAACACCTTCAACAACCGCATCCTTCGAATCCTGCCGCGTCTAGAGCGCCATCAGCTGGGGTTCGATTGCCACGATGCTGCACGGCCCATGGACTACAATTAAGAGGATGGCGCTTATCGTGGCCTGCTCGCATGTTCCCCGCAGAAGAGACAGGGCGCTCCCAAGCAATATATGGTAGCCGCCAGGCATCGCCTGGAGAGCCTTTGGCTCTGAGGCCTCTTCCTCTCTTCCCTCTGCGTCCAAGTTGAGAGTCACGTCAAATACCTTTCGTTCATTCATCCTCGAGGTTCCCTGGCGGATCCGTTCCACTGGAAGTGTCACTTTGCCAAGCATCACCACTGTCTTGTCGAGTTTGTCTGTCGGGCTGGTCCATAGGCACTCATTCACACAAAGATATCATCGCACTTCTGGCCAGCTGATCTCGCTCAAGAACTCTCGAGGGATAGCACGATTTGGCTTCACCACCGACCCCCATCCACCATGTCGTTCCAGCAAGGAGCCCCCAAGAAACCACGGCTGTCGCTCAAGATCAAGACGTCATGTGAGCCAGCCGCCCGACCAAGGCCACAAGTCGATCCCTCAGACCCAACCGCCTTCAACACTCTGTCCAATGCCTACGTGACCGCTATCGAGAGGTCCACACCCCTCACGGCCATCAACACTCTGCAGGCCTTCAGTCTCAACACGCCAGTGGAACATCAGGACTCGAGGCTGAGAGTACACACCCCATTCGTGGCCAAGTATCCAGAGACGCCACTCTCCGCTCACCCGCAGTCGCCACGGGTCATGGAGATGAGCTTTCCCAGCACCATGGCGGCCACACCACCAATGTCTGGCACCACCGACTCCAATGAGTCAAAGGTCTTCACCTTCTCCGCGGTGGACACGGGTGAACAGCCCCAGCCCAAGCCCACAGATGACCGCAAGGGCAAGAATCGCGTCCTCCCATATATGTCAACAAACCATCTTCGCTGTCCTCCATACACCCAGCCCCAAGTCCTCCACAGCATTCTGCGCAACTCGCCCCTGCCCCCCAAGACAGCCATACCTCCACCATCGCCTCGCAGACAGTCGCTGCGGCTGCAGGAAAAGGCGGCTCGACGAGTCGGGTACACGAGCCCACTTGAGCAGACCATTGTGACGAACAAGTACACAAGGTCGCACATCGACTTGCTATCGGCAGAGCCCTCCCCCAGCTCTCCGAGCATAACAGCCCCGGCCTCACAGGAACCATTGGACGCTGTTCTGTCCTTCACATCCAACGAGATCCAGGACGGAGGACAGACACCCGGGCCATTCGAGGAGACACGCCGGCGAGTTACCGGCTCTACTGCCGCACCCTTGTCGCCATCCTCACCCATGGGGATTCGCAAGCGCAAGAAGAAGGAGAAGAAGAGGCGGTGGGTTTGGACGATTGGTCAAGATGAGGAGCAGACTCAGGGGGTTGGCGGCACACTGGCTGCCATGCGATGTGAGGCAGCAAACGAGCAGCGGAAAGGCGAACAGGACGGCCGGCGAACGCCCATCGCGTTTCCCCACGACTTTGATCGTGATGAGCTCCCCACACCCAGCGTGGAGAGCTCAGACTCGGCCTGGAGCGAGATGCGTGACGTGGAGATGACAGATTCAAGTAGCGTCGTGTCGGAAGATCGAGCCAGTCTCGCGCGCAGTGACACCGATCCGGACGTGAAGACACCTATCGCCCCGAGGCCATTCGGTACGGAGCAGAAGAGGGACACGCCCATCCCAGAGCTGTCCGGCAGCAGGAGAGACACGCCTGTGCCACCGGAGCATGCGAAGCGGGATACACCCGTGCCGCCCGAACTTGTGAAGCGGGACACACCTATACCGCCAGAGTACCAAAATTAGAAGAGAGCATAGCGAGTGATCACTTGGCGACGAGTGAGGAGAAATGGTGCTCGCGGCGGGCTGAATCGCCACATTATTTCCCCCCCCCCCCCCCCTTTTTTTTTTACGAGACACGACATGAGCAATGAATTTTTTTGGTATATATTTTGGAGTGGGTAGCATAGCAAAGGAGGTAGCATTTATCCACATACTGAGCATCGCCCGAAGGTTCATCACCTAATTACCTCGTTCCAAGAACATATCTCTGTCCGACTCATGATGAAGACGTCTTGTGCTGTTGTAGTTGATGGTATATCTGCTCTGCCGAAGTGATGCACTGCATGTTGGCGCCGAGTTTGTTGATCGTCTCCATCCATTCGTCGTACTCGTCCGAGTCAAACACAATGCCGCCGCCTGTACAATCATTAGAGTTCCCTCCCAGATACTCTAGATCATGGTCAATGAACTTACCTGCTTGCAGGTACGCCGTGCCAGCCTTGACGAGCATCGTCCGCAACGCGATGCACGTGTCCATGGCGCCCTCGACAGCGTTGCCCTCCTCGTCGACACCGCCGTATCCAAAGTAGCCGACGGCGCCCGCGTACACACCTCGCCTCTCGCCCTCCAACTCGGCGATCAGCTCCATCGCCTTGACTTTGGGCGCACCCGACACCGTGCCCGCGGGGAAGATGGACCGGAACGCGTCGAACCGCGTCTGGCCTGCTCGGAGCACACCAGAGACCTGTGAGACAAGATGCTGGACGTGGCTGAATTTCTCCACCACCATGAGCCGATCCACGCGAACGGTCAAGGGGTCGGCGACGCGGTTCACATCGTTTCGCGCCAGATCGACCAGCATGACATGCTCCGCACGATCCTTGAGTGAGCTCCGTAGCTGGTCCGCCAGCCGCTGGTCCTCCTCAGGGTTAGGTCCTCGCTTGACAGTGCCGGCAATGGGGTGTGTGATGATCCGGCCCTCTTCGCTCTTGACCAGCAGCTCGGGCGATGCACCGACAATCTGGAAATCTTTGCAGTCAACGTAGAACAGGTACGGCGAGGGGTTGACGGTTCGTAGGTGACGGTAGATGTTGAAGGGGTGCAGCGCGGTCGGTCGGGCGAAGCGCTGCGAGGGAACGGCCTGGATGATGTCGCCCTTGACAATGTGCTCCTTCAACTTTGTCACATGCGCTTCGTACCCCTTTTGCCCAATGTTGGAGGTATACTCCTGACCCAGCTCAATCGGCCCTTGCTCTGGCAGAGGTACGTTCGGCGAGTCGAGGAGTGTGACAAGGTCGTTGATCGTCTCCTTTGCCTTGTTGTACGACGCCTCGAGGCTCGAAGCCTGGCCGTCCTGAGGAACGTGAACGTAGCTGATCACCTTGATGACGCCATAGAACCGGTCAAAGGCCACAATGGTGTCGTACAGCATGAACAGAGACTCGGGCACATGCAGTCTGTCCTCCAACGGTCGCGCAGTCTTGGGCTCAAAGTACCGTACGCAGTCGTATCCCACGTAGCCAATCGCGCCACCTGCGAGGGGAGGCAGTCTCAGCTCGGGCACCGAGGCGACCACATGCTGGTCCAACTCCTTCTCCAAGCCTACCAAGGGGTCGGTCTCCTCGCCGTAGCCCGGTCCTGTGGTGAGGACTTTTCGTGGGCCTGCGCCCACAAAGCTGTACCGGCCGAGCTGCTCGGTAGCTGCCGACTCGAAGAGGAACGAGTACTGGTGGTCGTCGGAGGCGGCGCGCGTGGAGACCTTGAGGTAGGCGGCGGAGGGTGTGATCAGATCAGAGGAGATCTGGCGGTAGACGGGGACGAGGGTGGGCTTGCGGGCGCTCGAGGTCTTGCTGGCCTTGGAAATGATTTCTCCGACGGACTCCAACGAGGGGAGGATGTCTGGCTGTCGCGCGCTCCGTCAGCTCGCGAGATCAGGTCGAGACTCTGTGCAGACTCACACTGGGCACCATTTTGCCTATATTTGAGGAGCGTTGCCCCGAGGAACGTGGAAGAGCAGAGCGAGGTGGGTGGTCTGATGAAACAATATGTACGACCCTGTCAGACATCGAGTCAATAGAAAGTTGAAGGCCCCGCCGCTATCGGAAAGGGTCCTTATCGTCGCGGGGCTTCCAGTCATCCCTGCCTGCAAAGGTGACCAAGCAAATGCTCTTCAGGCGTACGTATTTGACGAATTGGCCCTCGCCTTAGACATGGCTACTGATATATGGCGACTGGGTGGCATTGAAATCCCGGCATGGGCAGGGTGAGGGTGGTTTCTGGGTCAAATAGCTCTCGATAGCTGTTACCAAGGCGGACAACATGCGTGCCGGTCAAGCCATACCTGGACGTAACAATCATATCTTTTCCGCAGCTCACTGAATCGAACAACAATAGAATTGAGATTTGCCTGACGGATTCAGGCTAACTCTCCACAGCCAAGGCTTTAGCACCTACAATCCCGCCATCTGTCCCCGAGATGATCCAGTACTCAGTTCTCGAGTGATCCCTCCTGACAGCATACACCCTCACGTCGTTGCCCTTTGTGGCCTGCGTGACAGCATCCACCAGCTTGGAGTACTGCCCCTGTCTGTCCCAGTCTGCAGGATCCATGATCTCAATGTCTGCCTTCTCGGCATCCCAGTGGTCGATCAGCTTGGCAAACTCAACTGTGTCCTCATCAGTGCATTGTCAATACTCGCAGAGTGGGGAAAGACAAACCTTCATCTGGGAGTCCACCTTCTCCAGACCATGAGAGGGCCACAGGGTGGAATGGCTCATCAGCGTCGCTGACGTAGAATTCATCCTTCACGGCATCTTTGATCTCCTTTGGAATCTGGAGCTTCGAGTCGGTGGTCTTGAACTGTGTCTTGCTCTGGGTCGAGGCTTGATTGCCGCTGCCAGAGGTGTCCTGGTTGGCCTTGTTCAGGAACGACATGTAGTCTTCGTCGCTAGCCATGATGGACGATGTGTGATATTGCAAGTTCCGTTTCAAATGGAGGTGGGGTGGCACGGGTAGCCTGGGCAGAGCTTGAAGAAACGTCGAGTAGTTCAACCTTCGCGCCGCAGGTGTAAGAAGCTGAGATCGCAGGGTAAGAAACAGGGCTGGTGAATGACGAAGTAGTAAGACCATGGGGCACCTTATTTTCGCTTTATTCAAGTTCAGGGCGTACTAGCTGAGATGCTTGTGTTAAACAGCCAATACGCGGTGACGTCAACTGCAAGCAAGTTTCGTACTGCAGTACACCAAGTTGGGCACCCACAAGAACATTCACTACATCGCCCCTGAAGTTCAAGATGGAGCAAGCATCACAAAAATGGTTGAGCATGTGTTTGGGTATTCATTTGAGATTCATAGTCTCGTCTAGCTGAGCTTTTCATTTTCATCCATTGTGAACCCAGCCCAGCCCAAAAAAAGGAAGAACAGTCCCTCGACACCAATGCAATGACCGAAAGATACAACAAAAGAAAGGACCCGAATCTTGGCTCCGTTTATGCGGAGGCAAGGTCCTTCTTGAGAGTACCCTGGTACTGCTTCTTCTCCGCGGGTGTCTGGAAAGCACCGTGTCCGAACTCGGACGAGGTGTCGATCCACTTGAGGTTGATCTTCTCGAGAGCCCTCCTCGAGGTGTGGGTGAACATGGACTTGCGGAGAGTCATGACACGCTTCTTGACACCAGGGACAGAGCCCTTGACCATGACGAAGTCGTTGTTGACCTCACCGTAGCGGACGAAACCACCAAGACTACGAGAGTTAGCAGGCGAAAACAGGACGGAAGACCAGGGTGAACATACGGTGTGATGCGCTTCTTGGTAATGTCGAGAGGAGTGGAGGCGTTGTCCTCGGCGTCAGCCTTGCCGATGCGGTAGATCTTGTGGTTGACCGAGGTACGGTGATGGTAACCCATCTGACCGGCACGGGCAACGGTCCACTGGACGTGGGACGGGTGCCAGGCACCGATACAAGCAACCTTACGGAGACCCTTGTGAGTCTTACGCGGGAGCTTCTTGGTACCCCAACGGGCGGTGACACCGTTGAAACCGTGACCCTTGGTGACGGCAATGACATCAATCATCTCGTCCTGCTCAAAGACGGAGTCGACGTTGACGGGCTTCTCGAAGAGGTCGCGGCCAAAGTCGACCTTGTCGGCGACGGAGCCACCGTTGATCTGAACCTCCATGAGGTGGGCCTTCTTTTGCTTGAGAGGGGTCTTGCGGATCTGGGTGTGGGCGAGGACGCGGACGACGGTGCAGTATTTCTTCATGCGCTCGAGCTCGCGGGTGATGGAGGAGCCGCTGCTCTCGGAGTGCTTCTTGGCGTACTTGGTGAAGGCCTTCTTCTTGCTCTTGTACCAGTTCTTGTAGAAGCGGCGCTTGACCTCGTCGGACAAGTGCTCAGCCCAGACAGTGTTGAGCGAGCGCAGACCGCGGGGAGTCTCGATGTAGCCAACCAGACCAACAACGATCATCTAAAAGATGTTAGCCATAGGCACAGAGCCAAGCGGGCTGCATTGTTCGTACAGGTGGGGTATCGATGACAGTGACGGCCTCGACAACCTCCTTCTTGTTCGCCTTGGCGCCAGGTCGGTCGAGGTCGCGGACGATCGTGGTCATACCGGCCTTGTAGCCCATGGTGGCCGTCAGGTGGACGGGCTTCTTGGGGTCATCCTTGGGGAAGCTGGCAGAGAAGAGAGACAATGGTTAGTCTCTAGTCACATTATTGCGGCTTGATCTTTTGGGAAGATAGAAAAACTCACGACTTGACCTTGCCACGGTGACGGGCAGCACGCTTGCGCGGCAAGAAAGCCAGCGAACCGTGACGGGGAGCCTCGAACTTGCGGTGCTGTTCATCGTTAGTCCTTGCGAGATCAATTGAAAGCGTCCAGCGTGTCTACTCACAGACATGTTGGGCGGCCTGGATGGTGGTTGTTAGTATGAGGTGGGATGGGACAAACGCAGACGCAGAGAAGAGAAAAGGCAAGGAGGGTTTCGACTTTTGTGTGGGCGAAAATTAGCTGCACCCACCAAAATCCGTGGGTGGCTCGTGCACGACTGACTCCACAGCTGGCGGACTTGGAGATTTCCTCAGGGCTACCGGGTCACGTGCGCATGGTCCTCATCACCAGCGCAGTCAGCGGTTGACAACATGGAATGGCGTTGGAAAGGTAACGTGTGGATTGTTTTCTACAAGTTGTAGGCAGCGAGAAGCAAGCCGCGCCCAGTACTTGTACGTTGAGCTGGGTGATCAGCGCACTACTCACGCTCTACGCCGGGCGCTCGACTGCGATCCGACTACGGCTGCTACGAAGTGATTGTTGGTTTGCTTCTTACGGGCTTGCGCAGTCGGCTCGCAGGTTTGTATAATGCGAAGTACACCAATGCTGTCTCCAGGACCAGCCATCTTCATCAGGAGGTGTGCTGAAAGGATGGCTTGAGATGTCTTAAGTCAGGGAATACATACGCTGAGTAGCGTGTAGGAAACTGGTGCCCTGGCTGCCTGCATGAACAGCATTCCTGGGGAACCGTCTGAAAATTCGGGGATGCGCGAACTGGCCAAATGGAAAGACTCATCAGCCACCACAAGAATGTATGCTGCTGCAAGTCTGCTGTCTCCTTCACAAGCACCCATCACGCGAAGCCAAGATCAACCGAGTTAGATATGCACGGCCTTGGAACTTATTCCAAAATCTCTGCCATCCAGAGTGTAGGTTGTCGGGTGCGGGCCACCGGTAGTGAGTTGTTGAACGACATGAACGTGGTGTGGCTCATCTCAGGGGCGATATCAGATTGCGACCATGTGAGCGAGTCCGTGAGCTGAGACGGTCGGCATAGCGCTCCATTGGCGACATCCTTGTTAAAATCGATTGCAGGTTGCGTGCTGCGATTCCGACCCGGGGACCGCTTGGGAACCGACCGCTTCGTGTGTCTTAGCAATGTCGCCCAAGCGCCCTCCTGGATGCTATGGCGAACCTTGTCCATTGGCCGGGAAGCAATGCCATCATTGTTTCTGGCACCACCAAAGGCCCTGGTCTTCCTCCTGACCTCAGGCGATTCCGCATCCACCATCCTGGCTAGCGATGTGCTGATGACTGACATGGCAGACACTCTTCCAGCTATAGCCTGTCGTTGCAAGATCAGCTCAGGCTTTTCTGGAACAGACGATTATGCTGGCTCCTTACCTTCAAATAGCGCATGTTGAAAACGCCTGGTGCAAGACTGGCCAACTCGAAGAAGGACTTCCCCCTCATTACGCGATAACCATTATGCGTCCTTTGGACACCGATCATGAGCACATCTAGGCTGGTCTCCAAAGCCCTTACCGCATCAAGTGAAGCAATTCCATGCTGCGCATTATGGATTGGTGACTCTTGCATCTCTGTTGCTGGGGGGGTCCATGTCTGCTCAACCGGGGCCATGTACTCCTCAATCGCTCTGTGATCGACAGGGTCAAGGAACGTATAAGCATGTTGCATCGTAATGCTCGTAGTTCGCTTCCTTTTCCTCCGTGAACGCGTTCCATCCATCAAAGCATTAGCTTTAGGTAGATCTGCATGCTCCGTGAACTTTGTCGGCACGTCCAGCAAGCAGTGTAGCTCGATAAAGTTGGCTGCCAAGGCGCCCTCGGGAGCAACCAAAGCAGATGATATATCAGGATGCTGCAAAGAGAACCGAACTTCGGCAGAGTACAGGGGGTCGACGGCAACGAGACGCACGCCTAGTCGTGCCCACAGCTACTCTGGGTCAGGTCATATTGTGCGAGGACGCCGGTGTAACTCACCTCGAAATCTTTGATCTGATGCTCCAGCGTCTCTAGATTGTCTGCGGTCAGCCCCTGCCACGAGTTTGCTACCGAGAGGTTGACGAAGCTGGCTTCCTTCTTCGCGATCCACAGTTGTTTGTCGTCCACCGCCCGCTTCAGGTCGACAGCAGAGGCAATCCAGTCAACTTCGGGCGGTATGTCGAGAGTGACGGAGCATTGTAGGGCCACATGTGAATCGTCGCGTTTTTCTGAAAGCTCCAGTATAGGTAGAGCCAGCGTCTTGATGGTCATGGCGGAGGCATGCCACTGTAGGTTGGGTGCACCCATAGAACGCATTAGGAACAGGTGCTGAATACTGGAGAAATCACTTGTCAACCTTACGCTGTGAGCTTTGGCATTCGGAAGAAATCTTTTCGTATCCAGGTAGGAGCATCCCTAGGCAAGTTGCCAAAGATGGCATGGAGCTCCAGTCACTCACCAACGCTGGCGCGACCTGGAGTGCACCTTCCTGATTCCTTAAGGACGAATCAGGTACGCAATCGCCTTCTGTTCGCCCTGAAGAGAGCTTTGCAGTCCGGATTAGCACATGGCACGATACCTTTCACAATATTCGAAAGACAGTGCAGGAATGCATCCGGGGTTGTATTGTAAGCCATGAAATTGAGCAGTGGCGCCAACAAACTGCAACGCTCGCAAATGTGACGGTATGCTCCCAATTGCTCCTACGCCGTATCACCGTCTATATCCAAACGAGTTTCCCAAATCATCATCTCGCCGCATGAAATACGCAGCCGCAGATTTGCACGCTCATGACGCCGATCCTGTTCTGTTGAACCACGGGAAAGATCCCTTCTTCTTCGCTGCCTCTAATCCTCCTCCTTGGCTGTTCTCCACCTGCTCGCTGCGCTTGTCTATGTCCTATTGTAACCACGTTAGCTCTGATACCTCTAAAAAAAATAAAAATTGCAGACTGCGACTTACCACTTCATCAACGGGCATTTTGCAGCCAAGGATAGTTTCGCGCACCGTCTCGTGTTTTGACAAGCTTGGATACGGGCTACCTTGACTTTTCATGATCGGGAGCAGGATGCTTCCAAGAACATTGAACTTTGCCCAGTGTATCTTGTCCCCCTTGGCGCCGACAAAAGTCTTGCTTCCTACTTCGGCCTGCACGAGATCTCTGCGATGCACTGCCATGTATGGTATTCTCGGCAACGGTGAATTCTGCCAAGCCAGACGATAGGCAAAGTAGCTATTTGTTGTGCTGGTTAAAATCAGATTCTTCGCAAATCGTTTGCCTACCGTCTCTGACACCAGAGCGTGGGTTTGGAGGAGGCGGTTGATAGGAGTCGAGTTGATGCCAGCAACGACCGCCGCCAAGCCGTTGTAGTTGTTCAGTTGGCGTAGTTTTGTTGCTATATTCATAAACTTCTCGAGCATTTGGGCCCGGTGCTTGGCTTTGTCTCTGAGAAGAATCATGCATGTAACCCAACGGGCAAGGTGATTGAAGTGGGCAATGGTCCGGTCCACGTTTTTCAAGCTCTGACACTTGGCTTTGTCTCCCGCTGAGAGACTCACATGCCGCACGAGATCCCGGATGCGCATCGACGAGAACATGATCCAGTCGATGCGCGTCATCTCCTCCGCAATGTCGTCGACGGGTACTTCCATGAAGATGTGGTAGCGGAACTTGTTCATCGGCAGCTGACTCGAGGGCTCAAGCAGGGCAGCTTCCCTTTCGTACTCCTCATAGGAATGATACTGGAATTGGTTGCTCATCGTGCTCGCACGATCAGCCTCGGAGCCTTCTGAAGGCCTGCCGTCTGCGTCTTCGAATTGCAAGGAGCCAAGGCTGGACGCAACTTCGTTTGTCTCCTTTTGCGCGTTGTCGCTTCCATCGTCGTCATTTACATCATCTGCGTGTGCCCACCCAGTGTCGTCGTCCTCAACCACGTTGTGATTCAGGTTGCGACGCATTTGCTGGGCTGCTATTGAGAAAATGGGCTCGGTCGACAGGTGCTTGATGAATTCATCCAGCCTATGTTTTGTGGTGGGCCGAGCGAAGTCGCCCGGGTACAAAGCCACCCATCGCGCCACAACCTCGATGATTCGCAGTTGGGTGGCGGTCCTCGACAGATAGTGCGCTGCCTTGTCGTCTCGAACTCGATCCAGCCGTGCCAGGATGGCGGCGAAGAGCTCACCTGGCGCTGCAAACTTCCGATACAGGCAAAGGAAAATGTCCGAGAAGTCTGCGTCGGTCTTTGATATTCTTGGGGCCAGAAGGCGATCAACCAGCTCGCCAAAGGCCACCCCTTCCTCCTTTGCTGTCTGCTTCGCATCGTTGTCGTTGCGCTGCAAGAGGGGAATATCGTCTGACGACTGAGGCTGCTCTGTGTCTGATTCGTCTACATGCAAGAATGAGCCGTTCGCGTTGTCGAAACCCGTGGGCGGTCGAGGACTGATCGAAGATTGCTGGCGATGGCTCTCGCTTGTTGAGCCGCTGTTGAAGCCTTTCAATAGGGAGAACTCGGAGCTTGCTCGGCTGTGTTTATTGTCGCCGCTATACGATCGAGATATCATAGCTTCGGGAGCTTCGAGGTTCGATTGCGCTCGCCTGCGCGCGACCTGCTCGCCGCCGTCCTCTGCACAATCTTGTTCAGTAAGAGTCTTGTCCGGTCATGGGTGCCGTACCTCTGCGTTGGCTCACTGCTGCTCTGAGGATACTTTGTAGGCACGACCGTGCCGCCTCAGGCTTGCTGGACGACGCCTTGTATGTTGCGATGCCGACCTCATAGTATCGCGTGGCTAGGTCGTCGACATCCACGTGCCATGAGTCTTCCCCAGTCTCGCATTTGTTTGCTACCAGGATAGCAGGCATCCCGGCGTTGCTGACAGCAGCTGCTTCGTGTTAGCGCAAATGCAATCGCAACGCAAAGCTACTGTGGTTGTGAATACCGAGTATTTGCGTCAAGGGACGGGTTGTCTCGCGAGCGGTCACGTCGTATAGTATGATGGCAGCGTCGACTCGTGGCACAATGTGCCCGTTGATTTGTTTCGGCCATTGAATTTGCTGTGACGGGCCGGCTTCGAAGTGGTTCACGTCGAGCTCCAGAGCTGTGACCATGTGCGTGACGCCATCGACAGACGACCGAATGCTGGGAGCCTCCGTCATGGGCAGACTCTGGAGTGCAAGGGCAGCTTGGATGAAGCAAGACTTGCCGACGCCACGGGCGCCAATAACCGCCACGTGGAATGACTCCATCGCCTTCCTCTTCGAACGCTGCTGTTGTTGGGCCGCCGTGTTTAGTGACGTGCGTTGGTTGCGTTGGTCCTGCGTCGTGGGCAATCACCCAGGTCAGCGCACGCGTTCCTCACGACTTTGGTGTATCGTCACGCTATGTTGGACAGGACAGCTAAGGTATAGCAGTCCTAATAACGACCCCTGCCCCGCGAGACCACGGTCACAGAAGAGTGGGGCAGGCGATTCCAGGATGAATTTGACCTACCCAGGACATGGACTCAAGCATTCCAATTGTCAACGATTCCCGGCGCGGAGGCGGGAAGTTATGTTTTCTTTCTTTCTCGTCGCCCTCAACGGGACCTGAATCGGGAGTTGCGAGGTCCAGTGGCTGCAGTTGGGAACCGTCTGGGCCGTAGTCCTGGAAGAAGGGGTCTTCAAGAATTGAATGGAACGACTCGCGGTTTGAATCATGAACTGCTTCGGATGGCGCTTTTGCTGGTCGCTTCGTGCTGGGCTCTAAGCATAGATCACCGGCGGATTCAGCCAAGGTGGAAGGCGTGCTTTTTGCTATTGAGCTTTGTCGTGTTTTACTGCTGCTTGGCTTCTTCGGTTCGCGCAGAATCGCAGCAGAGGCACTTCGACGCGGCTTTCGCGAGCTGCTTTGCTGGCTGGCTGACGGCAAGCCTTCTGCAGGTTTGTGAGCATGATGACGACTCCCGCTTGATTTATCGGAGGGCATAGTCGCAACGACGCTGGGAAGACCGGTCCAGCTGAGATTTGAAACACGCGAGGGGCAAAGCGAAGGCTTGACGGGAATGGAATGTTGCCGGGAGGGGATTACGGCATTCCGGTGCGCGCGCTGGCTGGAAGTAGCTGGCTGAATGCCTGGGTCCAAGCAAACTTCTTCAGGCCTTTCTTGTTGTATGTCACCGCCGCGAGCGAGGCGGCACTAACGTACGACAACACAAACCGAGCTAGAACAGCCGGATGGTGGCCGCAACGGTGGGGTCCGATTGGGTCTAGGAATACGTCGTTGCGATCTGGCAAAACACTGTGAAATGGTTCAGCTCACCTCGAAATCACTTGTTGGACAGTCTCGACGAGGGCTAGAACAACGCCACGGTCCTAGTCGTTCAAAATGGTGCAGTTGTCCAGAACAATGCTCTGGCACCAGGTGAATGGTCGAGCTGCAGCAGAATCGTGGTCGCAGGCTGCTGCGATGCGGTTTGTGTTTGGTAATCTAAAGTCACTGACTTAATAAACCAAGGAACGGAGAAGAAGTCAAGAGAGTTGGGAGATCATGATCTAGCGTTATCAACTTGACACGACGCCAGAGTAGTGCCCACAAACAACTCTCTCACCAAGGGTCCAATTGGCATCCAGTGTCGCTACATGTGAAGCGACGCAAAAACGTGCATGTCGCTCCGATTTCTCGTGTGGACATCACGCGATACCAGGTAAGTTGGAGGAGGATCACGCACCAACTGCTGGGGCTCATGCAGGCTTATTACACGCCGTACGTAAGGTACCTCGACGATCGTGCTCTGAGTGGCACCGCGCTCCACTAGGTCGATCACTTCGTCCATCATTGAACGCCTTGGACTGGGAATGCGGCCAGAGCACTACTCGACGTTCCTTCTGAACTATGGATGCATGCAAGTACCTGCTTAAGTAGCTGCCTGTTCGGGCAAATATCCGAACATCTTCAATGTGTGGGTGTTGGCTTCGCGATAAGCGTCGAAGCGATTAGGTTCAACTCTCATGGAACTATTGTTGACAAAGTGGACGAGGAGAAAACATATCGAATGAAATAGACCTCCAAGTAGGCTTATCGGCTAGTGTCGTTCCTTTGCTACTACAAGGCTGCCCAAGAAACACTGATCAAGGCCATGTTTATCCTGTCGCCCGTCAAGTGAGATCGGAACCGTCGGATTGTAGACAGGAGCGCTGAGTGAGAATAAATGTCATGACGGCTGCAGCCCACCAAACGCAATAGACTTTGAACGAAGTAATGCACTATTAACACGGCAAGGCCCGAGCCTTTGACATCTGACGACATAACATAACATGACGATCTTCAAATCCACAGTGTTTTCCGCGTAACGAGGCTCGTATTGTGTACTACTAATCTAGAACATCATTTAAGTTAGTAGAAAGCGTTTCCTTGTACGTACATGAGCGCAGAGGGGCCACTCAAAAGGCTTTGCGCCAATAATGATTCGTGACTCCTCGATCGGCACTGCGTTACGAGCACGAGCAAAGCGGGTCTCACGCATCCAGAAAGGAACAGCGATTACGCAAATTCGATAGCTTGTACGTATTAAATGCCCATTAGACGTAGCACAGCATGAATTTACTTTTGGCGGCGGACAGCGCACGACTGGCTCTTTTTTAAAGAACCGTCGGTCTCTCCTCCCACTCGGAAGGCCAAGCCTTGGCTCAGTCTAGGCCACGCGACATCATGCCGCCCGTTTGGGAGCAGTTAGTGGTCTGTCGCTGCTAGCAGTGGTGTGATCAATTCTATGGTGATGGCCCGAGCTTTCAGCAAGAAGAACACCCGTGTGTCCTTCGTCTGCCGTCAGTCGTGCTCTGGTATTATTTCAGCACCACTTACCAACCAATGTTTCTTATGCAGGTGTGCAGAACGAACGCTGCCAGAACCGTCCAGGTCCCGACTCTGGGGCTCCACGTTAGGAACGGCAGCCATAGTTGGATCGATTCTGGGGAAATGCACCATTGACAGAGTCTCGCCAATCGAACGCTGTGCAGAAGCGCCAGCGCAACATGACGGCTGTCGAAATTGACATCTCCCCGTGACCCGTATGCAGCCGCCCCAGAAGAGGAGGGAATCACCTCCGAGCCCGACTATTGGCATTCAGCATTCGACGACATTTTTGTTGTAACATGGGGAGCGGCTTTCTTCTGTGCTGTACGGACTCATCACGAGCCATACGGCCCATGCCAACGCGGCCCAGGTGGCCTCCAGGGGTGGCAATAAGACGGGGGTCTTGGTGGTAAGTTACAGGGAAACGGACCCTCTACTCTGTAGCGTTCCTGGGCTTTTTTGTCTGAGGCTCATGTGCCAACCCCACAATCAGAATGTGAGGGTCCTCGTGATCAAGTTTGCTGATTTCGAAATATTAGGTAGCGGCACGGTGGTCATTTCGACGCGATGCGAGGCATTTGTCCACCATGCTCCCCTATTTCTCCCTCGACCTTCTGTGCAAGCGTGAGCGAGGACACATTGATGTTCTATAGCTGGCTCGGTTCAAGACACTGTCGGTGGTAGGTCGACAACGACACATTGACAGCCAAGCGAGCGGACCACCTGCGAGTTGCTTCCATTGAGGGTTGCGCTGATCGTGTCGGACTCTGCCGCGGTCCAGTCGTCTCGTGTGGTACTTCACCCGAGTTGGTCCCTTGGCTTTACCTGCATGACTTGCATTGTCCTTATTTGAGGTCGTCTGCGCCGATTGGGGTCATCTTGGTTTCCTGTTCTTTGGTCCTGCATTCACTTGCTTGCGGTCTTGCTCCTTCCTCCACCCTCGAGGCAGGCAAGTCCCAACCTTGCGTACCGCGGTACTACGTCGCCAAACAAGTCACAACACAACGGCAAATACAATCTTTGATGAGTGCTTTCAAATTCATCCAGATAACACTTTACAAAGCTCTCTCCAGTCACCACTGTGGTACATTGGTATATACCAGGCAGCTACTGTGATTGGGTCTGCTGCTAAAGCAAGACAGTGCGCCGCGACTACACGAGCCCTATCTACAACAGCAGGCTTGCATCGTGCTGAACTCTCTTACGAAGAATCCAGCGGCATCGCCGGGAAAGACCTACTGTGATTGGCCCACGCTGTCAAATACAAAACTATTGGAAAGCTCCAACGTGGAAAACGAATACTCAATTCCCGTGACGCCTGATCGCCAGGCTCAATCGACACCAACGTCAAACTCGCGTTATACCAATCGTGCATTTGCCGCGGCATGATCAAGGACCCGGATCACAATATCCCAACACGGGCGCCTCGGGCTGTCGACCAGAGGCCGAAAAAGCAGCAGCATCCGACAATGGGGTTTGATCCGGACGAGTTGACCAGGAGACTCTACGAAGTCAAGGCGCAGCAAGAGCTCAAAGCAGCTAGGAAGACGAAGCTGTGCTTGAACATTGAAGAGCGAAGCCTCGAGGCGAAAGAGCGAAATTATCGGGATTTAAATTCGCGACAATCAAGGGCCGATCATCGGAGAGCAGCACAAAAGCAGCCTCGAAACCGAGAATCAAACGGACAAGACCTCGCGGCGCCGGTCGTGGAACCCGAGGCCGGGTCCAAACGATGGAGTGGGGGCCAACGCGAGACACAGGTCTGCCTCAGAACGGATGCGCAAAATGACCCAAAATCCTATCAACACACACCACAAGTCGCTGCGGCCCAATTTGAAAGAACAACAGCCGTGGAGCAGGTCGAGGGCTTGAATATACATAGGCTCTCTCATCCGGCCGTGCGATTCCATATTGGTGGTCCACATGGTGAAGCGGCGCAGGACCAAACAAGTGATCCTCGCGATGTTGTTCAGCGGTTGCAAAGAGTCCGCAGCCAGCGAGACCGGGAATATGCGCGCAATCAATTCCAAATCCCACAGAGCCTGGAACTGGTCGACGGTTTTGGCGGCTGCCGCCTTGAGCAACGGCATACCCTTGACGCGTATCCTGATGGGCAGACGACCCGGTCGTCAATTTTTCCACCGTCTGATACAGTCAGAGACATGATGGGTACTTCCAATCATGTCGAGCATCGTGATAACGAAGAAATTGCCTCTAATGGGCGTACTTCTTGCGCAGGTCCAAGGGACATGCGGCAGGACTGGACGCAAAGCGATGAAGTACACGAAAAGCAGAAAGCCAGTGGTGCGCCGCCAAAGATCCGCAAAGCCGCATCGAAATGGAGACTGAGACTGAGCGGGCACCACAGGAGCAGCGAGGAAGATAAAGGTTCTCCATTGCCGGGCGCCATGTCCCCTGAGGAGTCTGAGAAAGCATCACAAGGGATCAAGTCTCCCATATCTGGGCTCTTCTCGCGTCTGAAGCGTTAGATCAATCACACATGTCAACGGGAACAACCCACATTATGCCACGATTCGAGTCGAAGAGTGCGTGCGCCGGTTTTGTGTGACGAAAGTGATTTCGTTCTATACAATACTGCATCTTCCATCTCAAAAGCGACCAAGGCCGCTGAGATGAGGCGTGACAATGTCGCAGCCTTGGTCGATCATCGCTGAAAACTGAGCACGCTCGGTAGACCGATCCTAGAGCCCCTTGCGCTCCCGAGCCTCCTCCATAAAATGTAAGACGAGCTCCGAGTACTCTCTGAGGGCCTCGCCATCCTCCCCGTCTGCTTTCCTGGCTCTTCGTAGAGCCTCTTTGCCGCGTTCAATGCCTTTATCTTTATCCCACCCGTTGCTCTGGTCTTGCGGCGGAAGATCCCTGAGGAGTGACGCGGGGATCTTGGGCTTCTGTACAGGCGGTGGTTGTGTTGCTGCGTGGATTTGCAGCAGCTGGCTCGGAAGTCGCGGGTATTTACTAAAGAGCCATTGGAGCTCTTCCGAGTGCTGCAGTGTCTGCCAAGGGTGCCGGAACTTGCGACCTCGGACTGCGCTGTCGTCTGCGGCCTCAGTTGTGGGCGCTGGTTTCGGGGGCGGCGGTGCTGTGATGGGTTCTCCAGCATGTACTTCGCGGTGGACTTTGTTACAAGCGACGGAGCAGCTATTGGAGAGAGTTCAGTCAGCTTAGAGATTGAAGAGGCAGCAAAAAGCACTGCTTGCGTTGGGGTACAGGGAGTGCTTACTAGGGGAGGTAGCAGCGTGGACACTTGTACTTTGGTGTATCTGTTTCACAGACACCGCACAATAATTTCAGAGGTTCCATCTCTTCATCCTGCTTCTCCTCGATCGGTTGTGCACCTTGCGTTGCTGTGGCATCCGCCTCCAGGTTCTCCTGTGCACCGTTCGCAATGGGTTCTGGTGGTTCGTCGCGTGCTTCAGCCATGGTCGATGAAATAGTCGTAGGCAGCAGAAGGCGAAAGGTGTTGCTAATGAAATCGCATACGGTACGAAAAAGATTCGACGCTAGTTCGGCGACTTTAATTGACCAGATAAGTGGTCTTATCGGATGTAATCAGAGGCTGAAAAGCGAGAAACGCGTCGTCGTCGTGATGCTGGTGCTGGAACAAAATTTCTGGAGACCCTGATATCGGTGACGTGACACCATAAACAGAGACCCACCACGCGAAAAGCGGTTGCGACACAATAGCGATCGCAGTTGGCACCGCAGCACTCGTATTGTTGGAGAAATCATTGTGAGCGTGCATGTCAGCTCCAATAGGATTGGTTATCAAAATTGGATGAACGACGCAAAGCCTTGAGCTCTAGACGGTGTGGCATCACAAATATTTTGAAGGTTCGGTTGGTCTGCAGGGTCCCGAAAGGCGGCGTTGCATCATAGTTCCGCCATTAGTAATTGCCTCCTTCTGGGCAAAAATCATCGCTCACTATAGCCGAAGGAAAGTTCTCGATTCCGATCACTGTCAACTTTCAACGATCATACCTTCAATTCACTGCCTGTAATTTTCCTCTTTCCTTCTACATTTTAGATCTGTCGAAAAGCATAGATCATGGCACCACAGAGAATCACAGCGCGCCTCATGGCGCAAACAGTGCGGCCAGCCGCCGTCACCAGAACCACGGCACCACGAGCCATCCGCGCTCTGAGCACCAACCCCCGTCTCCCATCTTCAAGACCACTTCTTCGCTCAACGAAACTCGCCCCAGCGCTTCGAGCCGTTCCCTCTGGTGTACGAACTATCTTCATCCAGACCGAGTCGACACCGAACCCCGACGCTCTGAAATTCCTCCCCAACCATCGCGTTATCCCGGACGATGGCAGCGTTGCGTCCCCTTTCATCGAGTACCTCAGTCCCCGCGCAACCATCTCGCCACCTCACCCTTCACCCCTGGCGGCCAAGCTGATGAACATTGACGGCATCACAAGCGTCTTCTACGGCAGCGACTTTATCACAGTCACCAAATCGGCGGACGCAAATTGGGCGCACGTCCGACCAGAAATATTTGCGCTGATCACAGAGGCCATTACGAGTGGCGAGACGATTGTGAACGTGGCCGAGCGCAAGGAAGGGGATGCCGCCGCGGAGGAGGACAGCCTGGCGTACAATGAGAACGACAGTGAAGTCGTCGGCATGATTAAGGAGCTCCTAGAGACAAGGATCAGGCCCGCCATCCAGGAGGACGGTGGTGATATCGAGTTCCGTGGTTTCGAGAATGGCATGGTGGCCCTGAAACTGCGCGGTGCCTGCCGGACATGCGACTCGAGTACCGTCACCTTAAAGAATGGCATCGAAAGCATGTTGATGCATTATGTAAGCGCTCCCTAGCTCAATCCCCTTTTGCCATGTTGGCTACAGAAACTGACGGCATCTTCAGATTGAAGAGGTGCAGGGCGTCCACCAGGTCTTAGACCAGGAAGAGGAGGTGGCTCTGCAGGAGTTTGCCAAATTTGAGGAGAAGCTCAAGCAGCAGAAAGGCGCGGCACCAGCATAGAATTCGACCGAGATCTTAACACAGAATGATACCCCCCCAGAGACAATCATGTTTAAGAGCTTGTGGAGCTTAATGGCACTATTTGGTCCTGGTGAAGGGAGACTTGGTGGGAGTGATGCCATTCATCGTCATGGTGGTGCCACTTGGCACAAATCAGGTACCGGAGCACGTAAATGTTGTACGGCCACAGCGCAGTCCTCAGCGTACAACGAGACGGCAATTGTAAGCAGAACTGACGGGAAGCTGTCCACGTATGACTTATTCTGGTGGATGAAGCAGCTCACGAGTACTCATTAACAATCCTCGACGGCTGAGCGAAGTGTGGTGGGTCGCCGGTCGTTAATTCCAGTAGCGGCCGCTGGAGGCTCGTGGAAGCTACCCGATGGGATACAAAGACCACCTGACCAGTGGCTCGGAGGGGTTGATATGCAATGGGCCATGCAGGCCATGCATCCCGTCTGCTGTGCCTCACTTGGTCTAAGTGAGCCTGTGAAAGGAATCCGGGGTCGACCGGCAGATGAGTTGTAGTTGTTGCAACCGAGACACAATAATGCGTTGATCATTGGCCAGAATGAAGTCGATTGGCACAACCTGGAGCTCGAGGATCCGTCGCACGCTTGGGGCTGTGACGGCGATCGCTCATTAGTCTGCTCAGGACGACATGGTGGGCGGCAAGGGGATCATGGCGTTGCGCAAAAGGTTGTCGCGTGATTTTGCTCCAGCCGAATTAGAGGGGTTCAGTCGTCAGAACCAGTAGATGAGATCGGCCCTCTACGTTGGGTTCCCAAGGGTGTGTGGCGTGTGTGTCTTGAGCTAACCTGGGATGACGACAGTTTGGATGAGAATTTGGACCCCGCAAAGAGGGGAGATCGGAGGTTTACAATGTACAATGTGGTTTGCGTTGGAGAAAGCTATCAGACAGATATGTCTACCCGATCGATAAAGCAGGAGCAAATGGAGTCTTGACCGCGTGCAAATGAAGAATAGGCGTCATCTGTGTCAGTAAGCATGCAAGTACTTGTAATAAGCCACCTGAAGGAAGAAAAAGGGTCGCATTCTAGTATTGGAACATCCCATTGGTAGTTGGTGGTCTTGCCATATCCTACCCTTTTGCAGTATGCAAGGCCTACGGCGAGACCGGACACCGCTTCACATGTAATTCAGTATCGAATGCGGCTTTTATGCATGGAAATGGGTGTCTTGAAGGTTAATTGTGTAAACCGGTGAGGCAGCGAGGAGATCGACGCTGGGGATGTCTTCTCTGAGAGACCACTCAAGCACTTGGACATGCAAGCCGCGTGCGGGCAGGAGAAAGGATGGGGAATGTTGGGGAACTGCAGGGCTTAGGCCTGTTGAGCCTTGTATATTACTCGATACTGTCATTATTCACCGTGATCTTGTTTGGTTACAACTCTGGTGACCGTGGGTTAGCTAGACTGTTAGTACGAATAGTATCATTCATGAGATTGTCGCATCCAGTGAACTTAATTGGTAGCCTGAAGTACCTATGGTGGCCAGCACAATGTCGGCTGAACAAGCGTAGTCCTCCCACTTCGGCTGGTATGAGAAAAGAGCAATTACGCAAATAAGCACAATTCAAGCCCTTCATGTGAAGCCAGTCAGAGTCTAATCCATTCATCAGGGCATCCATCAGCAGGCCCCTCGAGTTCACTCGCCGAATTACATGGAGTTCTCCACTTAATTAGGCTAAGTGATTGGCTGCAGTCTGGATCGCCATGGAGCCCGCCTGGGGCGCCCAGCCACTGCTAGGGCCCAGTCAGCCCTGTAATGCAACTACACCACCGGCGAGACATCTTTGCGAACTGACTGTCGACTGGACTGCTTGAGGCCAACAGCAAGAACATTGTCATACCGTGCTAATTTTCAGTTTCGCCGTCTTTATCGAAGATGGAAAAGGTGTTGCTGACGTTTTTGCTCGTCCACCTACGCCCTTTTTCACGCAATTTGTTGACTGCCGGCCTTCCGTCGCCCCCGGACACTAACCCGGATCGTCAAGTTGATCCCGCCATCGACCTAGCCAGACTCAGGAAGGCACTGAGCGTAAAATCTACAAAGCAGGCAAGGAGCCCCCTCAAGTCACGGTCGCGAACAACGATAGTCCTCTAGTCTTCTGCAGCAGTATCGAGTATTCTTCCACGTCTTGGAGAGCGCAGAGCCGGATACGTATCTTGCACATCTTCCCTGTGCAGGCCCCAGCCAAGACCTCATACTCCAGTCGAGACCTCAACTAGACCCCTCTGTCTCTGGGCACGGACCCCTGCTTCTATTACCCCATACTTTTGTGTTTTCACTTCACTCCCGCGCCCACTAGCGTAACTATCCACCATCATACCTCTTGGTGCTGTACGATACCTGTCTCTCTTCGATCCGCTGCCGGCAGCTCCAGTCGTTCACCTGTTTTGAGCTATTATACTACCAGTTCCGAACAGATCCACGGCATCCTCTTGCTGCAGCAGGGCTTTTGAGCAATACGACATTTCAGGGACATTGCGAGTCAAAACGTATTTCTGTTGCTGTAATTACCTACCTGCATGGCATCTGCAGCTACAATTTCGCACTCCACGAACTCACGAAGCCTGAAATAGAAAGCTCTCCGCGGAGCATACGGAGTACATGTACCTTAGGTACCTATTGCGACAACTGACTAAAGCGTACGACGACTGGACCTTGGCCCCCCGCTTTCCGACAGGTCGCTTGCCATCGCCCTCCTGCATCCGCCGTCCGGTGCCTGAAATCCCCTTTTTGCCGTCAGCTGGCACACACGAGTTCAGTCGCCAACTAAAGCCAGAGTAGCGAGAAGCGAGCATCAATATCACACAAGATTGATAGAGCGGTGCGACCAAATTGCCCGAGCTCAGGGAACGACTGGAGACGACGAAGCGTCTTCTCACCACCTGAGCCTAAAGCGCTGCCGCGCCGCGCCGAGCTCGCTTACGCCCACTGCAGTGCCTGTCGCAGACCATACTGTACTATGCACAATTGACACGCTGCGGTCATCAGGTGCAGCAAGACATAACTCCACAGCCTACAACAGCAGTCCATCAAGCGATCGACAACAGGCTCGTTCCGGGGCCAAACAGTGTGCGTGCAGCTACAGACAAGGACGACAGTTATTACAAGGACGCCGCCGCCGCCACAGTTGGACGATCGCCAGCCGGACCCGCCACGATCACTGCAACAAGCCTGTCTGCACGCAGTTCCAGTCCATTCCCAACGCAACAGCACCAGCGCGTCTCCCATCCAGTCCCCCCCGTCCATCCCCCTCACCGTCTGGAGTCTGCCGTTTTAGTCCCAGCTGAGCGACGGGCAAGGGCCCACACCAGCAAGCACTCAACGTGCGTCCCGTCGACTGGAAGCTCCAAACTCACATCGACCCATCCCCAACTTGCAACTCCTCCCCTCTCACGCGACCGTGTGCGCGCCTGGGCCTGCCACTCTCCTCTCTCATCATCTGCGCTCTCTCCTTCGACCTCTTTTTGTTTGGATCTTGCCTTTGGAACCCTGGAATAGAACGCACATAGTTAGACTTTTCATTCCTCTCGTACAATTCTCTGCCTACTCTCGACAGATCGAGCCGCCTAATCGCCTACACTCTCACAATCTCACACACACACGCCAGCATCTCATACTATCCACTGGCTTCGCTGCTCGCCCCCCGGCTGCGCACCGTTCTCATTGTCACCGCGCAGTCGATCTGCACGAGCCTGCGCAAGTACGACCAAACCTTAACGTCCCGCAAATTTGCCCTCTCTGGGTAGGAAACTTCTCGAGTCCGGATCTCGCAGATCTTGTACGATACCATTCCGGCCACAGGAAACATCAGGATCGTCTTGTCGCCAAACTGAATCGCCATCCTATCTGAATTGCCACGACTAGAAGCCAGGCAGACACCCGCAGTTGTCCAGTAAGTCAAACTTGTTTGTCTAGGAGATTTACTCCGTGTCAACCAACCCCCGCAATCCTCATCTAGCTTTCCATCATCAGACCTTATCCCGGTTCATGAGTAGCCTTCTCGGTTGAGCGAGCGCAAACTCTCACTCTCCGTGGACGCTTCTTTCACGTGGACGCGCTTGTTCTATGCTTTTCGAAGTTTCGCACGTCTTGCAACCTACGCCATGGCGTTGTCTCATTCGCTCTCCGACTCGCGACCTCCAATGTCGCATACCTAGCCCTGCTTTCCCCCATCTATCAACTCGGACAGATCGATGACTAACTCTATTCTAAGCAGCTCTTCTCGGCACTTCAAGCCTTGCGGAACCCCTTCAACCCAGGCTTTCGCTGCCACGATCTGATTTGAAGAGGACAACATTTACGTGTCGTGTTCAGCCTGACTGAAATCTCTCATCTCGCTCGTCTTTCCCCACCAACTCGGTGGATGCCCTCACAGGGCGCTGCGTACTCCAACACCACCCTCCTTGGTCAGAGCGCGACAATGAGCGCAAGCTCGCAGAAGAACGGCCAAGCGCCGCGGACTGGACCGGGATCGCTCGCGGGAGCACCGGCCACCGCAAGCCACCTGCGCGACAAGGTTAATGTGCGAACTTCGACACCAGATTCCGAAGCCCTCGCTAGCTCCGACGATGAGGGCGATCATCGCCACGAATCAACGCAACCTGTGACTCAGCCTGCAAAGCCCGCTCGCCGATCTTCCTGGTTGAACGACACATCCGCACCATTTGCCCGACCACGCAAAGGGTCGATTGCGAGTGGTTCCATGTCGCCCACCGCATCGCACCCAACAACGCCATCGGGCGAGACGGCGCCTGGCACCTGGGGCGTGCATTCAGCTTCAGCAGGACTAGGTCGCGCGGTGGGAGGATCGGCGTTTCCGTGGACAAGTGCAATTTGGAACAACGATAGGAGGGAACCCTCACGATTGAGCGAGGTTCTCCCCTCGCCAACCTCCCTTGCACCTCCAGGCGCAACCAGCAATTCCATGTTCGGGCCCGACGCAGCAAACACCCAGACCTCTCCCAATCCTCGTGACGGCAACAACGGTCAGATCCCCTTTGCGATCCCGCTTCATCCCACTCCCAAGACGTATCGATCCCAGTCCTACTCGGTTGGCCAGATGGAGTCCGAAGCGAATGCGCCTCCGAGCTCCGGGATGAGCTCATCCACGCTTCTGGGCCGCGCGAGGCATCCGGCGCTTCAGCATCGCCCTTCTCGGCCTAGCATGCTCAGCGAGATGGCGAACGATGGGTCGATGCTCGGCAAGGTCAAGGAGGTGGAGGATGACGACGAAGAAAGCGCGCCCGAATCTATGCAAGGCTCATTCCACCAGAGCGCCGAATCCAAGACAATTGAGATGCTCACCCGCGAGAACGCCATGCTTCGGCAACAACAGTACAACAGACTTCGACCTCGTGCCTCGACAGGGACCTCGTACTTTGGCAATGGCGTTCCGTTGCAAGGGGCCGTTCCGGAAGAATCAGACTATGCAGTCGACGAATACGACCTAGTCAACACTGAAAATGGCGAGTCATTTGCCAGAAGCGCCGCGACCCGACGTATGAGTGAATACGGCGGGGGTGCCGCTGCACGCTCTCCCTCTACTAGAACCGATAGCACGAGCTTGAAGAAAGCGCTGTGGTCGACTTCCGGATATCCTCTTCTTGACGCATCGCAAAGTCGGCGGCACTCCTTTGCCAACATGCCGACTCGTCATGGCTCCATCAGTTCCATCGCGGACACCGCCTCCGCAATGGAAGGAGCCGGAGCCGAAGCGCAGCAATATCAGGATTACATGGGCGCGCTGCAGGACAGTAGCCTGTATGCGCAAACAGGCAATGGAAGTACGTCAACCGTAGCAGAGAATCCCGGTCGTGGTGACGCTAACGTATCGATTTCAGATCTATTTAGTCCGATGACTTCACAGATGGGCGCCAATGTGCCCCAGGTCTATGGCAACCCGTACCAGCCATCTTTCGCCTCACCTCACATGCAGAATCGGCCCGGATCACCACAACGCACCTCCTACGGAATGGCCCAGCCGCGACAGAACCAGCTGCTGCACGTTGTCTTGTTCAAATGCGCACGCGCTGACGTCTTCTATATCCAAGAAGGTACTGGGCTGACGGTGAAGCCTGGCGATCTCGTCATTGTGGAGGCTGACCGCGGAACGGACTTGGGTACTGTGGCAAAGGACAATGTCGACTGGCAAACTGCGAAAGAGCTGAAGGAGCATTACGCCGAAGAGCATTATAAATGGCTCATGATGTATTCTCAGGGAGCTGCGGTCGCTCAGGAGGGATCTGGGCCTGGCATGCTTGCCTCCTCCGGCGCGACGCAAGGCAGCGCCGTGGGTGGCATGGGACCTGCCACGCAGCACCACATGCAAGAGCCAAACGCCGGCGAGCTCCGACCCAAGCTTATCAAGCGACTTGCGCAAAGCCATGAGGTCCATTCTCTGCGCGAAAAAGAGGGCCAGGAGGCCAAGGCCAAAAGAGTCTGCAACACCAAGGTTAAGGAGCATGGACTTCAAATGGAAATACTGGATGCTGAGTTCCAAATGTGAGTCAAGCGTCGCGCATCGCAGAGATTTGTGCTAACGATCCTAGGGACTGGAAGAAGCTGACTTTTTACTACTTTGCTGATGCTTACATCAACTTCAATTCTCTGGTCACCGACTTGTTCAAGATCTACAAGACGCGTATCTGGATGTCCGCCATCAACCCAGCGTCGTTCGCCAGTCCCACCCTAGGCATTCAAGCGCCTAGCGGCGTAGGACCCGGTGCCGTTGGCGCTGGCCGATCCTCTGGTCACAATGACCGCCGACAAGGTCAGCAACAGCCACAAGCGGCATCGGCTCAGCTGCAGCCACAGCCACAGCAGAACCAGGAGTCGATGGGTGCCACGCCAACATCGATCAACAGTCAAGGGTCTCCGGCTCCCCGTGGGTTCCGTCCAGGACTCAATCAGCAGTATGGGAACGATAGGGCGAATGGACAGAGCTATCAAGGGTATCCTTCGACCAATTACGGTTACCCCCAAGGAGGTGCCTTTGGCAATGCCCGTACAAACGCCGCTTATGGCCAAGCTACGTCTCCCGGGGTGATGGACAACTACTCCGGCGCCAACTTTCAACACTTTGGCGACTTCCAGGCTTCACGGAATCGCTTTGCTTCTCCCCAGACTGGTACAAGTCCCAATCCACACTCACAGGCCATGTCACCATTATCGCCAATGGGCCAACAGAACGATTGGAGCGCCTCATTCCAAGGACTTTCGCTCAACTCCCATTAGTTCATGTTACTCGCTTTACCCTGGCACCACTCACGCCATTCTTCTGGCCTTTTGCGGCGCTCATTCGTTACTGCATGGCGATGAAGATTCCACGCTATACCACCACATTCATTCGCGAGCCAGCATCATGACTCCTCCTTTTCTTCTTCTTACGATTGACGCCTATGCGGCTATCGATCGTTCCAGCTTATCTCCATTTACACTATTGTTCATTGCTTTTCTGCACCAAGGGTTTTCTTCCTTGATTTGTAAAGAAGAAAGGACGGGGGCGACTCCCAGCACGGGTTTTGCTATCGCTCAGACGCATGTTATCGACCGAGAAATTATAGACAAGTGAGATGCGATTTACGCTTTACGGCTGTTATCTAATATTCGACACACGCACACAAGTATGCCAGAAGGGCAATCTTTTGCTTTGGGGTACTGGGGACTACTACTCATTGTACGAACAAAGACCTGCTTTCTTTCTACATGAGGAATTTATTTTTGCTACGACACTGGAAAGGGGGTCGGAATCGCGCTATTTCTTCCAAATGTTTCTACCGGTGTTTTCTGCTTGAGGTAATTTAGAACGGACAAGATAGGAAAAGGAAGATTGAATGAAAGATCACGACTCACAGCTGTTGGGCGGTGCAATTCACTTCCATGTGACACTCTTCGAGTTTTTCGAATGATCAGTACTACTTACAACTTTCCTAAACACGAGCCCCCATGCCTGTGCCAGTACCTGCCATTTACTGCTGTTCGCTCCATAAGCCAGGTACGACTGGTCGGACAGGGCACGTAGAATATGTGCCGCGTCGTTCCTTCCCCGACTGCGAGAATCAGACTGTTCCCCAATGTCGGGAAGCCACCTAAGGCAATCTGCTCGCGACCATCGTTAGAAATCTGAACAATTGAACAACGCTCGAAACCCTTGGCACATCAAGCATCTCTGACCCTCGTTCCTGGCCCAGCTCGTCCCCAGTGGTCACTGTTCAATATGCCTACAAAAAGCAAGTCGACCGACGGCGAGACACCACTCCTCGCTCTCCTGGCTTTACTAACGATGAGGTTAGACGATGAGCTCAGTCAAAACTACAATCCCAAGACCGCATACAAGAAACCTCGTTCAGCTCCCAGGAGACAAGCTAAAGGCAAAGGCAAGTCTGCCTGCGGAGCCGGCAATGAACGCATCACCACGGCCAAGTACGTCTACATGGCAGTCAATTTCCAGTCGAGGTTTACCTAACGACCACACCGTAGGCGATCTGTTGACCCGCCAAGATCCAACGACAAGAATTATGGTGAGGAGGCAAAAAGGTACTTGCGAGGCCGCTCCAATGAGCTCTGCGTATTCATTGGGACGAAGCATGAGGAGAAGAGGTGCGATGATCATCCTAGACTACACTTGAGGCTAACCAGATTGTCCAGATCAGATCCCAACATCGCAAAGGCCCTGCTCCTGAAACTCCCGACGGACATTGCGCCCGTCATGGCCCACGGGTACGCTACCAAGCAGTCCGAGGACGATGGCCGCAACCTGACTGCAGAGCTATCTGCCAGACTGATGAAAGAGATGCGTCGTACAATCAAGCTCTATGCAGAAGACGCTGGCAACTCATCGGGAGTTTCTAAGCCAGAATGGATGCGCTGGAAGACGGATTGTCGGGACCTCCAGAGCTTCAACAAGAACGCCTTGACCATGGCGGAACAGTTGATTCACAGTATGATCGTGCCTGGTGGCAAGGCTGGCGTTCCAAAGCTGGCCGAGGAAGCGGACGAGGTCGAAACAGTGGCATGGGAGTTGTACGGTGCGGTGAGGCCGACCACTACGGAAACTACGTGGGGAAGAATGGCGCAGGGCATGCTCAAGGCTTTTGCTGGGGTGCTGAAGACGAAAGAATAATCGCTTTCATGAGCTTGTCACGTACTAGGGCCTAGGTCTGCCTTTGGCACTGAAGCCCGGGGATCGCGGGATTGGAAGAGCATTTTCACTAAAAGGTACTCAACGACGCAATTACATAGAACGTTGAGTCAACGTACAGGCCTGGATCCGCAGATGGTGCAGCAGGCGGGAGGCAGTCGTTCGCTCGGTGAGACTGTGCTGACTCATCACTCACTCATCTGGGCCAGGGCTTCAGATTTCTCCCAGGCGGGGCACGTCCTAGGGCCGCTTATCCTGATTTGACACTAGCGCATCCAATTTGCCCACAAACCCACGCATTTCGCACTCACCGCCGACACGGGCAAATCCCACCCAAATTTTCGAAACTCTCGTCGCCCTCTTTTCCCGCTTCATTATCCTTTCCACCTCACGTTTTTCCTACTAACCCCCAAGGAACAGCCCTCCAACCGGTACGTCGACGAACCGACCCGACTCAATTAATTGAAGCAAGGGGAATCTCGTTGCTGACTTTTATCTCTTTGTTGCAGCCAAAATGGGTGCCCTCAAGTATGTCGAGGAGCTTCAGAAGAAGAAGCAGTCGGATGTGATGCAGTTCCTCCTCCGTGTCCGCTGCTGGGAGGTACGATAAACCCGAAATTCAATACGCTGTGGACGAGTGGCCGATGGGACGAACCGATTACATCGAATCGATCTCGCAAGTCTTGCACCCAGAACACTGTTGGAATGGCTGTGCTCGCTGTTGCAAACAGCAGGGACACACGCACCCTTCAAGATCAGGACATTGACTGAGAGAAAGATACACACATCGTTGTAGTTGGCAGACACCCATCACAACGCCCTCGTCCTTGCTATACACTCGTTGAACATTTGCTGAGAGTGCATCAATATAGCTCCGCCAGTTGAACGTCATCCACCGCGCTTCGCGTCCCTCGCGCCCCGACAAGGCCCGCCGTCTCGGCTACAAGGCCAAGCAGGGATACGTTATCTACCGCGTGCGTGTCCGCCGTGGTGGCCGCAAGAGGCCCGCTCCCAAGGGTGCCACCTACGGTCAGTAGTATCCCCAGCCGCTTCCCCTCACAGAGCAAAGACTGACCTCCCCCAAGGCAAGCCCACTAATCAGGGTATCAACCAGCTCAAGTACCAGCGCTCTCTCAAGGCCACCGCCGAGGAGCGTGTCGGCCGCCGCTGCGCCAACTTGCGCGTCCTCAACTCGTACTGGGTTAACCAGGACTCCACCTACAAGTACTACGAGGTCATCCTCGTCGACCCCCAGCACAAGGCCATCCGCATCGATCCCCGCATCAACTGGATCGTCAACCCCGTCCACAAGCACCGCGAGGCCCGTGGTCTCACCGCTACCGGCAAGAAGTCCCGTGGTCTCAACAAGGGCCACCGCTACAACAACACCAAGGCCGGTCGCCGCAAGACCTGGAAGCGCCAGAACACCCTCTCCCTGTGGCGCTACCGGTAAACGCGCAGTCGCTCGTGTGCTGCGGCAGGTGGCTTGCCAGTGGGTTGGCGGGCTGTCTACCCTTGTTACGACTGTCGTTTTCGGGTCAGGGGTCATGATCAATGGAATGGTGTTCGCTGGGTTTGGGCTTGGACGAGCCGGATGCTGCGTTACATAGCATGGAAAAATGGGAATGAACAATATCCTCGGAGATGAATCGATCAACACGTCTCAACATACTTCAAGCTTGTGTGCCGTGCCATGTGACCAGTGACTAGTCTTGCCCAGTTCTCTTGTGCTGTCCGAGGTAAAACCATCTGTCGCATCAACGCTTGTCGGGTGGTTAGCTGTTGGTGACGTCCAATCGCACGACTCGACCAGTAAGCATCACGTTGAGACCAATTATCTTAACGTGACCAAGATCCCATTGCGTCAACTATAGAACTTCTAAATACAGAAAATGGCAATTGACTGTGTCGCAGCTTCGCAAGTCCTCATTGGTAATTCCAATGTTCCCGATAGCCCGCTGTCAAACCCAGCCAACTGCCGGAAAGTGAAGAAAAGGACGCGTAAACATCAATGTGACAAAATAGCAAAGAAACCCTCCTCGTTCCCCATGTCTATGCCGTGAAAAATGAACGTGCCCGTGAGAAGTACAGGTACACGTCAGCGTTCAGTGCGTCTATGAGACAGACTGCATCGCCGTCGACATCATCAGCCTGAATCATTAACGCGTGAGCGCCAACACGATTGAGGGCACCTTTTGTAAAAAAAAAAAAAAACTCCCGTCCATGACGAAATACCAGGCGATGCGATGAAATGCGCGGAAACAAAGGAAAGTGTTCGTGCTAGTACGGCCCACAGTCGCAGTGGCCGAAGGTTCGATGCAAGTGTACAGCAAGGAAATTCGTAAGATCGTCTTGGTGTCGTTATCGTGCTGCGTCAAAACCAGCCACCCATGACAGAACGAATGAGATTTTGTTGTTGTACAGTGATCATACCAATGTCGGTAGGATACGGCAGCGCACTTTACATCCACGGACCCCCGTTACCCTGCTGACCTTGCTGGCCCGAGGGAGGCTGCGTCACATTGCCGTTCATGTGACCCTGGTTGTTGTTGATATTGTTGTTGTTGCTGCCATGGCCATTGGCAGGAGATTGCTGGGCACCTGAGTTCTGGTAGGCGTTCAAGGCCTGTTCGAGAACCTGGCTTCCAGTCTGGGAGGAGTGACCAGATCCTCCATTTACGGCCGGGCCTCGAGCTTGGTGGGCGGGGCGGAGAGGAATCTGGCCCTGCGTGTTATCTGCCGGTGTAGCTTGGCCAGAGGCAGTCACGCTGCCGCGGCCATCGTAAGTGGATATCTTGGCCTGGATGCGACGTCCGTATGGCGTGTTGCGGATAGAGGGCAATACTGGGCGAATGGCCTCCACCAAGCGGTGCTTTTGCGATGGCGTTGCGTACTCAAGCGCGGTCTGGACGACGTAATTTGCGTAGGAGTCGCGAATGAGGCGCTCAATCTCCTGAGCACTGATCATCTCCTCGACAATCATGTCCTTGGACGGGGGCAGGGCACAACGCAAGCACTTCTCCATGACATTGGAGCTGAACTTGTGTCGGGACAGCTGGCTTACACAACCCTGGAATGTGGCGACGATAGGCTCAGTGAAGGTAGGCTCGCCGAGGTCGATTATGTACTGCACGACATAGTTGCCGAATGGGTCTTGAACAAGTACCCGAGCGTGTTCCGTGATGCGTTGAATGAGCCAGAGCTTCTGCTCGCCAGAGGCGTGGTCAATGCAGCGTTGTAGGACGCAGCAGCCGTGGCGATGCGTGCCGACTTCGACGCAGCTACCGCCAACAGCATCGAAAATGAACTGTGAGTTGGGGGAGCTGAGCTTGTTCAGGCATTTCTGGATGACATGGTTGCCATTCAGGTCCTGAATAAGCTCGACGACACGAAAACGAAGCGCCTCAATGATGACCTGAATCTGCTGAGGAGATTGAACATACTCAATCATCTTCTGCAGCGCTCGAGTACCATGCGTGTTCAAAGCAATGCGAACCATATCTTGGGCAGCATTCTGGATCAGAATTGTGCGCTCCTCGTCGTTGCAATATTCAAGAAGCTTCTGGCACAGATAGTTGCCAAAAGGGTCGGTCATTAGCTCGATGACGTGCTGGTTCGTCTCGAGCCAGATCATATGAACCGCATCTGGGTTTTGCTCCTCAAGCTTCTTTTGGAGGTAGCGACATCCATGCTGGTCTTTGCAAAGTTCGTAGATTTGTCCATGGAAGTGTTCTAGAGGTAAGCCACTGTAACGACTCATAGCTGTAGACCATTAGCAACTAAAGCTGGAAGCGGACACCATCTATAGCTTACCTTCGTTGTCTGCCTGGCGGCGGTTCTGCATCACTCGCGCTTGGCTGTCGCGGGGCTGCTGGAGAGCTTGCTGCCCCATGTTGGCGTTGCCGCCATTGTTCGCATTACCATTGGTGTTGCCATTGTTGTAGGGCATAGGATTGTAAGGCGGAACAAAGTTTTGGCCAGGGTACATGGGAGCCATGCCGGTCATGTTCCCGTTCATAGCGCCATTCATCCCCATGTTCTGCATACCAGCAGTAAGCATGTTGATGTTGTAGTTGCCATTCGCTGGAGCAGCGCCGTAGTTGACGGGCATGCCATTAACGCCGTTGAGGCCGGGCATGTACGGGTTGACGGGGTAGTAAGGCTGGAAGCCAGGATGCATAGGACCCTGCGATGTAGCAGGCAATTGCTGCCCATTCATGTTTTGGGAAGTTCCGGATCCAGGTCCAAAGACGGGCGCGTTGGCGTGCAGAGTCGACTGAATGGACGGGTAAGTGTTCGCCGGCTGCTCGGCGTTACCGTTGGTGTTTGTCTCTTGAGAGAGCTGGCGGCTGTGTCCTCGCGAGGAAGAGAGAACGCCCGTCGGAATGCGGCCGATACTAGCATTGTGGTTGTGGAAATGCTGCTGGGCGTGATTGTTAGCATTGCCGGAAGTAGATCCTGTCGGGCTCTTGACGGTTGGTACATCGTTGGAAGAGTAGGAGCTCTGGAGTCTTGGAGCTGCCATGGTGTGGCTTGCTTGCGTGGGCGTGGTGCTGCCAGGCGCGTTCTCAGAGTTTTCGGCAATGTAGTTCAAGTCAAGAGACTGACGAAGCGACGCAGGCCGGTGACCAAGTGTGCCCAAGGTGGAAGAGGATGGTCCGTTTAGGGCCGAAAGGCTCTGCTGTGGGCGATGACGGTTAATCGAAGTGCTCCAGTTGTGCGAAGATGTTTCAGGGTTAGGCGACGATGAGAGGGCAAGATCCAGCGCAGCCGAAGATGCAGAAAGCTGATATGACACGCGCAAAGTCAGATAACAGAAAATTACAGAAGAGGTAAAATGAAAACTCTGCGGAGGATAGGGGTCAAATGGTAACGAGGTTGAACGAGGTGAGAGGAAAGAGAGCCACGTGTGTTCAGACGCAACGAATTTTGCTCAACGTCGCAGAGGTGAGATCCGAGCAACGAACAGCAAGACACGAGCGAGTTGATCCACCCTGACCTCTCTTCATCCCATGTCTGTGTAGGTCTGTGCGGCTGCATCTGGTACCTGACCACAGAAGGCTCGGGGGTAAGAAGACGTGCGCCATGCGCGACTGGAACTGCAAATGTTTTCCAACTTACGATTTGATCCTCTGTGCGGGTGAGCGTAGGAAAGCCCATGTCACTGGCGTTGTAGTGCGAATTGCCGCCGCCTTCTTCGTCATCCCACAAGAAGCGAGTGATATTCGCGGTATCAAGGCCGGCGTTGTCCTGAGCGCCGTTGCGAGGTCGGGAACCAGGCATTGAGTATCGATGGCTATTGTCGGAAGGCATGTTAATAAGTTCTTTGGAGTAGTTGTAGGGGACAGTGTAGAGGTGCTAAAATCGAGGACTGCTTGTGATGAGAGGAGATGGAGTTTGTGAGAAGTAGAAGGGCTGGAGAGGGAAGTGCAGGCTGAGAAGCTCATATGTAAGGTAACGTAGGGAATCAGCCAGGGAACGGGTAGCATCAATGAGACGAAGCGCAGGTGTGTAGTGTAAGATAGGCTTGAGAGAAGTGACGGAGCGGGCCGATATTCTCTCAAGCCTACAAACACCATCGCGAACCCTTCTTGAACGAAAATCCACGCTGCTCTTGCTCAAGCGCAGAACATGGCACTAACTAGGGTACACCGCAAAGACGCATCGGGTTGACTTACGCGTGAGAACCTCGGTGGTTGGCCATCTCTTGGCGAATATTCTCATCCCTTTCTTCGTCGTCGCTGTTCCTGCGCGTCGTTGGCACCGACCTGGAGGGTAGAGCGCTGTCCCAGCCGGCCCGAGCTTGCGCCATGCCCGAAGGAGGCGATATGAGGTGGGAGCCAGATCGACCAGGGCGATTCATGAAACCAGGAGGCGAGGTCATGTTGGACATGGACATGCGGGCGGGACGTGACCACATGGAAGGGAACCCGCTGTTGGCATTGTGCTCGGGAGGTGTTGTGGGCTCGGACTGGTGCCCAACATTGTAGCGGCTGGTCATTTGGAGGAGATCCTGCTGGTGACGTTGTTCGAGAGCCTCCATTTCTTGCTCGAATTTGCGCCGATGCGCCCGGATGCGTTCGAGTTCGGCTCGGCTTTGTTCGATCTGGACTTGTCAACGACATATTCTTCCAGCTCCCGCGTGGCCGGCATCTGCAAGGGATCGTCCCGTAGAGGCTAGCCCAGCGAACCCTTTCAGATAAAGCGAAAGAGAGAAAAAAAAGGGATGCATACCTGGCTAGCCTGACTAGTTTGGCCATGTCTACTCATGCCGTCGTACTGCGGACGTGAGTTAGTCACTGGAGCAAAAAGATGCGCGGCAGCGCACAGAGCGAAGCGACCGCGACACCAAGCGGGAGCGCATGTGAATATCGGATAGGAGGACCTACGTCGTCGTGATCGATGCGAGCAGGCTGGGCCCGGGGAAACCCATTCGTGTACATTTGGCTCTGACGCTGCGCGGCGTACTGGGCATCTCGGTTGGCCTGAGTCGATCCGAGGCCTTGACCTCGCTGGGGAGACGTGAGGTTCATGGACGACATGGTTGGTACGTTGCCAGACTCGGTGGTGAATCGTCGGGTCAAGTTGGATCGCAAGTCGGAAGTCAGACTCTGGGCCGAGTGCTGCTGCTGCTGCTGTTGAGGATAGCGGTCGTTGTTTCGCGGCGGCGTTACGAGCGACATGGCATTTGAAAAGGAGGTGGTCGATGTGGAGTTCGGGGTGTTCGAATCGTCGCGAGGCGAACGGCGGGTTCGCCAAGGGTAGTCGTACTCTTCCATCTCTGCAGGTCCCAACGACGGGAGCTCGGAGCTTCTGTCTGCAAAGCGGTTGGAGATATGTTCTACACTGTAGAAACCCGGTTTCGGAAGTAGGTTCAGGTCTTGATGCAGGATGCGAAATTTGTTTAAAATCCCAGAAAGTACACCCAGTCGTCGTCGCCGCAGGAGCTGACTGCAGCCGCAGGGGTCAGTCCACCAAAACTAGGAGGCTCGCTCGCTACTAGTATGCACAGAACTGTCTGACAGGGACTACGAGAAGCAGGAAGAAAGAATAAGGTATACAGCAAGTAACACAGTCGGAAAGGTACAGATCAGAGTTCAAGAGGAGGAGGGGACAGGAGGGGACAGGAGGGGACGATGAGGGCGTCGACCAGGGCCACAAGTACAATCCAGGGCCCAGGGCTAAAGATTTAAGGAGTGGACGTCGGAGGGGCGGGGTGAGGTTTCTTGGTGGGAATGTGCGGTCAAGTTACGTATGGAGTACAGGCGGGCGACTGGACCAGACGTCTGTTCGGGTCGGTCCTGCCTCAAATGATGGCTGGCGCCTGGTAATCAGGGACGAGTCACTACCGGACCTGGAGTCAGTCTATTGGCCACCAGCACGCTGTAACAAGAGGACAGAAGCGCCTCAACGGGCCTTGTTGGAAGGGACCAGGGCGCGCCGGCGTGGCTGGAAATTCGCGAGCGGGCTTGTTGGGGCGCTTGCTTAAGCCGCCTGAAGCGACCGCCGGTAGTCGTCGCCAGGCGGTGGTTGGTGCGATCTTGGGGACATCCGGATCAATGTAGCGTACACCCATGCTTCAGCCACCAGACGACCAGAATTACCTCAGCTACTAATGTAATATGCCGTCAACCGGCGTGGAAAGTGATTACAGATACAACCCGACATGAGCACTCTACGTGAAATCGAGGACTGGAGGCGCCAAACATGAACAACCCTTGGCCAATGGCAGAGTATCTACCGTAATTACGTGCGCTCTGCTAGATACTAGGATGAATTCTCTAGGTGGCATAAGGATCACAACCCTACGTGCTTTTGCGGGGCACTGGTGATCAATGAGTCCGCACTTTTTTATTTCAGGTGTCAATATTATCCAAAATTGCCTCTAATAATTAGTCGTTCTCGACCAAACTCGTGAATCAAATGGTTGCATAAATAAGAGGCAACCATTCACTAGCTGTAGACAAAGAGGCGGTGAGGAAAGCTCACGATTAGGGGTCTCACTATTACTCTTTTAGGACGAATTACGTAGATGTACTAAAAATCTTCCCGCCGGGACAGTCCGTCAAGCTGGGGTTGTCGGAAACCCAGAGCCTAGAGGTAGATGGCTCTCCCCATTCCCTTGATGCATTCTCTCTGTAACCTATGCAATTCTGACATGTTCTTTCTTGAGCAACGGAGATATTTTTGGGTGCTATCGTACTAGAGAATCGCTGGACGTATGCATGTGGTGATGTGAGGAGCGGTTGTCGTACGAATGGCCAAAACTGGCGTCGGTGCGGAATCGCAACCTCGAAACTGGGCAGGTAATAAATAATACTAGTCAATCAATCACATGTCACGTCTAATATTCCGATTACGCATATACTCCTTAGTGGTACATATGATAAGCTGCCTTTTGTGCAACGGCAATGTCCAGCACGCCAACATTAGATAGCACTAAGAACACTCTATCGCGAAGAATCCCTAACGAAAAGATCTGAGACGTATGTAGCTGATCTGCAGCGATGCTCTACATGGTGTCTATACGTTCATGTTTCATCACTGCAAACAAGGTGGTGGACAACTGTGTAGGTACGTACGCAGTAAATCAGAGCTTCCGGCGCTGCCCCACATCAGCATGACATTGACTGGCGGCAACATTAGCGCATCGCAGAGTACCGGATACGCGGGGAGAGATCGCAGAGGCTCGGGCATTTTGGCACTAGTATCAAGTGTCAGTAGCCAACGCGCCGCGGAAACATAAGTACTGCTGTGCTCATATGTGTAGATATACGCAAGTGGGCGCGATGAGCTGCTCTGGACCTTGTTAAGGCGGGAAGCTAAAGGCTAACAGGAAGAGCACGGTCACTGTGATGGGGGACATCGAGGCTTCCTCAGTTCCTGGCCGTTGTCCAGAGCCCAACTTCATGTCTCCAATCACAAGACCAGACCCTCACAACATCGATAACTTTTGCCTGTCGATGTCTTGTCCCTGTTCGGCCATGACGAGAACAGCTTATCTCACTTTCACTGAATATATTATTGCTCGTGATTCCAGCTGCATCGAAAATAAACGCAATGCACAGCAAACAAGAACGTCGGCGAGTGGCCAACCTCACCCCGGCACAACTCCAGAGGAAACGAGAAATCGATCGTTCCAACCAAAGACAGCACCGGGCCAAGAATAAGGCGTACACAGGGCGCCTAGAAGACAGGGTCTCTCAATTGGAATACGAAAAGGCGCTGTGTCGCGACCGGTTGCGAAAGTACGAGGTTGTACTAGTCGATGAGCGAGACGAGAAAGTCATTGGAGACGATGATCTGGAGCCCATCCTCAGCACGCCAGAGCAGAGTCAAGAATCCTCACGTTCAGTATCCGAGGCACGTCCCTCTCAACCGGACACAGATTCGCCCAGTCGACTGGGCCATGCACACTCAACATCTAGTTCCTGCAGTGTGTCAGCAGCAAACTCTCAAGCCCGCAACCCCCGTTTTCTGTCATGCAACCTTGGCTACGGAATTACGGCGGATCTCTTCACGGCGTCTCAAGACTTTGACTTCCTTGACCGCGACCTCTTCGGTGTTCCCGTGAAACAAGGGCCTCCAGTCCGGGATGAACAGATGGGTGTCTCCCTCCCGCGTAAACCCCGACCAGTATGGCAGAGGTTGCCTGAGCATATTGAGCCAACAAACAGACTTGACGAGACAGTCATCAAAAAAACCAGGGATTTTCGTTCACGGCTTCGACATATCGCCGCCAAGGTCGACAAGCCAGCCAAGGGACGTTTCCCATGTATATCTTCGCTGCTCAATGAGGATGCCGACGATGTTGCTTCCAGATCCCAACGCGTTACTGCGGCGGATGCAGTTGGCGTATCTACTGACTTGCCAACTCCTCTCGTCAAGCGCACAATTATCATGTATAAGCTTGCCTATTATATTCACTGGCTTGTCTGTCAGACAGAGCAGTCGTACAATCAGATGCCAGACTATCTAAAGCCAATAGAGCTGCAAAGAACAGTACCTCATCCGGTGTGGATCGACATTATCTCATACCCTGATGCGCGCGATGCACTCATTCAAAGGAGAGCAGGAGTGTGTTTGAGAAATTCGAGGAGCTCGTAGGCACCACTACCTTTGTCGATTGGCCTTACTCTAGTGTCGATGCGGTGGAGGAGTCTGCTGGTGAACTGCGTATGAACCTGAATTTCGAGGCTTACATCCGTGACTTGAAAAATTGGAGTTGTGGCAGCGATGTTGTCGAGATATATCCGTTCATGGCAGCATATGCAGCAGAATGACAGAGGCTCCCCAAACTGTGGCACTCCACTTGAGTAGTGTTAGTTCAAGTTGATGACTGGTAAGGGAATGTGTATGTGTTTTCAGGGGACCAAAGCATGTCTGACAAATAGGTATCCCCCCCCGCCATACTCTGTAGTAGTTGTGCACTGAAAGTAGATATGCACCTTAACGACACTTCCAAAAACATGAAAGATCCCGCAACTCTAAACTTACACAACATTTTGTGTGATCTCAATAGTCGCGCTGCTCTACAGGGTAAGCAAGGCCCACCTCGTCCCCGACCTGCCCGTTGGCGGCGCCACTAGACGGACGCGACGGATGGACTTGGCCGTGACTCCAACAAACTCCAAAGATTCCGCGGGGCACAACTTTTTCCAACCATCACGAACAAACCGATCTCGTCGCATTCCGATCCCGTGTTCGTACACAAAATACACAACCCATGTATCGTAGACGGTAGCCATTACGATGCCCTTGGTAGACGACGGCTTCGAGGCCCTTCTGGAGCCCTTCTACAACGGCAAGAAGTTGAACGATCCCATTTCTACCAAGGATGACAAATTCCAGCTGCTCCCGGCGTTCTTGAAAGTCAAGGGTAAACGCACCTCCTCGACTTCTTCCCTCCGAGCGACTTGAGCTAACAACGGTGTGCAGGTCTCGTGAAGCAGTACGCTATTTACCAGGGTGTCCTCCCACGAGCGATGCGATGCTAACGCAGAGCAGGCACATTGACTCGTATAACTTTTTCGTGGAGCAGGAGATCAAGGAAATCGTGCGCGCTAACCGCACGATCCGCAGCGATGTCGACAGCAATTTTTGGTTGGAGTTTACCGACATTCGCGTCGATCGCCCTCGCAGACAAGACCACAATGAGGGCAAGACCACCCGCCCAGTCTCCCCCATGGAGTGCCGCCTCCGAGACATGACCTACGCGGCCCCGATCCTGGTCGATGTTGTATACATTCGTGATAAGCAGAAGATCATCAGGAGAAACGTACCGCTTGGGCGTATGCCCGTTATGCTTCGCAGTTCCAAGTGCCGACTCAGTGGCGCGAACAACGACACGATGGAGCAGATGAACGAGTGCCCGCTTGACCCTGGCGGCTACTTCATCATTGGTGGAACCGAAAAGGTCATTTTGATCCAAGAGCAGTTGAGCAAGAATCGTGTCATTGTGGAAGCAGATGAGAAGAACAATATCATTTCCGCGTCCGTCACCAGTTCGACCCACGAGCGAAAGTCGAAAACATACGTCACACAAAAGAAGGACAAGATTTCCCTGACACACAACGTCTTGGTGGAGGGCATCCCCATTGTCATTGTGCTCAAAGCACTGGGAGGGCTGTCGGATCTCGAGATCATGCAGCTGGTCGCGGGCTCTGACGGTCGATACCAGGACGAGTTCCTCATCAACTTTGACGAAGCTACCAAAGCGCAGGTATTCACCCAGCATCAAGCTCTTGAGTACATTGGGGCGAGGGTCAAGATGGGATCAAAGAAGGCACAGTTCGGACCCCAGGTTCGAAGGAATAACGTCGAGGAGGGACTCGACGCCCTGGCAAACCTGGTCATCGCCCATGTACCTATTGAGGGCTTGGACTTCTACCCCAAGGCCATCTATGTTGCCATGATGACCAGGAGGGTCCTGGTCGCCGCGCACGACCCCAAGTTGGTCGATGACCGCGATTTTGTGGGCAACAAGCGTCTCGAACTGGCTGGACAGCTCCTGTCACTTCTTTTCGAGGATCTGTTCAAGCGCTTCACCGTGGAAGTGAAGATGTCCATCGACAAGTTCCTTAAGAAGAACAACCGCGCGGTACCGTTGGATGCTGTCCACATGATCAGCAACCATGCCAACAACATCGGCATGGGGATCAACCGCGCTATCCAGACCGGAAACTGGAATGTCAAACGTTTCAACATGAACCGTGCTGGTGTCACGCACGTTCTCAGTCGACTCAGTTACATCAGTGCTCTGGGCATGATGACCCGTATCAGCAGTCAGTTCGAGAAGACGCGAAAAGTCAGTGGTCCTCGTGCTTTACAGCCATCACAATGGGGTATGCTGTGCCCGTCCGATACTCCTGAAGGTGAAGCCTGTGGTCTCGTCAAAAACTTGGCCTTGATGACGCACATCACCACCAACGTGGAAGAGGGGCCTGTGAAGAGATGGATCTTCACACTCGACCCTGGCGTGGAACCCATCAGGAACTTTTCCGGTGCTGAGATGCATCGCGAAGGGAGCTTCATCATTCACGTCAACGGTACACCGTTTGCCCTGACGCGATACCCCAAACGGTTTGCCAACAGGTTCCGAACCATGCGACGGAGAGGCTGGATGTCACCTTTTGTCAGTATCAACATCAACACCCATTTCAACGCTGTACACATTGCCACGGACGAGGGCCGTATCTGCCGCCCCTACATCATTGTCAAGAATGGCCAGCAGAAGCTGAAGCCTGAGCATTTAAAGCTGTTGCACATGGGCAAGGCCACGTTTGACGACTTTTTGACGCATGGTATCGTCGAATACCTCGATGTCAACGAAGAGAACGACGCCCTTATCACGATTTACGAAGATCAGATCACGCAAAGCACGACACATCTGGAGATCGAACCATTCACGATTCTTGGAGCTGTGGCCGGTCTCATTCCCTTCCCTCACCACAACCAGTCCCCCCGTAACACATATCAATGCGCCATGGGTAAGCAAGCCATTGGAGCGATCGCATATAATCAGTTCAACAGAATTGATACCCTCTTGTACACACTGGTGTATCCACAGAGGCCAATGGTCATCAGCAAAACCATCCAGCTCATTCATTACGATAAGCTGCCCGCAGGTCAGAATGCTACCGTCGTTGTCATGTCATACTCCGGATACGATATTGAGGATGCCCTGGTGCTGAACAAGGCGTCCATCGACAGGGGCTTCGGCCGCTGCCAGGTGTTCCGCAAGTACACGGCCGAGCTGCAGAAATACCCCAACGGCAGGAGAGAGGAGATGACGCATCCCGAGGACGAGATGGACGGTGATGTGCGGCGACGCGTGCCCAAGGACGAGATTCTCGATAACGACGGTCTCGCCACCGTCGGGTACCGGGTCAAGGCCGGCGAGGCAATGGTCAAAAAGAGGACACCCCTCGACCAGACCACGACGGGTATTGGCATGGATAGAGGGCCGAGCGAGTTCCGCGACTCGTCTGTATCGTACCGCATTCCCGATCCGGCCTTTATCGACAAGGTGATGATTTCACGAACAGAGAGGGAGACGACTGTCATCAAGGTGCAGACACGCCAGACCCGTCGACCAGAACTGGGCGACAAGTTCTCCTCGCGCCACGGACAGAAAGGTGTGGTGGGTATCATTGTCGAGCAGGAGGACATGCCATTTGCGGATAATGGTCTATGCCCGGACATTATCATGAACCCCCACGGTTTCCCATCGCGAATGACGGTCGGGAAGCTGCTAGAGTGTCTCACAGGCAAAGCATCCGTCCTGGACGGCCGCAAGGACTACGGTTTCGGGGACGCGTTCCGGTCTCATCCAGTGGAGCAAGTCAGCCAGGTCATGCTGGACCATGGTTTCTCCTGGGAGGGCAAGGACTACTTCACCTCTGGTATCACGGGTGAACCGCTGGAGGCCTACATCTTCAACGGGCCCATCTACTATCAGCGCCTGAAGCACATGGTGCAGGACAAGATGCACTCGCGTTCCCGCGGTCCGCGCGCGATCCTGACGCGTCAACCAACCGAAGGTCGTTCGCGTGACGGTGGTCTGCGTCTGGGAGAGATGGAGCGTGACTGTCTCATTGCGTACGGTGCCTCGCAGCTGCTGCTCGAGCGACTCATGATCAGCTCTGACGGCACGGAGATTGACATTTGCCAGCAGTGCGGACTGTTCGGATACAAGGGCTACTGCCACACCTGCAAGAGCACAAAGGAGGTGACTAAGATGAAGATGCCGTATGCGGCCAAACTACTCGTGCAGGAGCTGATCAGTATGAACGTCGGTGTACGACTACAGATGGAAGACGAGTTTCCGCATCCAAAGTAGGCATAGCAAACTGCATCGATAGAAAAATTAATGTACACATTATACATCTCTCAGGCCGTGACTTCTTTTTTCCTGCTATTCTTCGTTTTTTTCATCCCCGCTTGTCTGCTCCTCCTCCTTGTTCTTGATCACAGCCTTGAGTCCGCCAAGGGTGATTTCAAACTCCGTCGCTCCCTGCAATCCCTGACCTGAAGACTGCACGTGCGGCGCGAAGACGACTTTCATCCAACGCCTCCATACCTTGAGCGTGCTGCCCGTCTCGCCATCCGCAAACTCGTCGTCCGCCATGATGGGCGCTGCTGTGCGATGTGGCACACCATACACCGGCCTCTTGAACAGGGCTATCCGCATGGCGATCTGTGTTGACCAGACAAGACCCAGGCTTGGCGTCTTCAGCGCATATGTCGCCAGCGGATCGTCACCCCAGCCGGTAAACCACCGTTGCTGGTGATCCAGCGCCAACGCCGGCGGTGCAGGTGTCTCCTCGTTGGGCATGGAGAAAGGCAGCGACGAGGTGGGCGTGCTGGGCATACTACCCTTGGGAGCATTACTCCTCGAGGCGAGTGGTGTTTCCTGCGTGGCGCCCTGATGCTGCGACCAGCGAGGCGTAGAGCCTACGGGGGCAAATCGGTCGGCGACCTGGTTCGCGGCCACAACGGCGAGATCATGTCGTCTTGCCCAGTCCCGGAGAAGAGCCCCGAGTTTGATGAGGTCGTTGCTGCGCGCCGCCATGTTAGAGCCGCGACTTGAGCCTTCCCTTTCGAACTCGGCCCGGTAGTTCGCAGCGACGCTATCAAGGATGATCAAGCCGACATTGTGCCGCTCCAGGAGCACAGGGACCTGGTAGTTGAGGATGTGGTCCTGCGATTCGAGGTCGGGCAGAGAGGCGCTTAGGATGTTGTCCAGCGAGGGCCGATCCACATAGTCAATCCGCTGGTTGATGATGGGGTTGGCGCGGAGAATCTGAGACAGACGGGAGGTTGAGAGGCCAGATTCGGTGGATATGTAGAGCGCCTGGCGCGCGAGGCCGTAGGGCGCTGGTAGTTGCACGGCGAGGCAGAGCGAGAGGAGGAATTGCGTCTTGCCTGCACCTGATTCCCCTGCGAATTCGGTGATACGGCCGGTTGGTACGCCGCCGCCCAAGGCGGCGTCGAGATCCGGATCAAGTGTGCTGATACATGCTAGACTGTTGCCTTGCTCTTCTGGGAAGACTGTCGGTTTGAGATCATTGGAGAGGGAGGCCTGGATGGTCGCTATGAGACGCTTGAGGTCGAGAATGGGCAGTTGCGTCTGCTTGGCGATATCCGCGGGATGTGATGTGAGAAGGTCGGTCGTTGTGATGGCATGCTGCTCCACCGTCGGAAGCAGGGCGGCGAATGATGCTGTGGGGAAGGTTGGGAGGATGCGCCGCAGATCGGTCATGGTATGGTGTGGGCGGATGCTATCGCGACTTCATGATGGGGGCTGGAGCGATGGATGACCAGTGGTGATACGAACCAGGATTGGAGTCGGTGTGAGATACGTACCTGGTTGTGTTTGTGTGAGTGAAGTCGTTCTGTATTGAGCCCCCACATAAGGTACAGCTTGACATCAACTCACCACCAATTCCAGTCTGTCTTGCAACCAACCCTATCTTCGCTTAAAGTTCTGCACATCTCCAAGTCTGCCCTCGCCTACGGATACAAGCACTGGGATATCACTGCTGGACTCGCCGCAAGTCGCTTCAGGCAGCACCTCCTGCCCTGGTACCTTCCAATGGCCGAGCCATTCCAGTCGGTGGTACCTTCCGAAAAATCCTCCGCCTTTCCGCACTCAAGATCTCAAGGCTGCCTGCGGCCCGACTCGATGAACGAAAGTGGGACTCCACTCCGCGAGCCTGTACGGAGAGCGTTGGCCATTCTTCCAGCAAAGTTTCCATTGATTGCTACCACACAAGTCGACCGCGACAGTGGCACAGTGCCCTGATCAAGTCTCGTCATGTTTCGCCGTGGACTCTGGTAGGGCTGAACAACCATTGTCGACATCGCCAGCTCCTTGTCCAGCTGACCACCCAGATGAGCCATCGCTGCCCTCCATCTTGACGTGGCGGCCCCTCGCGCGCAATCGGGCGTCTCGTATTGATATTGACACTTCGAGAACAAGCATAAGCAAGGATCCGCATCATGCAGCATGCCATTTGTCCAGGTGGCAGGGTGTTGCCTTGCAGCCGCTAATAAGTTGTTTTTGATCACTCTCACGTTTCTGGCTCTGCGACACTCTGGTTAGGCTTATTTCAACCACTTGGACGTGAGCCTCACGTCGTGGAGACCGAGTCGGTCGCCGCTAGCTCTCCTGCCAGTTGCGCGTTGCGCGTTGGCATGGCTCTTCGCTAGAAACGACTTGGGCCTCTTTTGCGGCAAGGTTAACCCATATCCGTGTCGATAATTCTAGTCCCAGTTCGGTGCTGATTAGCCCGCGCAGAGAACATGAAGGCTCCACGCAACGCTCAGTTGCTCTCTTCGCTTCTCTAGTTCGGATCCTTCCGACTACACGCACTGCATTGTCACGACACAGCATAATAGCCAGAAGCTGGCGCCAATCCCACCCGAGAGCGCACATGAGCAATGGCCTGAGGGGCCTGGAGACTGGCGCCCAGGAGCTGGGGCTGAGAGAGGGGCTGAGATGCCGCTGTGCCATCACCCACCCCATCTTCAGCTCCTGCACAACAAGCCACTTCGCGCCCACCTCCATGGTCTAAGCAAGCCGGGGTCTTGACGCTCGTCCACTAGGGACAAGGCGCTTGATCCGTTAGTGCCATCCCAGGGCTGACACTGCGAGGCACTTTTTTGTTGCGCTTGCGGACGTCGACTCGCACAGCGAAGCTGACGATGCAAACATGACCTGCTGCTTTGGCGCCGAGTAACTTCCCTCGCTCCTCAATCTTGTCTTGTCCAAACCAATTGTCCCAGACAGCAGCAGTCATGATCTCCAGAACAGGGCTCGGCGTGGCCATCGCAACTGCTTTCGCTGCACTACCGAGCAAGGCATGGAAAGTTGACCTGCCTCATGCCACACGCTCCGTTGACTTGCCCGGGGACGGATGGACGCCCAGACCGACAGCTCCTCCAGGTGGCTTGCGGCCGTTGATCAAGCGTCAGATCAACTCTGCCGACGATGAAGATGGCACCACTGTGCTCCTTGCCCCGGACAACACTTGCGGCTTCATCTCGGCCCTCCCAGGCGCCCTCTACGCCTGCTCTCCCACCTATAGCTGCGTCTTCTTCACCGCAGCGACCTTTACCGGCAACGTCGCTTGCTGTGACGACTTCCAATGCGGTGCTCGCCTCACCTGTATCGACTACGACTCATACTACTCATCCAGCGCTTGCGACGATGGCTGCCGTGTGGATGCGTTCACTGTCAAGTGGTAAGTGAGGCCCGGAAGAGTTCCCATGATGCGGCACAGCATTACTTATACCCGTATCTGCGTAGTCTGGACTCAGAATTGCCTTATTGCAACACAGTTTCATTCGCAGATGACATCTATGACTACTGGTGCAACAGTGTCGACATCAGCACTGCGCAGTCGGCCTCCACTGCGTACTCAGGGCAAACAGGACGCCAGTTCTCGCCTTTACCGTTGGATGATCCAGAGTCCTCGCTCACACTGGAAACAGAGTCGGATATCCCTGGCGCACCTGCCCCTGCGGGTCCTAGTTCGACGGTTGGCGGCGGCAAGGACAACAGCAAGGACAACAACGACGACGACGACGACAACGACGACAACGACGACAACAACAATGATGATAACAACGACGACGACGACAATGGCACGCCTGTTGGTCCCATTGTAGGAGGTGTCGTTGGTGGTCTAGGTGCCATTGCTCTCGGCGGTCTGGGGCTGTGGCTATTCTTCCGCAACAAAAAGAAGAAGCAAGCCGCCGCCGCCGCCAACGCGTCTGCCGTCACATCTCCCACCATGGCCAACGCTCCGCCACCGCATCAGGGTCCCTCGCCTGGGAAGCCTCTGCAACCTTACCAGCAACCGACCTACTTCGATGCCGGTGGGGGCGGCGCAATGGGCGCATCGTATAGCTACGCACCCCATCAGCAACAGCAGCCTCATCACCAGCACCCGGGTGGCTTTCATCCCATGGGCAACACTCCTCCACCAAACAGCGCCAGCCCCACAATGTCCTACCATGACGGGTCCAGTCCTTCGGCTGTATATCCTTCCGGGTTCACCATTTCGCCCCAGGCCACCGACAACCGCAGCTCGATGGCAAACCCTGGGGTGGTCCATGAGGCGCCATCGAGGCCCGAAGACACGCAGAGGGGAGGAGTGCATGAGATGGCTTGAAGATGCAATGTGTGAGAACTGGTAGACTCTTGAGGAATTTGAGTGCGTACAGAAAGTCGACTCATACGATGACCATGTGCATTTGACGATAAAATACCATTCGAGCTACAAGGTGCTAAGATACGTGATCTGGCGTTCTTTCGACAAACAGCGTGCACAAAAAAAATATATAGCTCGCTTATAAGTAACAGGGAGAGCTCAGTACTCGCTCAAACGCAGCTTCTTGCCCACGTCCCGCCGTCTGGCCTGCACCGCTGCTCTCTCCGAGGCCTTTGTCTCCGACCCATCGAACTTATCTCCCCTAGCCTTGAGAGCCTGCAAGAGCATACCCGCGTCAAAGAAGCCATCTACAAACTGTCAGTTATCTACTCGACCTAAAAAGGAAGGGAGAACTTACATCCACCCAACTCGTCGTCCTCCTCGCTCACAGTCACACTCTCTTCCGTAGGCGACATGGTCCCGCTCGGCGCCTGGCGTATCGACCTCAGCGAATCTTGCGTGATCAGACGTCCCCTGCTCTTAAGGCGACTGGCGGTCTCGCTGCTCGACTTGTGCACGACGGGCTTCTTGTGCGCTTCCTCTGCCTCGCGCGCCCGGGTCGACCCCTTCTGCGCCCCGGCGACGGAGGCTTTGCGGTTGGTAATGCGCAGGATGCGGCGGATCTCGAGGAGATAGGACTCGAGGGTGTCGACGAAGCGACGGGTCTGGCGATGCTTGCTTGAAATGCAAATGGAGATGGATTCGTCCTTGATAATGTAGCCAATGCCGAAACCATCTCCTGACGTGGGGCCGAAGCCAAAGTGTCGGAGCGAGGGGTTGCCGCAGTTGGACGTGGAGAGCACCGTCGTGTTCAGGCGGTCCCAGCCAGAATCAGCAAAGAGGAGTGGTAGGGGATGGACATGCTCCCTGTTCCGTGAGCCGGTGCTGCCGCCACGTTCTCTCGTTGGCTTGACCTCGACACCATCCATTGATTCCCCTGTTGTTTTGGGCGGGCTTCCCACAGGAGACATGCCGGCATCCGAGTAGCCCTCGAGAGGGCTGGAGTAGCCGTCGCTGCTTCGGCTGCTGTGCATTTTCTCGTTGACGTGCTTTTGCCACACGCAGAACAGGGCGTACAGGTGCCGATCACAACCTTGCGCCTTGGCGCAGATGCGTGTTGCGTCGACGTGCTTCTGGGATGCCTTTCTCAGCGCTTCCACTTTCTGCTCAGCTGGGTTGTCTGCCCAGAAGGACTGGACGAAATTGACAGACTCGTCCGTCACGGGGCGGACAGCTTCTGTCCTGCCATGGAGGAAAACCTTGGTCATGGCCGGTTCGTACGTGCACTCCACACGGCCGTAGAGTCCGTAGTAGGCGGCTTGGAACGCCATCTGGACAAAGGCATCGGGGGAGAAGCCCATGGAGGTGATAAAGTTCTTACCATAGGAGCTGAAGTCGAGGCACTGGAACTCATTCTGCTCAATCAGATCGGCGAGTCGAGTCTCAGCGAAGCGAACAGCAATGTTGAGTTCGGGGATCATGTCCCACTCCAGCTTCCGGGGCGTGGTGTTGACATCGCCGAAGCTCGCGGGGTCTCGCTTGGACGGGTCAGGGCTGGTCGAGGTCCACAAGGTGGGTGCTTGACCATTGATGGTCCGGGCGAAACGAAGGATGGTGTCCGTATAAATGTCACTTGCGAAGCGCAGAACGGTGTGGCCATCGACACCCGTGTGCTCAAAGTTGATGCCAGCGCTTCCGTTCTTGCAGACAATGATCTGCAGCTTGTCGTACCAGCGGTTGGTGCAGGTGCCAATCTGCACACCCTTCTCTACCTGGCTGGTACCACAGAGCATGTTCTGGCAGAGCGCCGCAACGTTGGGGGGTTCGGTGTAATCGAGGCAGAGGATGAAGAGGGCGGAGTCAACGATGTTGAGCGAGTCGGCATTGTTGGACCCAGGCTCTCGAGTCAACACATCGCGCAGGCCTGACCAGACCTTGCGATTCTCTGTACTGAGAACACCAAGAGCTCCCTTGGCAGCTTCTCGAATGGGGATCTGCTGCGCATCATCCAGGACGGTTTGAAGATTGAGGGCAATATCGCGCTCGGACATGATGACATCGGAGTTGTCGTCCAACACATCGAACCAGTAGAGTTGGCCATGGCACATGACCACCATGTGCTTCGAGTTGGGGTCCTGCTCAATCTGACACCCAGCTTCTGTGGGTACTCGTGCTGTGCCAAAGAGCCTCGAGAATTGGTACATGCATAGCGGTGTGCCTCTGATGGTGTCGGGCGGGAGCTCCTCCTTTCTGACAGCACGCACAAATTCGAGCGCTGAGGCGACGAGAGACGCAGCCCTAGTAATCTGATTATTCCTCGCAGGTGTTGGGTCATCTTCCAATAGGAAGAAGGGGTTCAGGTTCAAGACCACGGGGTTATCGAAGTTGAGATACGAGTCGTACCAAAACTGCTCGATGTAGCTCGTCTTGCTTTGTGCATAATTCTTGAGTTTCTCCTGCAGTTCTGGCCCATCATTCCTCAGGAACTCTTCGACGGCCTGCTCTGTGTCCCCATGCTCCCTGGAAGACTGAAGTGGTCGCAAGGCATTGAGATACCTCTTGACTGTTTGCTCCAGATCGGGAATGGGGAGTTTGGGTAGCTTGTCTTGAGCACCAAAGGTGATGCCACCCGGCTGTTTCTTATCGTGGTGAGAATCCATCGGGACTCTTTTGTAGTCCGCGTCCTTCTTTGAGGGACTTGCAGGGATTTTTGTGATACTGTTGTCGCTGAGAAACGACTGCTCGGGTATGGACCTGGGAGTATCTGCTCGAGGGGTTGGCTGGGACAACGTCTGGCCTAGTGGCTGAGGCGGCGTGAACGTGCGAACTTGAGTAGACATTGTGTCAGTACGAATCGTGAAGATTTAGGCGTAGAGTGGTGAGATAGAGGTGCAGATGCTGAGGCCGCGGAGAGCCGTGCGGTAGAAGTAGTGGCAATCTTGAAGATAGTAGGCCGGCATCACACTCGAAGTGTCAGGCTCATGGAAGAGAACATATAGTAGACTGACAGGTTGATCGAGGGCAAGACGGGAAGTATAGGGACAGGTGTATACGGAATATGAGCCCGAGGCCATGGGTCACTTATAGCATGTGCCTAGTGCAGGATACAAGTGTGACGCCGAGCCATTATTAGAATGGCTGGCTAGGTTGTCCCCCACACATTCTTGACTATTCACCCGCAGCAACCGTAACAACCGAACTGGCGTCCATTGACCCGAAGGGCAAGGCCAAGGCATGTGCTCGGTGCAACCTGCATCGGGAACATATGCCCACTGGAGAAGGTCCTCGCCGCTAGGAGACCATGACGGTATTCAGTGATGATGGAAGTCGGGTGTGTTTTGAGTTTGCCCAGGACAGCGAGAACCAGGTTTTCTGGGAGGTCAAGCTGGTCGCGTACCTCGATGAGGGCAGCCATCTGCTCAGAGCACTTGCTTCAAAGCGTGATGACCGTCAGGTGGACCAGAATGCCTCAAGCGATGTCCAAACGCCATCCTGAGACAGACTGGCTGCTGGCTGGTAGGGCCGGAAAACGACAAACGGAAGGTTCCACAGACATACCGAAAGGGGTCTTTTTGGAAGGGCTGGCTGGTTGACTGATCGATTTAACCTGGGGCAACGGCGTCAAGCAAATGTCGGCTGGCGCAGATGGTGATGCTGTCGTTCGAGGAAATGTCTGGTCGTGTAGCGGACGACGTAACGTGTCTCTCGGTTGCTCCCTGTATTCTCTGGGGCTTCTCCTTCTCTTTGAGCCATACAAGTACGTAGAATAGCACACTCTACATGTACTTTAGGCAGTTCGGTCCCGTGCGGAGTGGTGGACGGACTGGCGGATACGTCACCAGGCCCCCCCCCCCCCCCCCCCCCCCCCCCCGCGGGGGGGGGGGGGGGGGGGGGGGGGGGCCCCCCGGCGGGGGGGGGGGGGGCGGGCCCGGCGGCGCCCGCCCCCCCCCGCGCGCGGGCCCCC